TGTCGTCCTTCTCGTGTTATAATTACCCACAGCTACATACAGATAACGTAGCAGACGCCAAGCCCAAGGCCTGCTAAGCGGTCGTGCTGTCCATGGTATTATACCCTTCTGGGCGTTGGCACGGCCGGTTTACGAGTGGTTCAAGGTGCGCCGTATTCTCACTCTGCACAAAGAATGCCGATTATTCCGTTCCAAGACTTCTGCGACACGCCCTCAATTTCCACTGTTCTATGGGCTGCATCCACGTGCGCTTCCTTAAGCAGTACATCAAAAGACATTAACCCTTTGTGGGATGATGACCAACCACACCAAGCCAAGCATTTATGGTATGCCATAAGCTTCTATGTCGAGACCTTGGGCCACTACAGTGACTGCGTCACAACCACCTTGCTCTGTCGGCGCAAGGCACGAAATAATGCTCAATCTTACCGTGCATTTTATCGCGTCATTGCGGCTGGGCACCTGATGTTCTGCAGGTTACCTATGCGATGCTACTACATTTGCCAGCAAAGAGTGGCACAGCGAGAAGCCTATGTATTGGCTCGCATCAACCTACTGGTTGTGGTATCAAACCTCAATGTTATTATAGACGAACATAGAGTGTGTGAAGTTGCTACCATTCCAAGCTTCGGAGTCCAATTGTTCGTGTGAGGCGCTCATCTTTCATCACTCTGGCAAATCTGCCATTGATCAAAACTCTTGCAAGGTGGTAACTGGTCATTCGGTGGGAGGTTAGCAATGCAATGTCGCTCAGACATGCCCTATGCAGCTTGCAGCTATGACCATCAAGAGGTGGATAGCAAACCAATCACGGTGAGATTGAGAAGTTGAGGTTGAACTCACCGGATTTATCCATACGAGCCTGACACGGATAGAACCAACTATTTGTGGCAGGATATCAAGGCCGCATTAGTTTGTTTAGCTCAGTAGAGCTGGCACCTCTAAGGACGCCGAAAATGCTACTCAGCGATGCTCGTGATGGAATGCGCCAAATCATCCCACACTGACTGATGAATGGAAAACCACGCGGTGGAATCGATTCTGCGGGAGTGCCCGCCCATTGCGCGCCTGCCGCTGCATTCAATGCCGCATAGAACGGGTCAATATGTGATAACGTGCATCTGAGCCGCTAATCTGTGATTGATCCATCAACTCGGCCTTCCTATTGAGGTGCAGATATTCGGATGTCAACCACCGGTTATTGTAACGGATAACTTTCAAGGTCGCAGTAGAGTCCGTCGGCACATTTACGATATCGGGCAACCGATACTTGTTTTGTTTGCATGTATCAATTCTGGTATCGATATCTTTCTTACGGTATGTACAACCCCAGACAGGCATGCAAGCGAGCTTTTTGTCTACAAGGCAACCTTGGACTAACACTTGCGACATAGGTAATGCGCCTAACTCCTCTAATGACTCGAATCGATCCGTATGCCCTTGCTACGCGAGATGAAATTCGCAGTTGACCAACCAAATTTTACCAACATGACCTCGGTGAATTCCTCTTGTAGAGGGGCTCAGGGTCTACGCCTGCTCCTTCGATTGACCCTAGCTGATGGGAAGACGCATTGCTGATAGGTTCGTGACGGCAGGCTTCCGGTAAATAGATTGCTTCCAGCATTCAACAAGTCTACTTCGAATAAACAGACCATCTACAGAACACGACGCCAACCAGCCTAACGGGTCAAACATCCGGTAAGGTCATCCGAAAGCTTTGCGCCCAGGAGAACAAGATGTAGAGGGCCAGATGGTGAACAATTTCAAGCGCGAGGCCTCTTTGGGTTGTTGCAGATAATACAACGCTTGGGCCAGCTGCTGCTGCAAATCAATGATGTGCAGCAAGGGGGTTCTTGTGATTGCCATGGGGAAGGTCAAGAGATATACCGGTAGAGAGTTGTATCTCTGTGACGACTCAATAATCATGGTGCAAGCCGCGTCACTTCTATAGCTACCCCAATGCCGGCATTGAACAAACAATACCGCTGATGATACGACTGTCAAACATAGCATTATCACAGCCAATCCCATCCCGCGGGCTGATCCTAGATCGTCAACGCGTTAGATTGAAACCCAAGGCACCGTTTTTCGCTAGTGTCCGTATCACTCGACGGGGTCAGGAATTGGATGGTCGAGAGCCTATAGCTCATCGACAAAGTACACACAGGCACTTCTTGGCTCAAGAAGAATGCGCAATCAGCAGCATCGGGCAGTGATGAGCTGAATTACGTGGCGGGTCTATGCGGCAATCCCATCTCAGCGAAACAGAGAAATCATGGAAACATGCAAAGTAGCATGACCACAGAGGCTTGAATTAACAGAAGCCACAATTTTATGGTCTCTTCTGTGTCGTGATTCCTGGCAACTTGGTTTCGAAACATCAGCAATTTGCGGACCCAATCCAGCGGGAACCCGCTGTCGTCTCATCCAGATTAAATTCGAGTGATGTTGAATCAAACATTTAATTGCGACATGCGCCTAAGCGTTTACGAGCTTGAAAACTATCGAAACACACGAATCAACACCCACGGACGACCCAACGGCCACTGTTGGTGGTCATACCTTGTCTCGAACCCTCAGGGACCAATAACCCCTACCTCATATCCTTAGGGTTGTCAGGGTGTTGTCTGTACGTACAGTATTGATACATACTTAGCCTTCTAGAATCCTTCTCATAGGCCCTGGCTTGAGATCCCTGGCGGGAATGACTTTGACATCTTTTTAGGTGTTGGCTGCCTACTGACTGTTGAACTAGTATTTGGGGCGTGCGCTGTCAGCAAGCACCAGTGTGGCTGGATATCAGCGGCCTGATCTGTTGGTAGCTACAGGCAGTTTGATTATCTTCATTACACAGGCCCACATTCATGCTGGGTCGAAATCCTTCCTTCCAGCAGCTGTGAAGGCACATTGATGGTATTGTCGTACAGAACTATGCGTTGTACAGCCGCAGAGCATCACCAGGCAATGACCAGTCAGTTACATTGCTTCACAGGAAGGTATAGTACCAATGCGAGGTGTCATTGTCTGCCGGGCTTTTAGCCATATCCGACATTATCATAAATCATACCGTCTGACAGGCTTGGCTGCTATCTGGAAGAGCATTGTACCTACTGCTGGAACGCCAACGGGGCTGGCTCATGCATGGTGAAGCAAAGAAATCGGTCATCGGCACAAGGCACTTCAACCAGTATTAAGATTTCAATATCACAGTTTGCATATTCTACAAATTTTAGGCACAGTCATTGTATATTTACAGACGTTCTCTGTATTATTTGAACCTCAATTGTAGACGCTGCACCCTTCAGCCTTGTCGATCTCACCGAATCTACACGGCCTTCTAGGCACCTACGGCACAGCATTCGAGATACAAGCTACCTACTCAGCCGTCTGATCAGCTGGCAATGTGCTGTATGTAGGCTGACGAGCGCAACCTTGGTCTCTTGTAGTGATGAACACCGGTTCAAGGGTGCCCCTCTGAGTGGTGTCTTTTGTCTCATTTGCTCAGCAAGCTGAGTAGGTGGTTGCGTTGGCAGGTTGTTGATAAAGGGTGTTGTCGTGTGTAAGCCAGTGGTATAGGGCCTTTTTATTAAAGGCTATGTACGGAATCACTAGTTCTGGCTCGGGCCGGTCCCATGTGTTGTCTTACATGGTGACAGATCACTTTGCTGGCAAATGTGTCACCCTGCTTCGAATCGTCAGTTCGAGGATGTCAGTATGGGTGTTTGCGAAGCCAGCATCTCGCATGCCCGTTCCTGGAGAGGTGCATACGGCGCGGCACGACGGACAAAGACAAGATCGGAAGGGCGTGTCCGGCGCCGTGTCCACGGTATGTACGGTATGTGCATCGTGTAAGAGGACAACCTCGAATTACGGTTGATACATCGACTTTCTTAGAGGTGACGTGACTTTGTATGCATGTGCGTGCTTCGAGTTGCTACTAAATCTCGCTCCCATCGCCCGCTGTTCTTGCATCATGAGGCCAAACGATGCAGATGAGTATCAAATTGATGAGCCACAGCGTCGAGCCTCTCGAAGCTGAGTGGTTATCACGATTCAAGGTGGTACTGATCTCACCTTGTGCGAGGACAAACGGTATCAACTCGAATAACCTGTTGGCTGATACTAGTTTTTTGTTTGTCCGTTTAAAACGAGATGCAGGTGAGTTATCGCCGACATATCTCGGCAGTGTTCTACGTGGTCATTCTCCATGCCTTGTGATGCAATCGAGCACATGTTGTTGGGTTTTATGAGTGCTCAACTCAGTCTCACCACCACAGACAGTCACCTCTGACTGTACTTGCATGCCACGTCAACTATCAAGCGACTACGTTAGTTTATCAGTGTCATCTAATGTTGGAGGCTAGTTTCGCAAGCATTGAATGATCCGCCACTAGTGCACCTTAGCACAAAGGAGGCTGTTTTACAGTGACAGTCCGGATGTACAGTACACACGTACAAGATTGCACTTGACCCTACAGTCTAGTACGGCACAAATTGGACGGCGCAGGATCAACCCCTATCTGCCAACCGGAAGGAAACACAATCACTCTATGTGAGGATTCGGCACTTAGTCTAATTTGTTTGACGATGGCAGGGCATGATCAGTGCACTGGATTAATCTCCCACAAGCTTACGATACAGGGGGATCACAGCATCACTCGCATATCCATTTGGTCACGTTTTCTCCATGGTCATGTCTCAGGAAAACTCTATTGACTTCTCTTGTTCGCCGCGTGAAGCTCTGCTTGCTCAAACCAAGCGTGGCTGAGATTGGGCAGTAGGGTTTTCCCTACCACGAAGACCTGGCAAATCTGAAACGGCAAATTCGGTTCCGAGAGGCTGGTCCTAGTGCGGGGGTGGACCTTGTAGGTACATGATTCCGTTGGGATGACAGCGGACTTAGATCTATTTTGGTAGTGGCTCAGTACCTTGGCTTGGGGGCCATCCAGGACAGCAAACGAGTTACTACAACAGGTTTCGAGGAAGGATGGGAAATACTCATGGATATCCCGGGCTTCAACGGGGAGCTCGGAATATCGAAGGAAGAAGAAAAACACTTGGTCGAAGCTATGACCGACCTTGATAGCACCACCGGAGGTTCTGGAAGACTTCCGGACAGAATAGAGAGACCCACGATCAAGAGCTCAGGCCCCATCTCATCTATCTATCATATGCTGAGACGAAACCAGATGCCCTAGAGAGACTCTGAGGGAGATGGAAGGGGCCTCATCGGGGGCGTCCAACTATGAAATTCCCGTGCTAGCCCAACAGGCATAATCTTGAGCCTCTCAAGATTCTGCCTTGAATCCTTTGGGACCTGTGCGACATTCTTCTGGTGCTTATGCCATTTGTTCTGGAAGCTGTTTCAACCAGCTAACTGCCAATGCCCACTATTGCATACTATGCTATGCTCGCTACGTGGGCCATCTTACGGCCTCTGCTCTGTCTAGTTGCTGCGGCGAGTATACTATTCATGGACGCAAACCCTTCTCTCTCTGCTTGGCTGTGCATCGTGTTTCATTTTATGCTTACTCGGCATCAAACCTACGCACAATATTCTTCAAAGGCCATCGAATAACGACCAACACAATAGTTTTGGCATGAATTTCCCTCGTCAATCACATCTCACGAGAGACTGTTGGACGGGATTTTTACCTTGCCTCTTCGGTCAGTTAAGTTTACGATGTGTTGGCACAACACAGCATAACACAGACACAGGGAAGGACCTGGGATAGAAACGCGCAATCTCTTCCTTCTCCTGCGAGTGCCAGTCTGCAACATACGGTCAGTCCGCTTCTCTCTGATGAAGCATCCTACAGCTGCTGCAACGTCGGTATACCAACGTTGACTGGTTCCCCGGGCCTCGGTGTGTCTTGGGAGAAACATATATGCAGGTTCCTTGGCGCTTCTTGATGCAGGACTTGCTTGTTGTCATGCCTAAAACATGGGAGACATCCTCTCACGCACAAAAAGACCCCGGACAACAGAGGCTAAGAATATGACGTTGTGAAGCGAGATCAAAAAAGAAAGAAAGAAAAGGCTCGGCTGCTGCCTCATGCTGTGTGACATGTCTGCCTCGCTGCAAGTTACTGGTCGATCAGCTCAGCATGGTACGATAGACTCGGCCGATGTGTACAGGCAGCATTCCTTGCGTGTGACCATAGAGGAGGTAAAGTGAGTAAGAATAAGAATGGCGGAAGTGACTTGTGGTATGTGATATGTTGTGTTGAGATAGGTCATCATGAGAAGTCATATGTTCATTGTGAAAGTCCTAAATCTTTAGATCCCGTCTCGTATTATAATCCGTTGAAACTGTTGGACGTTTCTAATATGTTGGTCAGTTTGTTGAGGTGATACATCTTGAGACAGTGTGTCATCTCACGAGTAGTAGGAAATAATATCCTTTGTGACTCTCGATACTTTCATTATGCTGTGGAGTCTTGAACTGTTAGCATGTTGGAAGTTTCTTTCTTCTCAAACTTGGCCAATATGAAGTATAGGGTAAATTCAACCCAACGACATCGTTATTATGAACACAAATGGTATCATACACCATTGGATTTGGTAATTAATAAATGAATGAATGATAGATTTGCTTGGTTCTGAGTGTGACTTGATGCCCTTTTCTTTGGGGTTTGGGTTCTTTATGACGTGACAAAGGTAAATGAAGTCTTCTATGTAAACTATTATTACCGTTCAGCCACAGGATCAGGCTTGGATTGAATCTCCCGAATCGTATCCCTAGTTCGTGGATTCGCCTCAAAGCTAGCCTCGATGAGGTCAATGACTTCTGAAGCGGAAAAGTAAAGACTCAATTCGCTCTCAAACCAGAGATATCGGACCTCATTAAGATTACTTTGAAGTACTTCGCTCAAGTACTTGAGACGAAGCCAGCTGGGCGCATACTGAGCTGTTTGAGGAACCTCACCATCTGCACTTGCAGTACCCGTTAAAACGCTGGGCAGGAAGAGGTCATCGAGTTCTGTTGCAGTAGCAATGACCTTGGCTATATTGTAGGCCTCGTCCTGACCAATGGATGACATCTCAAGGACGTCTGTGATCAGCTTCGTTGCGACAGCATCAGCCAGGGAACCTAAAGCCTGTGTCCAAACTGAACGAGCCAGAATGGATTTCCAGACAGATGCCATCGCGCGAATGCGACCCGTTGCCAACTCTACGCAAGACTCCATTTCATCCTGCTGCATCAGACTTTGAGCTCCACCGAGGAAATCGCGAAGGATGGTTTTCTGGATGTTCATCTCGTTGGCGTAACTGCGATTAGCAAAGCTTTGTAGGCTCTTGATGTCGTTTTCAAGTCGCAGCATATTCCGGGCTCTGGGAGTCAGGTCTTCGCGCTTCTTCCACGCATCAGCAAACTCAGAGAGCCGCTCTGCCAGATACATAGCGTCGTTGTATAAGAACCTGTTTCGAGTCAGTAATGCCTTCGACAGACTGTAAATATTCTTACATGTTGCCCCCTTCGCTGAGAGAGTAGTAGTATGGTGAGATGGCCCTGAACAAGGCCAAGGCGAACGTGGGTAAACCGAAGAGCCCAGGGGCTGTGGCTGCAACTGGCGCATATTCAACATCGTCTCTTGTCAATGTAGCACCATCCTCCAGAATAGCGTAAATGAGCTCGAGAACTGGCTCGGGCATGGACGAAACGCTGTAAGTTTCTTTCAAAATAAGCTCTCGAGTTTCTTCTTGAGCCTGCGGAATCTTGCTTCTTGCTGCTGGGGCTTTCTCTGGTTCTTGGGCAGTGTCTTCATCACCCCAACCCCAAGCGGCAGCACTGTCGTCCTCATCGTCCTTCTCGGCTGTTTGCTTTGTGTCTTGAGCTTCAACAGTGGTGTCTTCCTCATCCCAACCCCACGCATCTGCGCCGTCGTCTTCATCGGCCTTGGTAGAACCCAGCCCCTTCGTCGAAGGTTTGCTCTCGTCCTTAGCCTGTTCGTTATCTTCCTCCCATGCATCGCCCCAGTCAGCACCCCAGTCAGCCGTTTCGGCAGTTGCGCCAGCCCCTCCTGGTGTCTTGGTAATCTTTTTACCTTCTGCGATTGATACCATCTGCTTCTCAACCTTTTCGACCTGTTTGGACTCGCCAATGCCGTCAAGTAACTTGGATCGAACAGAATCCAGAGTTGTCTCTCGGCATTTCCCTAGCCATATTGCCGGTGCATTATCAACCCAATTCTGTAGATCCGCAAAACCGGTATATCCATTATCAGTGAGGGATTGACAAAACGCCTGGGCCCTTTTGATCATGGCCTGGAAGTTGTCCATTTCCTTGAGCGATGAGGGCACAGCTGGAATCAACCATTCTCCAATGAGTTTGGGTATTACGTCGGCCATCATGAAGTTGCCAAGTGGTGGTAGAAGAGTAGAGGGCAGTTTTCGAGCGAGGAAAGCGAATGTTGTTTCCAAGTCAGCAAGAAGGGCATCGACTGATCTTGATGCTTCGCCAGATAGTTTGAGAACATCCCCGTCTGCCTGTATCGAAGGAAAAGTGTCGTTCCTGATATCCATGCGAGGAGATATGATAGCAGCATCTACATTTCGCCATAGCTGCTCCATACGCTCGTCGACCTCTTTGTAGGCCTGGAGACCAATTACAGCGTCAGTAAGATTCACTTGCTCGTCTAAGACTTATTAGTAGTAGTACTTTATAGTATATCGCTAGTATCATACCCTCAATAACGTCGTACACAGCAAATTGGCGAGTCTCGATATCGGCATGGATTAGTGTCTTCCAAATATGATCAAAAACCTCATGGATAGCAGATTTAAGCTCGAAACTCCGCAGATCCAACAGCTTCATTACTCGGCAAGACTTGCTGACACCTATTTGATCGATCGCTTCCCATGATTCTGTTTAATGGTCAATAACATATCGGGCTGAAAACTGTGGCGACATACTCTCGAGGAGTCGCAGCGAATCTATGATGCGATGTTCATTCTTAGCAACCTCGACCTCACTTAAGAGCTGATGAACGCTCTTAATACTTTGCAATACACCGTGAAGCTGCTGGCTATACTGAACTTCTCGGTTGAGAAACTCTGCCTTCTCTTCTGCATCTTGCACAGCTTCTCCAGATACATCGGGAGCCTCAGATTGGCGTTCAATCTCGTTGGCCATCGCTTTTGAGCGGAAAATATCTTCCTGTAAGGTCTTTGAATTCCGTACCCATGAATCGACATCTTGTTTTGTCTCTTGGTTGATGGTGTGTAGCTCGGCCTGTGGGCGTCGTGAGCATCATAGTTGATGGCTATTCGTTTGTAACGGAATCATATTACCTCCAGCCCTTGCTTGGCTTCTGCCAGAGCCTGGATCGCAGGTTGCAGGTCGGTTTCGGAAACAGGAGGAAGAACCGATATATCGTCGGGGAAGCGGCCTTCGAGTGAAAAGGCAACGAGAGCGTCGCTCAATTGGCGCGAGGCGTTTTCTGTTGTCGCGGCCATTGTTCGAGGTTGATCGGGATGTCTTTGGGAGAATGGGTTGAGTGGTGAAGCTATACGTGTATAGTATGCGTAGTGCGATAGCTTCTGAAATATCGGCGATACTGTCTTTGTTTTTTATTTGTTTGTCCGTCCCTTGTAGATGAACCAATCATTTGAACTAAATTTCAAGGTGGACCATCAATATTCGCATGGTTGGTTTGAGTGCGATCATGAGCTGTTGTTGGTGGTGTTTGTCGCAAGTTGCAGGAGCAGATCAGCCACATGGAAGCTGGCAAGTTTCCAGTGCCGTCATGACAGCACTACAGCATCCTTCCCTTTCCCAATGTGTGGTACGCACCTGCCACTTTCCTACAGCGTGGCTTGCGTATTGGTCCAAGCGCTTAGCGGCTGTATAGCCAATCAATAGCGAATGTAGTCCATCTTTGGTGAGTGCCTACCACATTGTTCTTGAAGCCCACCTTTGGTTGCATTGTTCTTATAAACATGAATGGGAAGGATGCATATTAAAGGATCGTGCCTGCCGGAATTGGGAATGCAAGATAGCCGTCTGGCCTGTGCTTGTGTTGCTTCCAAGAGGTCATACTTTCATGTGTAAGGAAGGCAGTGACCATCACATGTGGTATTATAGGCATGTTTGTTGTCACCATGTTTGTGTGCTTATTACTATACTTGCCTATATAATGTCCTCCCTCGTCACTCGGAATCTCGTCAATTCTTCTCCAGTTCTTCTCCCTATACACGTCGTCAAGCTGACCTTGTGGTTGTTGATTACACCGAGAGCAAGCGCTGTGCTGCCTTGATAGCGGGGTAATTTTTACGGAAGGTCCATTCTCAGCGGAATTGATTGGACCCCTCTTCGTGCAGCTCGTCGTTGGGCTTTCTCTTGCTCTCACTTGCAGCAACACTACTACATTCATTACCAACCGCAACAATTCTTCGAAGGTGAGTAAAAGTATCTTGTTGTATCTGGACGCTGACTGCATTCACATTGTGTCACGCACTCTGGTCAACTTCTGCCTTGTTTGCCTTGTTTCTTCATCCTGTTCCCTCTTTCTTCCTCAGTCACTTTTCCATGGCGGGGTCTTTCTCTCTTCGTTGGGTGTAACAACTCTATACGAGAAGAAGTATATCAAAGCAACTTTGCCCACTCCCCTTCAGGAAGTCTCTCGAAATCCTTGTCATTTCTATTCGTTTGGTGCAGCTCATGCCAAGCTTTCTATAGCTTCAGGCTGTCTTTGAATCCGACTTGGGAACAATCATTATAGTCAAAGTCCTTAGTCGTGATGTCACCCAAACCTTTCCCTTCACAATATGTCGTTGCCGTGATAGTTGCTCTGCTTAGTATTGCCGCTTATTTGCTCACATCGAGCTTTCCTCTTGCAGCCACAAGTGTTGAGTCAGTTGTGCTTTCCATTTTTGTTTTGTTTGTTATACCTTCCTTTTGCATGGGCTTTATATGTCTTGCCCCATCACCCTCAAAATTAATTTCTTCTCCATGCAAACAATTTCTCATCTACATTATTGCCTTCGGATACTGACTTAGAAAGTTCACTTTGGAGCCTTACAGGCCTTAAGTACTTCAAGATGTCGACACAATCACATTTCCGAAAGATTCAAAGCTTCAAGACGGATTATGCTCCCTGCATAATCACTCAATATGTATCAGAACGCAGTGGTATGCAAGTTGTTGTTGCCGATCGAAAGGGCCCCAAGCTCAACGGCTATTTCACCCTAGCCACTGAGATCTTTGATGATTCAGGTGCTCCCCATACCCTCGAGCATCTCGTCTTCATGGGTTCCAAGAGCTACCAGTACAAGGGCCTGCTCGACAAGCTGTCTTCTCGAGCCTACTCCCACACCAACGCTTGGACTGCCACAGATCACACAGCGTACACGCTCGAAACCGCCGGCTGGGATGGTTTCGCTCAAATCCTTCCCGTCTATCTCGAACATGTCATCTTGCCTACCATCACAGATGAGGGTATTGTGACCGAAGTCTGGCACATTGACGGCGAAGGCAACGATGCTGGAGTTGTCTATTCCGAGATGCAAGCTGTTCAATTTCGCAGTTCTGAAATCATGGACCTCAAGGCTCGTCGTCTTCTCTACCCCGAGAATGTTGGTTTCCGCTACGAGACCGGTGGAATGACCGATGCCCTCCGGGTTCTCACCCCTGAACGGATTCGACAATTCCACCGAGATATGTATCAGCCACGAAACCTGTGTCTGGTTCTTGTCGGAGAGGTCAACCAGGATGAACTTCTTCAGATTCTTGACAAGTTTGAAGAATCCATCAAGGATGATATTCCTTCTCTCGATACCCCATTTCAAAGGTAAGTCATTTGCAAATTGTGAAATATACCTTTACTAACCGTTTGTAGACCCTGGATTGACTCTGCTTCGCCTCCGAAGATTAATGAAACAAAGATCGTTACCGCCGAGTTTCCCGAGGAGGACGAGTCTGTTGGTGAGATTCTCGTTGGCTTCTTTGGTCCCGATTGTATCGACCTTATCAACTCTTCTGCCCTGAATGTTCTCCTCACATATCTATGTGGCTCTTCTGTCTCTATTCTAGAGAATGTCATGGTTGAGAAGGAGGAGCTTGCGAGTTCGGTATCTTACTGGACGGACCCTCGACCTAACTCGGTAATCTGGCTGCAGCCGACAGGTGTTGCTACTGAGAAGCTCGAGTTTGTCGAAAAGCGACTCATCGAGCTACTCAAGGAAGTTGCCTCCAAACCCATTGACATGGAATATATGAGGGAGTGCATCCGTCGTGAGAGGCGCCAGGTCAAGTACCATGCTGAGACATCCGAGTCTTTCTACGCAACAAACATCATCACTGACTACCTTTTCGGTAAGCGAGATGGATCTACGCTTGCGGATCTACAAAACCTGGAGGAGTATGATGTTTTGGAGAAGTGGTCAGACAAGCAATGGCGAGATTTCCTTAGCCAGTGGATGGCTGATGCCCCCCATATCTCTATTCTCGGCAAACCTTCCAACGAGCTCGCTACTAAGATGAAGAAGGACGAAGAAGCTCGCATTGCTAAGCGTAAGGAAGACCTGGGCCCTGATGGTCTCGAGAAACTTGCCAAGCGTCTTGAAGAGGCCAAGAAGAAGAATGACGAACCCATCCCTGCCCAAGTCGTGGATCGTTGGAGCGTTCCCGGTACCGACTCTATCCACTTCATCGAGTCGGATACTGCCCGCTCTGGACATGCCCGTTCAGTTGGCCTGGGCAGCGGATCTGCACAGAAGCGCATCGACGGTGCAATCCAAGGCAAGCTTCCACTTTTCATTCAATTTGAGGATGTTCCTACCAACTTTGTCCACATCTCTATTCACATTGGTACCTCTCAGGTGCCCAATGAGCTTAAGCCTTTGATGCCCATCTTTAGCGACAACTTCTTCAACACGCACATCATGCGTGATGGTAAGCAGGTTGGCTTCGAGCAGGTCGTTATGGAGCTTGAGAGAGACACTATTAGTTACGCCCTCAACTCCGCTCGATACCTCGGCGATCCTGACGGCATCATGATTCAATTCCAGGTCGAGCCTGAGAAATACGCTGCAGCAGTCGAATGGATCCGTACCATGATGTTCGACTCTATCTTCGACCCTCAGCGTCTCAAGGCTAGCGTCACTAAGGCTCTGGCTGATATTCCTGAGTCCAAACGTGATGGCAAGTCCATGGCCAGCGAGGTCAGCGCTGCCTTCCACATGGAGAAGTCATCGCTGGCTGTGGCTAAGCGTGTGCTTGTTCGTGCGGTGTACTTGAAGAGACTCAAGAAGCTTCTTGAGAAGGAGCCCGAAAAGGTTGTCGGCTGGTTCAACACGATCCGAGACTCACTCTTCACCTTCCAGAACCTCCGTTTCCTGGTCACGGCCAATCTTGCCACTCTCCCTGACCCCTTGACTACCTGGGATACACTTTCCAAGTCTCTGACCGTATCCGAGAACATGATCGATATTCCTAAGCCCGTGAGCCTTCTCAACGATGAAGGTCGTAACCCTGGTTCGGTCGGCGCAGTCATCGTCCCCATGACCACCCTTGAGAGTTCTTACTCTGTTTCAACAGCACAGGGCATGGCCTCATATACCGATCCCCGCCTTGCCTCCATTATGGTTGCTATTGGCTACCTAGAAGCTGCTGAAGGCCCTCTTTGGAACGCGGTTCGAGGTGCTGGTTACGCGTACGGCGTTTACTTCTCCAGGGATATCAACTCTGGTATCATCTCGTACAACGTGTACCGCTCACCCGACGCCTACAAGGCCATCAAAGCCTCCAAGGAGGCCATCAGCAAGATCGCTGACGGTTCCGTTGAGATTGATCATCACCTACTTGAAGGTACCATCAGCCAGATCGTTGTCATGTTTGCTGATGAGCAATCTACTATGCCTAGTGCTGCTCAGCAAAACTTCGTGCAAGGCGTGGTGCGTGGTCTGCCCAAGGATTGGGACAAGGAAGTACTACGACGTGTGCGAGATGTCACTGTTGATGAGATCAAGACTGCTCTGCGTGAGACTGTCCTGCCATGTTTCGAACCTGGCAAGAGCAACATCGTTGTCACTGCCGCCAAGATTATGCAAGAGGTTTGTTTTCTGCACATTTGGTTTTTGACTCGTACTAACTTACCGCAGGGCATGGAGGCATCGTTCAAGGAAATGGGCTACAAGGTCCAAACACATGAGCTCAGCTACTTCCATGATGACTATGGTCTGAAGCCTGAGGATGGTGAGGAAGAAGAATCGTCTGAGGAAGATGAGGAATTAGAAGGTTCAGAGGGGTCATACGATTCTGATGAATCCGATGATTAGATTACGAGTAAAATGAATCAAGGTAAATGGCGCTCAGGTAGACTTGAGTTCCTCAAGAACATATCGGTAGCAATGCCAGAATTAGAAGCGAAACGATGCGACAAAAAGCAACCAGTTCTTGTATTATACACTGAGTCTGGATCTATACTGTGTCTAAGGGTGGCCAATCCTTTCTAGATAACCAACTCCTCCCGGCCATTTTTCCAAACTAACGGTCTTTTGATTTAAAGCCATTATGAAATCCCTTCTAAATGTTGCGCTCCTTTTTTCTAGGTTTACAACTCGTCGCGCCCACTAGCCTTGACGACACCCTCCTTCTCGTTATCGAGAGACTTGTCAGTGACGCCCTCGGTAACACCCTCGGACCCCTTCCAGCCAAGGGCGTTGAGTCGCTCAGACAAGTGAGGGTGAGAGAAGTGGTAGCTGGCATACATCCAGTCGGCATCCATAGTGCTAAGGTTCTGGATCTGGAGCTTGAGGAGGGAGCGGGCAAGCTGCTCGGGGTAACCAAGCCCCTTGGCAAAAGCATCGGCCTGGAACTCGAACTTGCGACTGACAATGTGCATAAGCAGATTGATGACGAGATCCATGGGGGCAAGAGCATCGGAGAAGAGGATGAATCCGATAATAATGGGATGCTCTTTGAGGAAACCGAAAGATGAGTACAGAGAGTGGTTGTTGATGAAGACAGAGAAGAGAAGGAAGATGTAGAAAGAGTGAGCCTAAACTATTGTCAGTTTGTGTAATTGATCCATCGAAATTTCATATACTCACCTGAGAGATACCGAAGAGACTGGTAGTATGGCCAAGCTTCCAGTGACCCAACTCGTGCGCAAGAACGGCGACGACCTCATCGGGCTCGCTCTTCTCAATCAGAGTATCGTAGATCACAATGTGCTTCTTCCAGGGAAGACCAAAGAAATAGGCGTTTGAGTGGGCGCTTCGCTTGCTTCCATCGATGACGTAGAGCTCGTGCAGGGGGAACTTGAGGCTCGCGGCAAGAGATTCAACCTTGGTCTTGAGCTCACCGTCCTCGAGAGGAGATAACTTGTTGAACAGGGGCAGGATAGCAACAGGGTAGATGGTGATCATGAAGACCTGGAGAGCAATGACGAAGAGCCACAGGTAGTAGAAGAACTGGTTGCCCGTCTTCTGGATGATCTTGAGGAAACCGGCGAGGAAAGGAGGCGCGAGGACCAAGGTGAGAGCCTGGGTCTTGACCAAATCAGTGATAAAGAGCTTGGGCGTCTGCTTGTTGAAACCGAACTTCTCCTCAAGCACAAATGTCTGGTAGATCGAGGAGGGGAGACGAAGAAGCTGGCTAATGACGGTAAAGGTCAAGACGAAGACAATGGTGTGGCTGATCTCGCCGGTGAAGCGCGCAGGCGCCCATTTGAGAAGAAGATCACCAGTCCAGGACCAAAGCTTGGGGAGGACATCGAAGTGCATAAATGCGAGATTCTGAACCTGAGAGTAGAGACCATTGACGATTTCGAACTTTGCCTTGGCGCGGCCATAGGCCTGCGACTTGTCAAAGACTTCCTGGGAGACTTCCTTGGAGAGGACGGCGGGGGGACTAGTTTTCTGGAGGACGCGGTATTGACGGAGAGTGAGGAACGATTCGAAGAGATATTGGCCGACTGAGAAGCCCATGATGAGCTTCTTCCATGGGAAAAGCGGGCGATCGAGGAAGCGCGCGAGGCGCTGTGAGAAGTTAGCATCCACTGATTATTAAAAGCACAGCACATCATGTAGAGCGCTTTGTATAGTATCTGAAAATGCCAACATACCTGAAGGAAATCCATGGTTGCGGTGTTGTTGATGAACCGTATACCTTGGATTGTAGTTGTAAGATGGAAGCTATGCGACCCCCGTTGCGCGGCTTATCAAAGTGGGATGCGTAGATCTGGCCTAACGCACGTCGGGGGGGATATTCCCCGATATCCCGATTCCACTGTAGGTAGCAATTACAACGGATACAGCACAATTGATGCGTTTTGGTAGCACCGTATTCTAAAGAATGACGCTGATAACTACCATCATTTAATTGACCTAATTGTCGTGTCTCATGAGTTTATTATGGTACAATCGCTGGCTTCACACATGTCTCACTGTGCGCATGGCTTCAAGTAGAGCGAGGACGTCCAAGTTGAATAATGCCAAGCTACGTACGACAGTACTTCTTTTACATGCAATAGCAAAACGAAACAAAAGCATCTCTAGCAAGTAACCCAACCGAATAGTCAACTAGTCACCATTCGCTTGTCCCTCGAAATAGTCAACCATCGCTACGATAAGTTGATCGAGCTCCACACGTGACATGCCTCTGATGTACTCGTTCATAAAGGCTAGATCCTCAGCCATTGTGTCGGGGTCAATCACTGGCTGTCCGTCCCTAGTTCTTGCTGCAGCTTGGGTTTCTTCCTGAGTGGCATCCTAGTGCCCGTTTGTCGCGGCCGAGGTAACTGGCTGAGGAGGACGCTCAGGACCGTATGCTACTGGCGTCGCTTGATCGTTGCCTTGTGTTTCCTCCTCTGTATCGTCGTCGAACTCGCTAAGTTCTTCTTCTTCGCCCTCTTCATCAGAGTAGTCGCTTTCGTCGCCCTCGTTTCCTCCGTGACTATCCGAGTAACCGCTCTCGACAGTGTTGATCATGCCGGGTGGCACCTTACGACCCTGTTGCTGCATCTGCTGGATGATGCTCCTGAGCTTCTCGGTCTTCTTCTCGGCGGTTTCTGTCTTCTTCTTCCAGTCCTGCCGTTCTTCGGCCATACGGATGATGTTGGCAGCTGTCGCTTCTTTTTGGCGCTTCAAAGCCTCGTTCTCTTTCTCTAATCGCTTTCCTTTCTTGGACATGTCCTCCATCTCCTTGCGAAACGATAAAAATAAGTCATTGCTGTTGTTCAAGGTATCCTCTACCTGCTGTGCGCTTAGTCAACAGGCCGAACTATCCTGCTCGTGCCCACTCACCTGTTTGAACTTATCGACGTACACATTGAGTTGATTTCTAAGCTCAGTTTCGGTCTTGGTAAAAGCTTGGACTTGCCCTTGAAGGTGTCGAGCTTTGGTCGATTCTGCTTCGGCATTTTTCTTTTCTCTCTCATATCGCGCCATGTGGTACTGGACCTCGAGTTCTTTGGTGCGCATTAGCGAGTGGAAATGCAGCTCTCGGAGCTCATATTGCTCGATAAAGGATTTGAAGCGGACTCGGAAACTGCAGAACGAAGGTTAGTGGACAAGCTTCCGAACAGCACACAAAACCTTACAGTTCGTCGACTTCCATGTCTACAACTTGTTTCTTTGGCGTATCCTTTTCTTCTTGGTAGCCTTCCAGTTTCGATAATAGAGTGGCGTACTTCTCGTCCCAGTGTGTGTTGTTACGCTTCTGAGTTGTCTGAAGTTCTTTGTTCTCGTTCTGAAATCCATCAGGTTAGCCACTGTGCTTTGCGGAGCACCTACCAACAAACCTTCATCTTGTTGTTGTCACGCTGCAATTCCCTACAAAGCTTTTCCAACTTCTCCTTCAAACCCACAGTCTTACTAAGTTCCGTTCGGCTTGCATCTCTCTCCTTCTGTAGGTTGTCCCCACGTCGCTTGTTCTTCTGATTCTCACGCTCCAGTCGTCGCATATCGGCCAGGAGTTCGCTGGATCTCTTGGTAAGGTGATCGATCTTTTGCATGTTGTCCATCTTAGAAACCTGCTGAAGAAGATCTCGATTCGCCCTCTTTACTTCACGTTCTGTAGCGCCCACGTATCAGCATATGTGCGGTTCTTGTTCGCTGGCGTGCCACCGTTGTGGACAACGAGGTCAGACGCACCAATTTCTAACTCTTGGTCCTTCTCTCCCGCCGCATCCTGCTCCAACTGCGATATACGCGCATGGAGCAGGCGCGAAGCCTCGTCATTAGGCATATTTTTCTTTGCTTTGGTTTTCTTGATTGTTGCGGGTGGATGAGCGTGACCGTTGTGCCCGTTAGTTAAATGAGCATCCAACTGGCCCGTAGTCATCGCCGACCGAGCAAAGTTGGAGGCCAAGGTAACGGACGACAATCGTTCAGGCGGGGGTCACGAGGTGAGGAAGAGCCGGGGGCATCGAAGCGGGATGATTGTCGATGTTCGCAGGTGGAAGCACTTATCACCGTATCGGGGGTCGAAATGCTGATAATGGAAAAAGGATAAGGCAAAGCAATGTTTGGTATCGGCTGTGGTACGAACGGATGATGTTAGTTGGGCTCACGCAAGAATTGACCACCATGCAATACACTTGCAGCGCAGAGAGGCACGTTGAGTGGTTGGAGGAGGCAATATCTTCGTACCTCGATATTCTTTTTGTGGGATAATAGCAATATGTATCAATGCTGAGCAACAACGACGGTGCGACCTGTAGTAGATCTTTAAGGCGCACAGCGTAGAAGCCAGGACTTGTTGGTCATTGAAGATACTGGACAGTCGCTAGGATGTGACAGGATGGAGGGCTCATGGAGGCTTGGAGCATGGATAGGTTTTCCATGGACCATTGTGGTGCCTGCTAGAGACTGCTAAGTGACTAGTAGATATACGTACTGTTAGCCGCTGAATCTGCTAGTGTCCCAACTGGCAGTATCAAACCTTTGTCTTGCACTATCGCACAGTGGTCTTCCACTGACTGGTGCCACTGGAGCACCCACAATTACGGCATGGAGACTTGGCATCTGACGTGGGCTGGGCCGGGCCTTCCAGGTAGCGCTTGGTTACAAAGCAGACCCTTCCACTTTTTCGGATCATTACGTGCAGCAAAATCTCCGTTGCTTCTTTAACGACATTACTTATCTCGTTTGAAATAAGTTTTGGGTCCACACGATTTGTACAGTATTTATTCCGAGCTTATTGTATTATTATCATTTGTCTTGATTTCATTTTAGTTCTTTTACGCCATAATGCTTCGCAACGCCGCTGCTGGCGCTCGCAAGGCCGTGACGGAGCTGTCACAATTCCCAAAACCTGGCGAGAAGCTCCATGGTTTTACCCTTGTTCGATCAAAGCATGTCCCGGAGCTCGAATTGACGGCTCTACACCTTCAACACGACAAAACCGGCGCCGATTATCTCCATATCGCTCGCGACGACAGCAACAATGTCTTCTCAATCGGCTTTAAGACGAATCCTCCTGATGATACCGGTATTCCTCATATCCTCGAGCACACGACGCTGTGTGGTAGCGAAAAGTACGAGTCGCCTGTTCGCACAAGCATGTAAGGACCCAAGACTAATAGTCATAGATATCCTATTCGAGACCCCTTCTTCAAGATGCTCCCGCGAACGCTATCGAACTTCATGAATGCCTTTACAGCCTCGGACCACACCTTCTACCCCTTCGCAACAACCAACGCACAGGATTTCAAGAACCTCATGTCCGTGTATCTGGACTCAACGTTGCATCCGTTGCTCAAGAAGTCCGACTTTACGCAGGAGGGTTGGCGAATTGGCCCGGAGAACCCCCTAGCCGAGGATGAGGCGAGCAAGAAGCTGGTATTCAAGGGTGTTGTGTACAACGAGATGAAGGGCCAAATGTCGGATGCTGGCTATCTATACTATATTCGGTTCCACGACCACATCTTCCCTGATATCAACAACTCTGGTGGCGACCCCCAGAAGATCACCGACCTCACATACGAGCAGCTGCAAAAGTTCCACGCCGAACACTACCACCCCAGCAACGCCAAGGTCTTTACCTATGGTGACATGCCCCTGATCGATCACCTGAAACAAGTTGACGCGCAGCTCGAAGCCTTTGAGAAGATCCAAGGCGACAAGAAGATTCATGAGCCAGTCGCGCTCAACGGCCCTAAGGAAGTGACCCTCTACGGTCCCCTCGACCCTCTTGTTGATCAAGATCGTCAGTACAAGACGTCCGTCTCATGGATCATGGGCGACACTACCGATGTTCTCGAATCATTCTCTCTGGCTCTTCTCTCCACTCTTTTGATGGATGGTTACGGTTCCCCTCTATACCGTGGTCTTATTGAGGCTGGTATGGGAGCCGATTGGAGTCCCAACGCCGGTTATGACAGCTCTGCTAAGAAGGGAATCTTCTCCATTGGTTTGACTGGTGTCCAGGAGGGCGACGTGCCCAAGCTTAAGGAGAAGGTCCAGCAGATTCTGCGAGATGCGCGCAACAAGGGTTTCGACAAGACAAAAATTGACGGCTCACTGCACCAATTGGAGCTGTCACTCAAGCATAAGACTGCCAACTTTGGCTTCTCTATGCTGAACCGCCTTAAACCAAAGTGGTTCAACGGGGTTGATCCTTTCGACTCATTGGCATGGAATGATACCATCAATGGCTTCCAAGCCAAGATGGCCGAGGGCAACTACCTGGAGGGTCTTATTGATAAGTACCTTCTCAACGACAACACCCTGACTTTCACTATGGCCCCCTCAACAACATATGGCGAAGACCTAGTGAAGGAAGAGCAGGAGAGACTTTCAACCAGGATCCAGGCGGCGATCAAGGAGGCCGGAAGCGAGGAGAAGGCACGAAAGCACTTTGAGAAGCAAGAACAAGAATTGTTGGTCGAGCAGAACAAGACGAACACCGAAGATCTTGGCTGCTTGCCAACTGTCTATGTGAAGGATATTCCCCGAAGCAAAGAGGCCGTCGTTGTTCGAGACGAGAACGCCAGCGGAACCAAGATTCAATGGCACGAGGCACCCACTAACGGCTTGACATACTTCCGTGCCATCAACACGCTGGAGAACTTGCCAGATGAGCTTCGTGAGTTGGTTCCTCTGTTCACTGACAGCATCATGCGCCTCGGTACCAAGGACATGAACATGGAACAGCTTGAGGATTTGATCAAGCTCAAGACCGGTGGCGTTTCGGTTGGGTACCACTGCACACCATCTCCCACGGATTTCCATGCTGCTAGTGAGGGCATCATCTTCACTGGCATGGCACTGGACCATAACGTTCCTGTTATGTTTGACATTATCCAGAAACTTGTTTTGGGGACCAACTTTGACAGCCCTGAAGCTGCACTCAGGATTCGCCAGCTTCTTCAGGCTTCTGCGGACGGTGTTGTCAACGATATTGCATCAACTGGACACAGGTTTGCCATGGGAAGCGCAGAGTCTGGCCTTACCCGATCTGCGTGGTTGCGGCAGCAAGTGTCTGGTCTCTCACAAGTGCAGCTGGTGACATCTCTCGCTAGCCGCCCTGAGACAGACAAGCTTGAGGATGTCATCTCCAAGTTAAAGCAAATTCAGAACCTTGCACTTGCCGGTGGAAACCTCCGTACCGCAATCACTTGTGGCTCGGAGAGCGTTGCAGCAAACGGGGCTTCGCTACAGAACTTTATTGGTAACCTTTCTCACGACCCCTTGAACCTGAAGAATCCTTCACCGCGACAGCTTCCCAAGGACAGCAAGACCTTCTACCCTCTACCCTACCAAGTCTACTATGGTGGGTTGTCAGTACCGACCACTTCATACACATCAGCAGAGGGTGCGCCTCTTCAAATTCTGTCACAGCTTCTTACACACAAACACCTTCACCATGAGATCCGTGAGAAGGGTGGCGCATACGGTGGTGGTGCTTACTCTCGAGCCTTGGACGGTCTCTTTGGCTTCTACTCCTACCGGGATCCCAACCCCCAGAACACGCTCAGCATCATGCGAAATGCTGGCCAATGGGCTGTTGATAAGAAGTGGACGGATCGGGATTTGGAGGAGGCCAAGATTTCTGTGTTCCAAGGAGTCGATGCGCCCAAGTCTGTGAACCAGGAGGGCATGGGTCGTTTCCTCTCAGGCATCACCGAAGAAATGAAGCAGAAGAAGCGCGAGCAGCTTCTGGATGTTACCAAGGATCAGGTTCGCGAGGCCGCGCAGCATTACCTTGTCGACGGACTGGCCAAGGGCGAAGGCCGAGTGGCTTTCCTTGGCGAGAAGCAGTCATGGGTTGACGGCGAATGGCAGGTTCGCGAGATGGACATCAAGGGCGCCGAGTAAAGGATTTACGATTAAAGAGCTTATGACGGCACTAGAGATGGAAGCGGAAGCATGCCAAAACGATGGACGAAGCAGCTCCAGCTATATGACAACATGTACGACGAAGTGTAGACTACACAGATGAACAAAGCATAAATGACTCCCCTCACGTTGCTTTGCAGCGAAAACTTGTTTTGAATACGGGGCTCTCAACCTCTAGTTACGCGTTCAGATACGATACATCTTTTTGCCTATTCGATGGCTTGAAGATCACAGAGCAACGCAAGAACATACACAAACCTCTCCCCTTTCCTTTTTATTTATCTCGACTGTTGGAAGCTACTGTTTTGCACTGGCTACCTATGCTGTAAGAACCCTCGAGGCTGCGGAGCGAAAGCACCAAGCACGATGCGTTTTATGGTTGGCGTAGACTGGGCAGAGATGTGGACGAAGAGATTTGAGGTGATGGGATGGATAGAAGAGAAGGTAGCTCGTTCTATCAGAGCCGGAGTCCTTGAGCGATGGATTTACTGGACTAAAGAGCAGAGTACATGTATTAAACATTAACGTGAGTATAAACCTATGGTATTATTAGAATGCCAAGATCTAATAAGTATCCGTGTATAGGTATTGTAAAATAAACAAGCACATATCTTTGTTAAAGCATTTGTCTCCTGTGTTGGAATCTATTACGGATGTTGTCGTGTACCCAACAGTTGCCAGATATACGGATACTGTTTTTTGGTGTTCTTACGACGGGGTACAAGCCGATTCGTTGAGTAGTTTACGAAGAAGCAAGCCTATGGTATTCATAGAGAGGCATTAATATTAATGGGCCTTTTGATGGAGAAGATGACGATGTGAAAGTTAAGCTTTGACTGGGCCTGTCCATGGTTTTTGTTCAGGGGGTAGTCTGGGAGGTAGCTAATGGTGCCTGACCGCGTAAGGCTGGGGTTTGTTCCCGCCCAGGTTTCTTGGGTGAGTCGTGCGGTGACTGTTTTTGTTTCTGAGGGAATTATCGGGAACTCGGTTCTGCTAAGCTGTCTTGGAAGTTGGCATTTTGAAAAGTGACATGACGCCTCCATTGTATGCAATCGTCGGTGACTCTGTCGGTCAGCAACTTGTTGGTGGATATACTATAAATGTATGAAGATTCAGAAAGGAAACAGAGGCCTCGTGTATATGAATTGCATCGCATGTACTTTTATACATAATTCTACACCGTTTCCTTACCTTTCATATTCCTAAGATACTGGGAAAAAGTGTGAGAAAGTAGCGCCATAGAATGTCAAAAGACGGCCTACGGACATTGTCCCGTTTCCTCATGGGGTTTGAGTTGGGTTTAGCGCGGGGTTTTAGAGGACCTGGACCAGGGATAGCTTTTAAGAATCGAGATGGGATCATCACCGCCAATTTATCTGCAGAACTGGATTGGGTGGTGTTTACGAGGTCATGCCACATGTCAATTTGGACTCGTAAGTAAGAATCTTGAACATTGCTGCTGCCTGTAATTACCAGTGTTGACAAGTATCTATACTCTTACTAGACATGCTTCTGTTGATAGTCAGGCACGTCTATTACTCCGTCCCCTGTAAATATGTACTGCCCCTCTTAAACGTCACAGTGGAGGGTAAAAATTTCTCTCACCTCCAACGACATCCGACCGAACGACCTAGACTTCCTTGACTTGACTTGCATTGCCTCTTACTATAACCAGGGACCTCCACCTTTTCCCACCAACCACTGGAAATAGAATCAGCACAGACTTGCTTCCAAGTGCAAGGAAGCGAAGAAAAAAACAACCTCCATCTTTTCTGTGTTTGGACAAGACTAGATAAAAAGGGCTCCGTCTCCCCCCCATACTTTTTTTCCTTCTCCCCCCTTCCCCGAGTACCTACTCTGTGTCAACGACAAATCCTATACTTTCTACAACCGCTAAAACTGTACCAACCCGTTGGTATCAACAAAAGAACCGTCTTCGTTTGAGCAAGTCTCCCCAGCTGCTCAACACCTTTACCAAAACTCGACCCGCCTTTGGTCTTTAAAAGGCACCATCTTCACTACGGCTCCTCCGGCCGTGAGTTTCGTCAGTGACAAAGATTTCAGCCTCTGCAAGCCCTCACACATTATCAACGCGATCCCTCCTCCCGCTGCTATTGCTGCTCGACGATAAGCTTCTCGATCTCTCTGTCTTGTATCATCCAAGACCCGACTATCCTCCCCCGTCGTTCTTCGACACCCATCAGCTGCCGCATAGGAGGTACTTAGAGGTTCTTCCTCTCGCCGAGGAAGAGTCGAGGAGGCCTCGCCAAATCACCGAGGGATCAGTTCATTACCGTTCCCGACCACCTTAACATCATCCGAATCATCGGTTGATTCTTTTTCTATACTACCACACTCACAACAACTCAATCAGTCTCCGGACTCAATCCCTCGTCAAAAACTCCCAAAACAAACCCCGCAACTGTTTGGGATATGGTTATGGCAACGGCTGTCCTCGACACTTACAACCACAATGTTAATCACCCTCATATCGCATTAAAGAGACCCATTTTCCGGGAATCTATTGAGCAATATGACGTGATTACCCCAAAGCAACTCATCGGCCAGGCTCTCCACCAGCGCGTGGAGGCCATTGACCATGAGATGTGTGAGCCTGGCGACGAAGATACATTCTTCGTTGCCGACCTCGGCGAGGTCTACCGCCAGCATCTCCGCTGGAAGAAGAATCTCCCTCGAGTCCGGCCCTTCTATGGTAAGCATCTATCTTTCTTGTGCGACATGTCTTGTTCCACAGCCACTAACACATGCACCAGCTGTCAAGTGCAACCCCGATCCTCAGATCATCAAGCTTCTATCTGAGCTCGGCACCGGCTTCGATTGCGCCTCCAAGACCGAGATTGAGCAGGTTCTGGCTTCAGGCCTCAGCCCCGACCGCATCATCTACGCCCAACCCTGCAAGACTAACTCGTACGTCCGATACGTCAAGTCTGTGGGCGTCAAGCAGATGACTTTCGACAATGCCGACGAGCTCTACAAGATCGCCAAGCTCTACCCAGGAGCCGAGCTCTTCCTCCGCATCATGACCGACGACAGCGAGTCCCTGTGCCGCTTCAGCATGAAGTTTGGTGCTGCCATGGACACCACCGAGGGTCTCCTCGCCCTGGCCAAGGACCTTGGTCTCAACGTTGTTGGCGTCAGCTTCCACGTTGGCTCTGGTGCCTCCGACCCTCTCGCCTTCTACAAGGCCGTTCGCGACGCCCACGCCGTTTTCCAACAGGCACGCGACTTTGGGTTCGCCATGCACACCCTTGACGTTGGTGGTGGCTTCTGTGGCGAAACCTTTGAAGCCATGGCCAACGTCCTCCGTGGCGCTCTCGATGAATTCTTCCCGCCTCACAGCGGCGTCGAGATCATCGCCGAGCCTGGTCGCTACTATGTTGCTACGGCCTTCACCATCGCCTGCAACATCATCGCTCGCCGCACCGTTGAGGACCCTACTCTCGATGGAAAGGGTTACATGCTCTACGTCAACGACGGTGTCTATGGAAACTTCTCCAACATCATGTTTGACCACCAGCAGCCTACTGCCAAGATCCTCCGTGCTTCTGGCAAGACCCTCTTCGAGACTGCCGTCGCCGCACCCACTCCTGTGGGCGAGGGCTTCGAGTACTCCATCTGGGGTCCTACCTGCGACGGTATCGACCGCATCACTGATAGCACTCGTTTCGACCCCATTCTTGATGTTGGTGATTGGCTTTACTTTGAGGATATGGGCGCATACACCAAGTGCTCTGCCACTCAGTTCAACGGCTTCTCCAACGCTCACGATGTCATTTACGTCTGCAGCGAGCCCGGTGCCAAGGCCCTTCTCGGACTGTGATGTCCGCAGGGTCAGAAATATCGTTAGACCTTACTGTCTAGCCAAACACGTTTCTTTCGTTTTCTCTTTGGAGAATCTTTTTGTCCATATGGTTTGGGTTACATCATGCCTGTTCACGTGAGAGCACTTAGAAATAAGAAAAGAAAAGAACTAGATAGACTTTTTCGACAGATTTTCAATCCTAACATAATGTCCTTCTTGGAAATTGTCGTAATGCTAATTCGTTCTGACCTTCACGCGTGTATGCACTTGTGATCTGGATGTGCTTTGAACAAAATCACGAGAAGAATGCTTCTTGACTCAGATATTTATTTGTCCACTAACTAGCAGGTACACACATCGCTAAGAATACCAAAATGAACTAATGCCGTACTGTTACACAACCCATAGTGCTGGCGCCTGACTCCTTACTCCGTATCACATAGTGTAGATATATGCTTCTACCCATGGAATGTATGGGTAAACAGGGATTAGTCGTCGAGGGCAAAATAATACTTCGCATTTCGAATGCAACTTTCAAAATGATCCGGTTCGTTTAAGAACCACGGAAAAGGAACTGCATATCCGCTGGGGTAAGCGATTCCATAGCCTTGTCGTCGGCGTTGACAGTAGAATGGATCATGTTTGTCTTCTTCTCTTGGATCAGCACCATTCGACTCTCAACCGAATCTTCAATGCAAAGACGGGTAATCGTGCAGGGTCGAGTCTGACCGATACGATGACACCTATCGGCAGACTGCCATTCTGCAGCAGGGTTCCACCACCTATATATTGGTTAGTCAAGATCACGGGAGAGAAATCGAAGAACTCACGGATCAACAATGAAGACTCGAGAGGCTTCGGTTAGGTTCAGCGCCACACCGCCGGCCTTGAGTGAGACGAGGAAGCACTCAACGTCCACATTGTTCATGAAATGTTCAATGGAAGCCTGTCGCTGAGCAGGAGTCATGCTACCGTCGAGCATCACTGTAGTGATACCAGCTCGACGCAGACGCCATTCAATGAGCTGCAACATAGTGGTAAACTGAGAGAAGATGATTGATTTGTGCGAGGCATTGTCAGAACGAAGCTTGTGTAGCTCGTGAACAAGAAGTTCGATCTTGGATGAAGAAGTCCAATTCTCCATCTTGATTCGGTTGATGATCGAGTTCTTCTTGACAAGATTCTCATCCTGTTCAATTTCCGGCTGTTCCAGATCAATCGACAGGGGAATATGGCATCGAGGGCAGTCAGGTTCATCGGTCGAGCGGACGTAGCTACCGACACAGGCCCGGCAAAAGTCGTGTTTGCACCTACTGCGCACCGTGTCTTCGGCCGGCTCGTCGCAAATGCAGCAGACGAGGATGTTCTGTCCTCCTTCGGCATTCTTCTTTAAGAGCAAGTCGGGATGATCGGCAACTTGTCGCATCTGCATGATGAGACCAAAGATGTTGGCATAGTTGTTGAGCAGAACACCCTGTGCAACATAGGTATCGAACTTGCGCTGACCATTAGTCATGATGCTGTTGGCAAAATCATTTTCAACTTCGCCGAAAAACTGACGATCGACATAAATTTCCTTGACAGGCAGCTCCATAGAATTGGTATGGTCTTTCTTCAGTCGACGCAGCATGATGCGATCCGTCATCAGCCGTAAACGTCCGAAAGCCGTTTTGCCAGGTCCACGGTTGCCGTACTTCTGAATGGGGTTCAAAAGCTCTTGGTTGAAAACCGAAACATGCTGCATGCCTGCATGCTTACAGCCAGAGCAGCGGCTATGTTCGTCCATAGACCATTCAAGCGTCGAGCAAGGACACTGCTTGCACAGATAAGACGCAAAGGGGGCGATGTTCAGGAAGCGAATCAGAGAGAAGAACTCGCCAATTCGGTTCTGAAGAGGCGTGCCAGTCAAGCACCATCGGAAGCTGGTCTTGAGAGCAAAACATGCTTTGGCAGTCATGGTGGTTCGCGTTTTGATGCAGTGTGCCTCATCCAAAATGATTCGGTGAAAGTTGAGGGCATGGATGACACTCTTCTCCTTGTAGATCCCATCCTTGCGCTTGAAGCCCTTCTCTTGCTTGCGGTAGATCGACTCGAGACTGTTGTACGACATCATGATCACGTCGAATTTTTTGAGTTGACTGACCGTTATTCCTTTGGTCTTTTGGTTCGTACCATGGTACACAAAAGTCTTCAAGGTACCGTCCGTGTATGACTTGATCTCCGATTGCCATTGCATCAAAGCAACGGGGGGCACAAGCACCAGCGAAGGGCGCTTTGCAGGGTAATCCGACATTATCAGAGATACAGCCTGAATAGTCTTGCCCAAACCCATTTCGTCACCGAGCAATCCACCTTTCCACTCTCCCTTTTCCATCTCCATCATCCAAGCTAAACCTTCAAGTTGAAACGGCTTGAGTTGGCGTGAGATGGTTTGAGGCTGGGCTGCTTTTCCGGCCTTGAGGACAGGCGTGTTCTCCAAGTCTTGCCACATTGTTTTGATCTCAGGATGATTCTTTTCTAAACGTTCTCGTTCCTTGACAAGGCGCCCCCTTCGACCCGGGATGGAGCTGAAACCTCGTCGACTCCGAGAGATAGCAGCAACATTGGCTCTGGTACCATCTCCATCAGTATCACTAGTACCGGTGTCAATGGCAGATGTGATGTTATCAGAGTCAGAATCTTCGACCCCCTCATACAATTCCACAGCACCGGGTTCGTCACCTGGGGGACTTTGATCCAGCGCAGTTGTCATATGAGAGGGCGGTACTGTAGTGGCAATACCACTTCCGCGAGATTCTGGGCTCGCACGGGTGCGTGCAGGGAGTTTTCCCTTTGACTTTCGAGATCTGAGCGGCTCGTCGTCACTAGAGGCATACTCATCTCCGTCCTCATCACTTCCATCGTTCTCGGAAAATTCCTCGTCCCCAAATGAGCTCAGTGACGAGAGGTCGTCTGAGTCTAGCACTGCTGCGGCAGCGATTTCAGCATCAATGTCGATGTCTTGATCGTCGGAGTCGGGGACAACTCTCTGCTTCTTTGGTGGGCGGCCTCTTTTGGCGGTCGTGTCAGTCAACGCCCGTTCTCGCTTCCCTGAAGTTTGGGCAGGAATAGTAGCAGACAAAGATGGCCCGCCAGTGCGGCGGAAGGGAAGAGTTGGCGAAGGAATAGTTGGTAGCTCATTGTACTCTTCTTTCTGGAGTCGACGGGCCACCTGTGCGTCCCGGGAATCGTCAAGATCGACGTCGTCTTCATCGGAATCTGCGATCATTCTTGATTTGCCCTTACCCCTTGCCTTCATCGAATAGGCACTGTTGCGCAGCTCCCTTTCACGATCGGCAGCAAGTGAAGTAGCAGGACCAGGAATCACAACCTCAATTTTGACGTTGCCTCCTGCCGCTGGGGTGGGCACTTTGCTCGAAGCTGGAGTTGAATAATCGCTCTCTGAGTTGCCATCCTTGGGGGTGGGCACTGAAGATACAGACTCGCTTTCAGCTACAGGAATCTTACTTGGACGTCCGCGTCGTCTAGCAGGGACAACATCAGGAGTGGGTGACTGTATAGCAGGGGATGCATCAACAGCAGCGACACTCTTTCTGGGACGACCTCTTGGTCGTGACCCTGAAGCCGCCTGGACTTCTGGGGCAGGAGTTGATGCAGATGAGGCAGTTTGACTTCTTGTTGTAGCTGAACGGGTCATTCGGCCAGAAGCGATAGATGGCTCTCGAGAGGCTACTTCTTATTAGTGGTGTTAAATTATTCGATCAACGAGACGCTCACCATCTGTCGTCGAAGAGGTTTTGGGAGTACCCTGAGTCGAAGGGCGACCGCGAGCCATGATGTCAGCCCGTGCAAGGGTTCAAAAGAGATAGCTCCACGATGATGAAGACGTAACAAAGAAATGTTTTTAGATTTAATTCTTTCGGTCGAGTAAGTGAAATCCCAAGCTAGAAGCCTTGCGATGATGGAAGGCGAAGGGCGGCAGTTGCGGGAACCTTTGCCTGTTGGAAGGCAGGTAGTCTGCAAATGCACAGGTGTAAATGCAGTGATGGCAAGTGACGGTTAATGGGTGGGTAGGCAGTTACAAACGGAAGTCACTGCGGGCAACGGCAAACAAACAGTGAAGCACAAACAATTGCAATTGACAGAAATGTGTCAATAAAAAAGTCTTTAAAGACCAGATGAACGAAACTAAAATAAAGACGAAAGGGAAGAAAAGTAAGATGGAAGTTTAAGGCAAGTGTCGCCACCTGCTCCTTTTTCGGGGGCGTACCTAGCCGTTCAAAGAAACCAACAAACGCCAGTTCACTAAAATCAATTCACGATTCACGGTTCACAGTGTCGGGAAGGAACACCCCGCTACGCGAAGGCACGTGTCAGGGGGAAGAGGGCCTAAATTGTCGATCTGATTGGGGTGCATCGTACCTGATCCTCGATTTGCCACCAAAAAAGTCCATCGGGAAGGCGAACTCTTCACGTGACACGGTGTCAATCTCGTGCGAGGGGACCAACAGCGGGAACGCCACTGTACCTGCTCGAGTCGCATGAATACACTTTTTGCGCCAACTCCTTTTCAAGCTGAGCCTTTCGTTGTCGTTGTCGCAAATGCTCAAGGAACATTTCCCCAAGCAAATCTTTTAATTTACAAGGCATATCACTCTATTCGTCAACCATGTATGTTTCCCTCGTCAACGTCATTACTCTAGGTGGCGATAAGCTTATCATATCTGCAGGGCGCGATTAAGGAGCAACAACCAGAACGCTCAAAATCAGGATGGACAGAATGGGAATGGTCGACCTGCTCGAGCTGTCTATGGGCCGTAAGACTGATCATGGCCAACTAAACCGTATACACTAACTTGGTATTAGTCAATCAGCACTGACGGATTTCCTGGCTGTGAGTTTACTGTCATGATACAATCAAGACTATACTAATCATATCTCAGTCGCATAACATTTCTGCCGCACAAATTCGATCCACTGCTGATGCTCGCCGGCGACAAGCTGCAGCTGAGGAGTCAGTAGAAGAAGAAGTGAATGACAATGGTGAATCTTCTGCCACTGGCGCTAGATCTGGACGTCGTGCAGGTCGGAGCGACGAAAACGAAGCCTCTTCAAAGCGGAAGCTAGAGGAACAGAAGAAGCTCGCCAAGATCAAGGAGAGCAAGGCGTTCAGGAAGCGTAAGAAGAACACCGATGAATCGGACGACGAGATTGCACGTGCCATTATGGAAGAGGGCAGTGGTCCTCTGCCCGGACAGATGGAAAACTGCGAAATTTGCGACAAACGATTCACTGTCACCCCCTACTCGGTCGCAGGACCTAATGGTGGACTGCTGTGTTCCCCTTGTGGGAGGGAGATAGCCAAGGAACGACAAGGTGCTCCGAAGAAGAAGGCCAAGAAGCAGGCTGCCGTTGGTGGTGTTGGCAGACGTCGTGCGATTCAGAGTCGAATCCTAGATGGCCAGGTTGGCACCAAGAGCTTGGCTACTCTTTGTGTTCAGACCCTGGCCAAGAATGTTGATCTGGCTGACAGTCTCGGAGATTTGCCAGATCATCTTGTTGACAAAGTTGCACGAATGTTTTCCAAGCGCCGACTGCTGAAATCCGAGACTCTACCCCTTTTCGTGCAACCAAATACCGAAGCTGTTCACATTTACGACGGTTCAAAACTTACCGAGTCTGACTACATGTCGATCTTTCAGGTCGCTCCACAACTTCGACACCTTAAGATTCGATGCGGCATTCAATTCAAGGACGAGGTCATGGACTATTTATTGACTCGTGACACTGCGCTGGAGACCTTTTATCTTCACGGGGCGAACCTTTTGAGTGAGGAGAAGTGGCATGAGTTCATGCAAGCCAAGGGCCAATCGTTGAAGGGGGTTCAAGTATACTATACCGATAACCATTTTGGTGATGACAGTATAGCCATGCTGAGAGATCACTGCCCCAACTTGAAACGACTCAAGGTTGAGAGCAACCAGAAGCTAACCAACGATGGTGTGAAGACGATTGCGGACTTGGCATCCTTGGAACATCTCGGACTTCAGCTGCTGCACAAGACACGGTCTGATGCTTACGTCAAAATCATCCGAAGCATCGGCGCCAACCTTCAGACTCTGTCCCTCAAGATTGTCCCCAGTATCGACGATGCTGTGTTGCGAGCCATTCATGACAACTGTCGGTCGCTTGTCAAGTTTCGTATCACTGATTGTGAGACCATGACTGACTTTGGATTTGTTGAATTGTTCACCAACTGGGATAATCCTCCACTGCGCTTTGTGGACCTCCAAAAGTGTCGGCAGGTGGACGCGAGTAGGCCTCGAGAGAACCCTGACAACATTGGTCTTTGCAGCGACGGCTTCAAAGCATTGATGGCTCATTCTGGCCGTCAACTTCGGTATCTCAACATCCATGCGTGTCGGCATATTTCCCGAGAGGCTTTCGAAGAGGTCTTCAACGAAAATGCCCAATACCCCGAGCTGAAAGAATTGGAGATCAGTTTCTGTGAGGCAGTGACGGATTTTGTTCTGGGTTCCATTTTCCGAGCATGCCCTAATATCCGGGAAGTCAATGTCTTTGGGTGCATGAAGGTGAAGAGTGTCCGCGTGCCTCGTGGTGTCATTCTCGTGGGTGTTCCCAATGCGCAGGGCATGGTCGTGGAGGGGTTTGAATGATTGGTTTCGTGCTTTGCCAAAAAGCCAGAAGTCATTCGGTGCTTTGGAGTTTGTTGTACATGACTGAGTATTTTGTCTCAGTAGTAAGATCAACGGCATGGCGTAAGGATGGTTATGATACATTCACATAGATAATGATGTTTTCTTCGCCATGCTTGCACCAGAATGGTATCCAGAGTTTTTGTTATGGTAATTATATCGTTACTGCGTAAATGTCATACTACGATGAGCGGTTGGCGTGAGTCTTGACATACTCCTTATCCATCGCAACATAGTTGTTAAGCTTCTTCTCCAGCTCGGCATCTGTCATAGTGGCCCTCTCCGAGATGCTCTCACGCTTAGCACTCCTGTATCTTCTCCACGCGATACCGGAACCAGAGCAAGCATCGGTCTCCTGGAAGTAGTGGAGATGGGCGTCGATATCCAATCCGAGTGTTCCACCGTTGCACTGAAGGTTGGCAGCACCCTCACACACCTTGACATCATTGATGGTGTAGTCAACCTTGTTACCTCCGCTACCAGACAACCAGTACTCGGGGGATGTGTGCCGGTATCCAAAGACCAGAGGGGGGAGACGAGGCACGGGGTCCTTGGCGTTCGTAACGCGGAACTCTCCACCAGCCTGGTTAGAGATGAAGGCAGCGAGTTGCGTGTTTCCAACTCGGGGTGAGCCGTAGGTGTAGATGTCAACTGGCGTACCACCAACTCGCAGGTTCGCACCTGCTAGTGTAGCTACAGCACCACCCAACGAGTGACCTGTGGCAACGACCTTGAACGAAGGGTTCGCCTTGCGGGCCTTTGCGACAGCGGCGGTTGCTGCGGCCGAGATCTCATTCCAGGCTCTCTGGAAGCCTCCGTGCACTCCACAGCCGGAGGTCAAGCTGCAGTCATCCTGGTCGAAGTCGAGGTTGGTAAGCCAGTTGCGAATGTTGGTGCTACCGCGAACCGAGAGGACGATTTCCTTGCGTGCAGAGTCGGTCGCGACGTAGCCACCGATGCCAGTCTTTGAGCCACTATAAAGAGATTTGTAAGTTTGGAGTTGATGATGTGTTTGTGATATGTTAGACTTACAGGAAAGATGCCACGATGGTGGCACCATTGGACTGGACCGTTGGGCAACCGTTTCCTCCGCAGGTGACCTTTGCACCGGCTGCGGCTTCAGAGTTACAGTATGCTGCGGCACCGTGCTGGATGTAGAACTTGAAGTTGCCAAAGTCGTTGGTAGAGACAGAAACAGCTAGGTCTGTGAGTATTGGAATTGTTATGGGAACAGAGAATCGTTTTACCTCTTTCATCGAGAGCCTTGGCGTAATCTTCAACGCTCAGAGGGCTGGCTACCGCAAGGGTGGCAATTGAGAGGAGTGATAGGAGATGCATCTTGACAGACAAAGAACGTGGTCCAAGGGTAAGTATAAGTGATAGACAGACAAGCTGTGACAAGGTGCAACTCCCTCAGAAAGGATACTGAATACTGAAGCTGGCCCTGATATCCCGACTTACAAGAACAGCATGTTCATGAGGGATGTGACAGCTTATATATCTTTTTTCTTTGCTTCTAACTAGTCTCTCGCTTTCTCTCATCACAATACCCGCCCAGCCTAACCACTGTCTCTCATGCCATCCATCTTGGCAAACTCAGTCGGTCAAGTAGACGCCAGGACCCAAAAACGAAATGATGGGCTCCGGTAGTACAGTCAGTGCCCATGATGGTGGGTGCTGGATTGAGGGCCTGTCACCCCGCATTATCGACTACACATCCCAGTAACGAATGACCGACTGCTTGAAGAGGTCTCAAAGTTATTTTTCCTTGGTCCAATCTCTCGTTGGGCCCGGAGTGAGCTTCCAATACGGGTAACGACGATCTCGGACCACGTGAGGGTTGTGATGGGATGCACCGATACAGATGGAAAAGATGGTGGGTAAAGGTGGGCTACAGGGGTACCCTTTCAGCTTCTGTTACATCCTGGGAGGAGAAGAGCAAGGGCTGTCAAAATGTTGGGAAGGGGACTCTCTCTCTCGAGTTGAGTTGGGGTTCGTATTGTATGATCCTAGGGGTATAGAAGAAAAGAAAAAATATTCGAGTCTGGTGATCAAGTCAATTTAGACGTGAAGGAGGAAAGTGGTTGGTCCATAGTCTGAGACTGGCACTTTGGCGTGACTGTGATGAAAAGACCAATTATAGTACATGCTATAGAGTTGAGACCAAACGATTTGCCGCCCATGCCATATTGACAGTTTCGACCAACCATCTTTCATAAAGCGACTCGTAACTAGTTATCACTTGCATTCTTTTCACCACGATCGGCAAATAAATGACCCAATAGGTATGCTTCAGCCTGACCTGACCTGACCGCCAAGTATGCATCAATGTGCGGGTAATTGTCAATTAATTATCGCAACGGCTGCATCGTGAGCCGTCAGTCCTAAAAAGCCAGGGGGTGTCAGCATTTATTGCAGAAAGACAAGGGACTTTTTGTTAGGCTGCGGTTGGTTTGTGAGAAAACCTGTTTTGGACGGGGTAGTCGACTCAATTGGGACTGTATATAACTCGATGCGATATGAAATCTGGAGTAAAGACAAGTGCCGATATCTGGGGAATGAGAATACCGAGTTGATGAAAAGAATACCTAACCCATCAATTAACTACCAACATATCTACATCTCGCTTGAACCGGGCCGTTACGTCGCAACGATTCAACGTTGATGGGTAATGCAATACAACATACTGTTACATAGTAGATTCACATGAATTATTTTTATCTTTATTCTTTCTTCTGCAAAAGTAATGCTAGCTTCAGCTGATTGACATTTGATTTCCTTGACACCTACCCCTTTCATCAGTCTGCACACCATCTCATTGCCCTCTTGATGCAAGGCGGGCCGATGTACATTGTCATCATCTTTACTCTACAAGGGATTGAATCCGACACAGAGATAATGGCTGTGTATGAGCTACACCGTTGACCAGGCTCTTGGCGTCTAAACTATTTGTTTAATGTCAAGTGAAAACATGATTATAAGTCCTTGAATACTAACTAATTAAATGCGCTCCAATCGTACAAACATTTCAATCTTATCCGATTCATCCGCCTTGTCACTACGTTAGTTATAGTTACTCCTGCTTACAGCCTACGTAGCACTTTGTACCTGATGATCGACAACCCCAAGACCTGCAGGTGGTCACACTAGAAAAAACAAACCGAGGAACACAGAACACCCAAATACACATTTCTCGTCCTGACTAGAAGCCTGTGATTGTCACCGTTTTCGATGCGGGGTTGGACGTTATTTTCCCCGCGTCGTGATGGTGTTGACTAGTTCCGGTGAGCCAGACCCAAACCAGTGCTGCATTCATCTATCGGAACTAGACATAGTTACAGTACATATGTCTCTTTCTCGTTTGAGAATACCTCCGGAGTCAGGTGCATCGAGTTTAACAGCTTAGCGCTTTTCCAAGCTTCGATCTTACTCAACCTCCTTCCAAACTCGACGTCGACCCCAGATTGCCGGCTTCAATGACGTTCATGTGCAGTCTGGAACTGGCTGTTCGTAATTGTTTTTGCATGATGTACCCCTGTTTAAGCTTCAGCTTTCGATATCTGAGTTCGGCATCACGCCGAGAAGCCATTCATAGTGCAAGATCTTTTGTTCTTGGTAGTCTTTGTACAGATTTCGTATCACACGAGGGTGGCTGAGAGACATCTGAATCCCCCAGAACCGCCGCCCTCTACCCCCTTTCCCGTATAGTACATATGCCGGTGTGGCTTCATTGACGTGTCATCCAACCTCCTAAATGTCTCAGCAGGCATGCATGGCCTACTGGGCAATGTTCCTTCGGCCCTTGATCTTCCTCCTGAGGAGAATCCTCCTGCCTGTCTTGCTTCGCTTACGGACGAGGAAGCCATGTCTGCGCTTCTGCACGAGTCTGGTGTGTCCGTTCATGGTGTTTCGAGGTCCGCAGCGGATTTGCATGTCGCCCATCGCGGGGTGTGCTGTGATGGCGCTTGAGGGCACGATATCGGCTGAAGCAGCTGTCGAAGGAGTGAAGCTTGATGGCAGAGCGGTTCTTCGGATTGCGCCGTTCATGGGAGTCAGGGAAGGTCGGAGAGGGACGAGGGTCGTGAATGTCCTGATGAGGTCAGCGATAGTTTTTGATAGAGATATGTCGAGGGCCGTACCTGGGCGATTGAGCCAGAGACTTGGTCAAGACCGGGCGCGCGAGACGCATGATTGATGTGAACATTGTATTCATTGTGTTCGTCAGCACGCAGCACTTGATAGACTGCTGCTGCTGATGGAATGTATACAACGGGCCAAAGAGTTGGTGATGTTGAATGTCGAAATTTTGAGCTAACCTCAGAATCGACGCCGCTATTCAGAGTGGGGCAGCTTACCCTGTACTGTAATCGGTATTCCAGTAACATATCGATGAGAGACAGTTAGCCAATCCTCATGGTCAATTAATTTATTCGTTATTCACTATAAATCAGTTAATGCTTCTACTTACACCAAGTCATTATTGAAAAGGTTGGATGAGGTACTTCTGTAGGCCTTGCCGTCATCACCATTAATCAAGCGTTTCTATCTTCACAAACTAGCAAAGATATACTTGATCTTTCATTTCAAAATGAACCTTTTTCTGCAATGCTGTCATAATTCAAAATATTCTTCTATCTCGATATAACCGCTGCTCTTCCAACTAAACTTATCCAAATCTATTCTACAGTATCAATCTCTCTCCAAGCCGGCCGTTTGTCGTGTTGCCCTATCGACGATAGCCAGAGCACCACGCAACTTCTCGATATCATGGTCAAGCTCCTTTCGTCTCCGAGCGGTATTCTCATTCTCTCCACCAACAATTTTCATCTCTTCCTCGGATAGGCCAAGGATACGGTTGGTACTAAGTCCCCAAACTGGACCATCTTCAGCAGTCACAAATGACTGAATGACATGCATGTTGACATTGCGAATAAAAGCGTCCAGAGAAATCTTGTCAAGTTAGTAAGTATTCAAACATTCAGAAGGGATAAGTCTCATACCTTGTAGTACACCTTCAGGACGTCGTGGACATCCACGACCATGTTCTTCTGCAGACTGGGATGAATCGAGTTAAAGCAAAGAGAAAGATTGCTGTCCGGTCCAGTGTAAGAGCTGCTGAATGCCTCAAAGAATCTGAACCTTCTCCAATTCAGTATCTCATCTCCAAATCGAGACCCAGTTGATTGTAGTCGTGTACACTTCGTCTCCATCTCGCATTGAGACTTGCAGCGATCGTACGCCTGAGCCTCGGATTGATTAAAGGTCGATTCCAACAGAGCCCTAAGTTCCCTTGACATAATTCCTGTATCTCCCTCGAGTGGGCATACATCATCAAGTATAGAACTTGTGCAGCTACTGACTGTTGAAGCGACCCGCTGAAGGTGATGCTCTGCGATGGCTGTCCACTTCTTCACTTGCTCTTGATACATGTCCGGATATATGTCTGGGTTGATCACGCCATCAAGCTGAGACACCTGATACATCGAGAATTTTTCGTCGATGGTCCTCATGAGATCGTCCGTATCTCGAACCTCTGATAGACCAGGGAACGCTTTTTTCACAGAGGCATTCTTCCCTGTCTTGGGAGTTTTGCGAGTATGCGGGGGGAGAACTCGACCTTCAGCACTGGCCTCTGCCTGGAGTGCCATACGTTCCTCAATCAAGGACAGAGGATCAACATCAACATCTTCAAAGTGCCAAGTACCACCGTAGGTCCGCATAAATTTATCAAACTCTGCGTTCAGACGGCTGACCTCCCTGCAAATCTCCATACTGGGGTGAAGAAAGCCAGGACGATCGAGGGCTATCTGTGCCTTCTCCTCGTACTTCCGAACAGTCCCAACAACGTACTGTTGTCTTGCGGCATGGCTAAGACGAGGTTCTCCGAGCATTGCTTTTTCTTGCAGCCTCTCCTCAAGGTTGTGCTGGATTGTGCCGCGAAGCGTTGGGAAGCACTCTCGAATCTTTGAACTCAAAAGAGTTCCTAGATACGACTTGGCCGCAGACGACCCTAGACGTCTTTGAGAAACAGAGTTCCAGGGGCTTTTACTGAATAGCTTCTTTTCTGCGGCGCCGAGGTCGAAAGAATCCGGGTCCTTGTCTGCTCGGTTCCGGACGAGGAACCAGCCGTCACGAAGACTTCCTAGACTATGGGTAGAGTTACCGGTTGCAATCGATACGATCTTGTCTCATGTTAGCAAGGTGAGCGGGGTTGCGAATTGCTAAGACTAACTCTCTTTGCTGCTTCAGGTTCACGCTGTACCATGTCACACTTGGTGAAGACGCCAACAAACCGGTTCTGTTTGATAGGCTTCTTGGCCAATCTCAAAATCTCCTGTCGATCAAAGTCTGTAGGGGCGTCGACAACGCAGCTTTACAAGGTCAGCATCAATGTACTAAAACCAGACCACGGTTTAACTCACATAACTATGTTGTCTTCGCTGTCCATGTATTCTTTGACCATATTCTCAACCTTGGCTTGATCCGTCTCGTTAACGGTGGAAGCGTTTTGAAATGTGCCGGGAAGGTCGAGAATACTAAAGTAGGAACGCTGCGGACCAGAAAGTTCGACCTTGAGAACCTCTGCTACAAAGTTCTTTCTGTCGTCTCCCAAACCCGTTCGGAGACCCATGAATTCGGAGGAAATCTACCAGTATTAGTCTCAAATACAAGTGGGATTGACCAGAAAGAGCTTTACCTCTTCGATGACCTTGGCGAATCTCTCTTTCGTGAGGATCTTACCACTGCACTCATAATTCCTGATGTTATCAGATGCAGGGTCCAAGCCAGGAACATCGACTTCAGCAGGATCAATAGTGATGCGGAAAGAATCATCACTATCTGGTTCAGTACGTCGGGAGACGATGCGAGTAGGGAAACGAGTGCAGCATCCGCTATCAACGGGAAATGGAATGCCAGTCAAACTTTGCAGTAGAGACGACTTGCCAGAAGACTGGCCGCCAACAATGATGAGCTATTGTCTGTTAGAAAAAGGCACATCTTGGTACTTGTCATTGTGCATACCTGAGGAATACTCAATTCTCCAGCTCCAAAGGACTGGAGCGCATCGATGGCATCGAACAATATGCGGTTATGCTGACTATCAAATGGGTCTTCTGGCATAATGGTTCCAGACTCATCACGAGACGAAGAACTCTTGGAAATATCCGGTTCAGCAGTGGTGCTCGGGGAAAGTGGACCGTTTATTGTTACAGCAGCATCTTCAAACACGTCCCCGACTCCTGAATCGGTAGAGGACTGTGCTCGTATCTGTCTGGAACTCTCTTTGCCAGGGACAAGTCCATCACTAGACTTAAAAGGGCTTCGAGGGGTAGTATGAGGATATGTTGTAGGAGAATCAATTGGGCCAGCCATGATGTATCTTAGATATAGGAAGCTTTATGAGAGAGATTTGATTGTGAAACAAAAGGAAATGAGGGTATCTGGGTAATAACTGAGAATAGAGAATGGTTTGATCCCTCAGTATGGGTTTGATACCAAGCCATCTTATAGTTTACAAGAGTCACTACTTTGATATCACATCTTGGCAGCAAACCCGAGGAATCTCCAATAAGACAAAAAAAAACAAAAAAAAACAAGATATGCAGGTCTGCAATGCCATCACACCATCTTTCCATGCATCTAGCCGCCAGTCACTATTCAAATCCACATGAAGTCAAGGATTCATCACGTCAAAGCGATTCTATCCCTGTAGGAAACCCTAGCTACTCTATTCCCGTCACAGAACACTTCGAGCCTTGAATATGGCTCGATTTCTGGCCAACAACAGTGGGGGCTTGTAAAATGTTGTTTAACGACCGGTTGCCGAATACAAGACGGAAACAAAAATAGGTTATAGACAATATAAAGTTCAGGTAGAGAGAGGCTATGTAGGAGCTGACCAGCAGTTTTGAAACATTGGATAACGACGTTATTGGTCAGTGTTAGCTACCTGTTGGTTCTGTGTTGTTGGTTGTTGCGACTCCTTCAGCTTTCTGCAGGGGTCGAGCGCATAGCTAAGAAGCTGAGAAATCAACATGCGGACCAGAAGTGGTAATCCGCAGGATCGACTTTATCTGATCTCATATTTGGTCAATGTGTTTCTTGATACAACGCTACATAGGCAGGTCGTCGCGTTGGTCTGTATAGTTCAACCAACAACCAACATTGGCGGCTATACAATTGAGGTTGCCAATCAAGTCTGGTCATGATATCTTCAACTAACATCCAGCTGGACAATCACATCCTGATTGTTTCTGTCAAGCGCTTGAATTGTTTTCGTGCCCTTGGGAGCGATTCATTCTAGATCGGACTGTGATATTGTCCTCGCCGAGACAGCTGCGGCTCATGGTCTGTTCTTGCCATCTCCGCGATGCTTCATTCGTTTACCAGTTCGTACCTCACCTCTCTAAACTCCTCTTCAGCTCCCTTCCACCAATCCCTCTTTAGAACCTCATCCCATTCAATAGTCATCAGAATCTCACCAAAGTAATTCACCTCGCCCTTCTGCACAAACCCCAACTTCTCAAATAAAGCCCTGCTGCTCTTATTTCCCTCTTTGATCTTCACCATCAAACCCTTGAGCTCTTTCGCCTCATACTCTGCAAGTATCCCATCGATATGTTTTCGGATATACACAAGCAGCGCGCACACTGCCGCTTGTCCAAGACCTTGCCCGCGATGCGAGGGTGAAGCGATCATGACGTCGACTTCGCCAGTGACCCAGCCTTGAGTATCTGTAGTATCATCCTCATCATCGCTTTCAAACGGGTAGAGGAAGAAGTTGATGTCTCCACGCATGAGAGCGTCAGCATCAGCTGTGCTGGACTTCACGAGTGATGTGTCTTGTGTGACGGGCCCGCAAACGATAAACGTGAGCTTGTCGGATGATGTGCGCCATGACTGCTGGTTCTCATACTCCTCCTCCAAAGTCATCGGTTCGGAAGCGGTAGCATCTTGGATGTCCTGAAATTTGTGAGTATTCGTCGTGTGTAGTTGTAGAGGTGAGAACTTACTGGATCTTGCATCCATGCGTGGTATTGCCGCACATGGTGAGCCTCGTATGGGACAAGCAAGGCTTTGCTTGTTGAGATGGCTGCTATACATTAGCTATTGTAACAAAACGATCGTGAGATATAGAAACGACCTGTGTTTTGGTTGATCTTCATCTTGAGGTTTGCTTGGTGTGAGTTGTGAAATTGATACACTTCACACCATTGGTGAAAAATCGAGATGGGGCACCAAAAAGTTTCCAACAGCTAGCCACATATACAAACAAGATGAACAGCAGACAGAAATAATTCTTTACTATTATACATATTTTACACATTGTTCATCACTCATTCCTTTCCACAAATTTAACTAATTTTTACTTTCTCGAGCCTCTTCAGCCAAAGAACCTGCCACACGCCCCAGCCGATTCTTGACCTTGCCCTTGCCCTTTGGTGCGTTGATTGGGGTATCGGGCAAGTCAACTGCCGCAACAGGAGGGAACAGACTCTGGAAGCTGTTGGGCTTGATGTTGGTTGTCGTAAGAGGCGGCGTGCCATATTCGAGATCAGCACCCTTGCGAGCAAATTCGATAGTGCGTCTCTCAGGTTTGACACCAAGATTATCCAGGAGCTCTTCGGCCTTTGTAGGCATAACAGGCTGCAGGAGGATACCCGCGATTCGCACAGCCTCGGCGCATTCGTATATAACCCAGTTGGTGCAAACCTTGGCATTGGGTTCCTCGCTCTTGGTCATCTTCCAGGGCTCAGTATCACTGATGAAGCGGTTTGCCTAGAAACAGTCAGTGGCTTGTACGTAAAACGGAATGAGTGTAAATCACCTCTCGAAGAAGCTCGAAGATGCCTCGAAGCGCATTACTCAAGTTAATCTCATCCATATCACGTCGAATGCTTGTGGGTGCCTCCTTCAGTGTTGATTCGAGACTCAAAAAGTCGGCGTTTTCGAATCCACGAAGCACAGCGCTTTCGATGTTGTCGAATTCACCATTTCTAGCAGCCTGAACTGCCCCTAAAGTTGACCAAGAAAAGTTCTTGTTGCGAGAAATGCGATTAAACAAGTTACCGATATTAGCTTGGAGTTCCTTTTCATAGATGACCATGATGGACTCATTCGAGTAGCTCATGTCACCCTTGAGACTGCCGTTTCGCATAAGGAAGTATCGCAGAGGGTCAAGATCCCACTTTTGCACTGCTGAGAATGGGTTGACGACATTTCCAAGAGACTTGGACATCTTGCGATTCGACATGGTCCAGTGGTTGTGGCAGAGAATCTTCTTGGGTAGAGGGAGACCTGCAGCCATGAGCAGAGCAGGCCAGTAGACTGCGTGGAACCGAATAATGTCCTTGCCAACAACGTGTACATCCGCTGGCCAGATACCTGTGTCGGCGTCGTCAACATGCCACTTGGTGCCAAATCCAGCCTTGGTCAGGTAATTGACAAGGGCATCCACCCAGACGTAGATGGTGCTGCTTGGGTCATCGGGGTCTCTAATTCCCCAGTTCAATCTTGACGTAGGGCGAGTAACTGAAAGATCCTCAAGGTGGTTTTCGACCCAGTTTCGTACTTCATTCATACGATGAGCTGGCTGGATCCAATCAGGGTTCTCGTCGTAGAAGCGAAGCAGCTTATCCTTGTACTTTGAAAGAGGGAAAAACCACGTGTGTTCAGCAATCCATTCAACTTCATTACCTGTCTCGGTGCTGGCCATGATCTTGCGACCGGTTTGCGGTACAACGCTAGGTTCGACAAGATCTTCAGGGTAGAAGCACTCATCACTGACACAGTACCAGCCCTCATGCTTTCCCTTGTATAAACCCAATCCTTCAGGGGCACGGGCCTTGAGGAGAAGCCAGAATTGTTGAACAACTTCTTTATGTTCCTGGTCGGTGGTTCGGATGAAGTAGTCGTGGGAAATATTGGCGGCTTCAGCGAGATCTCTGAATTTGTTCGAATTGTTATCACACAACTCTTTTGGAGAAATGCCTTCCTTCAAAGCTGCCTGTTGAATTTTCATGCCATGTTCATCGGTTCCAGTACAAAGGTACGCTTCCTTGCCATTGATCACTTGCCATCGTTTAAGGACGTCGGTTAAGACCATGGTATAGAGATGACCAATATGAGGAGCTACGGTTAGTAATTAGCAAAACTCAAGCTACGAGAACACATGACTGACCAGCATTGACATAGAAAATTGGCGTGGTCACATAATATGGCTTCTCCTTCTCTGTCGCAGAGCTTTGAGAGCTATTCCATCGCGAAGTGGGTGTTTGTAGGACTCGACATCCTGGGCGAATCCAGCAAGATCGACGAGATAATCTCGATTGTACTTGGCGCAAGCCTTGTATTGATTGAAGATTGAATGCCCTCATGGCACTTTTAAGTTTCTAATAGCTCTGTTCTTGCTACAGTTTAAACAAGATGCGGAGATCACGTTGCTGCGAGACGACCAAAAAAATGCACTGTGCGCATTGGTTTCTCCGATAACTGTCCATTTTTCCATCACCATCATCGCAGGCAGGCAGGCATCCTCTTTGACTTCTGCCTGCAACAATTAGGTTAACCTTTGCGCCAAACTTGCTATACAAAAGACCTTCTTCACGCTTCTTGTTTCACCACCTTGACTCTGTTCTTCATTCACCAATACACACTACAGTACCACTATGCCGCTCCCAAACACCACGAACGAGGTACAGGCCTCGAGTGACGGTAAGTCGTCGTTGTATTCGCGAAAACCTCATGCGTACTAACAAACATTCAGCCGCCGAGGCCTTCACCACCCATTACTACCAAGCCGTCAACCGTCATTCAGATCTTCTTCCCTTCTACATCAACTCCTCTCAGAGATACCCCATCTCCGCAGACATCTCTATCAATGGCGCTATCGTCCCTACACCCGCCGATTACTCAAAACTCCTCGAAGTCCAAGGCAAGGACGTGCATTACGAGATAGAATCTCTCGATGCCCATGTCCTCAACCCTTCCTTCACCATGGGGGCCCCCGAGAATATCTACGATAACGCCAAGAGGGAAAAGAACGGCGAGAAGATGAGCGTCCTCGTGACCGTCATGGGCAGAGTGCAATACGGAAAAGGCAGGGAGGCGCCGCAAAAGATGTTTAACGAGACGTTCGTTCTGGTTCCTAACTGGGAGGCCATGACGAAGCTTCCCCCCAGGGGCATCAGGAAGTGGTTGATCATGTCTCAAAACTTTCGCGCCTTGTAGAATCAGGCGGCAGACGAGCGAATATCGATACCGACAATCACAACAACACAAGCCTTGAAAATAATATTCGAGGAACAACGTACTCAAAAGGAGAACAGACACAAAGGCAACTCTACTAGACAGCCCCGCGTCAAGAAGGCATAGGGTGCAGGTTATAATTCCCCATGGGCAAGCAGAGAAGCCCGCTGGTCTGAATATGATGGTCCGAAAATGATGGTCCGAAAAGACGGCGGTTGCGTTAGGCTATCAAAAAAAAAAATATACAATCAAAGCGAGGATACCATGACGCATGCATAGAACAATAGGGCGGCCTTCAGATGATCATAGCTTTCATCTAGAACTATCGCCCAGGCGGATGAATTAGACTAGATCAACAATCAATTTGACTTTTAAAGACACCCCATTATGTTTGCACATTATCATAAAACTTACCAGGACGTGCTTTAGTATTGTTTTTTGCTATGGCTTCAAGAACAATAGCTTCACTTTGGCGGGGTAACATGGTCCCCTGCAGCCATCTCCATCAAGCAAAAATGTACCAAGTGACAAACCCCACCATCCATCACAACCTTGAGCTCTCTCCAACTCTCGACAATGCCACCCAAGACCAAAGTCGTCCCCAAGGTCTCCGCCCCAGAGTCCAAAGGCAAGTCGCTTAAGACTATATCTATATCTAGATACCTCCCTACTAACTCTGTCCACAGCTGCTCCAGAATCCCCCCCAGACACCATCGCACAGCGCTCAGAGCAACGGTTTTTCCAAACCAATCCCGTTGAGAAGCGTCGTCAGCAAGTCGGCCTATCGTCTCTGACACCCGCTGAGAAGAAGACATACGCACACGTTCACCTTATACATCCCGCCGTCAACCGCCGCGTGCCCTTCTCCAACAAGACAGAACGCGAGTTCTGGAAGTTCGTCACAAAAGAGGGTCTTCCCATCCGCAGACTCCCTCGCAACTACGCCTGGGGAACAGACCGCACAGGCAGAGGCATTGGATCCTATTCGCCCGACGAGCTTGAGCAACGCAGTCTTAAGCACGCAAAGCTCGCATCGCTCCAAATCCAACACCGCCAGTTCCTCAGCAAGCGTGAGAAGCAGCACGAAATATCCGCCGAGGACATCACCGCTGAAAAGACGAGGAGAAGAGCCATGGCTGCGCTAAAAAGGGACTTGTACGGCGAGATCACGGGTACTCTGGCGAAAGATCCTGAGTGGGACGACGTGATCCCCATTCCGCAAAACGAGCCCGAAGGCGCCCTCGCGCAGATTGCCTACCCGGACGACTATGCCGAGGGTACGTCCGACGCTGCCCATAGGGTCTAAAGGAGTAACTGACTGTAAAGTATCTTAGCCGTCTCCTACCTCCGCGCCGTCATGGCCGCGGACGAGTGCTCTCCTCGAACTCTGCGCCTGACTGAGCACGTCATCTCCATGAACCCAGCGCATTATACTGTCTGGTTGTTCCGCTTCAAGATTATTTCCGTTCTCAAGCTCAGCATCCCTGATGAGATCGAGTGGCTAAATGAGGTCGCCTTGGCAAACCTCAAGAATTATCAGATCTGGAACCATCGTCAGCTCCTCATGGACTACTACTATCCTATTATAGAAGAAGAAGATCAGACCATCCGAAAACTTGCTCGTTCTGAGACCCAGTTTATCACCCGCATGCTGGATGCGGATGCTAAGAACTACCATGTTTGGTCGTACCGCCAGTATCTCGTCTCAAAGTTGTCCATGTGGACCATGAGCGAGCTTCTTTCCACACAAAACCACATCGAGGAGGACGTGCGAAACAACTCGGCCTGGTCGCATCGCTTTTATCTCGTTTTTTCAGACCCGACAGCTTCCACGCCTGGATCTGGTCCCACTGACGCAGACCCCCGTGTTCCAGCAGAGACGCTCGACCGTGAGGTCAACTACTGCAAAGAAAAGATCAACCTTGCACCACAAAATCAGTCCCCTTGGAACTATCTCTTTGCCATCCTGGCCAAGGGTGCTCGTCCCCTATCTTCTCTCCAAGAGTTTGCTGAGAGCTTCGTTAGTGCACTAGGCAAAGATGTAGAGGAGGTGCGTAGCTCTCATGCTCTTGACTTTCTGGCCAAGCTCTACGACGATGAGGGCGAGAGGGAGAAGGCAGAGCTGTGCCTGCGCCGTTTGGGCGAGAAATGGGACCCTGTACGTGAAGGATACTGGAAATACCGAGTGCAGCTTTTGAAGAGTGGTGCAAAGGAGTAGTCTGAACTGGGAATGTTGTTATCTTATCTAGCACCTTATCTTGTTTTTGCTTCCTGTACAGGACTATATTGGATAGCATCGTGTGGGTAACATGAACGTGAATAGAAAGAACATTGTGCATTACTAGATTATAACCATATATGTGCCCCAAGATAAAGGCACCAAACTCCAAATCGAGCGGCTTCTTTCCAACCGCTTTCTAAAATTTCCCGGTCATGTCTGGCGTCGCATGGCTTATAACCGTTTAGTAATACATTTGAGAAAATGCCTGTATAGCTTCGAGCACACCCTTTTTTTACTTTATTAGTATTTCTCACTGGCTTTCCACTCTCCAAAACTTCCAGCCTTCTCTTTCTCCGGTATCACCATGTACTCCAACGAGCTTCTCGACACCTTCGGTACCTTCAGCCTCAAGGAACTTCTCCAAATCAATCTCCATACCACCCTCGTCATCTTCCTCAGTGCCATTCTTGAGTACAGCTGGCCAAAGAACACCAATACCATCGCCTCCAAGTGTGGTCTCGAACTTGGCGTAGTTTTCGGCTTCAAGCCGTCCTTCAAGCTTCTGAAGTTTCTCAGCAGGAACATCGGGGCGGAGAAGGGTAATGGAGCAGCCACCACCACCAGCGCCAGTCAACTTGGTCCATCCGATGCCCTCGTGGTCGACCAACTCTCGTACTCGTTCTAGGCGTGGGTGGGAAACACCTAGCGATACTAGCAAGCCATGGTTGATGGTCATCAGCTCACCAACCTTGCTAAGGTCCTCTACAGATTCATTATCAAAAGATTTCTCTTCAATTAGTTCGGAAGCAGCATCAGTGACCTTGTCCATGGCATCTAAAATGCTGTTCACAAGCTTAGGATGGGTTTGTTTGAGCTTTGCGACCTTTGCGACCTCGTGTGCAGTGGACTTGGCCTGGCGAGTGTCTACTAGCAACAGAGGTAGTTCGGGAAAGTCCCACAGTGGGCGAACTTTTGGTGGTTTAGAGTAATCTGTTCGTTGGAACACCACAGCCTTTCCTTGTGTCGCAACGGTATTGTCAACGCCTGAAGGGTTGCCATGAATACACATTTCGGACACAAACGCCCATCTATTAATCCTTTCGACTTGAAGTCGAGCCTCATCTGCAGGTTGATCAGGGTGAGGACCGGACAGCGTCCGTAGCTGTAGAAGAAGAGCAGACGAAATGCATACTGAAACCGATGCGCTACTGCCCAAGCCAGCACCGATCGGTATTGTCGAGCGAAGAGTATAAAGACAAGGAGGGAATGAAGGGGATCCGAGCGATAAGAAAAGATATAGGAAGGCTGACACGGAGCTGTGGTGCACTCTTCGGATTTCCTCTGGATGGTTAGGGGAAACAACTTCGATATGTGGTTGAATGGCGGCGACAAGATCGGGGTCGAGCTCTGTTACGAGAGAATAGTACGACTTCTTCTTGGATGGCTGTTGAAACGTTTCCCACGGTAGGTCTTCGATGTTCCAGGTGTGAACGAGATCGATATCGGCGAATCGGAGCGAGACGGTTCGTTTCGACTTGGAAAGGGTGGTAACGTGCAGGTATGACCGCAGAGAAATGGCTGCGGCGATGGCTGCCTATGCGCCAATGGCGATGTGAGTACGAAATTGACTATCAGGTGAGTCTGTCATACCTTGCCATGAACAACAGAGTGTTCTCCAAAAACAATGACCTTTCCTGGTGCTGATACCATGAAAGGAGGTGCCATAGGGCTGGACATTTTGCGGTTCAGTTTCATGCGACGAGGGCCGCTGCCGTTGCTCGATTCGCCAGATGTTTCCGAACCAGAATCAGATGCATGACTGTGACCATTGCCGGTGCCATTGGCATGGCTGCCATTGAGCCCGTTAACCATGGCTGGGGTCAAAGAAGGCATGAAAAGGTGCAATTGGGATGTTGCGCGTTCTGGGCTAGTCGAATGGTAATCTCAATACGTGATGATCGTCCCTGCCAACGGTGGATAGATGGCTGTGCGGTATGCGTTTCGCGGTTCGAGATATATCGTGAAAAGTATTTATTGTAAGGAGGATTGAAGACGGAGTGGAAAGAGATTAACGACAGTAAGGAAGAAACATTTAAGAAGAGATTGCAAGGAAGAAGTTGGTTGCTTGGGTCGGTAAATTAGAGGTTGCTGTTCTGATGACTACTATCGTCAGGGGGTGGAAAGCAACCTTTGTTAGATTCGAGAGCGGGGGTGTAAGGAGTTAAAATAAGTCAGTCGGCAAAGAGGAAAAGTCAAAGTAAAAACCGGCAACGACGGCCTTGCTCTAATACCATGGACGAATCCAACTACGCGAATGCAAGTGTGAGTGCAAGTGCAAGCAAGAGGAGCATGAATGGTAGAATGGGCAAGGAAGGTGATCCAAGCAACTCGGATTGTAGCGTCACGGAAGGTGCGTTAGTTGCAGTCCAGAACGTAACTGCAAGTTACTGGCGTGTGTGTAATTGAGCTCCCCGCACTCCTTCGTTCCTCCCCAATGGGTCTTTGTCCCTGGATCAATGTGTTTGCTGTTTGACACACCTCAGACACTTGCTGGCTGGCCTGGCGGGAGCAAGAGGGAACGACCGTCATCCGGAATAGGCAAGGGCTCAGATGCGCATGCCTCCCTTGCACAGCCTGCAGACGCTTTATCATGGCTCTACCAACGAGCAAACAAGATGAAGTGGAACGGCCTTTAACGAGACAGGGCTTAGGGAGTTGGGTTACAATCTAACTGCTATAGTCGATCTTTAGTCCAATAGATGATAATTTGGAGTAGATAATAATCAATCACCTCAAACTGAAAGGATATGCTGATGCTATTCAAGCACAGCAATACCTGTCCTCTTGATACTAACTGTTGCTGAATTGAATGCGTAATGTTGCGACGCCAATTGGAAGAAACCCAAAATAGCGGTCTAGCACCAGGTCTAGGCTTTTAGGGGTACTGGTCTGGTACAGTGTCTGGAGAATTGAGCCCACTACAACAACTTACACCCGGCTCTCCGCGATTTGTCGATACAGCAACCAAATAGTGGAAAATCGAACGGGCAGGCGAAACAATATCAAGCGAGTTTTCACAAAGGAATGCGACGGGCCTCGGAATGAGTTCTTGAGTCACGGAAACAAAGCTGAGGATGAAATATATCTCACGAATAGTGACCAACTTACAAGCGCGTGATAGATGACGATGACAACCTCGAGACAATGCCATAGGATGAGCCAAAAAAAAAAAAAAAAAAACACTTACCAGGCGTATGACAACCCTGGCCCCCGCGTTCCAGCTGAATCAATACGCTAGACGGGACATTGTTTATAATGGAAGAAGCTCCGGTTGGTCAAGGCTCTTCAGCAATTAAATCCAAACATGGACTCAGCCATACCGCGCAAGAGTCCACGCCTCGAAATTATCTGCCGAAGTTTCGATCGCTTGTATCTACTTCTGGAGTCGTTGCGATTACGTCGCACTCCAATGTGGCGGGCCTAAAATATGACGACAGGCGGACGGGTAAAGACTACATCCTGTCATCTTTGGTGCCTGCAGTAAGCAAAAGCGATTACTGGTGTGGCCTTATCCAGTCCCTCAACTGGTGCATGCAGAGTGTCCTTATTCAATCGTTCTAAAGATAACAGCCCTTCTTCTGCAGCAAATAAATGGATTTTTGGTAAAACCCTTTTCGTATTCGCATATCTTTTATACGAATACATAACCGCAACGGAACTCTATGGCAGCACCAATCGGCTCTGCTTGGAAGATTATTCCAACCTTTGAATCACAATCAATACAAAAGACTATCGAATTCTACGTCGATTTCCTTGGTTTTGAGCTAGGTGGAGTAAAGCCGGAGGATGGACATCCTTCCGAGTACACCTTCTGCTCAGTTTTTGCGGGCGACAGAGCTGCGGCGAATATTTACTTTTTCAAGTCGAAGGACGATTCCATCAAGCCCAGCTCCGCCTACATTGCTCTAGGCACTGAGCAGCTAGACATGATGTACAATACTATCAAGTTTCAGAGGAGCAATGTGATACAAGAGGCTGTTCAGAATCAGCCGTGGGGTTATCGGCAGTTTGCTATCAAGGATCCTGACGGGAACACGTTGACCTTTTTCAAATTCCTAGAGGGCGGAAATCCCGGCAAGGAATAGTAGCATTGCTTGAAGGCGTGCAAAGCAGTCATCGTTACATTGCGTTCCCAATGTCTGAGGTTGTCAATTACAGTCAGATGTCTCGTTTTCGCAGTTCAGTCACTTCTGTACGACTTCAAGATAACGAGCCTCAAGATACTTTCAGCTTTACCAGCACGTGGGGGGAGTTCATGTACTGTCGTTTTCCTTGACAGCTGACGCGGGAATATATTGCTGACTGTTGATCTCCCCCAGGCATCGTAATGGGTGCATCACCAATTGAGCCCCGCTTCACGCAAGCTGAAGATGCCTAATCTACACACCAACCTTATTACCCAGCCGCCAGCATTGCCAATACAGGAACCTATCGTCTTCGCCGTCTGACAGCATAATCATTTGCGTTACCACATCATGAAGGGCACCCCGGAAGTTACGGAAGTCGCCTTCCTTCAGCTTTCAGTCGACCACAATCCAGAGGAGTTACGAGATATCCTCCTGAGAACGCAGCATATCCAGGCTCAATGGATCAGTCAACACCAGCCAAAGCTTCTTGAAGGAAAACCATACGGCCATACAACCGAAGTGTGGATTGGCGAACACGAGAGGCCTTACTTGTTGCTCACTGCTCCTTGGGAGTCCGTTGATGCACATAATCAATGGATCCAAAGCCAAGAAAACATGTCTCTGATGCAAGAACTCAAAGGATTCATCAGCCAAAACAGGGATTCTGTAGTTTTGTACCACTTGACACCTGCAGGCGGGAACAATGACTTCCGTGGTGATATCCTTGCTCGAGGGCCAGTCAAGCTCTGGAAGATATCAGTGAAGCCCGAATTCAAGGCGAAGCTCGAGGAGGAGTACCGCATCATTGAGACCCAGTCCTCGACAGAACCAAACCAAAGGATGTGGGCAGGATGGAGGGTAGAAAAAGAGGGCCCAGAAGATATGGTCATCCTTGCGTCCCCGGGGTTCGAAGAGGTGATTGAGTCCGGTATTGCTGTAAAGTTTGAAGATGCCCAAGTGTCCCGGTTCGGATACAGGCCCTTTATGCATTAGCAGAAACACAACAATCATCACGAGATTCCAAAATACGTCTTGACTCGAATCGGTTCTTTTTATTTTTTTGGACTCATCCGAGTATCCTCCTTCCAGAGCACATGATGAAATGCAAGGTATCCCAAGACGCCCATTCGTGCATGTGAATCCTCCCGCTACCAAGAGTTACCCGTTTTTCAAACCACCTTCATTTAAGCAGACTTCTTCTTGCTAGAGACGTCGGTGAGCTGCAGGTCTGATGAGGGTATTGTCAGTAAGTTGTATTTCCATCGTGGGTGTTTCGTCGGGAGAGCATACTGGGGGGGAGGCTCTGCTTGAGCTTCTCGGCCTTGTCGTTGTCCTTGAGAACCAGGGTGTAGAGGTTCTTCTGGCAGCGGACCTTGAACTTGATGTTGTTGGTCTGCTTGTTCTTCTTGATCCGGGCGGCTGTTGAGATGAATTGTTAGAATCGACTTGGGTTTCGCACGAAGCTTGGTATGGGTGATTGGTTATTCGTTCAACAACGTACAGGAAGCGTCCTTCCGACGGCAGATCTCGATGAACTGTGAGAAATTGAGTCAGCGAGTTGTTCATAAATCCAATTTCTTCTCTTCTTGGGTATTCCAATCTCCGTACCTTCTTAATATCAGCGACCTCTTGAGGCATCTTGGCGGTAGTTCAAGGTGGGATGGTTTGAACAGGTAACTTGACGGGCACTGGTTTGCGATTAGAGTATTTCGACAGAATTAAGAAAATGTTTTGTGCGCAGGCAACTGCGGGCAGGTGCACGGACCATCCAAGTTCTGGCCAACTCGGGAGTGAAGGGCGCCGATCCACCGAGGTGTGGCGTAGAGGAAGTACGTGGCGCAGACCAGATTCTGAGGCAGCAACAGACAACTCACTCAACTTGGTTGAATTGGTTGAATTGGTTGAATTGGCCACCTTTCACTGTAATATTAAGATTTAACATTTACTGAGTCTTGTACTAAAAGCCTATCGAGGCCCGAATTTCATACTCAACTTTACAATCACCTGGTTGCTGCTGTTGTCGAAGCATCCCGTCACATATCAACTACTCAAAAACAGGTGAATCTTACCGAGACAACAATGTCTACTCGCCTCGATAACCTCTTAAAGTCCAAGGTAAGTGAGAATATACTCTACATCATACTCTTTACTTTTATGATGGAACTTTACTAAAATTTACTTAGAACGTTGTCCTTCGTAAGTGCCCATCACCTTCAGGGTAAGCTATATACTGACCATGATCCAGTCTTTGGAGGCGTCGTCTCTATGGCGGCAGCATACACTATCTGGGGAAACGATGGTCAAGGAATGTTCCCTCCTGTGTCAGATCCTACCGGTGACCCCAAAACGTGGTCTCGAGAAGAATGCCGGCTGTGGTTGGAAAAGGTGAGTCAAGTCTAGACATTCTTTGTAAGTGACGTGTACTAACCTTCTATAGAGAAACCTACATCCAGATCCCAAAGCTACAAAAGAGGAACTCATCGAAAGGGTTCTGGCCAATATGCGCATCCCAAGAAAGTAAAGAGTCGGCTAGAACATGACTGGAGTCATTTTTTAATTGCTTGTCGCTTTGTTGCATTACTTGATACCACAGCTAAAGTCTTGTCCTCATACAATACGATTATTTTTAATGCAAAGTTTAGCATTGCAACTCCAAATTCGATATCTTTATATTGAGCCTAGAGCTAATTTAATGATTGAATACTAAAAAACTGCAGCACTTCTCTCGATAATGATTTCCTTTCTGTTATTGTCTTCCAGAGTCATCGAATCATTAATCCAAGCCCAGTCCAGTGGAGCCCATAGGGGTACTTTGCCGCCAGCCATCAAACGCATGTGTTTCGTGTACCTTGACTCAACCAACCACCCAACAAAGTTCAAGCTGTTAATCGTCTCACTTGGATGCACGTGCCACAGCAACCGCTGGGCTATAGTTCAGTAGCACTCAACTTAACCTAATCTCTTCCATGTCATAGCTTTGTGAACTCACGATATTATATTCTTGGTAGCTGATCGCAGATTTATCAACTCTTGCGACCATGGCTCCTGAATAAGTCAAATAACAACCAGAACCAATATTCTGCCCCCCCGAACCCTATTAGACCGTCCGAAATAACGGCTGCGATTTTGGCGTTTTCATGTTGCGACGTCATATCCAACATCTACATAATGGCATTCCTCGAGGACCCCCGACTGCGTCAACGTTGGAATCAGATCGCGCACGATACCGAGACGATAACAGAGAACGCAGCAGCTGGAATTTGGACATTTCAGCATAATTACATCAACCCTTGTTTCTCCTCCATTGCGCACTCGTTTGAACAGTGTACAACTGTTTGTTTAGGTGACCCCGAAGAACGTTTGCGACGGCGTAGAGAACGAGAGCTGTCGCATGGTAGGGCTGAATATAGCTTCGACTTTTACGATGATTGGTATGAAGAAGAGCAAAGCGGTCTCTTTGGAGCATGGGGCAACGAGGACTGGGATAGATTGCTGGCTGGGACCGGCAGTTCGCGAAAGCATAATGGAGCAGAGGCAGAACAGCCACGCAGGAAACGTGGCATGAGCTACGGAACTCGAGACAGACGACGAAAACCAAGCATGGATGACGATCCAACTGTTATTCCCAAGACTCAACCAATTGGATTCCTCAGTAAACTACCATGGAAAGTGGGCGGTACTCTACGATACAAACCTAGTGCGGCAGATTTACAAGACCATCCACATCGACATGGCGCTGGAGAGGATGAACCACTACTACATTCAGATGATGGATCCGACCTCGATCTCGACCGACCAGTGACTAGAAAGCGCAGCGGAACGACTGGGTCGGGTGATACATCAGACTCGTATCGATCACGAGGAGACTTATTCCCAAGTGATGGCGAGGGCGAGGAAGACGCCGTTCCACTAGACGATGAAGTAACATATGACATGGTCAGAAAAGACGACAGGAGCGGACGAAGCGCGAGGACAAGCAGCAAGGGTAAAAGACCAGCAGGCGGATTAGCTGGTTCAAGGACGGTCTCACGAACAACACTAGGATCTTGCACATCAAAAGACGATTTCCGATTGGAGCGTCGTTCAACCTCATACTCTGCCACAACAGACGTAGAAGAGACGCCGACTCTGCACGACTTGGAAAGAGAGGAACATTTGCTACAAAAAGAAGAGGACAAAGCCGTGGAGAGAAAGAAGCAAGCCGCAGCAAAACTTGCAGCAGAAAAAGGTCTTGCACTAAGAGGATCTGAACCGCAATACTTCCCCGACACAAAACCACAGGTAGCAGAGGACGACGTTTATGAAGCATCGCCCTCCAAGGCCGCCTGTCAACACGTGGAGGAGGTTGGGGATACGCTACATGTATCTAAGCGAGGCGAGCCGGAGCGTGCCAAGAGCCCCCAGGGCTCGGATGATACAGAGTCGCCAGAAAAGACGGATTTCGTCCCAGCGCGTTTACCTCACTTCTAACGACACCACTGTTACAAGAGGGCTTAAACTCGCCATGATACTAATGAGAGCGTTGACGGTAGTGACCGCCATGAGATGACTTTATGTATGATACCAAACCTGAACTAAGTATGGGATTTTGAGTCGACGATGCGATGATACGTGGGATTATGGATAGCAAGGCATGGATAGGATAAGTTAGACGCAGTGTTTTAATGAAGAATAGTACATGCACAATTCCCGAGGGTAATGCAATGCATGATAAAGTGTGCAGTGCCGTACTTTTGTGCAGAGGAGCACATGGCTCCGCGAATCTATAACCCAATGCGGAAATGCCTCGGACATGAGGTGAAACCTCCCCCGCAAACCGGCAGATCGGTTCGTGATGCTTAAAGAGTCGATACCCCACACGATTTGAAGGAGAGACTAGTGAAGAGAGAAAGCATTGCACATCATCTTGTATATGTTCTCTCATATTTTGGCTTAAATTCGTATTGTATTCTATCTCATCAGGTCATATCACCGTACAAACACAAGCCTATCTCAATACCTACGTTATACACAGAATCACAAACCATCGCCAACATGACACCGCCAGGTCCAATCACAACACCACTTACGTCCCTTTTGGGAATCAAACATCCCATAGTTCTCGCCGGAATGGCCAGAGTGTCAGGCGGTCGACTTGCAGCAGCCGTGTCCAATGCTGGTGGTCTTGGTATCATCGGCGGGTTCCAATACACTCCTAATCAACTCCGCGAGATCCTAGCCGAGATGAAGGCCAACTTCTCACGACCTGATCTACCTTTTGGCGTTGATCTCGCACTTCCTCAGATCGGTGGAAATGCTCGAAAGACTAACCACGATTACACGGGTGGCAAGTTGGATGAATTGGTTGACATTATCATCGACAGTGGCGCCAAGTTGTTTGTCAGTGCTGTTGGAGTTCCGCCACCAGAGGTGATCAAGCGATTCCACGACAAGGGTATCTTGGTCATGAACATGGTTGGACATCCCAAGCATGCAGTAAGTAAGACACTCAATTGGTCCGTTATCCGCTGACATAGCCGTCAAGACAAAAGCCTTGGAGCTCGGAGTTGATATGGTTTGCGCTCAAGGCGGCGAGGGAGGTGGCCATACAGGAGACGTCGCAAACTCGATTCTTATCCCTGCGGTTGCCGACATCGCATCAAAGTACCACCCTCCTCTTCTCAAGGGACTACCTGCGTTGGTGCTTGCAGCAGGAGGCATCTCCTCCGGCCGTAGTCTTGCTAGCTCTCTCATGCAAGGTGCAGCGGGCGTTTGGGTTGGTACTCGATTTGTCGCATCCGAGGAAGCTTCTTGTAGCGAAGAGCATAAGAAGGCAGTTGTTTCATGTGGATATGAGGACACGCAACGAACGCTTGTTATCTCTGGACGACCGTTGAGGATGAAGACGAACGAGTACATTCAGAAGTGGCACGACCAGCCTGACAAGATCAGGGAGTTGTGTGATAAGGGTATTGTGCCAATCGAGTATGACTTTGAGCAGGGGAACGACTTTGATCTTCCGCATCTGATGGGACAGGTTGCTGGTGCAATTACAAAGGTTCAGCCAGCAGGGGAGATTGTCGAAGAGATGATCAAGGAGGCTGTTGATATGCTGAAGCTGGGTGGAACATATTTGACCGCTGTACCAAGGCTTTGAGTATGTGGAATAACCATTACTCAAGGGATATCGCACACTATAGTCAGTACCTAAGTATATAAACATCTCTTAATGTTTTTCTCACAGGAACAGAATATGAGAAGTGCTAGGCGCCTACCTGTTCTCAGGGTATTAGAAAAATTGACCACTGGAGGCATTAGAGACGAAATTACTATGTCACTTTATGCCCCTTAGACTGCCTCTTATTTTTATATCCTAAGGATTAGGAGGCCAACTTTTCTGTTACCCACTAGACAGGTAAAGAGGCTGAAGATAAAGACCTTATCCGTACGAAGGCAAAAGCAGTTACAGACCCTCTGGACAAGTCAGGCCATGCCTGACGAGTTGAGAGCTCTCTTTGGCTGCAGTCTGATTGTACGCATCAGCCGTATACAAAGGATAAAAAGAAATAATTGCCCAAGCAGCGCTAGGAATAAGTTGGTTATAATTGAAAGAGAATGATTTATAAACCTGCTACAAAGCGTAAAAGTATCGCCAATCTCATCCCTTGACCTTGCAGCAGTCAAGTTTGCTGGCCGATCATCAGAGGAAAGCCATGTACATTATCTTTAAACCTGGTTTTTGTCTAGCTAACTTGGGCTACGGTTTTATTTTATTTTATTTATATATGAGGCTAACTGATCAGGGTCTAACAAGTTGTTTGGGCTAACCGGGAGTGTCTTGAATCGTGTGCCAGTTAAAATCAGTTCGGAAAGAAAAGCAATTTCATGCATCTCGAGCTGAGCCAATGAAACACCAAACGTCATATTGGGATCGACTAGGATCAAATACTTGGCGATATGATAGTCGGGTCAAAGCAAGGCTGACGTGTTTGACGTGGCGTCTCAGTCTCGGACCACAGTAGTTGAGTCCAAGTAGTTAAGAGTATATAGTCAGACTAAGGAGTAAGCGCTCTCATCCATGATTCGAATCAAACCATCTTGTTCGGATATGTCGGAATCAGCGTCATACTGAAACTCATGACAACTCACACTTACTCAACTTATACTGTATGTACCTCATATGCGCATAGGTCTAGGTAAGAACTTGGAGGTAAGCAGAGCAAACAGGAAAGAGGAATTGTGGATCATTCCTCGCTATTTCCGAAACGATACTACTTTGAACGACTCATGCCCAGTAAATTATTTCTGGCCTTGTATTTTTCATTGTTGATCATCGAAAAAAAATCAATCTCGAATTCTATCTCATGATGGAAGCGCATAAAACTGTCGTCGCGGGCGTTGCAGACAGAGTCAAGCACTTTCACGCCCGCCAAGAACCATTCCGACTATACCATGGATCGACTAACAGCACTCGGCACTCAAACCGCCGCGTCGACAACACCGTTGACACGAGCAAACTAAACAATGTACTCGAGGTGAACCAGGACTCAAAAACGGTCCTTGTCGAACCAAACGTCTCGATGGAGTCTCTGGTCGATGCGACCCTGCCCTATGGTTTTGTCCCTCTCGTGGTTATGGAGTTCCCGGCCATTACCGTTGGAGGTGGCTTTTCGGGGACGTCGGGAGAGAGTAGCTCTTTTCGTTACGGCGCTTTCGATGCTACTATCAATTGGATCGAGATTGTTCTCGCCGACGGAACGGTTGAGCGGGCATCAAAAGAGGATCAGCAGGATTTGTTTTGGGGTGCTGCATCGGCCTTCGGAACTCTCGGAGTCGTTACTTTGTTGGAGGTGCAGCTCAAGGACGCAAAGGAGTTTGTTGAACTAAAATACAGACTCGCGAGGGGCCCCTCAGAGTCGGTGAAAATCATCAAGGAGGAGTGCAGGAGATGGGATAATGATTTCGTGGATGGTATCGTTTACTCCAAAGACACGACCGTGGTGTGCGCTGGGCGACTTGTGGACGAGGTTCCAATAAGTGCAACGCTGAGACACTTGAACCGACGGAAGGACAAGTGGTTTTATCTACATGTCGAAAAAGTCCGAGACGGTCTACGGATGGGTTCAGTTACGTGCGTCGCCGATTACATCCCGTTAAAAGACTATCTTTTCCGCTACGACAGAGGCGGATTCTGGGTTGCGAAGTATGCCTTTGACTATTTTATCACGCCATTCAACCGCGTCACACGATATATCCTGGATCCCCTTCTCCGAGCACGCGTCATGTACTCAGCAGGCCACAACAGCAACCTGCTTGACTACTACATGGTGCAAGACGTTGGTGTGCCTTACAGCAGCGTTCCTGAGTTCCAGAACTGGTTGGATAAGCAATTCAAGATCTATCCCCTCTGGATATGTCCGCTACGCGTGCGGCGTGAAGAGCCAAACTCGGGGCATGGATTGCATGCCGAGTTTGCAAAGTCTGGTACGGCGGATTTACTTAATTTCGGCGTTTGGGGTCCTCTGCAAGGGAATCGACGAGATGCCATTCAGCATAATCGCGCTTTAGAACAAAAGGTACAAGACTGCGGGGGAAAGAAGTGGCTCTATGCGCATGCGTACTACACAGAGGATGAGTTCTGGTCGCATTACAACAGAGAGTCTTACGATGCGCTGAGAGCAAAGTACGGAGCGTCGTATTTGCCGAGTGTATATGATAAAGTAAAAGTGGATATTGAGGGCGACGAGAAGCTGATGAAGTCCACTGCAAAGACCGGATGGCCGATCAAAGGCCTGAAAGGAGTGTACAAAGCGTTGTTTAGAGGAGATTATCTCTTGCAGAAGAAGAGCGATAAAACATCTGAACAGAAGTAAGATGTCAGATCAGCACTTGAGACATGCTTCGGTTATTGTTAATACCATTATTGTATATAGGTTTTGAATGAGGGACGACATAGATAATTTGATACTCTGGGCGATTGCCTACGTTATGATACATGTCGAAACAATTGCTCATTTCCCTTCCGTGATTCATCGCACTCAGTCAGCTCTGAAACCACCCAGCGAATTCGGCTTTCGTCCACTGAGCTCCTTCAGTCCCTCGGGGCTGTCAAGATCCTTCAGGTCCTTATAAGACTGCAGCGTCATCTCGGGTGGATTTCCTTTCCTAGGAAGCATGATCCAAAAACCTCCTGCTAGTACGCCAGCTGCTGCAGCGATGGGTGGCCTGATAGTGTCAGTTTTAATCAGTTCCTTGGTAAAACAGTCACTATACCAATTCCTCTTGAGGACTTCTGGGCCGCCTGGTGCTTGAGGTGGAGGTTGTTGACCTCCAGGACCGCCAAGGTTACCATCTGAATAGACATGTTTTGGGTTCGGCTTTGTGCTCGCGAGACGTCGTTGACAAAGCCTAAAAGGCATGCGAGCTACAGGCTGAAGAAACAATCTTGAAAACGCCATGTTTATATGATTGCAATGGTATAAACCGTCTTGATTTTGATGTAGTACCTTAGTTACTTCAAAGCATTGAATAAGGAAGAAAGTTAGAGGTCATGAAGATGAAGGGAAGCTTCTTGGGATCAATCAATGACTTAACCGATTGGCGAATGATGAGGTGATGACGTGGGTATAGACCTCCATCAATTCAGCCATTTTTAGAAGGTCTCAATCTCCAAACCCACGTTAAAGGTTGGGGAAAGAAGTCACTGACGATTATTGGATGTCATTAATTTTGAATCGTCTGTTTCCCTAGTGGTTGTTGTTTTTAGAGGTTAAAGACGAGGAAGGTATCAGAAAAGATGGCAGGGGTTACAAATGTGCATTTCCACTTTTATAGGTAGGTATCTTTTGGCCACAGAAGGATAAAGTGCCTAATAAGAGACAATTATTCTAATATATAGATAGAGATAACACTGGATTGATCTTCAAGGGAATTATAGAAGATTATCCACTAAAAAAGAAGTTCTATACGTAACTAAGTACCCGATGCACATTTGTAACCCCTAAGGACTGTAGTTGGAAGAGAGCTATGGCTAGTGTTGGATGAGTTCTCATGATCAGCCCTCAGATGGTTTATGATCTTTGGGATGCCAAATAAACAATTGTAACAGATAATAGAAATGATCGAAAGAACTGAGCTCGTTATTTGAAACACTGTCAGTTTCGTTGACGTTCAGTTGTGCCATGTCATGATTGGTATATTGTTAGGCATGATGAGAACTCAAAGGGAGTGCTGCCCGTAGTTGTACAGTTAAATTACGGAGAAATTGGTAATATCTTATTCGAAGACAGCAGCTAATGCTCTTCAAACTATGCGTTCCAGAGCATACCTACATTTCATACATATAGGTATGCAACGTTATGGCGGTTAAGATAATACTTATCACGGAGTTTTCAAACCTTGAGTAGGTGTTATTGAATAAAAAATGTGAAAGATTGTAAGTGTGACACAAAGATGGACCCCAAGGACCTCGTAAACAGAAGAGAGTGTGTGAGCAGGGACCCAACCTGTATCCATCATACAGATAATCATCATGATGCATTGCGGTAGGGATGTTTGTTTTTACACGGTAGTCGGTCGCTAGGTCAGTAAGATATGGTCTTCAATAAAGGTCGCATTGCTAGCTGAAGAAATTGATGCACTAATTGCTTATTCGCTCCTGAAACGGAGAGTCGCGTCTAAATGGCCGACTTTTCGAATGAGATCATTTGAATGTGCCTCTTACTACGACTTTGGGGGGAGGGGGGATCAAAACGATGATATTCCGGGAGTCGGAGCGGCCGTCGGATTAATGACGCAGTTGTCCATTGTGGTTACTCTGCATATGCGCGCAGTCATGACACTAGCCCAAAAAGAGATGTCCGTCTTTTTTTGCTTCGGTCGGTCGCCAGTTTTCCAGCAATTCACTTCGGGCCGTCGGTATCCTAGACCGATTGGTGTTAACTAAGGAAGGACTTTCGACTAGTTTGTTCAAGGTGCGAGTCAGTAATTCTGTTGTTGACTTGTTTGTTTAAGACTGATGATGCAGACATCTCAATTCACTCTATGCTCAGTTCATTGTGTCTCTTGTTCTCACAAATCGATATCCGTCGGTCGGTGCCCTCAAAATTTGACTCTGGATCCCGGTCAATAACCTTGTATATGGTGGAGACTCTTTTAGGCCCAGGCACCAGGGTTGAGCGGGACTCAGAATTATGAGGCGTCGCTTCTCGGTCCATTCTCGTTCTCATTGGTATCCCCAGGTTTCCTCTGCCGCGTGGTTTACGTATGGGGGATAAATAATAGTGATAGGGTTATGAATGGTTGGATTTTTGACACAACAATCGATAGAGCTTGTCGATTGCCGTGTGTTAGATATGGACGGGTGTTAGGATACCTCCTGTTGAACTTAGCACAAAGAGTCAATTAACGGCCCTGTACTTCAATATTACTTAGAATCTGGTCTAATCGGTAATGACTCGTGTATAGCATATTATCATCTCGGGAACATCTCGTCTTGCTCTGGTCGCATTTAACTCTGATCGTTGAATAAATACAGTAACACATCAGCTATGGGAGAGCAGAACTCGCTGATAAAATACCTACCTGCATATCCTGGCTTGAAAAATGCAAGGGAAAAAACTAGGTCTCCATGGCGGTGACCTCAGCGACCATTGAGACTTGGGCACAGCATTTTGCCAAGCTTGTGGGTAAACTCGGTCCACAAAACGTCGTTCCATCAGTTTTCTATCGGCTCGGCTAATCGAGACCAAGCGTGTTTTTGACGTGGAATATCGCTCATAAAACGGGTGTAAGGGAGATAAATGAGTTTCAATTGCCCTAGGTAAGTAAAAGCTTTAAACTAATCTGTTGTGACGTCGGAATATGAAAATTACGACCGAGCACAATAGGAAAGTGCCTGTCAATTGAACTTGCTTGCTGCCCCACCTAGAGCTGTATGTATCAGATCTCATGTGAGCATGCGACGGAAGGGTGTGTGCACCAGATATTTTCGACCAGGGAAGGATCTTGGCTACAACTTTCGTCATTAGGTACTGAAGAACCATCTTAACAGCCAAATTACGAGAAATTAGATGTCCTTACTTGGATCGACATGTTCCCAATAAACAAACACCTTTATTAGGCGCGTTCAACTGAGCCCACTGCCGTTCGCTGTAACAACACCGTCTTTTAGGAAACATACACCCAACCATGCCTGTATTGCCCCTTCCGGTCCTGGGCAGAACCTGAGCTAGGTAGCTAACACCCCCGGTGCCTGCCCCAAGAAACAGGACCACCATCCTTATCGCCTCCACTAGACTTGCTTGCCCACCTTCTGACTCCCACCATACTCACTCACTAAACATCACCATCGTCACTACAAATTCTCCCCGAGACAAAACATTCCAGAAACTTCAAACTGATCGTTTCCCCACCCTATGACCTCCGTCGAGCTCGATGTTGGTCGCGGTAGATTGCTCTGAACTTCGCTACTTAGCTGATATAGGCGGTCCCAGCCCTTGGGCCCCTCCATGCCCTCCAAGCTAAACCAACGTCGCCATGGATCTCGCCTCCGCCTCAAGCGACCATCCGAATAACCTCATTACCAACCTCGACTCTCCTCTTCCCGCCTCAGCTACCACCTCCTCTACCCCGGTAGTGTCTCACCAACCCGTCAATCCTTCTCAGCCCACCTCCCATGCCAACTCTCCCGATCGCAAACCCAAGAAGTCGTCCTTAACCTGCACAACCTGTCGCGCTCGCAAAGTTCGATGCAATGGTGCTCGCGACATCTGCTCCAACTGCGAGCGACTAGGCTTTCCTTGTTCTTATGACGACGGTGACGCTGGCGCTTTATCTGGTGCGCTACCTCGCCGTCGAGTCCGACAAGCTTGCATCAGCTGCCATAGTCGAAAAGCCCGATGCTCCGGCCACATGCCGTCATGCGATCGCTGTCGTTCTCAAGGCATTGAATGTGTATACAGACCAAGCAAAAGAGCGCGGATTTCTCTTAGAGAAGGTCCAAGTCCACAAAGCCATGAGGGCGATCGAGACGACGGTCACAACGACAGTGACCCAGGATTGACCGATCCAGCTAGCACCGCAACGCCTCAAGGCTTTGCACCAGAAATGTAAGTTGGCATCGTAGATAATGCTCCCTTGGCTAACAAGCAGGCGTAGTTCCTTCCCAGATGAGTCTTTCGATGCTTTAATAGGCCGGACATTTGTGAAGTTCTTTAATCATGTCCATCATATTCCCATGTTCTCGTTCCTACATCGAGCCTCTCTTGAAGGACGATACAATTCGGGCAAGGTGGAGAAGGCTCTTCTGCTGGCCTTGATTGGCATAACATCGTACCTTACGGATATGGGGCCTGGGATGAAGGATTATGGCGAGAGGTGTATCGACGATGCTGAGGGTCTCATTTTTGCCGATTATACTCGGCCTTCAACCATCAAAGTACAGGCGCTTGTCCTTATTATCAAGCACCGTATCTTGTCCAAGAAATCTCCAAGCGCTTTCATGCTGTTGAGTATAGCATCTCGATATGCTGCAGCTCTACGTCTGAATCACGAAGCTCCAAACCTTTGTTTCCTGGCTCAAGAGTCTCGCCGCCGACTCATGTGGGCACTTTACTGTATTGATTCGGGTGTCTCAGGCGGTTATCGTGACTACTCGCTTTGGAGCGCTGATAAGATTCACGTAGGATTGCCGTGCAACGAGCGAAACTTTGAATTCGACCTTCCACAACCAACTGAAAGGCTTATTCACGATCCTGACAAGCCTCGCAACCCTCAGGCCGAAGACATTGGGAGTCTGGCTCTCCATATCCGAATACAACACATGCGACGCCGAATTATGGAGTTTTCAAGACGAGTTATGCTAACCCGCAACACCAAGCCTGATGAGCTTCAATCTGGCATATGGGGGCTGCAGAAAGATCTCAGCGAGTTCGCAACACATCTGCCAGCTTCTTTTCAATTTTCAGAAAGCTCATTGAGACTCCGGGCTTATTCTCCGCGAATTTGCATATTTATTATGATCCACGTATGGTGGCATCAATGCCAAATAGATCTGTACCGTCTTGCTCTTGGAGGTCTTCGCGAGGCCCTTCCTCGTGTCATTCTTGCATCTCTGGACGACGCGTTCTTGGACCATTGTCAACGACAATGCGTCGAACATGCCATGTCGATGGCTAATATTTTCTCGTCCATGCACAAACTCAATGCGAAGCCTGTGGCCGATTTGGACATGGCCATTTGCGCGTACCAATGTGCTCGCGTATTAACCTATGCCTATCACACCAACGCTCTTAAATATGACCTCACTTTGGATGCCGTGATGGAGCGGGCTAAGATTTGCTTACTGACAATCAAATCTTGTTGTGCTGGAAAGACAGCAGAAGGCATCCAAGTGGATTTGGAGAGGCTAATTACTCATGGTATCGCCCTTCGCGTACCGTCAGTTACACCGGACCCGCATGGTCGACTTCCTCTAGACAATGGCTATTCTCAACAATCTCTACGTCAGTCCGGTCTTGTGGATGACTCAAATATGAACGATCCCAGCCAATTTGTCTCGATGACCCCCGTTTCGATGTCCGCCATGACAGATTCAACATTTCCTCCATCACTTGTCGCTGATCCTTGGGTTCCTGAAAGCCAGGTGTCTCCGGACTTACCACACCCGACTACCGAAGTTCATGTTCCCGCGAAGCCTGCTGTAAGCGTTGCAGAGATAGTTCCACGACAAGATTTCGGCATTTCGGAGATAAATAACGCATACGACGGGGGTGCGGATGGCCTGGGCACAGATCCAGGCTTGGAGTATGGAATGGGACTCGATCAAAATCTGTGGATGCCGAATAACGACTGGCTAAGCATCGATGCTCTCCAGGGAGGTGTTGGAGCATGAGGGGGGCAAGTCGGCCAGAAGACTGGGACAGCCGAATTTTGGAATACCATGATCCTTGGAGCTATTTCTACACAACTATGCATCGGAGATTCAGAATTCAGGTGTCGCGAAACATCCGGGGCCTAGTTTTGCTTCAATGGTCTGATGAAAACGATGACGAAGAATTAATCGTCAAACGACATCGAGATCGACGCAAATGAAGTCAGGAGAGAAGTGTTGATATTCCAGGCAACACCAGAGCTAAGGTACCTCGAAATAATCTCGTCAAAGTCCTTAAGAGGTGGTGCCCAGACACCAAGGGTCAAATGAGGATTCAACCCCTGGGAGAGGGTACCAGAAAAAATTGGCCGCTGGAGGCTCAACAGATGAAATTAGTAGGTCGATTTATGCTACTTAGATCATGCTTCTTAGGCTGTTTATGTTGGTACCCTAAAGCTTAGGAGGCCAAGACGAAAGGGACTTATGGATGATACCCTTCACGATTATATGAGACAATTTTCTGTATGTCAGGTATTCACATAAACGGACTTCGCAGCAGCGTGAAAAATAATAATACGCAAGAACTAACCAATTCATATTTGCCGAAATATACGCCTGACTTAATCCATTACATGAGCCCATTCCAGGTGGCACTGAAGTGAATAGCAAAAAAGTTGACCTCTCTGTACTATTGCTCTCTATTCCATTCCGTCACATCGTGTATATCTTGATGCAATGGCAAACCGAACTTATGAGGGTTGAATCTAAGAGTATTGAGCTCATGATTTCACATGAATCACGGTAAGTTGCACTTGTGTATTGTAGCACAATACCTAGGTGCATGTCTACCTTAGCAGGGTACGCCATTCGAAATTAGGTGGCTGACATCAGGGTGCTAGAAAAGTTGGCAGCTAGGAGCATAAGAGACTAAATTATTATATCACTTTATGCTACTTAGACTATATTTCTTAGGCTATTTATTTTTATCATCTAAAGCTCAAAGGTCAATTCTGCTGTTACCCACTGTTCACAGATATTGTCCTTGTCTTTGAGTGGAGCACACCAGGCGCCTGCCTGTTTGCTGCCTGCTGTGTCTCAGCCGTGAATTAGTAGTACCTACTTCTCTGGAGCAATCAATTAATCACTCTCCGTATCACCTGCAAGGCTTTAACACTGGCAACCTAAAATACGAAATCACTTCGAGTTAATCCAGTCCTTTTATCATCGCCTGTATAAGAGTGACTGCTTAACTTTTTCTGGTATAAACTCAGGTCCAGCCGCGTCCGCTTATCTCGACTTACAAAAGGCATTGTCTTTTCGTACGAGCTGTCTTCATCCTCCTCCGAAGTTCTTTGGAATATAGAAGACGAAATCAGAACCTTTTAATACCTACCTTTTCGACATGGCCAACCCAGACACCGCCATGGCTGGTATCAGCACGCCCGCGGCAACCATAATAGCCTGCCCTCTTCAAAAGGTCCCTCTTGAGGTCCTTTTGCGGATAACGTCCTTCCTCACAACCCCCGAACTCGGCAACACCCGCCTGACGTGCCGTTCAGTCGAACAGGCTTTATTCACTACATTTACCAATGAGTTCTTCACCCGCAAGCAGTTTATGATCTCCGAGACAAGTCTGCAGGCCTTGATTGACATATCCAAGAGTCGTCTCAGTGGTTATCTTCGGATGGTCCACATCGGGCTTGATCGTTTCGCCTATGCTCTTCAAGTTAGTGACCAAAACGCGCGAAATATCAGGCAGAAGCAGCTGCACGATGGCCAGTTCTCAATGTTGAGCACGGGTTATCATCGGGATATGCTCGCCGAAGCGTTCAGAAACCTCAGCAACCTTGAAGATGTAGTTATCCGCGACTTCAACTCCAACAGGCGTTCTCGCGACAACCCTGGCAAGCAATGGACAAGCTATGGGTCAACTACAGCGTTCAGAGAGACAGGGCATCGTCCTGGCCAGGGAGGTGGCCAGGCTTGGGGCCCTTATCCCTCGACAGCTTACGGAAGCTCGGTTTTTATTTCTGTCCTTTTCGCGTTAGGACAAGCCAATGCAAAGCCGAAGGGGATCGAGTACATGTCGAGAGCTAGGAATCATTTGCGGGACTGTGCCTTCAACATCCCCTCCTATATGGAGCCCTCAGTGATCCCGGTCCTGGAGAATCTCGAAAAGTTGCACATCGACATCGATCTACTCGGAGGAAACGACTTTCCCGTGGATACTTCCGGCCACCCGTCCGATATGATGCTGCGCGGATTTCTCCTAAAGCTGAAAAATATCAAGCACCTGCGTATCAACGAGACTCACAGTAGTGTTAACGGACCTGACATGCTTCTCAAATGGCTTGGGAGTGAGGTTTCTACTTCTGCTCCCGCCTCTCTTTCCGCCCCCCCTTCCGCCTCTGGCCCTGGCCCTGCCCCCGCCTCTATCTCTCCCACCTCTGCTCCCTTATCCTCTATTCCTTCGCCGGAATATCCCCAGCTTGCAGCGCTGGATTTTGGCATGATGAACGTGGAAGCACAGCATATACTAGCTGTTACCCGAAAGTTCTCATCGACACTCAAGCGATTAGAGTTGCACAAGATTACACTTCGTCGACGCTTGCCTGAGGGTCATACTGGCGCTTCCCCAAAGGTCAACATGTGGAACAAATTCCTCGAAAAGCTCAAGGATATCCCCAATCTTGATCTGCATCACATCAAAGTGAGTCTACCGCAACAACATTGGACTTCACGGTCACGATGCTTCGTTGCCTTTGAGGACACAAGAGACAATGTCAGCCAATATACAGGCCCCGACTGGAAGCATTTTGTCGAGCATGAAATGAGGACCAAAGTGACTGTGCAGTGGTCGCACGAAGACAGTGGTGACAGTGACGATGACGAAGAAGAAGAAGACGAGAGTGACGGTATTTGGGACCAATATGCGCTTGATCTATGAAGCGTGTCTAGTTTATTATGCCGACACTGGCCTAAGTCTTAAAATCTGTAGAGTGTAAACTGTCATATGCTGTTGCCAGAAAACAAATTCATGTACGGAATCGTCTTATTTCGTGCCATGGTCATATGCAAACTTATGTGGGAGTTGCGGTTATAGATTCTTCGTATTTTGCCATAGTGAGTGGAATCAAATATTGCCTGTATCAACTACTGCTTATCTAAAAGACTATCTCATACAATACCTGTCCCATCGGATGTCTGTAGTATTCTCTTTTGACATGCTCAGGCATGTTAATACCTGTCACAAACTCAGTGTCGGTTGATCCTGTGGTAGCCCGTAATATTAGCATGCCAGAACTACTGCTCGCCCGTTGAGCAATTGAGCAGGACTTGTTCTGATTTCAGGAGGACCGTATCACGGTATCATCACGAACTAGCTTAGTTAATTTATAAAAGCTGAGATCTTAATTTAGGGTTCGTTGAATCAAGTCGTTTAGTTTATCATGCCGGCACTGACTTATATCATGTACAACATGTCTGTTACTTTTGGTATAAACCACCTACATAACCCTGGTGAAAGTATTAATGGACATGCTATGCAATATTGTAGACTATAATCGTTTAAGAAGATAATGGGATTAGTTGTTGTGAACATGGGAGTGGAAATGAATTATTTAATTTAATTCTGGACTAGAATTCAAATATTCTTGGTTAAAGTTAGAGGTTATGCATGTAAACGAAGCTTGCCTGAGTTCCAAAGCCCTTTATCCATTATTTCCAGGCAGAAAATCCACTTTTGATAGATATAAATGGGTCACCTGATATCGTGATGGGGTCGTGCCTAGATCCGGGGTCTTTTAGCTCGTTGGTGCCTAGCAGCGCGTCATGGGTAGCTGGGGAGCTTGGGATGATAAATTGAGGCGCCAGAATAAACAACCAAGCGAGCTGAATATAAGACGTTTTAACATGCGAATTGGTACAGAAAAGCAATAGAAAGTCATAGAATTTTGTAATAAGCATACGTCAATTAGTCAATTGATCATAAATCCTTAGGAGGTTTAGTACTAATGTACCTATCTATCATAAGTCATTGTTTTAGTGTGAATTACTCGATCCTTTAACTCAAGCTGTTTTTGTCACCCTGCCGGACAGTCAAGGAAAGTGGGGGGTTTCAGCCTAGTGCCCGTATTACCTTCCCATTCAGCTGAACGTCACTTCATGGGCTTAACCTTAGGGAAAGACCTTGTCTACGGGATACTTTAAAATGGAAAGGAGCCGACCTTTTTTTCCCTTTCGCTATCATCTCTCTTCCTTTTCTTCTTTAACACCCACTCAATCTCGGCTTATTACTACCTCTTTGTAACCATATCTCACGCTACCTTAGGTATTTGACCAACGCAAGGATCACCCTAAGATTCGGCGATTGCTCAATTCGGTCAGCTCTTGTTGACGCACCAAAAATCGTTGGGTATGACCTTCCGTCTCATCTCTCAGGCCCCTGATTGATTTCTTTTTCCTCGCCACGAACAATTGGGGCTAGTTAATAGTCGCGCGATTGCTAACATAAATTCAGCTTGTTCCCACTTTGTGACTTACACACTGGACCGCACTTTCTCATCTTCCCTGCACAATCTTACATACCAAGCCACACTCAGACAACAAACGCCAAAATGTCTACCAGAAGGAGAGCAGCCGCGAAAGCTCCAGTCGATCCGCCTCTGGATGGCTGCGCAATTGCAGTGAGCGGCAAGTTTGACGACATTGGCCACAGCCATGCCTCTCTCGAAACACTCATTCGCAAACATGGTGGGACTTTCACCAGAAGCGTTACAAAGGCCACCACTCATGTTGTTTCTACCGATGATGACTTTAACTCCGGCAGCAACAAGGTCACCACCGCACAGGCCAAGGGTCTTCCCATTATGATCCCATCATGGTTGCTTGACACCGACTCCGCAGGCACCAAGGTAAAGATGGAAGACTATCATTGGTCATCTTCCAAGACCAACGGCGCTGCTAAGGCTACTGCCAATGGCGCGTCAAAGAAAAGATCGCCTCCTGTAGACGACGACGAAGAGGACAGCCAACCCAGGAACAAGCGCGCACGAAGCACTAGCGTTGCTCCGTCTAAGGCGAAGCCCAAGGCTACCAAGAAGGGGGCCAAGGTCAAGTCAGATGTTGCGGCTGAGCTTGAAGAAGAAGAGGAGGAGGAGGAGGAGGAGGAGGAGGAGGAGGAGAAGCCAAAGACCAATGCTAAAGCCAAAGCTCCGGCCAGGAAGGGTACCAAGGGCAAGGCGGCAGTCAAAGCTGAACCTGAACCCGAGCCTGAGTCTGAACCCGAAGACGTGAAGGAAGAAAAGGTTGTTGCTGAAGGACAGTTTATCAAGAAGAAGGATATCGCCATTCCGCTTGATGAACATTGTACCCTTCCCACCTACCAGGTTTGGGTTGATCCCGACTCTGGTCTAATTTATGATGCCTCGCTGAACCAGACCAACGCTGGCAATAACAACAATAAGTTTTACCGTATTCAGGTGTTGAAGGATCCCAAATCAGCAAATTTCAAGACGTGGACCCGTTGGGGCCGCGTGGGAGAGATGGGCCAAAAGGCCATCCTCGGAAGTGGAAGTCTCGATGACGCTGTCAAGGTTTTCCAGAAGAAGTTCAAGGACAAGTCTGGCCTCTCCTGGGACGACCGTGGTGCTGATCCTAAGCCTGGCAAATACGCTTTCGTCGAGCGTAGCTACAACCCTGACTCTGACTCTGACTCGGACGACGACGAAGATGTTAAGGCTGTTAAGAAGGAGAACGGAGAGGACGAGGACACAGCTCCAGAGCCTGAATGCAAACTCGAGAAGCCTGTCAAGGAGTTGATGGAACTGATCTTCAACCAACAGTACTTCCAACAGGCAATGACTTCCCTCAACTACGATGCCAACAAGTTACCTCTGGGCAAATTGAGTAAGGTAACTATTACCAGAGGCTTCCAACAGCTGAAGAACCTTGCGGCTCTATTCGATAACCCTAATCTTGCTACCACCGAGTATAATATGAGCGTGGCTTCCGCTACTGAGCAGCTTTCCAACACTTTCTATTCGCTCATTCCTCATGCTTTCGGCCGTAACCGACCACCCGTTATTAATACCAACCAAATGCTCAAGAAGGAAATAGAGCTTCTGGAGAGCTTGTCGGATATGAAGGATGCAGCCGAAATTATGAAGATTGACCGCAAGACGAGGGATACTGTCCATCCTCTTGATCGCCAATTCGCGGGTCTTGGCATGGAAGAAATGACCCCTCTTGAACACAACAGCAATGAGTTCACACGTCTCAAGGACTACCTGAACGAGTCTAGAGGTGCAACTCACAACATGACCTACGACGTGAAAGAAATCTTCCGCATTGAGCGTGAAGGCGAGTTCAAGCGATTCGACGACTCTAAGTTTTCCAAGATGTCGTCCGATCGTCGCCTCCTTTGGCACGGTTCCCGAGCGACCAACTTTGGTGGTATTCTTAGTCAGGGTCTCCGAATTGCGCCGCCCGAAGCTCCCTCAACGGGTTACATGTTTGGCAAGGGAATTTACCTTGCCGACATGTCCTCCAAGTCAGCCGGCTACTGTTGTTCCTACAACTCTGGTGGTGAAGCACTACTTCTCCTTTGTGAAGCAGAGCTCGGTGATCCCATCCAGAAGCTTACCGGAGCAAGCTATGAAGCTGGCCAAACGGCGAAGAAACAAGGCATGCACAGTACTTGGGGTCAGGGCCGAACTGGTCCCAGCAAATGGATCGACGCTGGGGTTGTTCATGAGAACCTCAAGGGCATCAAGATGGTAAGTCTTCTGCTTGTCTGCTTTATTCAGCTTTTGCCTATCATTCCACTTCATATACTGACATTTACTTAGCCCGACCCCAATGTCAAGCCTGGGGACACCAATGTTTCCAATGCAGGACTGTACTACAACGAGTATATTTGCTACGATATCGCCCAGGTCAAGCTCCGCTACTTGCTCCGCGTCAAGATCTAGAGGCGTCGTCCGTGATTATTATGATGGCGGTACGCTTGGCCATCTCGAACTGTATCAGCAGCAATCTTCGATGTGGGAATTCCTCCTTATGATTTCATTCCAACCAATGATATACCGGATTGCCTGCACTATGGACGAATATCTATCGCGTGACGCGTTGGTGGTTTCTCTCTGTTTTACTAGGAAAAGCGACTTGTTTGGAATATGACCCAGTGTTATCTGGAATGAACTCATGTAATGGAATAAGTCAGGCGTTTATTTCGGCAGATATGAATCGATTAGTTCCTGTTTTATATTCTTGTCTCTCACACTGTTTCGAAGTCCGTTTATGTGAATACCTGAGAGACGAAATTAGTAGGTCACTTTATGCTCCTTAGAGTATAGTTATTAGGCTACTTATTTTTATACCCCAGACATAGGGACACTACTTGCCTGCATGGGTAACCGGAGATCACTCTTTGATATATGTTGGCACATCTGTTAAAGTCGTGATATACCTAGGATTTCATCAGGTCATCATTTCAATTTGATAAAGTCTAGCTTAAAATATCGGACCAAAACAACTCGTTCTATAAATGGCCTCTTAGTACATATACTGTTCGTCGACATCCGCCAAATATCCATTTATATCCTGCATTATGGCTGCATTATGAGCCCACGTGCTCATGTCCGATCCAGCACCATATGAAATACCAAAGAGAATGTTTGGATCCATGATAGGATCATTAAGGAGATACAATTCTCTTCCATTACCATCCATCGGCGGCTCAGGTGCGGTTTCACTATCTTCTGGAGATTCACTCGAGCTCAAAGCTTGTTCAGGTGGAGGCGCAGGGGCCGCATCACGACTGTCATCGACAAAATCAGATTGTCCCAGTAAACTGTGTATGGCGAGGCGCTGGCGTATATATGCGTCTTTGGAAAGTTTGGGTGGTGACTTGTGGGCAGTCTCAGTTGCTGCAATAGCGCGATTATCCAAAGACTCAACCCATGTTTTATGTTGCTGTACAACTCGCTCAAGTTCTTGTCGCTTTCATCAAGTCAGTTACTGCTACATCAAGTACAATGTCGGGGCTTACCATGGACCTCAGCTGTTCCGAGAAGCGAAAGTAGCGTGTGATAACATCCAAGCATAATTGGGCCTTACTAATAGCCATCTGCATTGACGGCCCTTTGTTGTCCTTACTAGTATAAGCCCCGAACAATATCAACCTGGCGGAATGATAGGCACAGATAGCTGCGTCAAAGTCAAGCAGATCCGTGTCGTTGTTGTGTTGGACAAAGTCCGAAAGAAGTTGGACGATTTGCTCGGCATGCGATAGACATTTACCCTTCATAAGCGCCCTTTCGGATGCGGAAATGCCTTCAACCGTAGCATGAGGGGTAGGCTCTGGGTATTCTGTGAGGAATATCCGATAAAGGTTACAGTGACTTTGATGCCAGCTCATGTGCTGAGGTTGTTAGTTGAGTTTGGCCTTTTTGTTGGGAAACTTACCATGACAGCACATTGAGGTGACCGGCGAGCCCCTCTGGGATCCGAGTCCAAGTATTGATCATAAGGAGAAAGCTTTGTTTTTAGGCGAAGAAGATCGGTTTGGAATCGTTCCATTGACGAAAAGAGATCTGAGAGGTTGGCTTCCTTCATAGATATTCTTCGACTGAGTCTCATGATAGCTCTTCGTATGAATGCTAACCGTACAAATGCAGCGCGAGGGCCTAACACATCTGGCTCGAATCCCTTGCCTGGTTGCAGGTAGCCTGTGCTAATGTATCGCTCTCGAAGGAAGTCAATATCTTCACATGGCAATTGAAGATATATGGTATCAGGATCGAATAGCTCAAACTCCTTCAAACCCACACAAAAACTATCTTCCAATAAGTACAGGGACCAAAACGTCCGTCTTCGTACTTCCTGTGCGACAGGGGTCAATTTGGAATGTTCGTAGTTAAGGCGTAGTGCTGCAGTCCATCTAGCTGCCAGGCCAGCCATGATGAAAGCTCTTGGGAACTGTCCAACTGCGGCTCGGTAGCGTATAAGAAGAAGTGATGCTTGGATCTTGAAAATAGAGGGTTCTTCGAGGCGTTCGAGGATAAGACGCTCGGCTTCCTGTGCCCAATTGGCATGCTTCTCATGATGCTTGTCAAAGTAGATGGATGTAATGGCACATAATGCCAGCTGAAGTGCTCGGTCAATAGTTCTGTCGCGGCATCTTTGAGTGACAGTGGCTTGGTGCAGGAAGCTGAAAGAAGGGAGAGGGTACATCTGGTCGAAATATTGATTGACCAATGGGACAACTAGTTCGTCTGGCAACGAATTTACGCCTTCAACAACAGTTACATTGGTCTCGTTCGCTGTCGAGCTAGAGGCGATGCTTGAGCGTCGGATTTCAGGTGAAGTGGTTTCTCGAGAAGCTGATTTTGACGAAGAGTCATCCCGGGACGAAGAAGCCTCGGTTGTTGTAGAACCAGCCCTTGATAAATATGTACAAGGCTTCTTCCTCCGCTGACAATTTGTACATCGCGGTGTATCTCCAGAGCATCGGACTTTCATAGTTCGACATTCTTGACAAGCTTTTGTGCCGCGACATTTTGGGGGAAGACGAGGGGCATAACTTCCACCAGAGCCGTCCTGCTCGAAGGAGCATTGGAAGTTGAGTCGTTCACAAGTGCGACATCGCGGCACTGTACCATCACATCGGACCTCCGGGAGTCAGTACCGGCCGACTACCAGGGAGGGTTAGGTTGCTGTAAATACCTTGCGCACTCGACACTGGACACATGCGGCTTTCATCTCAAGGCTGTACTGAAAGGTATGTAGTAAAATGGTTGATAATTCAGAGCGGTTGGCATTCCGAACCCGAGTAGAGTAGAGTGAGTATATCTTTGAGATTGTAAGTACCAACTGGACTGGTTTGATCGCGACGCCAAGTCTCTATCGTCGTTTATAAATACCAGACAATATCGAGTTGCACCATTTTGGTTGAATGTGAGCAAAGTAACTACGGCAGGCAGTTATGGGGATGCGAGAGGAGAATGCTTTCTCTCTATCCACAATGTCCACAGAAAAGAAGGAAGGTGCGTTATGAATGTTGGCTTAGTACCTGCCTACCTGCCCAAGTTCAGTTATCTACTTAGTAGCTCAGGCAACTGCGCACGAGGACAAGTACGGGTTTTGTCTGTCCTTCCTTCCTCTCACAAGAAAAACAAGCAAGGTGACATATTGAGCACGCCATTCTACTTGAGATAAGTATAATCGCTAGGAAGATTTAAACAAGGAAGCATCCAATAAAGCTTCTTGTACTCCCCGTCACATCACCAGGCCCTGTAATGGCGTGCGGGGGTCTCCACTACTCAGGGCGACTCCTGACCATTAAGAGATGTCTCTGGCCGATACGCGCATAATCTCCCGCTTTTCTCTCTTGATTAGCATACACTAACTCCCCGACGTCAATCATAATCCCTGTAGAGCGTCAAAACAATGCTTTGTTCTATTATTCTACTATGCCGTGGATGTCATCTACTATCAATTACGCTTGCAAATTTCCTAAATATTACTAACCTCTGAATCCTGTCGTTCCATGTTCAATACACATACGCTCTCCCATGGGCGTATGAATAGGCCCATATGTCCATCTTCCACCAAGACCCTGCACCGCATTCTTACGTTTATTTGCACTCATTGCTGCGACACCCTCTAGACCCCTAACCCACGGCGCATCAGAAACATACCACAGTGCCCCTGCTAGACTGCTGGGATCAACAGGCAAGTCTGGCCATTTGACCAACAGACTGGACAGCATGGCAACAACCATGACAAGCAAGATACCAATACTGAGACGAGAGCATATCTCGTGGGCATCGCTTGTTTGGGTGCGGTTGTACGGAACGTTGGCGAGTAAAATTGGGAGAAATTGTGCGAGGACGGTGGTGAAGGCCGTAAAGAAGAGGAGAGGATCTCGAATCCGCAGGGCAACAAACACACCCGAGACTGGATTGGTTGCTGGTGTCATCAAGACTGATCGCGTCGGTACTTGAGGGTCTTCAGCCATACGGCGGTAGGGTATGATGACAGCAACACCTAAACAAGATTAATACGAGGTTAGAATAAAGGTGGAAAGTAGACTCACTAGTAAACAGAAACTCCCAGCAGAAGATAACGATAACACCAAGGGCTGAGTAGACAAAGCGCACACCAAAGTCCTGACTCTCCATAAGCTTCTTCATGTTCTCAGGTAGTTTGCCAAAGGTATCGACAAAGTGGTAATACCCAACAAAGCCAAGAAGACAGATCAAAAACACAAGAAACGTGAAGCGGTACCAGAAGCTCAAAGCCATAAAAGTCTGGGGAGCCCTATGGCGTGTCTGTGGGCGATAGGCCATGCCTTCAGTATATGGCGTATTGTTGTAGGGGGCTGCGATGGGACGATCAATATCTCCGACGACAACAACGCCATATTCGTCACGTCCGTCTTGGTTGCGGAACCAACCCATGGCGAACCTCTTCTCGGTAATAGAACTCTTGAGATCTTTCCAGTCACTGGCCCCCATGGATCGAATGTCTGGGTTCCGAGCAACAAGAGCTGCCGTGTTGACTGCACACCAAGGGTTTGCATACACACCAGTGCGCCAATGACGGCTGATAACACTGAGTGTGAAAGCTAGAAGAATGGCGATTGCACCTAGGAGACCAACAAGTGCATAGGCCGCATTGTTAGAGACACCGAGCTCAAGAGCACAACCGTCAATAGCCCCCTTGCTACAGCGACCATAAATCTTTAGGCCGATGGCTTCACTGGATAGAGGCGCTACAAAACTCGATGACCATAGGGCCAAGGCTGTCAGGAAGGGAAGGGGTTGGCCGTTAAAAAGGAGTTTGAATGGGAGATAGATACTCTGCCAACCATCAAAGCTAAGAAGCAAAGCCTCACGACCCAATACACCGCCTTCTCTGGTGAGTGCAGCGAATGGCTGGTATTGTTGAGCAGCTTGATTGAGGGCACGGATACCCATAGCGAGAAGCACGGCAACGATGGGCGGAAGGAATTTTCCTATAAAATAATCCGATTGTGTGAGAGTATGCGTCGTAGCCTCGACAACGATACGAGTACCACCAGTAGGCGTGGAAACGTCGGTGATGACAACCTGTGTTGGAGGCATGGTCGTAACCCGTGTCGTACCAAGTGGTGTAGACACCGAGGTAATAACCTGGCCATCAGGAAGTGTCTGGACCATTGTTACTGGCGGTGGCGCATCGACAATCGTCTTGACAGTGGCCTCGACTTGGCTCGTTCGATACTTTGTAACGGGAGGCTCTGCAATCTTTCCCTCCGAATCAAGAGTGAGGACAGAGTAAATTGTCGTCGTTCCGACAGAAGCGTATACAATCGGGGGGCCAGTACGCGTGGTCTCCTTGACAGTCGTGCGAACCACGCCGCTTTCCATAACGGTGATGCTCGTCTTTGTTTGCGCAGCTTCTGTCACAGTGACTGGGACGTATGCATTGGTTGGCAAGCTGCCATCTTCAGCCGACGTGGGAATGTCTTCTACAGGCACTTCGGATGATGTGACATATGTAGTTCCTGGAATGGTTTCCACCAATGTGCGTGTGATCTCGCCCGTCTCCGTGATGGTTTCTGTGACGGATGTCACTTCAAGCGAGCCTGGCTTGGTTACCATTGTCGTGAAGAGTTCTTCGACAAGGGCAGTTGTCAGAGTGCCGCTTTCGCCATCGTCGGTATCTGAAGTCTTGTCTGCGGGCTCAGACTCGGAAACATCAGTTTCCTCGGGGCCGGAATCGGCTGCTGTTTCGGGTTCTGCTTCAGTGGCGGCGGTTGCATCTGGTACAGCATCTTGACTAACAATGTCCTGTCTTTTCATAAAGAAGAGATTGTCATTCGTGATTTGGAATGATCTGTTCTCGAGCCTTGTTGTGGTATCGGTTCCGTCCAGGGTACGTACAGCATATATGACCAACCCTATCAATGCCAGAAGAACAAGGATAAGAGCGCTGATAAAGGGCCATCGTAAAGGAATGGGTCGGTAGTCGGGTCTTTCTCGTTGTTTCTTGTCTGGTTGACCTGGATTTGCTTCGATAGGGTAGACTTCTTGTGCTGTGACAGGCTTGTACTCGTACGTGGGCTGCTGAGGCTGCTGAGGCTGCCACTCTTGGTTTTGCAGATATGGTGGTTGATACATGTTGCTGAAACCAGCTCTTAGGCTTGTGTATGCATCTACATGAAAACAAGATATTTGTGCGAGGGTAGCAGCATATAAACCACTGCCAGCACAAACTCGAGCGCACCGCCCCGTCGCCGGCTCTTCAAACTTCCGAGTGCCATAACTGCATTAGCTCACGGGGCAAGCGGTCATCGTACATTGATCATTGGTAGCTTTGACAACTGTCTGTGGCGTCTCCCTTGGAAAGCCCGAATTGTAAAATGCGGCGTCGCTATTGAACGGTAGAGGAAAGGTAATTGGGTCAACAGCCGAATGTGCTTGTAGGGCTGAGCCAAAAGGAGAAATGCCAAGACTGAGCTGAGTTAATGGAACGTCTAGACCACCACCATGTTTAAGCTTAATGAGGCAGGGGTGTCAGGGATTCAGGGGTGTTGAGTTGAATTTGGCAAGGGGTCATGCGCTGGCTGATACCAAGCTGAAGGATGAAGGTCGTGGGAAAGCAGGTTTAGCTGTCACAATGGATCTCAATAAATGATGATACGTGGAGTATACAAAGATTATTCTAGGGATAAAAGGCTCTAAACAGATGTAATTATGTATAAAAATTGGAAGCACAATCAAGACCTCAATTTGATAAAAGAAGCTCATTTCCACTAGTCAACTGGCTAGATTCAATAGTCGGATGCCTCTCCGTATAGAAACGGAGCGGCAGTTTGTTTAAGCTTAGCACAACGCTCGCATGCTACTAGGTTCTCGATAGTCTTTAAATTAATTATGTAACTTTATTTTCTCAAGGCAGATTTAAAACGCCTCAAATCCAAATCCAGATTACCCAACCCATAAACGCCATGACAGTTTCATCTTGAGTTCACCAGCCAAGGACGTTGAAAAGACTTGTTCGAGGATCAGGCACAGCGCCGTTGAATGTCTTTGCTCTCACGGATTCGCTCTTGTTGGTGTTGTACTGGCTAAATTGACGATCGAATGTGCGTGATTGATTGGTGAGTTGAGAGCGGACGTAGCCGCCAACGATGGAGATGCTTCCTACTGCGATAAGGACTGGAAGAACCCTAGAAATAATTGTTAGATTCTTTTTCTTTGTAAGGTGTAATTAAGAACATACTTGGGAGCAACAGCGGACTTGACCATGGGAATAGGAGCCATTTTAAATAAATTGATGTGATTGGTTGAAGTTGTGTAAGGTATTGATCGAGCTGAAGCTGTAATAGAGTTGCGATTATGAGAGATGCTTGTGATTGCTGGATGATGGTGGTGATGAATATTGAATCAAGAGCATGAGTATTTATTATTATATATTCCCCTCTTCAGCTTCATTTTCGTCAAATTCCGCCTCTTTCTTCAAGTCGAATGTTGATGTCCTATGCTGACCAGCCGATAGTAGGAAAAGTGGTGTTGTTTTTTGTGGTGCCATAATTGAGTACCATGCCATAGATCGACACTGCCACTTCGGGTCTTGCCGGGGCCTGTACCATTGCATTGGGTCTCCAATACGACTTTGGTGTCAGAGATGTTTGGAAAGAAACAATTTTGGATCATTATACAGTAGGTAAATATACTACATGTCTGTTCTTATTTTGTTGTTCTATAGTCTAATGAAATGGCCGTAGAGGAAGTTGTCGGCGTGGCTTTAACAACAACAAATGCTGTCAATATAGATGCATATCTGAGCTGTAGGAAAATCAATACTGCATCTCTCCAAATTTCCTGTCAAACCTGTTAGACCATACTCGATGCAAATCATCATTCAGATCGTCTCTTTGAACTGACCAATAGTGAAGAAACCCTCAGAATCTGGGGCCTCCGAAACATCTGACCATGATCCGGCCCCTACCGAACCCACTAAATTGTCCCGCAAAGTCAGGCCATCGTCCGGTTCTCGACATATCCAAGACCAGACAAACTATTTTTAACTGATCACAATCATCTCATAGCATCATTCGTTCTACTACTGTTTCTAGAGTATGGACATGCATAGTTTCTTTCTAACAATATAGCAGGCCATTCGTCCAAATATTTACAGTCAACACAATCAATAGATTGCTGAGAATTTACTCAAAAGACAAACAGTCAGAAGCGTAGTCAAGAGATCAGGATGTATCATTATATACAATTACTGGCGCTTTCACAGGCCAACACCATTGTATATACAAGTGCTCATATGGTATCAATCATACAAAACCCCGTACTGCCATCCAATCGATACATCGCTTCTCATAAACATCATCTACATCTCAAATCGTATCAATCATATCCTCAATTTCCTCTATGAAGCATCCAAAGAAATCTTATAGACGCCCAAGCGCCAAACAAAAAAAACACGTGGGTATAATACTTTCAGCGACACCAGCAGTAACTCAACTCAACTTAACTCTCCTCAACGACCACCCATAAACTCATTCTGTCGCAAGAAGCTCGTCGCCAGCTCATCACCTCCATGCTCAGCCGCTTCCATCCAGTGAACCGCGACACACATCAGTCCTGGGTCGCTTCTCACATCGCTCTCCTTGCCTTCACCTCCGCCACTCGAGAACCCTGTGCGTCCTCCACCATTGCCCAAGCGGCCATACTTGTCCATGACAGTTTGTTTAAACACTTCGCGTGGCTTGGAGAGAGGGAGCGTTGTTCGCTCAACGTATTCCGGGTTAGAAAGGTAAAACAGCGCAAGCTCGCGCTGCGCTGTTGGGAATCCTTCCTTAGCCGTGATTGTCCACATCTTACCCGCATCATCTAGTTTGTATGTTGTTGACGGCGGTGGTGGTGTGCCTGTTGTTGATTGTGGCACATCTGCTATCGTATTATCGTTAGGTTTTCGCACATGCGTGTGTGCTGCAACCACTTCGTCCGCCATCTCTACCATGGTTCGGCAAACCTCTGCCTTCAGCTTGAGTGCCGCCAGAGCAGTGTTCCAGAAAGCTTTGCCGCGTTCCTGCTTATCCAACACAGAAGGTGGAACAAATGATGCAATGAATTGCAAGTCGCGGAAGATGGTCTTTGGCCGAATCGATGCCTCTCTGAACAGTGCCTGCAGCTCCTTGGTGATGATATCGGTATTGACGTTACCTCCCGACATGATCGACCTCGTCTCGGAATTGGTTTGGCGAGGGCCAAAGAACGGCGTTGCAAGTTGAGACTGAAGTGCCTGCGACCGGCGTTCTTTGACATTGTCAATCGTCCCTTCCAAAGGTGTAGGGCGAGCGTTGGTATTGTGCTCTGTCACCACGCTTGATCCAGCATCGGACCGGTTCCATCGAGGCCTCTTCTGCCCACTCGATTGAAGAGCAGCCACAATGAGATTCTCCAACTCATAAAGGGCATTCAGCTTTGCGTAAGGATTGGGATGAACGCAAAACATGTTGAGTAGCCGCTTGTATGCCTTCTTGAAAGGGAACTCTGTCTTGTCTTTTTCCTCCTTAGCTGCGGAAAGACGCGGCGTCGAGTCGTTGGTGCTCGATCCTTCATTCGAATTCTGAGGAACGCCTTCCGAAGTCTCTGACGCACGCTCAGAGTTGTTATCACCAGCACCTCGCAGGTTACCAAAGCTCTTCTTCTTCTCAATGACTCTTGGTCGACCTGAGCTTCGCTTCTCCTTGATCTCAGATCGACGTCGAGCTCGGCGGTCAAGAGCATCTTTACGATCGATACACTGTTGCCCCAGCGTATCAAACCAGCCATCTGTTTCAGAACCTCGAGAGAAAACTTGGTTGCCGAGGTCTGAAAGCAAAAGACTGGTCAGGGACTGCCTCAGTTCGTTAAGGAAGCGCGTCTTCTCATCATCCACTCGCTGGTGCTGGAATACTGTCTCGTTCGAAGAGGCAGAAGTACCAGGACGTCCAGTCGAGAAAGTCGAGTTGGAGGGAGCGGTACCATGTTGAGAGTGAGAAAAGGTCGTAGAGAGGTTCGTCATGCTAGTTGTAGGCGAGTACCCCCGAGAAGCTCCGGAACTGGGAGAAGTGATTGGCTGGAATGGTGACCAGAAGGTGCTGGCTGAATCATTGGTGTGCGCAGGCGAAGCTCGATCGAAGTACTCTTGCCCATCAAGAATATCCGACAATGCTGAGCTGGCTCGAGGCATACTCTGTCGCACCGAGTCAAGAGACTGCTGGCTAGGATTGTGCATTGATAGCGATCTCAGATCCCGAGCGAGTGAGTTTGGTCTGCTTGATGTTGGGCTGAACTTGCGATCTTGTTCGCTGATGATGCTGCCAGAGTCGTCTCCAGTCCACGACATTTCCTTTTCTCTGGCTCTTGCACGGTCGTAGCCATGCTTGTCACGCTTGTAGAGCTCGCTCGACCACAAGACTGGCGCATCTCGAATGGTCTCGCCGACCAATCTAGAGATACACTTGTCCACCTCGTAGCAAAATCTGTGAATTCTCTCTTCACCCATGCAAAAGTTCTCGATGCCACGGTTTTGAAGCCATGCTGCAGTAGCCTCAGCAGGGTCATCGCTAAGCTTATTTGGACCACCCTGCTCTTCAGACGCTGCTAGAAGGTCCATGATCTGAGATTCAGTGCGATAGAGATAAGACGAGCTTGGTCCTCTAGCCATGTGGGCACGAGATCGTTGGAAAGAGTTCCAACGTCGAGGCATGCCCATAGTCTTGAGTGCTTGGCAGATATCACGGCTGTGCGCGTACTCTTTTGAGTTTCGCACGTCTGTCACATACCACATCTTGTCGCGTACGGCCCGTACACGTTTCATCATGCGGTCAATAATGCCCTCGTGGCGTTCTTGGCTCTGTTTGAGCCAGACAAGCCAAGCATCGTACTCCTCAATGGCAGAAGCAGAGCGGCGGATCGAATCTCTTGGTCCACGAGAGAAAATGTTAATGAGAACCGCAAACCCGTTTGCCCGTAGTGAAGGGGATGCAAGGGCACTGAGTTGGTTGAGGGTCTTCCAATATTGGTGAGATGAGACAAAGTCTGCCAGAGCTTTAGATTGTGCTGAGGCTGCCTTGAGCATAGTAATCAAAACAGCTTCCGACTTGTCATCCTTGGTTTCCGACTCGGGGATTGATGGATGTCGCTTCTCGCTTGCATCTTTGTCCATGTGCTTTCTGTACGGATTGCGGCTGGCCATTGACATTGACCGCTCAGTGGTGATGATTCGCGTTTTGGACTTGTACCGCTTGAGACCGGAAGCACGATTGCTAAGCTGTGTCCGGCTGTTCTCTGGTTCAAGGCTACGAGGAATCTCGTAGTCTTCCACCAGCTTGAGGATAGAATCTCTGAGTTGGTGGTAGTCCTTGTCGAGCTCAGGTCCGTCCGAGGCATCCTCCTCATCAGTGTCAGTACTAGACGAGTTTTCTTCATCGTCTAGTTCGTCATCAGGGTCGAATGTCATGTTAGTAGACAAGCTCTTTCCATCAGAGGAAATGAAAAGTACAACCCATCGCTCAGCGCAAGGATGACATGAACCACGAGTGATATCAGAACCCAAGTTTTGAGTCATCTCGTGTAGTGCCAGGCGCAGTCGATAGCCGTCATCTTCATATTTGTTCAGGCGCCTCTGCAGCTCCGAGTCCATTGCTGGAGGAGAGTAACGTTGAGGTGTTACCGAAGTCTGCTCGTCTAGGTAGTCATCCCTTGTGGTCGAATCACTGAACACTGAAGAGACACTGGTGCTGATGATAGAGACAGTGTCGAAGTTGCTGTTCCTTGGGTTTGACATGGAAATAGGCTGGGAAATGGCCGACATGCCCGAGACGGAGGCTGGGCCTGATTTAAAGCTGCCGGAAGCCGAGTGTGGTCTTCTTTCTGGGAAGATGGCATTAATCAAGGTTGCAAGATCGGCTGGGCTAATGACCAAGTAGGGGTGAACCTCCTTGGTTTCTCTCAGGGATGTAACGGATCTCGCCGGAAGTAACTTGGCAGCCGGGGCCTTGGATCGTGATCCCTGGAAACGGGCGAGGATGCTTTCCACATGGCCTTTAATCTTTGGTGGTACATCCACTGGGACACAGGTGGCCGAGGGCTTACCACTCCACATGCTGGAGACATACTCATGAGCCTTCATGGCTACCTTTTTCAGAATCTTCTCACGCGCATAAGGTGTGATGTGATACTCGGCCAACATTCCATAGGACTCCGGATGGATAATGACGCCCAAAAGGAAGACGAAAAACAGGCACCTCCAGACCAACCAGCGAGAGGTGTTTTCGACATACTTGTGGTCGAGCTTCTTCAGAATGGCATTTCCTAGCTCCAAAAGTCCTTCAGGTATTCCAGTGGCATCCTCGTCGTCGACAAGCTCAAACAATTGGTTTACGGCTCTCTCGTAGAACTCCTTAGCTGCAACCTCGTCCGAATGGTTCCAGTCAGAGAGGTTGAATCGGGTACCATGTTGGTCCTCGGCCCGGTCCAGCAAAAAGGCTCCATCTTCAAGAATCTTCATTAGGTACCATTCCATATTGGATTTTCCGGACCAGTCACGCATTGCTGTCCAAATGTTGAGAACTGAAATCAGAAAGTGCTCTCCGGTGGATTTGGGTTCCGAAATCAGTCGCGCCAAAGCCGTAGCCCAGATATCGGTTCGTCGTTGGTCCTCAGAACTATCAGGTCCAGCGGAATTGGCAAAGCAGGTATGGATAAGAATGGAGAGCGGATCGTGGCGTTGGAAAGACAACAGTCGCTCTATGTCCACAGCAGTGCTGTTCTTGGGCGCACTTGCGTGGACTCTTCCTCCAGAACGGCCATGGAAGGGAAGGACTGATTCCACAGGTTCCAAACCTTTATGATAAGTCAAGAATGAATTCAACTCGGAGCTTGACAGAGAGCATATACGAGTGGCCAAATAATCAGGGTTTGTACGGAGTTGAGTGAGAAATTCCAAAAACGTATCCCGAGCAGAAGCAGAAATGTCGTGTAAAAATGGTGTTATCGATTTGAGAGGACCAAGAGCTGCCGAGTTAGTGGGGGTATCCAAACTTTCAGAAGATCCAAGACCGCCATTGGCAAGACCCTCCATCTCGGGGTCAAGAAGGGCATAACGACGGAGCTCGTCGCAGCTGTTGCGTACATCATGGATGGCGCTATAAAGGGCAGAGAAGTTCTCCTTGTCGTCACGACGGAAACTGTCGACCAAATTACGATGAGCTATTTCCCCGCAGCGGGTCAAGCGGGCGCTGAGGGCAGTAGAGACCAAATTCCTCTGAAGACGCAGACGATTGTTGGCGCGCTTGCGCTCCTGGTACTTGGACAGCCGCACTAGATGAGCCAGCTCCTCAAGAGTTGTACTTTCGGATTCAGGCGACAGGTGTGGGTTTGTGTACTGCGAAACGTCTTGCAATAACGGCTTGAATTTAGAAGAAGATTCGTTGTCGTTTTCGTCCTTGCTAAGCTTCAGGCATGAGACTCTTGGACTGTTTCTTGGAGATGGTTGGCCAGGCATATTTGGTTGTGCCACAATTGGCTTTCGGGAGGACATGACTGGTGACTGTTGGTGAGCATGACCCCGATGGTCTTTGCTGTCAGAGTTCCGCAAGTGCTTTTGGGTGTTATCGCGGGTTGGGCTAGGGCTCGGCGAGCGTCGTCTTCGTGATCGAGCGGGTTGCACATGGATATCGACAGACGGAGGGGGCGACCCCGAGTCTTGTGCATCAGTAGGGGAACCAGCTATAAAGCCAATCATATCAGCATAACTGCAAGGCATGCAGAGCCAGAATCGAGTTCAGGCCAGAGACGGGCTAGGGAGTAGCAACGTCGGAGACGTACTGGGAGCAGAATGAATGCGAACTGGTGAAGACAGAGATCTTTGCATAGAAACCATTTCGAGCTTTGAGGAGACTGCGTCGCAATCGCGCAGCTATAGCAGCTTTCTGAGGCGCCGCCCACGGGCCTTTGAACAAAAGTATATGGCTCGAACAGATTTCGGCCGAGGCGAGTCGCAAGTAAGATGGTTGTACGAGGATTCGAGAGTGAGCGCTAGGCCTGCCAGCGAAGATCGGACTGGATAGATAGTAACAAGGCGCGGGAGGTTGGAAAGATGATGGCACGATCGTTCCAAGGTGCTTTAGCGTATGAAGTATTGGTCGGATCACGGGCTGAAGTTGCACGTTCTAAGAGAACACAATACAAAACAAAACACAGAGAGTGTTGGGAGGGAACAGGTCCTTGGTACGCGAAGAGAAGAGAGGAGAGAAGAGAGAAGATGTGGGAGGTCAGAAAAGAGTTGAAGTGGGAGGTGGGGGAGAAGTATCGTGGGAAAGCACGGCAATACTATACACTATGGATGGAGAGAAACAGACCGGTAATAACGAAAAAGGGCCTCACAGCTGGCACTTATCGGTTATGCCGACTGCGTAGTCGCTAGAAACAAGACGGACGTCTCAAGACCGATACAGGTACAGGCACAGACAAACACGAACGCAAACTTGGCTTGGCTTTGGACAACGAGATCGGGCTGGCTGGGCTGGTAGGCTGGGCTGGGATAAGGGTATGATCGAATATGATGGGGTAGAGGTATCCCAAATGGACCCATCCGATTCACTCTGCCACTAAAGTTACTCGCTATAACGGACGGGAACAGGCGGTACGGGTACGGTAGTGGAGTGGATACAGCACCGCCTTTTACAGTGGTAAAGTTACAGCGTTGGCAGATGTGGGTTGATGTGCACTAAGCTTATTTCGGAGGGAGCGAAGGCGGTAATGCGGGTGAGATTGAAACACAATTGGATCAACGACTCCTTTATGGGGTCGGTACCTGAAGCCCTGTGCGATTCGCACGTGTCATTCAGCGCCTGGCTTGGTTTTGTATTGTCAGGGCAAGGCAAAAGGCAAAGGCAGAGGCAGGGCAGGGCGAGGTCGATAGGTCGGGCCGGGTCACAGGGGGAGGGCAGAGGTGTGCGTTGGCAAGTCTCAGCGCTACGGACATGAGTTTGGACATGTTATCTGTCGTCTGTTTACTACCTACCAAGTTAGTAAACCCTCAAGCGATGGAAACTAGACTGCCTACTACCTTGGTAAGCAAAGACCCAAAGCTCTCTCTTCGGGAACCATCATGGTCAACTGTGGACCTTGAAAAGAGCCTCCAACCTTGCTATGCACGCCTATACGCCCTGTCAAGAACACCTGTTTCCCATGTCCCATCATGGCGGTAGAGTGGAACAATGCACCCACTCGAGTCAACAAGTCATGATGGGACAATAATGGTAGGACAATGACATGCAGGGCTTAGTTTTGTTTATTGTGCGTACCTAGACAGGTATTGAGGAATGCAGTGTACCTACATATGTTCTCTGCTTGAAATCGAGATGATTTTGTAAATCTTGAATCCTAGACGCAAATGACAATATGATTGTGCTGTATGTGTATGTATGTATCATGGTTTTTGGTGTAACTCTGAAGCTCTGAGTTGTCATTGCATATAACCAAGCAAAGACCATTCGCCAAAAAAAACTGGACCAAGAATTATGTCCACGAGGATAAGCGAGGGATTTCTATCGAGAACAAAATCCAAAACAAAAAATGAGTGATAATAAAGAAAGGGAAAACAAATACATACATGCGTGTCCTCCCGTGTTCGGATTGAGCGTTTCGTTTCTACAGTTAGTACTTGTGGAAACAAAGTTACCCGACAACACATACATTTAATAGTGGACAGGGTATATTTACAGTGGTTGATAGAACCTCACGGTCCATTCAGATGCCGCACGATGTTCTTGTTTGAAACAAAACATGATCCTCTTAAACTTAACATGAGACAGAAACTTTCAACTTGTTACCCATCCAACAATACTTTCCTCTTAACAATTGCCATCATGTTCCTAACAGACTAAACATCACACAATGTACATGTACCAAAAAGACCCCCCTTCCCCTCTCACGCACATCAATCAACCAATCTAATTGCACCACGCCAGTTCTTTCTATGCAAAGCAAAGACAGCAGTTGCTGTAGAGTTGCAGCAACCGGGCTGGGCTGTGTGCCAACTGCCAACGCATCCCTCCTTAGACGCCAATCATGCGCCGACCTCCACATGCAACCCTCTTCCAATCACCGACTGCCAGACCAATTCTTTGCGCTGAAAAAGACTCTTAGAAACCTTCACCGAAAAGGTCCTGACCCATTCATATCTGTTAGACAGACCGACATGCCGACTTATGCAGCCGCATTCGGCCTGATGCCTATTACTCGCTAACAGGAACTTATTCTCAGCTGGTTCTAACCCCAACTCGCCACTCTAATGCAGCTGTTCTCATTCGTCTGTTACGATAAAGTAAACAACTCATTCGTACTACCGTACATTACTTTCGATACCGTCCTATCCTGTCCTGTATAATGTATACCGGTGCGGTGCGATGCAGTGTAGTACGGTGCGTTGGCCATGCTGATCCACCATCAAAGCTCCACCGCAACTTTGTCGACATCTCACGACGACTTCATCCGACTACAGCCCCCAGCTTTTCCCCGGTATCCTGTCTTCTATCAACCGAGCATGATTCTCTCTTCATGCACGTCAGCGCGTGGTCTATTCTCAGAGCGATTTACAGGTTCATTTGTGGCGTCTTGTGAACCAACTCATTGAAGCTAGTCATCCACGTCGTCACCCATGTAGTCATCGACCTACTTGTCAACTCGTTACTATCAACACCTCCTATCAAGCAGATACACCTCACAACGACATCCCCAGAGCCGCCACTTTCATTCTGGACACCGTTTCCTTTTGACTAGCTCGATCGATAGCGGCTTTCCAGAAGAGCAGACACATTTGCCATCCATCTTTTACTGCCTTGTTTACTTCGCCTACGTCTCCGACTGGTCGATTCACCAGCCTATCCCCATGATGCAAGCCTTGCTTTGGCAACGTACCAGACATCCGGTATTGAATGCATCCGCCGGCATGTCTCATATCTCATCACACTAAAGCATTGCATTAGAAACTTGATAGACGCATAAATTCGTGGATGCATAACTAAACAGTAAAGTGACTACATCTTCACCAAATAAGGGTATAATATCAACGCTCCAATCAAAACCCAACCCTGTGCCATATTAGGCATGCTGTAACTTTCGCACGAACATGTGCGCTCACTAAACCACCACTTTGTTCATGTACTCAATATACTTTCCATCCTTTTTAACGGCTTGGGATCCTATTAAATTCCCCTCCCAAACCGAACATCAAAATCCTTCAAGACGCTCATTATACTTGCTGCTTCAACCTCAATAGGCATCATTGAGCCAGGAGGAGCTGGCCTGGTACCAGGTCGTGGAGTAGCCTTGAGCTTGGGCAACCAAGATCCGATATCGTCTGCCGCCTTGGAGAAGTTGCGATGACTAGATAGTGTTTGATATGCCTCGGCACAGCTCAAGCCTAGACTAGGGAGACTTGGGAGGTTGATCTTTTCGGGTTGTTGAGGTTGTTGGGATTGTTGGGGTTGTTTGGGCTGAGACTTGCAGCATCCACCGCCAGCACCCTTGCCACCACAGCAACCTCCAGAGCTACCGTCCTTACGGGTGAAGTTAGCGGCCATGAGACGACAGAAGAGTCCAGATTTGGGGTCAGCCTGGCACTGAGCACATGAGCCGGGTCCCTTTGGACCGCAACCACTTGGACGCTCAGTTGGCTTGGGCTGCGTGCGACGGGGGAGCTTGACAGCTCCATCGGCGGTCATCTCCATCGCAAGCATAGGCAGATCAGTCTCTTCAGGAGGAGGGGTTTGAACCTGCTGAGAGATGGGAGGAAGGGTATCATTAGGAGTCATGGCGGGAGTTGCCAGTGCTGTATCGGCACAAACGCAATACGTTCCATCTTTGCAAAAGCCGCAGCCATCTCTGAACGGCATAGGATCCATGGAAGGGAGTTGAGAGGGGGCAGAGAAGGCCTCTTGAACAGGCTTGCGGGAGAACATGGCTGTATAATCAGTCTCTACTGTATCATGTGGACTGGATCGGTGTCTCTTCTCATGCGATACATCCGCAGACGGTGAGACAGGACGCTTGAGTTCCTGAGATCGATCGAGGGCTTCAGCCGCTTCGTCGAGGCACTGACAGGTGGACGAGAGACTGCATTTGCCGCAACCGCTTTCGGCTGTCCTCATCACCTCTTCTGCGCACGCACAATGTCCGTTTGGGGAACAATTGCCGCAGGTAAGGGTAGTCTCGGGATCATGGGACGAGTTCATGTCAAGGGTTTCTGGGGGGGAGATGATTTGTGATATGGAAAAGGAGTGACCTGGTTGACGGTCAGGTCGTCCATCGGGCAAACTGTGTCTTGGTCCTTGACTTGTAGGACTGTGCATTCCATCAAAAGAGTGTTGAGCGCTCATATTTCGTGACTGAAAATTTGAGTTGAAGATGCCGTCATCCAGACGACGCTTGAGAGTTTCAGCTTCTGTCTCAACCCTGATACGATCTTGTCTTTCCCGTTCAAGCATATTTTCAAGCAACATGCATCGGGACCGGTAGGACTGAACATCAAGCTCAAGTTCGTGAATTTTATCCTTGAGATCCGTCTCATGCTTTTCCTGAACCTCACGTTGCTGATCAAGTTGTTCCTCAAGTTCACCAACACGGGCAGCCCTCCGCTCTCGGAAAGCCCTTTGAGCTGCGCGGTTTTGAGCCTTGCGCTTAGTTGGTGGCGTATCGGTAGCAGGCTTCCTGCCAGGCTTGGGTCTAGGGGGGATCACCCATTCTTTGGAAGTCATAGACACCTTTGGAGGCTCCGGCGGAGCCGGACTGGGGCTGATTACAGACGACATGGCCATCTTGTTGATAGATGGAAGAGCAGTGCGCTGATGAGGTTGTGTGGGTGGAGGTGGTTTCGAATTCGGCTTAATGGAGAGTGGCGTTCTGTGGCTGTGGAGCCCGGTCGTGGCTGGTGACGCAGGTCCAGGTGCAGCTGAGATAGCACGACTTCTTGTTCCAGCTGGTGAAAGTGCGATGGTAGGAGTTCCTGCCCCTGGAGACTCAATTGACTGTTGAAGAGATGATGCCGACATGATGGAGACGTGGACGAGTAATGAATATTGTGGTCGTTGCGGAATCGGATCTCGGTCGGTCGGTTGAGCCAACTCGGGTCGAAGAGCCGAGAAGGTAAATTCGTGTTGTAAAACTCGAAGGACGTGTCGGCAACTGGGTTGGGAATATTTTGTTTAGGATTGACCAAAACAACTCATCAACGGTGGTGACGATGAAAGATTGGTGGAAGATTGATAAACAGATTGATAAGATTGTTTGGGGGTCTGTCTGACGCAAGCTACAATGTGACAGCTCGGTGCGACCTCGGCTTTAGTCTCGGCTGATTTATACGGCTGAGAGCCTGGGAATCTGACTGACAATGTCTTGATGGACCCATGCGCGTATGTACCAGCAGAAATTTCAATCAAGATCAAGATGATAACAGCGTCAAGTAAGAGGGTAGAAGGGTAGTAAAGAAGGGAAATGAATCGCGGGGTGCGTCGTTGCTTTTGTGCCCCGACCACAACCGACGGTTGGGAAACCAATGGTCCGATTCCAGGAGTCGATAGTGGATCTGATCAGATTGATAAGATTTGATTGATAAAAACTTTGCAGACAACACTACGCCAGGCCATAATCCCCATACGCCAGGCACACATCGCGACATGGAGACAACACGGCCATCTATTTAGAGGATGGTTTACCAGATTACGACCAAGTTGACGTGCCAATTTTCTCGTAATCTCATTGCTGGCCGTCAAATTATTTAGGCATCGAGTTTCATGAAAACAATTCAATCAGTCATAACTTTGTTGGCTCCGCAGCGCCTTGACCTCTTTCGGTTTCTCCCCACCCAACACCCAGGTAGACTATGAACCGCGACTGACCCCAACGACGTCGACCACGCTCCCCAAACAAATGACTAACAGGCAACCTTCGAAACTTTTTTCTTTCTTTCGAGCATCAGTAAATAGCGGAGAGATTGATAAATTGATGAATATAATGGTAGTTGACGTGACGTCGCAGCGTACAAACATTCTCGTCATAATGCAACAGTAAGGGGGATTATCACTGGCGATCTCCAATAGCTGTCCTTTATTGAATGGATTGCCTCCACTGAAGACCCCTCAAAACATGGACCTTGAACTTCTTGAACTAATCCGAAGCTCGGGGTTCACCTGGAACAAGCCGGCGTAAGTCGGAATTGCACCAGGTGATTTTGTAGCCATCAGATAAGATCCGGTCAAGACGTCTTACTGCAGTTAGTGCCAATCATAGGATCTTTATCCTCCGACTTCGCTTGGATTCATGTTGAAACGCTGAATTTGTTCTGGAGGCATTGCAGCCGTTATGATACCAGCCCGCTCACGTGTGATGTGTTATAGCCGGAATTCAAAGGCTGATCATATGCCTGTCTCGATGGATTTCGATATCCCTTCCTGCAAAGAGCGCCTCAATGTCTCTTACAGATCCTGAGAAGGTAATATGATACTGAAGCGATCTTTAGGTCTTCATGTTTCCCTCTCCTTTTGAATGGGAAACTAATAAGTGGCAAGAGAAACTGCAAGACTCCCTCATTCCTTTAAACGTGTCTTCCTCGCTGATTGCGTTTGATAGTCACTCAGATCTTCAGCCACGAGGCAACCCTCGGTAACGTATGCTTGAACTCGGCTTTTTTAACGTAATATGAATCCGCTCTTTGAACATCTTTTTGTCTTGGCCACTCTTTCTACCACCAACTACGACTGTGTTCGTAATGATTTGATCCCTGGTATTAAGCACATTATCCACTAAGTTAAGCCGCTTGTCTGTTGCACGGAGCAGGTCTGGATCACCAACATCAGAGAGACAACCAATGAACGAAGCTTCGGTTCACGGAACTGAGGGGTTCCATATAAGGTGATTCTGACGACCGGAAAATTTAAAGAGACTCAAACCACGGACGTGGGCAACTCAGGGGTCTAATGCTTGAGAAAGATCTGTGTCAAGGGTACTGTTTCTTCTGGTCGTTCGTGTTCGTGTTCAAATATGCACTTTCACCTCCGACTTTGGAATGCAAAAGCCCTATCACAAGTTATGCCTGCTTGCAGAATGAGTATAGGATGATATGACGATAAACATACAGCGAAATAGATTATGTATAGATATCTTAATTGTTTCAAGACCATCCAACTTGTAGGAAACATATCTCAAGTACATCATCTGGGGTTTATCGATAAGATCAATAACTCCCTATCAAAGTTAGCGCCGTCGACGGGTCGAAGGTCCCTCCACCAAACCATGCCACCTCACCTTTAGTGCTTCATCTAGACACTTAAAGACGACAAAGACGATACCACCACCGCAATTCACAATGGCTGCCGCGCCAGATCCTCTCGCGTCATCAATGGCGGGCCTTGCCGTATCTAAGCAATTCACACTCTCTAGTTCCGACTCTTCATCCGTTGACGACGATGCTCCTCTCCCATTCCCTGAAGCTCTACCTCGCGCCGACTTTCTCGCTGAAGACTTTCAACCTGCTGCTTACCTATCCGCTTTACCGAATCGTCACCAAACACTCGAGGATCTAAGGTCGGACCTGCGCGACCGAAGCGCTGCTATTAGCTCTGAGCTGCTCGAACTCGTCAATTCAAATTACACGGCGTTTCTCTCCCTAGGCAGCGAGCTACGTGGCGGCGACGACAAGGTCGAAAATGCCAAAGTTTCTCTGCTAGGCTTTCGCAGAGCTGTTGAGGAGGTCAAAACAAAAGTGACGGAGCGAAGGGAAGAGACTAATACTCTCAATGGGGAGCTACGTGGTGTGCGATCTGCTATCGAAAAGGGCCGGAAGATGATGGAGGTATCTGAGCGGCTTACATCCTTAGAAGAACGACTCTCCTTAGACAGTTTGCCAGCCGATGAAGATTGGGATGAAGATAGCGAGGATGAAGATGAGGACGACAACTACGGAAGTTCAACTGCGAAATTGCTCACTTCGGCTCAAGAATGTAGCCGAATTACAAAGCTTCTCGAGTCCATGGACCCCGACACACCATATGTGATCAAGATGGAGGAACGTTTGACACGTTGCAGGAACACATTGCTGATAGACTTGGGCAACGCGCTGAAAGAAGCCAAAAAGGCTGGCGTCAAAGGTCAGGACAGAGTCCTCAAGTGCCTGGCGATATATAGAGTGCTAGATGCACAATCAGAGGCCGTCAAGGCTCTTCGAGGTGGTTGAAGATAGATTTCACTGCAAATAAAATTCCAATGATACCCACGACCACCCAAAAGCTCTATTCGTTAATATGACATATGATACAATTATACAAGCCCGCAAGCTACTTTTACATGATGCTCGACAAAGCCTCGGGGGTAATCTTCTCATCGGCATCTTTTAGGTTTCCGTTCAAGCTGATACCTGGTCCATGTGTTGTGCTGAGAATAACCTCATGGACTTCCTTATGCACCTCCTCTGAAATCTCGGTACACTCTGCCTTGATCTTGGCCAGCAACACCTTGATGTTGTTCTTGAGCTGGTCGGGCGAGTATCCCAATTGTCCAATAGCCAGACGAATAACGCCCTGTCTCTCACGATAATCGGCAGCACCGGCAGAGTCTCGCATAGACTTGACGACATCGGGAACAATGGTTCGCATACGCTTGCTGGGCATGAGACCTTTAGGACCGAGGATCTTTCCCAGACCGGCCTTGTTGAGGGCAGCCTCGCTGGCTTCGTGGCAAATAAGTCGGTCAAAGTTGATCTTTTCTTGTCGGATGGCTTCGAAGAGGGTCTCTTGACCAACGGCCACAGCACCTGCGGCGGTGGCTTCACGAGCGATCTCGCTGCCTTCGGGGCAAACAACGGCGATTTGCCAATCGCTTTGGACAGGGTGAGGTAGACGGACGCTGTTCTTGATGACAGGGCCGTTACGGGCGGTTTTGAGGTTGATGTGTAGCTCGTACTTGATCGAAGCGGGGGGTTCGCCGACCTCAACGGCGCGGAGGATTCTACGATGTGTTAGTCTCTGCTCTCAGACCCGAGTCCGTAGCTCCCCACTGACCTCATAGCTTCACATAACGAGTACTGAGGGAATTCCCTCTTGTTCAGGTTATGTCTCTTAAAGTCCTTAGGGAGTGGCTTCTTCTTCTTCGCTGTCTTCCTGATTCGGACCACTGACGCCTGTCGAACTTGTTGGGCCGCTGCCGGGGCGAGGAACTTGGGTATCGAGGGAATTGCCGGTCGAGGAGTCTGGAGGAGGGATAGCCTGGCCATTGAGGCCAAGCAACGGTCGATTGGTGCCATTATACGTCGGGATTGAGAGCTCTGGCGGACCGGCCCTTGATCGTAATATGGAGGCGGCGCAAAAAGTCGAGGTTGCTCCAAAGGTTCTGAAGTGGGCCTGGGAATTCAGGCGCCTATACTTATCGATAAGCTTCTCTTTAACAGCCTGGACACCAACATGCATTTTATCAACAGCATTACTTTCTTTACTAATTTTGTGCAATGAAAAATTGTTCGAGAAGTCAATAAATTTAAATACAACAATTAGGTCTAAAAGCTATATCTATAAAATCCACACACTCGCTCAGTCAACGCACACAAGCATGTCCTTGATCTTCTCCAAGACGATCTTCTGTCTCGCAGCATCAGCTGTAGTCTTATCGGCAGCATCTCCAACACTAATAGAAGCATAACAGCCACTCTTAAGAGCGATCTCAGTCTCAGTAGGAAGACGGTCCTCACCACACCACTCAGTATCACGTTCGGACAGCAAGCCACTGTTGATGCGGGTCAGCACCCACTGGAACTTGGACGCATCAGTGCATTTGCCCTCAACCTTGGGGAAGTTGACGTTGAGGTAGACGTCCTTGGGCAAGTAAGGCTTTCCAGAGTCGACAATCTTCTTGACGAAAGTGGCAGCAAGCTCGGCATAGACGAGACTACGCTCGGGAACAGGATTGGTGTTGAAGGCAGTATTACCGCCGGAAGCTCCAGAGAAGGCAATGGCGGGAATGCCGACTTCATGGGCGGCATAGCAAGCAGCGCCAACAGTGCCGGAGAAGGGAACCTGGAGCCAGATGTTGCTGCCGACATTGGGACCGGCAACGGCAAGCTCAGGGGCAGCGCCATCCCACAGGCTGGGACCAAAGGTGTCGATACCGTACTTCATAGCAGTGACGGGGAAAGAGTTGACCCAGTTAAGATCAGGTCGCTTTGGGTCGGAACCAGCAGGACCGCTGTTAGCAGGACAACTATCGTACTGGCAAGGCGTCTTGCGATCCTTGGGATTCTCATCTCGAGAGCCTGGATAGTGTCAGATGTGATAGAGGTGTGCAATTACGCGCGGTCAACTTACTACTGCCTGACTTGTTCTCAGCAGGGGCCGAAAGAACAACATCGTAGCCCGCGTTGTTCAAAGCGTCATTAAAGGTACGGATATACGACTCAGCCCAGCCATCATCATTAGATTGGACGATCCTTACGGCTTGAACCGCAAGAGGCAAAAGGGCGACGGAAACGAAAGACTTCATGGTGAGATGCTGAGCGAGAGTGAGGATAACAAACAAAGATTCGGTGCATAGGCATCCTGAAACTATTTATGCCTCTCGCATTAACTCACCCATACCAATATCTGATCCATCTAATCATACCGCGGTCCAATACAACCTCGTGAGCTTATATCTACCCCTAGGCCTAAGCGACCAATCAGCGTCTGAATGTCTGTCCTCAGCAGGCTTGCATGAAAGTTTGAAACCACCAGGTCACCAGGAACCAACCACCCACGTGCCGGGTTAACAAGGCTCATTAGCGATAAACAGCACAAGACATCTATCATTTCCACGTTCATAGCTCAATGGTAAATGACCCCTGAAGACGATGCGAGACAAGCATGTACAAGCATCGCGTTTGTGCACTTCAGGACAACGGCCCGAGCCGAAGAATTGATCGAACCTGTTGTTGAGAGGCTCGGTGGCCGTTTTTGAAATATGATCTGGGATTAAATTACGAGCTTCCGTAACCGGGTCAATGGCCGGCGCCGTGTCGGACGGAAGTGGAGAAGGTTCCGGGCTTGCGTCCGGTGAGTGTCATTAACCAAACAAAACACCTACATTCACCTTTAATTTGATTGCATGTGATTTTGAACTCACTCATCGCAGGTTTACTGTTCTTTATAGCGTTATTGAGCCGGTCGGATGAATACTTGTACTATCACATTCCGTTGGGAAGTCTGTCAAAGCAAAAATGAACCAAGAAAAATCGTCGCAGCCCTACCAGGAGGGTGAGCAATCCTAAAAATCGTATTATCAACGCATGGGACATGTCCGATTCCATGTCTTCATGGGTTGATGAACCGTTATCATTCGAGTGACCCTGCTTCTTATGCACCCGCCCGAGGCGACTTGGATTGCCATCGCCTGTCCTCTTGGGGGCAACAATTACCTATTCATTATACTGTATCCTCAGACGCTTCTTGGGCCTCTCAAGAGGTTCTACTTGATCATCTATCTCTCTTTTGCGCCTAGAACTCGACCCCCAAGGCACTCGTAAAAGGTTCCGGTCACTGCTCAAGATATATTAAGAATGGCAGAGGTCAAAGAATTCCGGATTGATATCGGGTGAGGGCCTTATGATCCGTAGGAATGTTGGATAAAATTCACAGTCCCAGTTTATATAAGGAAATGATCCATGCTTGAGCGAGGCTTCCAGATGATAGAGCGAATGCGTTTCTCAAATTAGGTATCCATGCATGGTATAGTTTCTCGGCTTAGCATCCAAACGATCCTGGATAATTTTCTTCATCCCTATCCTCTAGAATTCCCAATATTCATGTCCTGTCGACCCGAAATATTGAAAAACCAGCCGATATGATGGTCTGTGATCCATCCTTCATCGAATGCAAGATAGGTATGTGCTAACATCTCAAATGCCTTGATAGAACTGTCGGTTACAATATTTTGTCAGTAATACTACACCGGTTTTCTATACTCAAGAAACTCACAGGTCTGGTTGCAGTGCCATTCATTCCCAAATCGCAGACAAAAGACCAACGGTTGGTATTATAGTAGTCGGTCATCACCCCAGTCGAAAGACTCACCCAGCCAGTGTTCAGGCGCACTGATGTCGTAATTGACTTTCTTTCTGTTTGGGAGTTTTCGTCGACCTGGTGCCATGTAGTCGTTACTGGAGTTGTCCATACACGATCCAGACTCAATGGAGTCGGTTGGGGCCTCAGATTCGGTTGTGCGGCGAGAAGTCCTCTGGGTGGTGTTCGACTTGAGGGAGAGTAAATCCTTTCTGCCCGAATGATCAAATGAATGATAGGACGGAAAGTTGATTTCATAAGCTCTCTGGAGGGGGTCCGATTTGATGGAGGACACTGTTTTAGACCCATTCCAAAAATTGTCGGCAGTAGTTTCATATCCTTGACTCCAAAGATCCTCGGTCTTATAGCCACCGTTGCTTACTTTCGGTGTGGCCTGGCCCAGGTCTTGAGACGGGCGCACAGCGATAGGTTCGACGCAAAACTGCGAGTTACTGCCGATTTCCTGACAATCCTCAGAGGATCCATCAGAATCCTCCTTGCTCGACTTTAGTCCTTGCTCCAATGCATTGATGTCTTCTCTCAGAAGATCTATTTCTAGATCTTTTCCTTCTAACAGAAGTCTCTCTTTAGACAGCTTCTTTCTTTTCTTCTCGAGCTTTCGGCGTAACTTGTTGGCAGCATAATGAGCATCATGCTTTTCCTTTTCAAGCTTTCGCCTAGCTTTCTGCAGAGCTTCGCATTTTTTCCTGAGTTGAAGAACCAAAGTGTCTTCTTTAAAATCCCGCTTCCGTGAAGAGGGATACTTGGCGCTTTTCGTGGCCTTTGTCTTGGATTTGTGTGTACTCGATGAGGAGCGATGACCCTTGACCTGTTCGTGGAACCCGCGTTTCTGAAAGCTCTCGACTTGGGATCCGTTGGTTTCTGTGATCTTTTTAATCGCATTTTCTTCCCCTGACGATCCATCGAGTCGTACATCAACCTTCAAATCGCGAATTCTCTCCTAAAAAGTCATCTTTGGTTGAAGAATTGACCGGAAAATGCCGTCTCGGGCTGCGGCATGTTGGAGTGCATTAAAAAGGGTTTGAAGGGCATTGCAAACGCGAATATCGCAGAGACCGTCTCTCTCAAGTCGATAGATCCTTTCATCCATCGTGAGCGGGTGTTGTTGGTTGCGCAGGCGGCGAGAGGCTGCTGATGTTTTGTTTGGTTATTTACCAGTTGCGAGGAGCGCGCAGGCAACGACGTTGAATAACAGTGTCACGTGCTTGAGTCATGCTTAATTTGAGTGAACCATAAGATATACACCTGTGTGATTTCTCCATATTTCGTTTCTCTCCTGATGATTTTCCGGTTTGTGCTTCTTTCGTTTGCAATCTTGATGATCTGGTTTGTTTCCTAAAGTGTAGGGTAGCCAAAGTTCAACAACACTGGATAGTGGCTTCTGCTGCCTGAGTGTGCGTCATCAGTATGGACTCTCAAGCCACAATAAGCGAGACATCGTTGAATACGGACACTTAAATAACGTCCTTTCCAATCATCCGTTAATAATAGACACCTCGACTTTGACTTACAAGTCACTAGGTATGCAAATGCCCCATATTAGACGTCAAAGCCGAGATTCTAGCCTAAACTGCTTCGAGCCTCATGTTGCGCTACCCTTGCATCGCCAATACCAGGATATTTAAACTCAACCAATAAGCAGAGTCGCAAAATGGAACCCAATAGAGTAAGGTCAATATCGCCTCGACAATTTACTTAGACCTTGAGTATGGGTTTTGACTCGTCATTGGCTACTTAATGGACATAGAAGATCACAGTTCGTGATGTCAGGCTCTACGACACAGCCTTGCTTCTCCACTGAAGATGCCAAGCCAAGGTATGATGCTGGCTTATACCCACTGCGGAATGAGTCTAAGGTAAGATGTCAGGCTGTCGACGACGTGGTCGAGGCTTGGGATACTCTATATAACGAGTCTCATGTCCTGCCATTCTTTCAGCTTTGTTTCGATATCATCCGCATTCATCATGGCTTCACTCAAACTTCTGGCTACCGTTCTCTTTGCGGGCTCATCACTCGCTCTCCCTCGTTCTCAAACATCAAACAGTCCAACAGCAACCATCCACAATGGCGCGGTAATCGGCACTACAACTTCTATCCCAGACTCCAAAAATATTGTCAACCAGTTCCTTGGTATTCCCTTTGGCGAAAAGCCTGTTCGTTTCAGTCCTCCAAAGCCAGCCAAATCATGGGACACTCCCTATGATGCTACTGAGTACAAACCGTCATGTCTCATGAAATTCAATTACCCAGAGGTGAAACGCAACCGAACTATCAAGGCCTTCGCCACACCTGGTCCACCAGCGGGGACCGATGAAGATTGTTTGAATCTAAACATTTATACACCCGCTGGCGCAAAGGCGGGTTCGAAACCCGTTGCATTTTGGATTCATGGTGGCAGCTTCAGTCATGGTTCTGGATCTTTACCTTACTATGATGGATCCAAGATGGCGGGATATGAGGATATTGTGGTAGTCACCATAAACTACCGCACTAACATTTTTGGTTTCCCTGCAACCTATGATTTGCCTGGAGGGGAATGGAATGTTGGGTGAGTGTCGATATAAACAACAGTGGACTTGTTACTGACTTTCCGTCAGCTTCCTTGACCAGAGACTAGCCCTGCAATGGGTCCAAGACAACATAGAAGCCTTTGGAGGAGATCCCAAAAAAATCACCATCTTTGGAGAAAGTGCCGGCGCAGGAAGCGTTGATGATCTCATCACCGCTCCTCCTGATCCTCTTCCTTTTCGCGCCGCTATACTCCAGTCTGGTACTGCCAATACCAACGTAACCCCTAACGGTTCTTGGGATATTGCTACTAAATCAGCAGACTGTGATAATGACAATTTTGGAAAGGTGCTTGAGTGTATGCGGGAAGTTCCCGCTACGAAACTCAAGGATATCATCGAAAGAGCCGAGCTTGATTTTCAGCCCATCAGTGACAACGGGACAACTCTTGCGAACTTCCCCCGTGATATCCGACTCAAGTCCAGGGACGACAACAAAATCATGGCGCGAGTTCCTGTCATGCTGGGCTCGACCGCTGATGAGGCACGACTGGAGGATTTTATGAACATCACGATCGAAGAGGCCCTTCGCGCTTGGATGCCAGACATCACTTCCGCCCAAGTCTCGGTTCTCAAAGTCTTCTATCCCATCGGATCTCCCGGTATCACCAACGATTTCGACCAAGTCGTCAGGGTCGCAACCGAACTTGGCATGCAGTGCCCGATTCGCTATGTTGCAGAGGACTTTACTGAAACTGGCATCAAGACGTGGAGATTCTTGTACAATGCCAGCTTTGCAAACACGGAGATTTTCAATGGCAGCGGTGCTTACCACTCTTCTGAAATCCAAACCCTCTTCGGTACATATCCTGAGGAAGGCTCAACAGATTTTCAGGACGAGTTGAGTAGGGAGATGCAGAAGGCCTGGGGAAAGTTTGTTAGAGATCCCGAGAACGGACCGGGATGGGGACAAATTCCTAAGATGGGCGTCTTTGGAGGTGGCATGAGCCCTGATTCTGACGAGAAGCCAGAGAAGGCTTTGGAAGTTTTGAACACACATCTACTTGAACCAAGATGTATTGGATTCAAGGGACCGTGGGCAAAGGGCAAGACTGAAGAGTAACCAAACTTAAAGAACTAATCTTTATGATGAAGTGATTTGGGAAAGATATTGAACCATGCATCATGTGCTAAATAAATCTCTGGAAGTCCTTGAACGCCCTCTCAACGTATTTTTCTTACTTTTTAGAAGCATGTATTTATATGTAAAAAATTAATAGAACATACTCAAGTTGGTACTTGTCATAAAAGTAGATCGTGAGAGCCGGGACATGAATTCCAACGTCGTTTCTCAATCGCCCTTGGTAATTATACAGCTAGGGGAGGAACTTGGGATTTAAGGTTAGAAAGTACTAATATACAGTAACAATTCAACATCTGGAGATAGAGAAAAAAAGACAGCCCCGTGATGCCCAGGAGATGTCTGTCGTCATACTAGTCCATGAAATCTAAGCTCTGTCAGGGACATGCCCCCGTATGTTTGTCCCACGTCCGCATCCGGAATCCGGGCTCACCATGACACCAAGTGCGACGTTTGCCATGCTTCATCTGGCGAAGGATAGGCGAAGGGACCGGACTTATGTTGTGTTTCCTCAGCGACGAGAATCTCGGCAGAACATGACGCGAGAGTGATGTGAGTTTGTTGATATAAGACGCCATTGCCGTCTCCCTTGAACATAAATTGTCCAGCACGATTGGTGGTTTACCTTATTCACCACAGGTTGTCAGTCATATTGAAAGACCAAAGCACAAATGCCATTAAGTGAACAGACTGAACGTATTACTCTGACATTGTCTAAGACATTTACCATCCCAACCGCAAACGGAACACAATGCTATTCGCAACAGCCCTTATCAGCATCGCATCTCTCTGTCTCGCAAAAGAAGTTACTAAGAACCGCAAAAACGAACCAGACGCCATAGTAGACCAATTCACATGGCTTTCCCTCTCCGACGAAACAGGCATTGACCCGTTGAAGTATCTGAAAGCCCCTGCTGAGGACGTACCCGAGACACTCGCCTGTACTACTGCAAGACACCCTCGTTTGTCTCAAAAGATATTGCCAGCTAACAAAGAACAGAAACCCGGTCCGGACAGGGTCGCATGCCCTGCTGCCATTGCGGAATGGTTCAAACTCGTTGACGAACAACGTCACATCAACATTCCCGGAGGTCAATGCCGTTCCGTTACCGAGGGGACATGTCGAACGGTTGCGTGCGCCCCGAGAGGAGATGTTAGTGTTGCACTGGAAGAAATAATGGGACACATGTGGAATCCTGTGTCTTCGCGATGTGTATTTGGTGGGACAGGAGGGATATGGCAGAATGAGGGGTCAACACTGGTAATTGAGATGGGACATGCAAAGAAGAAATAACCATATCAGGTTCTATTTGTGCGTGGATAAAGAAAATCTATCTATCGGTGGTATTTCCAAAGAGGTTGCTGAAAACAAATCTGCTTTTCCTTACGCCAAAAGAGGTATCTCAAACTAGCAGTCGTACCCAAATATCGATCGCTCGTAAACTCATTGTTGTTCGTTTTTTTATGCTGCAGTAGCGCTCATAGCTCGGGTGATAGAGGGTGGAGCTCCAGGCACTTCATCACTGGGGTCAAGTTCGCCCCTCATCTTCTCTTCGCCCTCTTCAACCTTCTTCTCGGTCGTCTTCTTATCACTAGATTCACCGAGGCCAATGACATCGATCCATCGCCAGAACTCAACAGGGTTATTACCACTCATATCGAAGATGGCCTGGTCGTCGTTGATACCGTCCTTGCATGAATCGCCCTTTTCTTGGTTGAACTTTTCAAGCTTGTCGAACGATGTTCCGTCAACGAGGTCTCCCTCAAAAGTGCGGCCGACAGGAACGTTGTTCTCACGAAGCATTTGAAGCTGTGCGCGAAGGTTCAGACGGAGCGCTCGTTCAGGCTGCTCTGCCTTGAAGATCTTCTGGGTCAACCAAGGGAACAGTATTCCAAAGTCGGACTGGTTCAGGTGAGCAGAATTGATGACGTAGAAGAAGTTTGGCTCCGACATCTTGATTCCGCTAGGCCGCTCAAACAGTTGAGGAGCCACAACGCTGGCGGTGGGATCAGGGCTCAGGACGCGAGCCTTGAGGTTAAGATGGTCTCCCCACTTGAAGAAATGCTCCGACTCAACTGCCAAGATGGCCTTGCCACCGGGGGCAGTAGCCTTGTCGGCATAGACAGGTAGAGGCAGATCGAATAGAGGCTTTGAGTTGGGAGCCATCAAGGGCATGCACCACATGTCGAGTAACATTGTGAGAGTCTTCTCGGTAATCTGCTTTCTGATGTTGCTGCCCTCGGCGGGAGAGAAGATGGGCTTTTCGATAGCAGCAACTTCAGGAACCCCGGCGTAATACGTACTCTTCATTAGTTGTGTAACGGTAGCTGCCCCAAAGCTGTGTCCGGCAAAGATGATGCTGCCAGGCTCGTGAATGCTGCATTGACCAACAAATTGATCAAGGCTGGGCGTGGATCGGTTCAGATTGGTCAATTTGTTGCCAGAGTCAACAGCAAGCATGGCCTGGTGAATGAGACCAAGCTCCCAGCATCGAATTCGGAGTTGGGCCTCGCGGGTCTGGTAGACTTCGGGGCTGACATCGTGCGAGATCTTCTCGTAGTGAACTTGGATTCGGCTATTCGATGTGATTGTTTCGTTGTGCTTCTCAGGTACGCGGATGAAACTGGCAACAGCGCTGCCATCGCGGTGCTCAGGGCAGATCACGACGATGCCATGAGAAGCGAGAGAGCCGGCGACGTAGGAATATGAGTTTCGGCAACCTCCCAAGCCGTGGGAGAAGATCATGGTAGGCCATCGCTTGTTCTCAGTCGAAGATTCGAGGAGCTTCGCATTCTTGTGGGCAGGGATCGTGGTATAGTGAAGATGGCGTGGGAGAAAACTGCGGGATACGTTAGCGTAAGTTCACAGCTTAGTGGTTTAGACACTTACGAGAGAAACTCGGACAGCATGGGACCGATACCCAGGAACTTTGTATAGGCTACTAAGTGCTGTCGCTGAGGGTTCGGCAGCCAGCTGATACGCTTCTCATTCGATTCGGAGACGGCTGGGTAGAACATGCGATATTGGACGGTTTGGATCTTGTCGGAACCCTCGGGGGAGGTGCTGGGCGCTTCAAGTTCAGAAACGGGGATCTCGACATCGACAGTGCCGACTTTGTACGGACCCGTGTATTCGGGGAAGGCTGGGATAGGGCTCAGGCGTGAGAGGTAGGACATTTTGGAGGCGCTCATGGTAAAGAGTGAATGCGACGAGGCGCAGGTGATGGAGGATGGGAGACACGACGAAGGAAAGTATTGACAAGAGAAGTTAGTGTAGGGGGTAAAAAGATGTATTGTTTATGTATGCAAAGTGAAGTTAAACAAATATCCGACGGTATTTATCTGTGTACGTAGTAATTATTATTGTGGCGGATGGTTTCTGTTGATTGATTGATTGAATGATTGATTCGATGTTCTGGAACGTTTGGTGACGTTTACGCTGACGCTAAGATAATTAATTAATTATCCTTTCACATGCAAAAAAGCCCACGTTAAAAAGGTGGTTTGTAACTGATAAAGACGAGAGGAATAAAATAATTTTAAACAAAATGCAGAAAGAAAAAAAGATAAGGCAACTTGCATCGTCAGCATCATTGAAAAGAAAGGGGCAAGTCACGCGACACAAAAAGATTGCTTGATTGTTTGTAGTAGCCTATTCCCATTCCGTGACCGAGCGATAGCATCAAGCTTTTGTCTTGTGCACAATTGCCTTATTGCGAAAGGGACGGGAGGAAGAGTGATCGTCACGACGTCATAATAGAGGAAAAAAGAAGCCACAAATATGTTCTACTTCATGCTGACCTCATCAGCCGAGGCTTGTTTATGGAGCTCCGGAGATTCCGATCTTTTTTTCTTCTCTCTTTCTGTTCTTTCTCTTGGCATTTCTATTCTTGGATTTGATGGAGTGTTGACGTCGTTTTGTATGTAACCTAACGCAATGATCGTCAGGTTCATGTTTAAATTCAGCGGTTTCTCGGCCGATTGTCTTCCACGGAGGTGCACGTAACATATTATCGTCGACTTTGTTTGTTGATATGAAAGTAATCGTAGAAAAATATATCATAAACCGCCGATCCCTAAGCCCTTCCGGTAATAACATCCAAGCTCTTCCGAATCTTCTTGGACCTTTTTCTGAGAGGTCCTTGATGAGTATCCTCCTGTCCATCCACGCTCTTCTTCCTCTCTCCGTCCCTCCATGGTGTACAGTTTGTACAAAAACCATGCCCACATCCAACATATTCCCATCGCCATGGCTTCACATCTTGCTTGCACACATGTCCCTCATTTGGTCCCTTTTTGCACTTGCAGCAAGCCCATCCTTTGACCATGCATTCGATATAAGTACACCCGACCATTTCGCATGGTTTTGGTGATCTGGTAACTGTAAAGTCGACGCTTCCGCAGGGACATTCGGAGCTGTCGTTTATCTCGTCGAGGGTTGTGCAGGAGATGTAGCGGCGCTTTTCTTCATGGCCGCACGCAAATCGGATCCATTCGCAGGTGCACATTGTGTATCATATTTCGTCGTCTAGTGTTTTGAAGGTGTCAGGTTTGGATGTCGCAACTGATCATCCAGATACAAGATGGGTATGTAGGTAGGTATGTCTGTGAAACAGTGACTGCCTGTGTAAAACTAAAGCCGCAGTGATCAACAGTCTGTCCCTCTTACGCCAGTTCCTTGGTCCTGGACCGCGTCATGGTCCGTTTCTCGACCTTTGCATCACGCTCCATGTACGTCTCCACAGACTTTCCGAACGGCCACTCAAACACTTCATCAGCCTTTCTCTTGAATCCGTACTTTTGGTATATCGGCGCTCCCTTTGGTGTAGCTTCGAGAAAGCATGGCAGATTCTCGGCATCGGCACGCTCGGTACCCCAGCGCAGCAGGAGACTTGCCGCACCCTTGCCCTGCCAATCCTCATGGACGCAGATGACTTCGAGATGATAGTGGAGTCTGTCACCGATGAATCTGCGATGCCCTTCTGTCATTGCGCCAAAGAATCCAACTGCCAAATCCCCTGCAGCGGGCCATGCCTCGGCTGGTGGGACGTCTTGGATCGGCGCTCCAGGGAGATTCCACTTTGACAGGGCGACTACTTGCTCGTCTTTTGACTCTGGGGACGTCTTGTGGGTGACGACGAGGACTTGGCAGGTAGGATTAGCCATGTCCTCTGCGAAGCTCTGGAGGAAGAATTGATCAGAGGCTTGTTTGTTTGCGTTAAAGACACGGCTTCCGATGATGGTGTCACCAAAGGCTGAGTAGTAAACCCTGCACATGCCCGGGATGTCCTCTGGGACAGCTGGTCGTAGTTGAAGAGGCATTTTGGTGATGCAGAATTGACCTTTTCAGTCAAGATCTGTAGAGAATATTTTAAAGATTTTGTACGGCTAAATAGTAATGGCACGATACACGAAAGGCCATATGCTCAAGTGCAATTTTGCATTGAATGACAAGACGCCGCAACTCCACTGGCGAGTCCCAAGTGGGAAGCTAGGTAGACTACCCTTGTTCATCATTTTGTGATGGATTCATTTGGGTTAATTGATGATGACCAAGTAATGAAGCAAGCAAGGGAGGGTATCATGAGAGTAAAGTGCTTTTATAGCAGAATTGTTCACTACGAAGCCATATGAGACCGAATCGTTTGTGGCTTAAAGCCATGACTTGTTGATTGACAAATGGTAATCCATTGTTCGTCTTGCTCTCTATCCGCCTTCCTTTACCGTTTCAGTTCAATTAACCCCGCGCGCCCTTCACATTGAAAGCAACGCTTGGTAACGACATGTCAATGCCGATGGACTATGACTCTACAGCATTTTCTTATAAATATGTAATCTTTAGGAGCCATGGATAAATTCACTTCAAGACTCTTGAATCGTTGCAATTTATGATGAGACGTCAGCTATTCACCATGACCAACCATCTCGCCAAGCAGCTCAAGGCTCTTCATCAGCCATCCTCACCCATCATTTTCCCCAACGTATGGGATGTAGCTTCTTTCAACACTGTCAAATCTCTGAATACAGAGACCTCCAAGCCAGTGAAAGCACTCGCTACAGCATCTTGGGCTGTTGCTGCTACATACGGCGTTCAGGATGAGGAGCTCACTCTGGAGCAGAACCTCGAAGCAATTGCCAAGATTGGCCCACTTGCCAAGGAAGCTGGTATCCCGCTATCGGCCGACTTACAAGATGGTTACGGCTCACAGGTTGTATCTGTTATCAAGAGAGCTGTTGAAGCAGGCGTCGTGGGCGCAAACATAGAGGATGTCAGACCTGAAGACAACACGTTTTATCCCATCGACGAACAAGTGCAGCGCCTCAAGACAATCCTGAAAACTGCAACTGAAGCAGGCTGCGCTGACTTTGTCCTCAACGCTCGGTGCGACATGTTCCACATCGACCAAGGCCTCTCCGAAGCAGAAGTCATCAAGGAGGCCGTCACACGTGGCAAGGCATATCTCGAAGCGGGCGCCACAACCATCTTTTACTGGGGCGGCTCGGGACGGGGGCTGAGGACTTCCTGGGTCGAGACTTTGGTCAAGGAGCTTGATGGAAGAGTCGCGGTCAAGTTGGCACATAAAACAGAAGATGCACTGTCAACTAAGGATCTGGCCCAGATTGGTGTTGCGAGGATCAGTGTTGGACCGAGCTTGTTTCTATTGGCGCAAGAGGCTGCGAAACAGGCGGCAGAAAGGATTCTTGCTGGTGGGAACTTGTAGCCGCCTGTTGTACATTATTCACGACGACAATAGGACTGTACTAATTACATTTCATCTCAACCGTGAATAGTTTAAAATGCCATAACAGCTGGCCAGTCTTACTGCCGTCCATACTTTGAGTGCCCCCCGCTTATGTTAACGATCTGTAGAACCAACCTTTCCGATGACTCTTTCGGCCGCAAGGTTCCAGGTTCTCATTCCTACAGGACAAAAGGAGGCCCCAATGATCAGCGCTAACACCCCTATCGATTGAGGCCAATGCTCACTGAGGCAGTGTTAAAGCTATCTGATGCCTGCACCCGAGACTAAGCCCTATGGGTCCCCTTCCTATCGTGCCTGGGGTAGGTTCCTTTAGTGGGCAGTGCAGCCTGAACTGTCCTCCACCAGGATTGCTTCATATGAATGCCGAAGGGTCGATTCAGCCTATCACAATAACAATCCAATTATTTCTGTAGTAAATCACTGCTGACTTTGATCTCCAATGCGGGTCCAGGCAGTGCCTAGTGAGTAACAGGCCGTCAGCCTGCAGCCTACAAACCGAAAATGGGAGCCTGGAGGCCTTTTCACGTCGTGAACAAGAGACTATATAGTGATGCCATATATCCATTAGTTATCATCACAGCCATCATCATCATCATCATCATCACCAGCACTCATCTCTATCATCATCCACCCTCTACTTCATCTCTTTCCCTTCAAAACAACCAACCATAATTAGTCTGATCAAGACACTGTGAGCCATCATGACTGTCGACACAATGGACTCAAGCAAGAGCAGCGGAGATGAATTCACTGTCATTGTGACACCCACAGATACTGAACCTCAACATGAGGTGACAACATCTGAGACAAAACCCCAAGACACCCAAACACAAGAATCCAAGACTGAAGACAAGAAAACTGAAGAGACAAAGATTGAAGAGTCCAAGTCAGAAGAAGAAGAAGAAAAGAAAGAAAAGATCATTGTCGGTCTCCTCACTGAGAGCAAAGACCTCTACGCCAAATTCGACAAGAACGGATCCAGATCATGGACTGACAAGTACCCAGACGATCTCGAGGAGGCAGCAGAGAATGAAGAGACCCAAAAATATGCGGTCATCATCCGCAAGGTAAAGCCCAAGGAGGCTGATTCCAACAAGCCCCTTGATATCGACAGTATCGTCGTTCAGTCTCCCTACCTCAAGCGCGTGCTCGGAAAGGTCTTTGATGACTACCCCGGCATTATCACCGACGTCACCCGTCTAAAGTTCTCGGCTCCTTTCCACTGCTTCGTACACCGTTGGGAGCGATTTACAGAGGCAAAGGATGACGCTAGCTGGGATGACACCACTCGGGAGCATGTTACGCTGTTGCACAAAATCTTGGAAGAGGAGCTGGGTGAGATCATCCAGCTCAGGAAAGATTACTTCAAGAACCGCGCTGTCGCATTTGAGCATGTCTGGGCACTCTTTGCCCCTGGCTGCACGGTATGGGGCTCCGTTAGAGGAAAGCCTGTCGCTGCTCGCTTCGACTCAGGAAACTATGTCAAGACGCAATGCGGCCTAGTGTACAGCATGAACTGCAAAGGCATCGACTGGGATGGAAGGGGCATGGGCTGGACGGACGTGAGCATGCAGATCAGAGACTTTACCGGCACAGTCCCATTCGCCAACCTCTCCTGCTACCCTCTCGAATTCCACTCTAAGCCTGAAGCCGCACGAGAACTACTCCTCCAGCGCGGACGCAAGTTCGAAAGTCTTGCAGGCTATCACTACAAGGCGTACAGTGGAACTGCCATCTGGCATATATCCTCAACCAAGTCTCGGCAGGAGAACGTCAACTCCCGTATTGTGATTGATGGAGCCAACTGGGAGAAACTGAACCCTGATCATATGGTTTGGTTGAACTACATATGGGACAGCCAAGAAACTGCGAATGACTCTGCCGATAGTGATGATGAAGATAATGGCAATGACAACTACTCAGATGCCAGCTCTGAGGCAGGGAAACCTGATGTTGTCGCCGGCTTCTCCTTGGCCTTGACGGAGGATCAGCTCATCATGACATCCCCTATCGTGCGAGGTTATGCTCTCAAGAACAAGCGATGGATGGAGTTCTACATTGACGAGGTGACAGAAGTCAAGTTCAACGACCAGGCTTTCGACTCTCTTGTTCTTCCCCAGGATCAGAAGGAGCTTATTCTCGCTTTCGCTCAGAGTCAAGTCAAGTTCAAGAACGTCTTTGACGACATCATCTCTGGCAAAGGCAAGGGCATCATCATGCTTCTGTCGGGTGGCCCCGGTATCGGTAAGACACTGACTGCAGAATCGGTGGCAGAGGAGATGAAGGTTCCTCTGTACATCATGAGCGCGGGTGATCTCGGTAGCGACGCGTACGATATCGAGGAGAATCTAAACCGTATTCTCGAGATGGTCGCCAACTGGAACGCTGTTCTCCTTCTCGACGAGTGTGATGTCTTCCTCGAGGCTCGGTCAGCGCACGACATCGAGCGCAACCGCATTGTGTCCATCTTCCTCCGCACACTAGAATACTATGAGGGAATCCTCTTCCTCACTACCAACCGTGTCAAGGACATGGATCAAGCCTTCCAGAGCCGAATTCACATGTCGCTCGAGTATCCTGCTCTTGACGCCACAGCACGCGAGTCTGTCTGGCGAGGATTCCTGAGCCGTGCCATTAGTTTGCACGCTACTATGGAAGGCGACTCGGCGCATAATATTACGGAGGATGAAATTAAGGCTCTGGCTGGGCTGGACCTGAACGGACGACAGATCAAGAATGTGCTCAAGACGGCAAACTTGCTGGCTTGCCACAAAGAGGAGAAGTTGGCATTCAAGCACTTGCGGATTGTTTTACGTGTCGAGGGACATTCGTTGTAAGGTGTTTGGATTGGGACTGAACGGCGTAAGGTTATGAAGTAATAGAATTCATACTATGATGACAGTTCGCTCGACATGATCCAGGTCGAGAATAAAATGATGAAGACTTTAAATTTCGTCCGATGCAACCATGGTAAAATGAGGCATCTCCTTTTCAGACAAACCGTCTTCCTGAACAGAATTCTCTCATGTTTTCCTTCGCCCTGGCAACCATAATCTCATGAAAAAGGTCATTAGCGAACATTTGAATCCCCTCGAAGCACATAAGATCGCCATAGCAGCATACGACGCCAGGCTCTTGGCTACAGGTTTCCCACTTCATGCCCATTCCTAGTTTGGGTTTCCTGCCCTCCATTTCAACAATGTGGTAGCTGTGCATAGAACCGTATTCTGGCGCGCAACCCTTTCTGTTCTTGGCCAGGAGGTTGTGGAGGCCTTGTGATCAAGTGTATCAAATATATGAATCGTGAGGAATAGCAAGATCTTTATATACCCGGATTTGATAAACGAGTAAGTTTTGAGAGAATATTTGTAAAAGCAACTGTTAACATGCTCTGAACATGGGAGCTTTGAGTTGGTCATAATGAAAGCAAGGTTTTGATTAACAGTTGTTGGAGGTTTATAGGAAAATAACATCAGGTGTTTGCAATACTAATCATGTCATTGTCTTGTTATCTTAGAATTTGAACAATTCTGACTCTGCAAAGAAACGAAGACAGTTCTTTTTGTGAGAACAAAGTTCCAGAATAGGACATAGAAGGTATCATCATTTAGTTCATGAAAGGAATTGACGTTGAAAAAGCATCGTGAGTTCGTTTTGGCCTCCACTAATAACATTTGCTCATTCTGGCTGAATATACCGTGCTTTAGACTACCTTCATGGACAACCCCACCTCGGCCTCAAAAGCCGGCAACTTTCAGGCTCAGCTTATAAATCAACCTTTTCCTTAAAGTATAAAACTCGTGGGAACCGTCAAACCTTGGTTGAGTCACACACCACATTCGAAATGGCAGACTTTAAACCCAAGAGTATCCTTATCTTTGGCGCAACAGGCACTATCGGCCGATACATCACCAATGCTATAGCAAACGCTGAGCCCGCGTTTGGCCAGGTCGCCATCTTTACTTCCGAGGACACAGTCATCAGGAAGCAGAGTCTTATCAAAGAACTTAAGTCAAAGGCTGTCAAGATCGTCACCGGAGATGTAAATAATGAGGAAGACGTCAAGAAGGCTTATCAAGGGGTCGACACAGTCGTGAGTGCCGTGGGAAGAAACGTCATCGAAACCCAAATCAACCTCTTCAAGCTCGCGACAGAATCAGACTCTGTGAAATGGTTCTTCCCTTCTGAGTACGGCACAGATGTCGAGTATGGCCCCCAGAGCGCCGATGAGAAGCCGCATCAGCTTAAGCTTAAGGTTCGAAAGTATATTCGAGAGAATTCGAATGGCCTCAAATATACATTTGTGGTTACAGGGCCATACATTGATATGTTCTTTACTCTAACACCCACAATCCCTGAGGCAGGGGGATTTGATCATGTTGCCAAAAAGGCCGTTTTGGTTGATAATGGACAAGGGAAGATTGGATTTACAACCATGCCTGAGTAAGTTTTGCAAGTTACTTTTCAAGGCAGCACAACTAACCTGGTACAGTGTTGGAAAATCTGTGGTAGCGGCCCTTCGTCACCCCTCAGAGTCATTCGACAAAGCGCTCAAAGTTCAATCTTTTGTTGTGACACAGCAGCAGATCCTGAAAGAGCTTGAGAAGCAGACTGGAGGCGAGTCCTGGGGTGTTTCAAATCACACTCTTGATGAGTTGAGAGAGGCAGAGAAGAAGGGCTGGGCTGAAGGCAACCCTAGTGCGACTTTATATACACTTCGACGAATTTGGTCTGAAGGTGGGACACTTTACGAGAAGACGGACAATGAAAAGATTGGATTGAAGGACGAAGATCTTGAGACTCTTGAGGATGCTATTCATAGAAGACTGACAACTGGATACTAGTCAGCTGGCCATAACTGTGTCGATGTGGAAGCATTTAAGGATATTTATCGCCATCATTCATTATGTAGATACATCCAAGACATCTTTCCAAATCAAAGGCGCACATACTCAATATCAAGTTGCCATTCTTATGACCTATAGGTTCGTTGCCATGGGATATCGGCCAGAGGGTTGCGAGGAACCCAGCTGGGAAGATATTCACCCCATCCCCAGTAGTTACCTGCTCCCGCAGGATGGTCGGCACACATGCGGATTTGACTAACATCAACACCCTCAGGAAGGTCTTTAGGGTTCCATGTCATAGGCCCAAGACGACCGCACAGTTTTTCAGCACCGGGGTGTTGGTCGGCAATGACCATGGCGGTCATAACAGCAGCGAAAACAGCCTGGATTTTCATATTGATTTCTGAGAATGTTAGCGGGTGTTCGCTACGAAAAGGGGTAGGGAGTTTTACATTGTGAGGTTTGGTGGTGGCTGCAGATAAACCTGGAAAGCACGTGGAGTAAGGTGATCGTGTGTGAAAGGAATAAAGTTTGGAGATGAAAAATATGAAACGGGGTGAGGATTCTCAAAGCTTCGGTTTATACCCAATTTACAGAGTGCTGATACGCTATTTAATACGTGGCATGACGAAATAAAACTAAACAGACTGGGCGGTTGCCTGCCAGAAGTCTTGTCGCTTACGCGCTTTATTGATCCTTCGCTTATTCGATCCTTCAACAAAGGCATGGTCTGATTTAAGAGGACGGGTAAAAGACTACGACAGGGAGTACATGAAGCCTTGCTAAAACTGTGCCGCAGTGGATGTAGCTCCAAGACATTTTTGTTATAGTAAACAAGCTAGCCGCAGCAGCGAGTTCTCTACCGAAATGGTGATGTCTGGCGCGAAGTAAGCACAGCCTCAAATTCCTCCGACTTGGTCATAAAGTGTCCTGGTTCTGTGATTGAGACACGTTGCTGCATAGAGATGATCGATGCCGTTCGTTTAGGCGAATGCTGTACCTGATTTGTCCACCACGACACGTTTTGAGGCTTAGACAGCTGTGAGAAATCCGTGCTTAGACGCCATGGGGCACAACTGTAACCTAAAATTCTAAAGTGTTAGCACGGGATTGTTCCGCGAATGTTTTTCCAATGATGAGTATTAAAGAGAAAGGTCTTTAGGTGGAGGGGGAAAAAAGAGTATAGGTTCCAGGTATTACTATCTTTATCTTCAAGCTCAGACTTGGAGTACGGAGGAGGGCAAGAAACAGTATTATCATCAGACTGTAGTCGATTGGATATTCGCTTTCGCACCAGTTAAACTTACATAACAAGGATCATCATCGCTTGCGTTCCGCAGTGGACTTGGAGATGGTGGAGAAGCCAGAAAGGGCTAGCGCCAAGATCGATATCACGTGATATGTCGCTTGATTTATGATTTATGCAATGGATAACTTGGGCATAACATGAACCTCTTCTGATGGTATTCGTATTGATAGTGAAGAAATAAATGTGTCTTTGAAACGTTTTTGATACATATCCTTTGCGCCTCTCAAGTACTAGGCTTTCTTCCTCTAGCAAAGAATAATTGCTGCTTGCCTCCAATCTCCCTAGGCACCTGTAATGGCGTCGAAGTCCATTTCCAAGACCAATCCTCCAGTCCAGCTTTATCGTACGCAGTCTTGACCTCGTCCTCTTCGAATCCCATTCTATTAACACTGAGTTTTGAGAAATCCATTTTCCAGGTCCCGCCTTCGCCACCTTTACTGTCTGAGTGAGAAACCCAGTCAATGATAAGCAAAAGTCCGCCTGGCCTCAGTCTTTTAGAGAGCTGCAAGATCATATTATCCGGGTCCTCAATATGGTGGAGAGCCATGCACATAACTATTAAATCAAAATTGAAAAATGCAGGCGTGTCGAGTTCTGGGCATGGCGTCGATTCTGGTTCGATCATGTCGCCTTGTATCGCGTGCATCTTTGTTGGGGTATATCCTGCTTTGAGTGCCATTTTGTTGTACTGTTCTGCCATTGCTGGTGATATGTCCAAGCCTCTAACAGTGGACATGAATGGTGCGAGTGCCTGACATGATGAGTATTGATTCGATAGTGACCGAGCCACTGGACTTACGCGAGATGCCACACCATTACCGCAGGCGTAATCCAACATCCTTGTCGGTCTTGAGGCTGGAGGTTTAATACCGATCCAGTCTATGTTTTGTCGAAGCTCTTTTGATATTTGATTGCATAATTCGATAATCCAAGGCCATTGGAAAATTACGGGAGAAACGTTGCTAGACTCAAGTCAATACATGAAGCAAGCCAGGACACTTAATAAGAACGAACTCGTAATGAGATTTGTTGTGTTGTCCTATAGACCTTGGAACATCTTGGAGAGGGCCATGGTGATGATGGTGAGTATGGTACTGCAGGTGGTGATGGTGATGATGGCAATGAGGGATGTCTTCAGTAGGCTGTTCCATATTTCGAGATAATAAGTGGCGATGGTTAAGTAGGATTAATATGACTTATTATTGTAACTTGAGATGCAGAATGAGGCTTTGTGTAGAACTCGATGCTCTCAAGGTAGGAAGCAATAAAAGGGTTTCAGTTGGCGAGAACCCTGATGGCCTCTCCTATCAATCCACCCAAGCTCACCGTAGTCGCTGATTTGTCGCGAAAGCCACTCCCGGCTGGTTCTTTCTTACGGTGATAGCGTCATCCAACTTAATCACAAGCCTCTTGTACCTATTGGCGCACAAATTTATTACAAGGAAGACGGTATAGACGTTTTGGTTGTTGACTACCGGCCCATATAAATTGAATGCAAAGCCAACATCCCGGGCATTGCAACCACATATCCAATACTTGCTATTTCATAACTATCGACCAACACGGTAATACAATGGCTTAACTCTAAACAGGATTTTATCTCTCAAACTCATTCATGCTTCTACTTGATATCACTAGATAAGGTTGGTAGTTACAACTGATTAAAATCCTCAACAAGGTCCAGCATTAATGCAAACAAGGCATGGCCACAAAAGCAAAAACATCGTTAATGGACTTGTTTCGTTTCTTTCAACTTTGCTCAACGGAAAAGATTCACAGTTACAGTATGCATTGGGCCCATTATGATAACTGTCTGTATACTAAACTTGTCTTTGTGGCTGTTATCTGAAACCTTACCTTACGTCCACATGTGTATACAAGTTACGGTTGTTTTAAAGGAAACGAGCCTGGATCTCAACCATTTCTGATCGACTGTTACACAGAAAGAGTTCCAAATAGAAGCCTCCGATCGTTGAATAGGGAAGATGACAATTGCCAAGGTGTTACCCGTAGACAAGACAATGGTGGCTGTTTCAAGTCTATGGTTAACCCTGATGATGTCACGACATCTCCTCAAGAGGGGAGATGCAGTGCTATCAAGGGAACTTGCTACTAATAGCAGGCGTTAGAATGAACCTGGGTGTCTCTATAACTTTAACAAATGTAACCATGCCAATGGCATAGCTTCCCGTTTGATATAGTATGTTAGTTGGGTTCAGGGTTGAGTTTGATTCTAAAGATAAATTCTATTTTTTGTATAATACCTTCTCGAGCTGCCTGACCAGTAAACCTCGTATATCTTAACGCTTTACAGATTTACTTAAAAAAAACTATGGAGGTGATGCTGAATAATCAAAACCACTTCAAATGGGTCAGCCAAGAGCTTGAGGATGGCATGTAAAGGAACTCTGGAGACATCCATCTTATTTGTTGATTTAAAACTTTACCCACCGCCCTGGTTAAAGAAATACATTAGCCTATACAATTTTGATGTTTTATGATACTGATCAAGGTATTAGGATTGAACAAGGAAATTCTTGAACTGTGATTTTGATACGGTAACGATCTTAGCAAGCCTTATCTATAGCAAGGCGGTGGATTAAGTGATAATATTTCTAGTCTTGAAGCTGGGGGCTGAGCAAAAAACAACAGGTTATGTTTCGGTCTACCAAACACAATTTCTATTTGAATTTATTCAATTTGGTCGAAAGTTTTGACAGTCTACAGAAAGCAAAACCTAATCTATCCATGGAAGTCTACAGAGACCTGGATGGGCAACACCTCTAAAGACTTCGACCATTCATGTGAATGTAGTTCTTAATGTCTCTTGTTGCGTTTCAACAGACGCTGCACAGACAAAGACATCTGGTCAAGTTTCCAAGCTATTAAGTTATCAAACTCTTTGTTTGCCATCATGCACTCTTATTTTTCACGCGACATGAACAATGCTTCATATTCTAGTTAGAGTTTTCCAATAGAAGAGAGGGATAGAACACTGTTCATTCTGTAACAAGAACCATAAAGACGATATAACTTTGAATACCTATATAAAATCAAACCGATCCAGTTGTAGAAAGTCAACCCAATTCAACAGTCTTACTCCAAAGCATCTTCTTTCATTGCAAATCACCATTTTCAAATCAATCATCATTCAACCACCTACCACTAGAGACTCTGCAATCATGTGCAAATTCATGGAACTTGAGTTCTCCTGCTCCACTGCCGACAACCCACATCGGCTGGAAACTCCAGGGTTGCTCCCTTGCGACGATTTCCAGAATTGCGTAGTTGAACTGGTCGTCCTCAAAAAGCCAGACCCAGAGACTGGACTAAGCTCACGAGTATTAGTGCGACACTACGATGTTGTCAAAATCGATGGTGATTGCCAGAAGTGCGCTGAGCGAAAGACCACACTCATACAAAACGAAGAAATAATCTTCCTAGCACGCAAGAAAGAGTCGAAAGACAGGGACAAGCTTCCAGAAGGTCCCACTAAGGGAAGTAAGGAGAAATTCGGAGATGTCGAAACCCTAAACCAAATCCGCCAAAACAAAATTGACAATCAGCCTGACCTTGTCAAGGCGTCGCTATGGTTTCCCCTGATGGTCGACAAGGCATGTTCTGCAAGAGACATACCTGTGGTGCTACGGAATAGGACTGTCTCTTGGATATCTCGACTACTCGTATGAATCCCCAGTGTTCAATTTACTGTCCGGCGCATACTTGAAATAGACTTCGCTGCGGTCTTCGCATCGCAGATCTCTCGACCCTTTACTGTACTAGGCACCAAACGGAGATCTATTTGAAGCTTGCCTCTCATCAGTAAATGCTGAGCTGGGACTTTAGGATTGGGTTGAGTATAGTTTGAATCTTGTCAAGGATCGAGATCTAGATATGGGTAAGAAAGTAGGTAGTAAAAGAAACAGGCTGGTCCTGTCTTTTGTTCGAAATATGCCCTGTCTCTTGCGATTTACTGTTGTCACTTATGTCTTTGTGAGAGCAAAACATCTTTGGGTCGCTTTTCAAACCTCTTCCACAATCTAATCAAGTACTGATATTCAGGACTCTTCCACTCTTCTACCTGAGAACAGTATATCCTGGCCAGTTACTATTGTACTGCTGTGGATATACTGTTATGGTCAATACTCTTCTATTTTCAAAGATTGATAGTATACCGCCACATATGTCCTGGCCAATACAGAAAGTGTTTTAGTCATAAGTGATGTGAAAGTGTTTTCGTTGTTCTCATAGATGTCCTAAACTCCCAATTCCTTTTTCTTTTCCCAGCCTCGAGGTCTAAGTCCTACCCATCCATATCCATTTCCCCAACCTATATCATTCCTTGGAACTTTCTACGAAGTCTCCTTCTTCTCCTCACTCTTGTCACCGTCCTCCTCAATCTCGACAGATCCGACAGCAGCTTCCAGGCCGCCTTCTTCTTGGTTCTCGTCCTCGAGCTTCTTAGCAGTTGATAAGAAGTACTCAGCCACGTCGTTCTTGTGGTTGAAGTAGGCCAGGTCAAGAGGAACGTAGTTCTGTTCGTTTGCAAGCGCGGGAGAAGCACCCTGCTCGAGGAGCAACTTGATGACGTCGAGATGACCGCCTAGAGCCGCCCAGTGTAAACCAGTGTTTCCAGCTTCATTTGCCTCATCTAAAAAGGCTTGCTTCTGCTCCTTTGGTCGGGTTTCGAAGTATTGGATGAGCTGGCGGACGATTTCTGGGAACTGTTAGTTTGATTTTGCACTACTATTGGGGATTTGGACTTCAGATTCTGTAATCTTCAAAGTTTGCAGGTCCCGTGGCTTTTCACCTCATACCTAGATGACCGTTCCCCGTTGCCATATGCAAGCATGTAGACTTGTTGGAAGCATCTTGAGCAGCTGCAACAATCTCAGCCGGGCTGGCGTTCTCTCGCTCAGCCAGAGTCTTGATAGATTCAGTCAGATCCTCCTGCTCTCCAGCTCGGGAAAAGTAAATGAGATCATCGATCTCGTCTTCTGTGAGTGTGGGGGCCATGATGATGCGATTGATGATGATTCAATGTCGAGAATATAAAATTTTGTGAATATGAGGGGACTGTGTGGGTAGATACCCCGCTATTTTCGCACGGTGTGGGGTGGGTCGATACGCAGGGTAGGCAAATTTTGATGGCCATTTTCATGAGTATGGAATGCTACTTCAACTAAAGTTATGTACAGAAATCGGATCTGTTGATTCATTTTTCGTATCTGAAAGATAGTCTCACCAGTCTTGAGCCCAAATCATAACGTATCACTAATCAATGCCTCGCCAATCTCACCATCGAGCCATGAAAACAGATCCCCAGACTCATCTAGCCACTCGATCTCAGCTTTGACTCCAAGAACCAACATCAATTGCAGTTCGTGCTTCGTTTCTGACACTTCAGTCTCATTGTGCGATGGGTTGAAGATCTTCTTTAGCGTCGAGATTGCTGTGTTTCTTTCTCTCGTACTCATATAAGAAACAGGGTTGCGACATGAGGTAGAGGTGATGGACGACTGGGAAGACTGACTGAGTGTGGCGGCAACCGAATCACCAGTATAATCCCGAAAGAGATGCGTTGACTTGATACCAAGCCATTCTAGTGTTTCGGTGCCGAGATCGGCTTCATGGCTGAGTCTGTCGGATCCGTATTGGTAACACCGCCGAATCTTGACTCCGTCGGGGTCGTAGTCGAACAATCCCAAGATTGGGAGCTGTGGATATCTGGTGCTTACAAAGTTCAAAAAAGAACGAGTGGTCAGGTCCGGATACCCTTTTGCCTGCTTCAATAAGTCCACGTCTTAAGAGGTCTGACAAATACGTACAGTGACAAGTACGCCGGGGCCAGACAGAGACACCCTCCAGAATTGGGAGGAGCAGAGTGATCTGAAGACGGCCTTGACAGAATATAAGCCTTTGAACATTTGGAGAAATGAAATACAGTCTTACATCCTTCTCCACTACCAGAATCTATCTGGTATTGTAAATGTCAACGCCAGAAATTGACTGCACAGTTGGGATGGCTACTCCCTACTCCAATCAGACTGTGGTAAATGATAGCACATCAGGTTTGACCTACCAGGTCTCCTAAACAAGGGTTCAGCATGCTGCCGTCATGAAGACCGATTGTCAGCGGCCCAGCTAGTACACCTTTTGAAGCTGCAACCTGCTATAGTAAGCAGTCATGCTTAGTAGGACTCAACCGAGGGGGCGCACAATGTTCAAGTCTCCACGACTAATACCAAGAGTGAACGCGATATCGTCAACAAGTTCGTCTACCTCTCTTTGCTTTTCGAAGAGGTCTTGACGTTGGTAGAAGATATGGCTGAGCCATTAGTAAATATCTTCCTGTGTTCGGACAGAGCCAACTAACCGTTTGGTCAGGACTGTGCCAGATACAAGAGCATCATGTGAAAGCTGAAGGATGAGAATTATGCGCGCTTCTCATGTCAGTCAAGAAATATGCAGGTGCCGCAGAATATTACCGAACTTGATGGCCTCTTGCTTGTTACGACCGGGGAAGTGAACTTGCTCCGGAGTCGCATTGGAAGCCCGACGAGTAGGTTTTCTAGTAGAGAATGCAATCGACAGCTCTTGGCCTGCAGCTAAAGCGTCGATGATTTGCTCGAGAATGCCTTCTATGCGAGCCACGACTGATCCGACATTCGTATTGTGAAGTATCGTATTCGTATCACTGTCATTGACTGTCAGTGATGATGGGAGGTTAGTCTGGTGTCTTTGGGTAAATTCTGGTATAGCAATTGTTTGATCAATGTCTGGTTCTTCGTCCATGTCCACTAAACGTCAGAAAGGTCAAATAGGTGATAACAACGCTGTGAAGCTCTTCAAGAGATACAAAGTATTGTCCGAATACGCAGACGATGTCTTTTGTGGATGGTTGTCTTGTGTAGATGCAACCAATCCCGCGCGGGCCCGAATTGACTTTCAGGGGCTTGACCGCTAAGGTCGGGGCATTTTAATGTCCCTGGCCCCGTACCGGGCAAGTGCTACCGGCAGTCCGCGGCCCTTTCCTCTAGCCCAAACTGTTTAATTCCGGTTCCGTGTCAGTTTAGTTTAAAGCATGTGCTTCTGGCATGATTTGGCTTTGACAAGGGGTTTATTTCAACATCACTCCACCACTACTCTATCGATTGACCTGACTCTTGTGTTCCATTGAGAACCTCTGTACCTTCTCCAAACATGGTCGCCAACTCTAGTGGCCATGACACTAGCGCGCTAAAGTCACGTAAGCGCGCTGCTGACTCTGAGTCCGAACCACTATTGAAACAGGGTCAGCCATTCCCCAAGCAGCCGCGCATCGGTTCAGAGTTGGACAAGACACGATGGAGGCTCAAGGACGACGACAGCCGCCACACTTGGCACTACCTTGAGGACGATGATGCTGCAAAGGAATGGCCCCAGAGTTATGCTGAGAAGTGGTACTTGAACCAGTCCCTGGTGCGTGCTCATTGTCTAGGATCTCTTGTCAAGCCGAAGCTAATATGGTCATTGTAGGATCTTCCCGATCTCCCAAAACCCGATAGTCCTTTGGCAGCCGCCACGAATGGCCTCGACTTCTTCGAAAAACTTCAACTACCCAGCGGTCACTGGGGTTGCGAATATGGCGGTCCTATGTTTCTCTTGCCCAGCGTTGTCATCACCTGGTATGTCACCAGGACACCGATTCCCTCTTCGAAAGCGACAGCGATCTACAACTACATAGCTGCGCGAGCGCATCCCGAGGATGGCGGTTGGGGTCTACATATCGAAGGCGAAAGCAGCGTTTTTGGAACCTTGATGAACTATGTAGCCCTTCGTCTTGTTGGAGTCGAAGCCGACGATCCTGTATTAGTCAAGGCCAGAGGCACTCTCCATAAGATGGGAGGAGCGTTGTATGCGCCACACTGGGCAAAGTTCTGGATGGCTGTCCTGGGAGTGATGGACTGGGATGTTGTCAATCCTGTGCCACCAGAAATATGGCTACTTCCTGATTGGGTTCCTTTTGCGCCATGGCGATGGTGGATTCACATTCGAATGGTGTTTCTCCCGATGGGTTGGCTATACTCCAAGCGATGGAGTTGCGAAGAGACAGATGTTACCCGATCATTAAGGAAGGAGGTCTTTGTCGAAGACTACGCCAAGATCAAGTGGACAAACCACCGCAACGACATTGGTGTCGTCGACAACTACCACCCCAAGTCATGGCTACTCAACACAGCCAACTGGCTGATTGTCAATATCTGGAACCCTTATCTTCGACCCAATGTTCTGAAAGAAAAGGCCGAGGCCTGGTCGAGCAAGCAGGTTGACATGGAGGATGCCAACACTGACTATGCATGCTTGGCGCCTGTCAACGCCACCATGAACACAGTCATGTGCTACGCTCGTGACGGCCCGGACAATTACGGCGTTCAAAGGCACATTGAGCGACTTGAAGAATTTCTCTGGGTCAAGGATGAGGGTATGCTGGTCAACGGCACTAACGGTGTCCAATGTTGGGATACAGCCTTTTTGATCCAAGCCGTCTTTGAAGCCGGCCTCCACAAGGACGAGAAGTGGAAGCCAATGTTGATGAAGTCGCTGCATTATCTGGAGAGACAACAGATCCGAGAGGACTGTGTTGACCAGGATGTTTGCTACCGTCAACCTAGAAAGGGTGGCTGGCCATTCAGCAACAAGGATCAGGGCTATGGTGTCAGTGATTGTATCTCCGAAGCAATGAAGGCCATCATCCTTTTGCAAAAGGTGGGCGGCCTCCCCGAAGTCCTTGAAGAACGAAGGCTATTCGATGCCGTTGATACCCTGCTGCTATATCAGAATGACAATGGTGGTATGTCGTCTTATGAAAAGCGACGAGGAGGAGAGTGGCTGGAAATGCTCAATGCCGCCGAGGTTTTTGGTCGCATTATGATCGAATACGACTACCCCGAATGCACAACAGCTTGCGTGACGGCTTTGTCTTTATTCAACAAGTACTGGCCTGACTACCGCACCAAGGAAGTCAAGACTCTAATTCGAACAGCCGCTGAGTGGATCAAGTCTAACCAGCGTCCCGACGGTGGTTGGTACGGAAGCTGGGGTATTTGCTTTACATACGCTGGCATGTTTGCGCTCGAGAGTATGAAGCATATCGGTCAGACATACGCTACAGGCGAGAACTCAAGACGAGGCTGTGACTTTTTGATCTCCAAGCAGAGGGCTGATGGCGGCTGGTCAGAAAGCTACAAGGTATGCGAGCCAGAATTATTTTGAAGATCTTTACTAACACGCATAGGCCTGCGAAACTATGGAATATGTTGAACATCCCTCGGGGTCCCTTGTGGTTCAGACAGCCTGGGCTTTGGTCGGCCTGATGGAGGCTGAGTACCCCCATGTGGAGCCCCTGAGGAGAGGCATCCAGTTGATCATGGATCGTCAACAACCCAACGGAGAGTGGCTGCAGGAGGCCATCGAGGGTGTCTTTAATAAATCATGCATGATCTCGTATCCCAACTACAAGTTCACTTTTACCATCAAAGCGCTGGGCATGTTTGCCAAGAGGTTCCCTGAGGAGAAGCTGGTACCTAGCTGGACCATGGAGGAAAATGGTATTGAGAAGTCGTAGATGAATACATAATGCATGACAAGATATGCATTCACGACCTAGATTATTATACAATTCTACTTAATTAACTCAGACTCACGTTTGATCTTTTGCAACCGCTTCTATCAATGCTAAAGCCGCAGTTGAGGTATGTTGGTTCAGATGAAAGGCTCCTGGGGCGCAGCATCCTGCGGCCATATACCGACCACAGCTGGCCAACACTGGCTGGCCACTGCCTACATAATTTATACAGTTTCTTGAAGGTATTCGCTGCGGGGTTCTGGCACTGGTATCGAGTGTCTGTTTGCTGCATGCAACAGCCTTGCATCCTTGCGACAGTATTTATGTACCTTCTCTACACTTCATAGATCATCATTTCTTCTCTACCCTTCCATCCATTCTCCTTACCCAACTTGAGGCCAAATATTATTTGCCAGATTCAACCAGGTCTTTTTTTACTTCTTCTTTTTTACCCTTGCTTCCTGAGCCCAGATCAATCACCTTTCATTTAATCTCCCCAATGACTCTTACCAAAAACCAAGAAAAAGAAATCTACTTGGCCTACAAGGGCATCTTCAGCAAGCAATACTCACATCTTCGAAAGCTTAAAGGGGTCCAGCTGCGCATCAATAACACACTAAATCAATCCGTCGTTCAAACTGTGATTAGAAAGTACGGGAAAGACGAGGTTGTGAAGAATGTTCGCGTGCTATTGGAAGCCCAAGTTTTTGAGTCCGAGAAAATGGCGGAAACTCGGTTCTCCCTTGGAGAACCATCGCCGCCTCCAACCCCTGAGCCCGATAACTATAAGCCGAGAGTAGGTCAGCAGAAGCACATTCCTGAAGTAGTCAAAGAGCTACTCCAAGACCCCTTGGATTTGGGACAAAAGGGCGTCGCCTTCACCAATATCGATTTCTTACTGGGTATTTCGCCAGACCCTATCAAAATAGAAGAGCCTGTCAAGGTTGAGCCAGAGGACGACGTTCAAGTATCGAAGGTCTGCGATGTGTCTTTGGCGGGGGTTGATGAGAGGCTCTCATCGACATCGCACCTGCACGAACGGGAATCGGAGACACTCAAAGACACTACGACGCTTGTATCACCCATAACTGACAAAGGAAACTTCACAAGCGTGGCTGCCTTGAAAGGAATCTGCTTAGGCTCGACGCTATCGCCGATTGTGAATACGAAATCGAACGTCACCGTTTCTCCTTCCAGCAATGGCAGTGGCGCGCTCTTGTCTTCGCGTGAGTACAAGATCGAATGGAGCCAGTTTCTGAAGCTTTATACTCACATAAATCGCCCAGCGCCTCAATCGCCTATCAATTCCCAGAAGAACGAAGAAGTGCTTGCAGCAAACCAGGCCGATCCACCTTTCAAAACACAACACCTTATCCTCAAGCGTATGCAAACCATCTTGGAACACGCATGCTTCGACTTCGCCAAGGAAAACATGCCTGGTATCCTGACTACCAGGCAATGGGACTGCCCTGAAGCAGGCGAGTTGAATATCTGGGTGTGGCAACTAAGAAAGAGGCTGGACGAGCTAAAACGTCGTGCTTGCTCGAAAGGTGTCGAGGTTTCTCTAAAGTCTGTCTTAGATTCAATCTCAGATATCCGTCACTTCGCTGTTCATCGCCAGCCGATTCGTGGCGACCATCTCGCATTATTGTCGAGTCACGCCGTTGTATTCTGTACCATTCTTGAGGTCCCAGATACAGATGCTCTGAGCACACTTCAGACGGTGCGAGATTCTGTCAAGACTCGCCTTGCAGAACTTTCTGATCTGAAAAATGGCATTTACAGCAAACTTGACACTGCTCTCGAGGGGATAGCTGTGCGTCGAGCAGAGCTAGATGCCCTTGAGCAGAAGATTATCCAGGATGCGCACGACAAGTTCGAAAGTCACCGGACCATTGCCTGGAACCAGGTGGACCATCTGCTTCCCTACAGATACAACGAACCCTATACGATCAGGCAAAGCGACATCGTCCTCCGTCATGCCCTGAGAGTATTTCCGAGTTTGATCCTGTTCCTTCCTACTATTCTCATCTGCTTGCTCTATTGTTTGGCTTATTTCGGCTTCAGTTTTTGACAGTTGATATGAGAGCTGCAAACCAAGAAAGCAACTGCGTAATTGGTTTAGTGGTAAAATTCTCCGTTGCCATGAAGCAAAGTTCGGGGAGCCCTGGGTTCGATTCCCAGATTACGCAATAGAGGACATCGTGAACCTTTGGATCTCTTTTTGCCTGCTCGTTTGTGGTGTTTGGTTGGGGAGTGCAAAGCCTGACATCAGGGTACCAGAAAAGTTGGCTGCCAGGAGCATAAGAGACTAAATTATTAGGCCACTTTATGCTACTTAGGCCATACTTCTTAGGCTATTTACTTTTTATAGTCTAAAGCTTAAAGGTACTAGGCCGAGGAGTCGACACGCGAGCAGTGGAATAGGGTCACGGGTTGGTGTTGCAAGAAGGCGGTTTGTTAACCGTGGAGTCGAGATGTGTTGGCATCTGGGTTCTCTCTGCCAATAAAGGCATAGTCGTCGTGTTGAGGGTGACGCGGATGTAAATTATTACAGAGTAAACTTGATGGCTTTACACGATTTCTAAAGTCTAATACCGACTGTAAATTAGTATACAGACATTGAATAGAGAGAGTTGGTGTAGTGCAGCCACTTCCGTTTCTGTCCAGCATAAACGCCAGTACCCGAGTAAGACTATGTCTGCAGTGGCAAAAGACATTTAAGGCTGTAAAATCATAAGAGACACAAAGAATAAAATAGTTATATTAGCCTTAGTGTCTTTATCATAAACTTAAGATACTTTCTGGACTTCTTTGTTAGTGCAGACAACAAGCTACAGGCATATACAGCTACAATTAAGCGCTATGATGAGGAGCGCATCATCCGCCCGTTTGCCCCACCAAAGCTTCCAGAACCCACCATCTAGCTTCAGCCTTTGTTTGACTTAGGTTTACTCTGACTTCTGCCTTGCTGCAACATTAAACACAAATGTCTACAAAGTTTTTGTTCTTTATTTAAGGGCACTGTCATTTCCTTTCTTCCAATCCCATATACCCCTGCGTACCTCCATCACCCACCATGTCTTATACCACATTGGCCCAGCAGGGTCTCGCCGCCGCGGAAGCGCGCAACTGGGACGAAGCCATCGACAAACTCACAACCGCTCTCGAAACCTCCAAGAATCCCCAGTGGCTCATAGCTCGATCGAAAGCCCTTATTCACCATAAGAAGTTTCATGAAGCACTCAACGACGCCAATCTCGCTTGGCACTCAGCGTATGACCGTAATAAGCGACCGCTGCTTGTTGAAGCCCACTATCGACGTGCTGTTGCCTACTTCCGTCTTGGACAATATGCCAACGCCGATGCATGCTGCGTTTACTCCATGCGCCTAATCAAGAACTTCCCTGCTATCGAAAAAGAAGACCCAGCCAAGGCCAAATGTGACGAGAATGGTTTCTACAAGATGACCTTGAAAGATGCACAAGAGGAGTCGACGACAGATGAAATAAACAGGAACAAGGGTCCCTCAGTCCAAACAGCGGAGCCAGCTAATTGGAAAGACTGGCGTATAGCTAGCACTCTGCGTATGCAAATCCTATTTGCTATGGAGAAGCTCCCTGAGGATGACCCTGCCCGCAAGCTCACTACAAGCGTCAAGCCTGAGTTGAAGGAGTTGGCAGGCTTGGCGGATTTGGGAATAGCCGACAACAAAACCCCTTCTGCTACTCAAACTCCTGCTAAGCCCGCCGTGGTCGATGATTCTCCTCCGCGAATCCAGGAATTCCAGAACAATGACACCATGTCAGTGTCCATTTTCTCCAAGAAAGTCAACAAAGACAAACTTCAAGTTGTATTCAAGGACGACTTTGTTTCTCTTGATTCTGTTGTTTGGCCAGATGGCACCGAGAGATGTCTAAGCTTCCACACATGGGGTCCTATCAATACCGATACTTCAACCTACAGGGTCACTCCCAACAAGGTTGAGCTCACACTCAAAAAGAAAAGTCCTGGGATGTGGAAGCAGCTGAAGAAGGATGGGGACAACAATATAACCTCCTCCAGCGCACCCAATGAAGAAACCGAGTATGTTCCGTGCCTCTCCTCTAACAACATGTACTAACCTCAATCCCAGAAAGCTCAAGCTCCTCAAAGAAGCTCGCAAGAAAGCTATGGACGCCGCTAATGCCTCAAGCGAGGCTACTTCTACCGTTCAGGAAGATGAAGCAACCATCATCGATAACAATGGAAAGGGAAAGCCCCCCGCGTCACCAGAGTCCTCTTCGAAACATCCTGCGTCTTCCAAGACCGAAACCAAGAACTGGGACACTATCGGCGCCGATATTGACTCCGACGAAGAGAAGGACGTTAACGTCTTCTTCAAGAAGCTTTTCAAGGGCGCTACTCCTGAGCAGCAGCGAGCCATGATGAAGAGTTTCACTGAGAGCAACGGTACCAGTCTCAGCACCGATTGGGATGATGTCAAGGACCGAAAGGTCGAGACCGTCCCCCCTGAGGGTGTTGAAGCCAAGAAGTGGTAAACATCTCATGGGGAGGAGTAACGATGATCGACGAAACATAATTCATGGCCTGCATTTGGATCGGTTAGGCGTTTCGGAATGGGAATCAGAAAAGTAGTTCTTAACATCTAAGCTTTTATTTTAATTCAAGCAATTCGTAGTCTACAGTCTCATTATACTGTGCGTGCTCTATATCCTCGTTTTAGTTTCTCAACATCTCAAATTCTCGGGGACCCATTCTATCGATACTCTTGTCTTTCTTCAGTCCTTCAACCATTTCATCAACCTGTTCCAAGACCTTGCCAAATCGCTCTGACGCCCTCACTTCCGCATCTTCATTATATCGGGTCCACTCCTTACCGGCTCGATACTTCATCGCCAGTTCCTCAGGCACATGCAGCGCGCGGCTCACAAAGTCCTCTCTCGAAATGTACGCTCCCCTCAACCATCTTGATCCACCACCGGCATCGAACTGGTTGCGCCCATGCATAATCCGTGTGTTATCGAAAAGTACACACTCTCCGGGTTCCATCTTCATCTCGTACATGGCATCAGGGTCATTGATCAGTCGATCGAACAGCTTCGCTGGCTCCAGCCACAGTCGCATATCGACAGAGACGTTCTGGTATTGGTTCTGGAAAGGCGGGCTCCAGTATACACCAGCAAGGTTTTCATTTGGGCCGAGATCAAAAATCGGTCGCCTCTGTCGGTAAAAGTATCCGTGTTTCTCGTAGTGATACGGAATCATCACGCGTGCGAGATTCCTGATGGTGGGGGAAGATTGTAGGTAAAGGAGTTTGCCCGCGAAGAGACCATCACTGAAAAGTGATTCGCCGCCTTCACACGAATTCTCCATACAATGAAGCAGTTGGATAGCAGGCGGGCTCTCAAGGTACAGCAGATCCTGGTGAAGGCCCAAGTAGCCACTTGTGTAGGCTACGTTTTCAGCGTCTGGCTTGGCGCGAACGTCAAACGTGCGGCCGTAGAAGGTCTCCTTGATGTTGGCGATGCGCGTGGTGATTTCAACGATGGAATTCTCGTCTTTCGGTACGTTTTTGAGGAACACGAGGCCAAGATTGGAGAGGTCTAGAATGGTGTGCCAAAACACGTCGGAGCCTTTCATGAATTCGTGATAGTCAATTTTGCGAACACGTTCCTGGATAATGGCCTTGTCCCAAAACGTCCGGCCTGTCTTGGGATACACAAGTTCATGCCTTGGAGCAGGCATCTTCTCTACCCTTTTGTAACCCATTGCTTTATCGACTGATAGCCAGGGCAGTACCATCTCGTGGTCTGGGTACATGTCATTCTTGAATGAGATGCTGATACCTTCTTCCGTCGAGCGAATCTTGTCAATGGCAATATCCGATGGTATAGATGTTGTGGCAAAGGTCTTTTGACCCGAGGCTGTGTCAACGCATGCTGCACAAGTACAACTGTCGCGGAGGAGGATGGCGTCTAAACTTGTCCAGCCGCCCTTCTTCTTTTTCTCTACCACGTAGATAGAGCGGTCGGCGCTGGAAATGGTGAGAGATCCATTTTTGGCTTCAAAAGAGTCTCGAGCTTCGAAGACGGGAGGCGGGCTGGCCAACTTTCTGTAGCTACTAGCTCTTTGAGCACGTACTCGAGTTAATGAGAATCCACGGGGGATCGCTTTACAGCTCTGGGTTACCAGTCGGCGAGAGAACATGATGAGTGCTCTCAACTACCTTCTATCGCTTCTCTTCAAAGCGCCGAAGACCAACAAAGTTAGGGGGAGGACAAAAAACAAAGATTACAGGAAACGAAAAGGTCAAGTTCAGATCAAGTGACATAGATATGCACCTAGCTGCCTCTATGTACCTCGGCCAAAAGGGAACGAGGTACCTTATAGTAGCTTCATGTGGGGTTGTCGGCTCAAGCCCCGCGTTTTGGAGCTGATGACAGCTTCTATCAAAAGCAAACAATGGGTTGACATGATATGATGTACAGTTGTCACTACGGGACAACCATCCAAAATAAATCACAGCGTGCTTTCATAGGTAGCTTAGGTATTTACACAAAGAAGTTAATCACGAGTATGTTGCGATCATTTGATCAAAGATAATGTGTTTTTTTATGTCTTGATATAGAATATCGTGCTGTGCAATGAATTATAAACGCCTGGTCGCCTACTGTACATCAAAGATCACATTATCCACCGATATGATATAAGCACATATTTCCATCCATTCAACGTTTTCTCATTAAGCGTAAACTCATCATCCTCTGTTGCGATTGCTTGACCATCGCTTGACCATCACTTCTCTGACCTTGTATAGCTTCAGGGCCTCGGCGACACCTTGCTCAAGAGCCTGCTCGAATTTGGATGGAGGTGGCACATCCACATAAACGAGCACAAGACTTTTGGTGACGTGTGAAAGGACGCGCACAGTCCCATGAAGCCATTGCCAGGTCTTTTGCGGCTTCTGCTTTCCGCTTTCCTTCCAAAGGGCATCAGAGTAGGACGGAATGACAATCAATCCAAACTCGGCATGATCAAAAACAGGTCCTCGAGTGTACAACATCCAGTCAACACCAAACTTGATACCGCCACGAGGAACCCAACCAAGCGATCTGAAGTGGTGATAGACGGCGTAGTGAACCAAAAAGTTGTCGTCGGGCTGAAGGGCAGGGTCTTCAGCCTCAACACGAGGGGGGAAGTATGAATGCTGTCGGAAGAGTCTCAACAAATCCAACGATGACAACTGAGAGCCAGAAGCAGGGTCGGTAACTTGCAAGGCCCCCAAGCCGAAGCTTAGGAAGAAAGCCTCCTCGGGCATAAGCTGGAGGTGTTCCATATTCTTCAGAATAGGCTTGCTTGCAATATCCGTTTGGGCGTCTTCTTTTCGTCCGTTAAGAGCTACAGGCGAGATAGGGCGGGCATCACCCAGCCCATTCAGCTTGCCGTTGGACTCTACACGTTTGGGGCTTGGAGGGTCTGCGAAATGAAACGTAGTTGACTCCACAGTAGGAGAAAATCGGACGCTCTTGCGACGGTTCTTCGGTCTCGTGACGTCTTCATCATCAGATGCGGAGCTTATAACAGAAGCCGTGCCATTGGTAACGACTCCGTTGACCGAGTTGGAACGCACAGTATCCACAGACAGACCAAGTCCAGCCATATGGGATCCAGAAATCCCAAGAATATTGAGCTCATCGGTAGCCTTGTCACCAGCAAGCTCACTGACGATATCTGACGCCGAGTTTGGTAGAGATAGAATGGTCCCAGGGCACACTGGCGAGGCAAATGTTGGCACAAGAATGACAGGTTCGACAGGCTGAATGGGCTTGGGCTGAACCAGGTCTGCCAATGAGTTTGGTAAAGACAGAAGTGCGGCAGGGCTGACAGGTGACTCGTAGGTTGGAAGAGCGGCGGCGGAGGGTGAAATTGGCTTGTCAGACCCGAGCGATGCAATGTCTTTCGACTCTTGGGCTCGCAGCTTCTTTTGCTCTGCCTTTAGGGTTTTGGTTTCTTGTGCCTTAATTTCCCTCGCTTTCGCTTCTTCGGCTTCCTTCAGTCTAGTCTCTCTAATCACTTCCTGCTCGAGACGTGCTCGCTCCCACTTGGCGCGCATACGCTCTTCACGTCTCTGCACTGTCATGATTTCGCTGACATGTGCATCAGCAAGTCCTTGTCGGACCTGCTCACGCTTAAGCCAATTTGGCTCACTACGACTTAGAGTACCCTTTCCATAGAAGCCTTGCTCCCACAAGGCTCGGGTAGAGACATCATCCGTAATGTGGACAGACGATGTAGCGGCAGACCAGGTTCCAATGTGCACAACTGAGGGTTCCGCCTTTGGTGGAGACCACAGCTGGCCTAACCACGCATACGCAACATGGAAGAAGGATATGGGGTTGTTCGGGTAAAAGGCCGGCAGAGGAAACGTGCGGATCGGTGCCGGAAGGGCATAGATCTGGTGCAATGGTGGCCCTCGCTGCTGGGATTGCCGTTGGCCGGCAGAATCCGTGGTCGGCACGATACCAACGGGCTCTGTATTTAATGATTGAATCTCAGCCATTTCTCGGGGTCATCTTGGTCTTGCGATAGATGTTAGCTAAGATCCCAAGTATGGAAGAGATAAACAGAAGCCAAATGTGTTGCGTTGCTCAGATACCGTTGTAGTCTATAATATCAGAGCTTCATGGGAGACCAAATGAATGGATTCTCTAAGCATTTTGACATGGTGTCATCACCGCAACAGAACAAAACTTGAATGAAAAGTTTTGAGAAACTCGAAGCACAAAGTCATGAGCTTCGTGCATTCGAATGAAGAAGAAAATGCTTGGAAAAAGAAAAAAGTCAAGAAAACCTACCTATCTAGGACGTGACCCAAGCACGATGCTGGCTGGGAATTAATCCTCGTGGCCATTCACAGCAACACAATGCTCAACCTCGAAGGGTGAACAATGTTGATTGCTCAAGTGTGAAGCTCGACCTGAGGTGCGAAGCTTCCACGAGCTGTGAGAGATTTTGTTGTTTTCTTGTGAGGATGATGACAGAGAAAGGTTGACGGGGGAAGAAAATCGAGGTTTTCTGAAGTTGGAGCTCCCCACTTTGATGCCTCGTGCGCAAGGCCAACACTCAGGCTCTCCATCAAGGAGATTTCACTGACCAATCTCTCCACTTGTAGGCGACAAGCTTGCTTCATCAGGACCTGAGCCTTTTTAAGCCGCATGGGGATGTTGAAAAGAAATGTTTCTCATTGATTCAGTTAGACCCTAAATTATATCTCTCCAGAAACAAGCTGCAAGTAAACAGAAGCAAGAATTTGGAGCTATGACTAGATCAAATCGTCATGTGTAGCTTGGTGCTTCCAAGCTAACATTAGAGCACTTGACCAGTGACTGTGTGCCACAGAGCCATATCAACACTGTCATCACTCGATTACCCTACAGCACGAACAACCCGTTTTCTTATTCTTCTTTTCTTAATTCAGTAACTTTGGACAGGCCCCGGGGGGTAACAGCTCAATAGCTGTAAAACTCTAATGCTCAGATCAAGTCATATTCAGAGCATTATTGCCGAAGTAACTACTCGTTAATCTTCGTAGTTAATGCATGACTATGATACAACTACCGGGGGGCCAGCTCCAGACAGGTGGCCTTCTAGAAACACCATAGAAACCTCCACGGTAGTTTTCATGAGCCGACAGCAAATCAGGAGCAGTTTCACGAACAGGAAAAACTATCACTTTCAAGCTTTCATTCACCATCATCTTTCTGATAGCGATAAACTCACTTTGCACAGTCAATAAGTTGTTCAATGTGTCACTCACCACCTAATATGTAATGCTAGCGGGGCTCCATACCCGTCCAACCTCCCTCCACAAGACCTGGTAGATCTCTGTTTAATTACTCCTACCTCCAACCCTACGGAGTAGGAGTACCCTTTCAGAGGAAACCTTCCTTTCCATTCGAAGGTTTAATCTTGCTCCTCCACATTCAACATTACCATGTATTCTTTTTTAGAGTGTCTCGCTGGAGCTCTCTTTTTACTCGGCTGCGTTGTTGTTGCCCTTGTCGTCATTGGTGTGCGTGCGCTGTAAGTTTTTCATTCACCACACATCTACGTCTAAACTCCCCCTGACGCGCGACCCAAGCCTCTGCAACTTTAAGAATCGCCCTGCTCCTCCGCTGTCCTCTCAGCTTGGCCAGAATGCGCCGCACGTCACCATTATTCGACCCGTAAAGGGCGTAGAACCTAGACTGTACGACTGTATCGCTGCGTCCTTTCGACAGGACTACCCACAGGACAAGTTCTCGATCCGCCTCTGCCTCGAAGATGATACCGATCCCGCGTACCCTATCCTCCAGAAGGTCATCGACGATTTTCCCGCAATCGATGCGCGTATCATGCTCGAGAAGGAAGACCATGTACTAAGCCAAACTGTCAACATGGGTCCCAACCCCAAGATCCGTAATCTCAGTCGGGCGTACCGAGAGGCCAAGGGTGACATTGTATGGATTATTGACTGCAACATCTGGATGGCAAAGGGAGTTTTGGGACGTATGGTCGACAAGCTCATGGGTTACAGGGTCGGCGGCGCTGCAAAACCCTACAAATTTGTCCACCAGCTTCCCATTGTTGTGGACTTGATGGACTTTTCCACACCACTCGCGGCAGAAGGCCAGTCTCTTTTGGATGCTTCATCGGAGGAAGACCACCATACTGGTGATTTGGATGTCGAGGAATTTCCCAAAATCATGTCTCAGGGCGGTGGACGCATCGATGAGATGTTCATGACAACTTCGCATGCCAAGTTCTACTGCGCCATCAACACCCTTCGTGCAGCGCCATGCGCTGTTGGCAAAAGCAACATGTTCCGCAAATCACAGCTTGATCAAGCGACGGATGCCATCTTGAATCCAAAACTAGATCAAAACAAAAACCTCCCAACAGGTGTTGATTATTTCTCGCACAATATCTGCGAAGATCATTTGATCGGCGATGCGCTATGGACGACGGATTTCCCCGGGTATAGAAGCCACGGACTTGTCTGGGGTGATATTGCCGTCCAACCAGTATCAGGCATGTCTGTTAGGGCCTACACAGCACGACGATCTCGCTGGCTCAGGGCTAGGAAGTACACAGTCCTTTCAGCAACAATCCTTGAACCGTTCACGGAGTGCTTTCTGTTCGCTACCTACATCTCCTTTGCGATGACAACTATCCCATTCTTCAGCCAGATCTGGGGCATTCCTAAAACTTGGAACACCATGGCAATTGCCTGGTTTGCGACAACTACTCTGTGGATGCTTATAGACTATATCGGTTACTTACGTCTGCATTCCGGTGTCACCATGGAGGTTGACGAACACACCCCTTATTTTGCCAAGGGCTTCAAAAACACAGGCGGAATCAAGAGCCGCCCATTTCTGGAATTCTTGGCTGCTTGGATCGGACGTGAGGGTCTTGCCTTTCCTGTCTGGGCTTATGCAGTTGTTTTTGGCAACACGGTCAACTGGCGCGGACGACTATTCTACATTCACTGGGACACTACAGTCGACGCTGTTGAGCCTCGAGATGAACGAATTCGCGAAGTGAGGACACCTGAACTTGAAAGAGGACATTCGCACAACAAGCATCGCGTGGATTGATGAGGCGTAGGAGCTGATACTACGACATGTATGAGGTGGGTGTATTCAGGTTAATGAGGATGAAGCAGAATATGGATAATACCCCGGGCTTGAGGCAACGGGTGACGTGTTACGACAGCTTATGGCATGAAGTCGGAATGATATATAGAACAGTCGATACATATACTAATGGATAAGCATGCTTGATTTCTTGAATTGTTTTGCGTCCTTTAAGTAGCCAAGACACCCAATCTGTGCTGGCTCACAAACTACTGCAGTCTGCAATTCGAGTTACATGAAACACGATACTTAATGTACTCAATCTATTGGGACGCTTTATCGACTCAATGAATCTACTCAACAGGGAACAACATCATCGTCTTCACTCCAGGCATCATCCTACAGCCATCACAGGCCAGCACGTGATTGGACGAATTCCCCCACTGTGCGCACCAGCTCCTGCATTAGATTAGAACCCCGCCATTGTTAAGCATTTTCCTACGATGCGGTGGTTTTTGGGTATTGCGAACCGCAACTCAAACCTTTCTTTCAAGCAAATCCCAGCCTTTCAAGTCTCAAAGTAAGTCTCCGCAGCTCAAATTCCAAATAAACAGTTCTCATCTCTCGCCTCTCTAGACGCTCCTTCACAATGGCTTCTCCTTCGGACCGTCGACCCATCGTTATCTCGGGACCTAGCGGTGTCGGAAAGGGCACGCTGATCAACATGCTCTTCAACCGTCACCCCGATCAGTTTACTCTGTCCGTGTCGCATACTACCCGTAACCCTCGTGAGGGTGAGAGTGATGGTGTCCACTATCACTTTGTCACCAAGGATGCTTTCCGGGACTTGATCGCCAAGGATGGCTTCGTTGAGCAGTACGTTCATCAATCGCATGCAGACTTGCGCATACACTAACAACTCGATTCGCAGCGCCCAATTCGGTAGCAACCTTTACGGAACGAGCAAGGCGACCATCGAGGAGCAAACAGCCAAGGGCAAAGTCGTCGTCCTCGACATCGAAATGGAGGGTGTCAAGCAAGTCAAGGCCTCCACCATTGACGCCCGCTACGTCTTCGTCTCCCCCCCTGACACCGAGGAGCTTGAGAAGAGACTCCGAGGCCGTGGTACCGAGACCGAGGAGAGCATTCAACAGCGTCTTACCCGTGCGCAGGACGAGCTTGCTTGGGCGCGATCAGCCGAGTTTGACAAGATCCTCGTCAATGACGATTTAGAGAAGACATACCAGGAGCTGGACGCTTTTGTATACACTGAGAAGAGCGATTAAATCTGGAGATGATTGATTGGAGGTGTCTTCTTTTAGAGGAGTTTGGTAAAAGTAAAATTATAAATGAAGCATGATAGACCTACAATGATCAATGATTATACCCAGGGTTCCACTATTTATTGTCTTGAACGACAAGTCTTCCTGTTAGTTCACATACATAAAAAAAACTCCGTTGCTATCCAGTAACATCAATGATGGACAGACCTTGCGTCTGTACTAGGGCTCTAAGAGAATATGACCTCTTGGCCTAGGGGCATAAGAATACATTATCTAAAAGCCAACCTAACATGACATCAAGTAGCCTCTTTGTATCGTCTCTCATGGTCTCGATGACCCGGTACTAACTTCTCGGGACGCGACTCTACTTCTAGTTTCCCATGCCATACGTCCTGCGATACCGCTGACTGAGTTCAATATACAAGTCGACACGAGTGCTGCTTCCCATCTTACTGACAGTTGCACGGATTTCAACTTGAGCAATCTTATTCAGTAAACGATCACTCTCAGTTCTTAGGACTGACTTACAGAACTCAGGACGAGCGATGGGTGCCGTTTGTTTAGGCTGTCTAACAGCGTCTTGGAAGCTACGTGCCAGGAGATGGGCAGTTTCGTCGGGCTCGGTGGCGATCTGTCGGGTGAAGCTGGTGTTTGGGTTTCTCAGATAGCGAACAAAGTAGCCGAAGAGAGCATGATTGTTCGCCAATCGCTGGACAACTAGCCTGGATGCTTCGTTGTCTTCATCTTGCCCTTGTCTGAGTAGCTCGGATTCCTCGGACGATAGGGAGGATGAACTGCTTTCGCCCGATCGTTCAGGGGCACTCTCTTCAACGTGGTAGTCTGGTTGAGGAAGCATCTCAACGTTCTGCTCTTCAGATTCTTCTAGAGACGTAGTGCATGCACTAGCTACGGACAGAGGCACAGGGGCAGATTTGGTAGGAGTCTCTTCAGGAAGAGTCAACCCGACGTTGGCCGATGGTTTGTCAGATGACTTGGGGTCACGCTCTTTGACAACCTGATCTGGAGATCCGAACCGGATCTCGAAGTGAGCAACTTTGGTCGTTCGGGGGATGATGATCTTAGCAGGTGAGGGCTCCGCCTCCAGCTTCTCGACTTTAACACTAGGCACTTTGGCCGTATTAAGGCTCTTTGAGAAACTCGCTTTCGGGCTTTCGATAGTAGATGTTCTGGACTCGTATGACATGTTGATCACCTCGGTAATCTTAGAGACCCGATGAGATAGCGTGGCGATGTCGTCCAAAATCAGGCGATGTCCAGCCTCCAGCTAGACATTTCTTAGGGTGTGTTATGCCGAAATATATTACGAAAAAGGACTCACGTTTTCAAGCTTTGATATGAGTGTGAGGTACTTGGCATCTTGGCTGTTCTCATCTACAGGCCACCCGGGCCCGCTCGGGATAGGGGCTGGACGTTCAAGGCGACCAGTCGTGCCAGTCATGTTGGTGGCGGGATTTTGGAAAATAGTCCCTTGTTCCAGAGTAGGAGTAGGAGGATCCGCGAATCTGTCGTCCATCCTGCCAGTCGGTCACTTGAGAAGTGGCGATGTTCCGAATGTAGAATGGGAAAGCCGTGAATAAGCTGGTTGTCTTGGATGAGAAAAACGCTGTGTTGAAAGAAGAGAAAACAATGTATTTGTAGTTGAGGAATGAGCTGGAGCTAATGATTGAGTGATAGCATCGCTGATGCCTGCCCGATAGTAAATTTGCAGGTGTCACTGTTACACACGGTTTGTCACTGCCGGAATCACTGTACCAGCTGGCAAACATCATACATACCTGCATGTTGCCTAGCAGCCTAGGTACTATTGAAGTACCTACTTAAGAAAGAAATGTTAAGCCATATACCTAAAATCGATACACTTTGCCATTTCCTATTAGATACAAACAGGGTAAAAGAAACAAAATACAAATAACCACATGTTTGTTGACAATCTAACTCGTCTCAGTAACAGCCCTAGGAACAATGACGACGGCATTATCTAGCAAATTGTCATTGAGTGATGTTGTATCATTGTTGACAGACTTTATAAGGCATGAGACTGAGTAATCTGCCCTTTACTAGGTCGAGTATCCGAGGACTGAGTTAATAGCTGTTCTGATCCTTAACAATCTTCTCCAAAGCGAACCGGGCCGGTTTTGACTGTAAGATATCGCTGCATTTAGGAATGTTGTATACAGAACAAGTGTTTAACGTATCTATATTCAGTCTATTGGATTCCTTTATAGTGACTTTCCTGGACCTTGCAAGTGTATTGTTAGTGTCGGCAACTGTTCTAAGGGTGGTCAGTGTTTGATATATAGTCCTGCTAGCCTATGTTTGCAGTTTTGATTAAAATATTTGTTAAGAAGCAGAAACCTGTTCCAATTGCGCTCATACAAGTTGAGAAAATATCATCAAGATAGCTTTATATCATGATGCTTCAAAATGCCAAGAATAGTACTGTTCTGTTTGTAGACATCGTTAGCTTATGCCAAGAAAAGGTGAGTCAATCCGGAACTATGCATAGGCTACGGAGTACGAGAAACATCCAATATGCAGACATCATTTCTCTGTGGAGTACAATGCATGTTGGTATGTCATCGGGATTTTGGTATTGTGGTGTCTCCACAAGATACGAAGGTCCAGCCGAATTATGCAGATAGCTAAGCCATATATAACAAACTTGCTGACCCATCACGTTTCTATGTTTTTTTGCTGTTTACAAACACCAACATATCAACAACACAATTCAACATGACGACAAAAGTTTGGAGCCGAAACACACAAGCCGGTGCTGCTCTGGAGAAAGTCCAAGAAGCCATTCGAAACCCTACAGCAGCGTTAATTCCAAAGCCGCCTTCTGACGTAAGCGACTCTCGTACATCATGAGACAATGACTGATGATAATGTTTCACAGCTTGATGAGATCAAGGCTGATAGCGATTCATTCACTTTGGCTTCATTCACCACGGAGGATGCTTTCGAGCTTGGCAATCTTCTATACGCCCGCCTCTACCCTTTCGCTCTTGAGGGCAAGCCAACAGTGATTTCAATTGCTCTCGCAAACACTTCTCAGGTTGTCTTTCAGACTGTGACTGGACCTGGTACAGCGCCTGACAACGAGCAATGGGTCCGCCGCAAGAGAAACACAGTCCTCAGATTCGGTTGCAGCACCTGGTTTATGCACAACAAACTCAAAGGCGATGAGGCTGCCTTTGCTGCAAAGTATGCTATCGCCGACTCCAACAAGGGCGACTACGCTATCCACGGTGGAGCTATTCCTATTCGTGTTCGTGGCGTTGAGGGAATTGTAGCTGTTGTCGTTGTGAGTGGACTGAAGCAGGATGAGGATCATGGAGTTATTGTAGACGTCATCAAGAATAACTGGAACTAGGTACTAATAATAAATCATCTCCATGAAGAAATAATGTATATTTGAAACCGGATCACTCCATTTCCCATCCCCTGTCAGTACATGCAGGGAATAGTCGGCATTCCCGATACGGGCCGTCCGCGATATGTATATGCACCAAAAGGATTAAGGTTTATGCAGCTAATGAAAGCGAAATTTGACCTAATTAACTTCCAAGTTTAACCAAACCAAAATCCATGCATCCATGCTATGCAGCTGATGAAGGTTGAAATTCGGTATCTAGTTTTAACTATATTCATTGGGCCTCTTTGTTAACGACGAAAACGATGAACGCGACAAAATGGAGAATCTCAAAGGCTTGCCAAGAATGTCGCGCCAAGAAGATTAAATGCAATGGCGAGACGCCCTGCCAGAACTGCCGAATGAGAAATCTCAGTTGCGTCTATCGCGAAAAGGCCCGTAATCGGACGCGAAAGGTCAAACCGCGAACTGCCGCCTATGAGACAATCATGTCTCACGATGCAATGGAGAGCACTTCACTAGAAGCATCCGACGAAGGGACAGTTCCGCCTACGCCGAGCGCTGATGATGCTTCTATCGGACCATCTGGCTCAGTAATGGACAGTGAGCGCAGTACCGGTATAACTCACAATGCCGTCGCTGCAACACATCGCGCATCCCCGTCATGTTTCCTCCAGCTTTATTATGGACCTTCATCCAATTTCGCTCTCCTCAATTCTATCTACCACCAAATAGCAGGAACATCTCCGAACGATCCTTCGTCGCGCTCTGGTATTGTCGAAGAGGGTGGTCCAGGTCTAGACCTTTTCAGTCACCGAAGATTGTTCTTTGGGGATTTGGCAGATAACCAACGACCATCGTTACTCCCCGATGACGGCTCAGCCCTGCTTATTGATCCCGAAACAGCCCATCGGTTACTCGAGAGATATCTTTTGACCTACTGGCATGGCCTGCCCGTTATGAGTAAAGACGACTATCGTCGTCGTTTAGACGCGTTGTTTCAGCCGCCAGGAATCTTTGATTATGATGCGCCCGAGACAATCATCATCATGCTTGCAGTTGGCCTAGGGGCCTCTATGACAGGTGAAGAAGCCATTGCAGAATTTATTTTCCAAAAAACAAAGCAGGGCGCCGCGAAATTGGACGAAGTTGTCAACATGCAAGTCGTCCAAATACACCTTTTGATGATAAGTCACCCTTCCCCAAACCCTGGGTTCAGTTAAGCTTACAGCCACAAACGCCCATTTTCAATCAGAGAGAGCAAGACCAAACTCAAGTTTTTTGCATGTCGGCACTGCCTGTAGAAAGGCTATAGCTGCTGGCCTACACAAAGATGGGTGCATGCGCCCTGGATATACAGAGGATGACACAAATCAAAGAAGCATCACCTTTTGGAGTGTATTCTTCTGGGAAACGTAAGCTCAATATCAGCATAATCTGGGCAATATCTGACACTATACAGATGGCAATGTCTTGTTCTTGGTCGCCATAGCTCGATTCCTGACCCCGGCCCAGTCATTCCGTTGCCGAAAGATCAAAAACTACTCAGATCCTTGGTCACGTTATCACGCATCATGGATAAGTGTGTCAAGCGTATATACAGTCCACGGCATGACTCGTTATTGCCTGTGTGGAATGCAGCTGTCGAGATTCGTCGCGAATTACATCAGTTTGCAGAGCAGCAACTCAAGGATATGAAGTTTGGCCTCGTTGGCGATCCGAGTACTGGAGAGCTTGGTGTGTGTCAAGCTATGGTGTCAACTAGTAAGTCATTTTGGATGTTGGTAGACTTTGTGGCTGACCCGAAATAGTGTACCATCACACCCTACTACTAACATTCCGCCCATTCCTGATATTAAGAGCCAAGCTCAACCGTGATCGAGCGTCTGCTACATCTGCCGATAAGTTGCAATTACCTCCACCTTGGCTTGACAGCGCCTGCGAATACTGTCTAGAAGCGGCGAGAAACTCAGTTGGATTCCTGACAGGCTCTTGTGCCACAAACATTCTTTGCCGTGTATGTTTACTCCTTCTGATTAGTTGTAACCAAACTAACAAACTGCAGGACATTAAATACCATGGCTTCTTCATCGAGGGAGCTTGCTACGCTTTGGCTTTTGACATGCTCCAGGAGAAGAAAACCGCCCATCGCAACTTGCCTTGGATTCATTCAGGTCTCAGATGCTTGCGTTCTATGATGGGATCAGCCGGAATCAACGCAGGCCAACTGCCAATTACGATTGCCTCAATCGAGCAGATGGTTCGCTCTGCCGGCTTTGAAATGAAAGACCCTGTCAACCAGACACAGCAGTATCAGCAACAACTTCCAAGGTCGACACTTCCCGGCTCGCCGGCTCCTACTAATGTGGCAGGCATGGGGAGCGAGCCAGCATTTACCTTTCCTTCTATGCCATTTGGCTTCGACACGACGGGTCAGCTGAATGGTGCATCACCGGCGGGTGCTAGACCAGAAGATATGGCAGATTTTACAGCTGCTGATGTTGGCTGGGATATTGATTTCGGATCAATGAACATGGATGCGTTTTTGTCTCTTGATTCGGCAGAGGCTTTCAATTTTGCGCCTTGAGCGGATGCGTATGATTGACCGATGAGGGTTAAAATCGCAGTGAAGGCTCGGGAGGGTTGTCCTCTTTGAGGTATGCTGACGAATTCAATAGGGTGAGATTATATGATTGCCACGGACGTAATTTGATTCTAGGTACAGGACATGGAGTATTGGATATTTGCTTTATACCAGCATTTGAGAGCCAAATATGGCTCCCAATCATAATGTTTTTGAATAAAGTGTTTCACATAGATGATGACAATAATCAACACGTTTTATGAGAACCCGGCTGTCCTTACTCACTCTGAAGAGCCAAAACAGCAGTCAGGCCTCCAGTCAAGGCCAAAAGTCCCCTAACAATGTTCATCCATCGCCACTTCTTCAACAAATCCACAACTTCCTCTCGACTCGCCTTCTCCTGTTCGACACTACTAGCCGCAATGTCGTTGAGGCGATTATTGGTAGCCATCATCCCAAGTCCAGTCCATGGAAGCTGAGACAGCGTAGTTACAGCTGCAATAGTCCAGAGCGTACGTTGAGCGGGAACAAGATAGGCAACGATGCCTGACGACGCACCTGAGAACATGGCGAGGGGAACAAGGGTCAGAGCACCGCGAGTGTAGAAGTCTTTGAAGAAGATCGTATTGATAGATGTAGGTTGATTATATAGGAAAGGAACGGTGAGGTGCGAGGAGCCGAGATTCACACCGGCCAGGACAAGGCTTGAAGTCAGGCCGAAGACTTGGAATGTGCGTACAGTAGGGTCCATAATGAATTGATTATCTGTATATTTCTGTAAAGGTCAGAGTTGTTTGATGACGATGATAAGTAAGGATTGAGACGTCAAGTGAGGAGGTAGACACACAAAGTTTGTTAATTATTGGTTAGTATGAGACATGTGAAGATAAGATGCCTCGTTAGACGCATGTGGCTTTTCTCAAGCTCTTTATCGAGACATATAGACATATTCCAACCATTGTTCGTGTTTATGATGTTTGCATGTTTAGATGTTTTCTGTAATATGGACAGGACCAGGTTGATAACTCTGTTTTGTATAATACACCAACTATCTACTGCATTGTATGTATGCCTGTTTGTCAGGATGTGAGACTGAAAATGACTAAGACATGGGTAGACTCGTATTCGTGTTTATACTTTCCGTTATCCGAGGACCATATCACTAGGACTCCTCAGACGACACCCGTTATTTACTGTCTGTTTATTTGGTCCTATATGTGTGTTTCTATTATTTGTTTAAATCATCTTAGAACTCATCTGGTAGTTACAACAGAGATTATGTGCTCCTAGGGACGCGTTCAGAACCTGGAGTGACGATCATGACGCCAAAGGATCGCTTCGCATCACGCTAAAAATGACAGTACGTGCATAACTCGTCTGGTATTTGTAGGGATATCACGCCTTCCGGGAGCCAATCATGTAAATTATAATCCAATTAATCTCGCCAGAGAAAAGACAAAGCTGACATCTTCTTTTCCCACCTTTCAACCCAACAGTTTCCATCCCAGCCCTGTTGCCCAGGGATTGTGGTTCTACGATGGATCTGTCTTCACTTTACCAGAACGTTTCGGCGAGTCTCGCGTCTTTGTCCCTTGTCTATAAAATTCTCTTTGCAATTGTTGTCATTCTTGTTCTGAATAAAGCCTACTGTGGCCGAAGCAAGGGGTATAAGAATTTACCAGCCTATGCACCAATTGAACTTGCTATTGCCAGTTATATCCTCAGTGGAGATGGCATTAGCCGACGAATCTTGTAACACTTATTCCCAATGCTTACGCTCTCATCATTCACGCCTGCTAATCCAGACAAACAGTTCAGCTGTAAGCCGCTACGAAGGCTCACTCTTTGGTATCACTTCAGGGCATCAGATTGTGGCCGATCTTCCAGGCATAGAGCGTCTCTTGACACAGTCTCACCATATTTTCGACTCTACCCCAGCACAGTATTCACTCTGTACGCTTGTTTTTGGAAGTACCGATTCTCCTCAGTTGAGGGAAAAGTTACATACTTCTCTGAAAGACCTTGTCCCTCCTCTGGAAAGAACCTTTCTCAACGATGCTGCATCTACTGCTGCTGTTGAGAGATCAAGTGTTGCTGAGCGCGGTGCATCACTCGTTACCTTCTCTTCTGACCCACAACATATGGCACGCTGGGAACTATCAGCAGGAATCAAGGTTCTACAGTCGGAGCAACCAGGTGTCCCAGGAAAAGTCGAAGCGAACTTGCAAAGCTTGACCCGTGACTTTGGGGCCTGCATGTCCATCCCTCTCATCTACGGTCAAGATCTTCTCGACCGCCATCCTCAACTCCTCGACGACTTTTGGGCTTTTGATAATGAGCTGTTTCCTCTGCTTATGGTTGGAATTCCCAAATGGGCTCCCTTTAAAATGATGCAGGATGGACTCAAAGCGAGAGCCAGAATTATCGATAGTCTGGAGGGTGTTTACCAACGTGTTGAGCAAGAACGACGAGGAGAACCGATTGATTTTGGCGCCGATATCTCAGATGTCAGCACAATGCTGCGCGAACGAAACAAGGTTTATAACCGAGATGGTTGGACCCTTAAAGAGCGTGCTGCTGCTGATCTCGGTACTTTCTGGGGTCTGAATGCCAATACTCAGCCTGTCTTGTTCTGGTTTTTACTTTACGCTTATTCTACTCCTGGATTGCTTGAGCGAATCAGGCAAGAGATTTCGCCTTATGTCACTCTATCTGGAGGGGAGCGACCAGAAATTACTTCTATGAATTTTCAGAGTCTGTTCAGAAACTGTCCCCTCTTCAAAGCTTGTATTTTTGAGACGTATCGCCTAGTCAATGAGCCAACATCAATCCGCCACGTGTCTCAATCAGTCAGTGTCAACGATGGCAATCTTCAGCACAACCTGAACGAAGGCACATACATCTCTGTGCCCTTAGCTCTCAGGAACAAGGACCCTGACCTGTACCAAGACCCAGACTCTTTTATCCCTGATCGGTTCCTCGACACGGACCCCGAGACAGGAAAGTCGACAGCCCGATATGGAAAGTTGAAGCCGTGGGGTGTCGGAGCTGCCATGTGTAAGGGACGTACATTCGCAGAGAAGGAGATCATCTCTTTGGGTTCGGCTGTCGTGAGTCTTTGGAACATTGCTCCGGTTGATGGAAATTGGAAGTTACCTGCCATGATTCCTGGGACTGGAGTCAAGAAGCCAGTTAACGACATACGTGTGGTTGTGCAGAGAAGAGTAGTAGTATAAGTTTCAGGAACGTTTAATGTGTCGTTCTCAGCCTTGGGTTTAGGGCTGAAGTATGTAAGCTTTGCTCAGTCTTACGAAAAGTGGAAAGGGTAAAAGCACAACATTTTAGACATAAAACATTTGGAGTGACTCGCCCCTTTACATGCTCAAAGACGCCTCGACAGTGTTGTCTGGTCCTTTTCTCAAACTTTGCCACAATGCCGGATTATTGGTTGGTTTTAAAACTTTAACATCTTGCGTGCAGTTTTTGTCACCCCAGATACTGCCTGGAAAGATTGCACAGAGGAAATAGATACAGCAGAGTCTCAATATAAAGTCAAGGTTGCTGCGCTATTGAGTTCATTGGCGTACCCCAATAAACAGGTTAGCTTTTCAGGAGCAATAAGTATATAAGAAACCGCGAGATTACCTCTTCGTTTGTACATTGCGGCATGTGTTTTACCTACGTTAAGCAAGTAACTAACGTAGTGTGAGTTTGTAAAGGCTTTAGGTAGGTGAGTGTCAACCTTAACATAATAACCATGGATAGAATGTGAATTAATTAGGGTCAAGGGAACACTTTTAATCAAAACCTACTTTCTATTCATCTATAAAAGAAGACACTGCCCCCTGTTCTTTTCAAAGTAGACCATCTTCCTTACAAACCACGTTTCGGTAAAGCTCACTATCTGATTTCTTCAATCTTCGTACCTAGCCAGCTTTTACTGCTAGATATCATATCAAACCTCTATCATCGACACCTTGCTCAAGATTCTATCACGAGCTGCACAGTCATCAGCTACCAGTCATTTGGAAACAAGTCATTCAGGCTATCGACCTTTTCCTTGAGCCCCTGTCACAAGCCATACTGTTGTTCAGCCACAAGTAATTCAGAATATCGACTTTTTTTCTCGCTCCTATCCCGAGCTATACAGTCATCATCACCTACAAATCATTCAGACTATCATCTTCTTTCTCAAGCTCCTGTGGCAAGCTACACAAAAGATGCCTACGGCAACAGCCAACATGGGTTTCAAGATGGAATGGGACGAGTTTCTAAAACTTTATGCCAAACGCAACCGTGGTTCTCTTACAACAACACCTGGTCAAAGCACCCTTACATACATCTTCTCTCCTCAGGATATTAGAGACGCAATCAGGGCTCCTCATTCCCCCGAGAGTCGCCAACCAAGCCCTTCTGGTCAATATGTAATGCCAAGTCCTACATACGGCTATGCACCTTCAACCGGGTCTTCCTGTTCTGGAGTCTTGAGCCCCTTTTATCTATCCTCACCTACAGATTCTGTGCGATCAACAACTTCGGCCTGGCGTCCAGAAAGTCAGGACTATACTCTATCACCTTCACCTTCTTTTTCACGTTCTTCTTCACCTCCTTCTTCGCCTTCCTTTTCAGCTTCGTCCTGGCGTACAGAAAGTCAGCACTACACTCTATCATCTTCACCCTATTCTTCACCTCCTTCTCCAGCTTTGTCCTGGGATACCAGTCAAGGAAGCTATAGTCCTTCACCATCTCCAAACAGGCTCATCAGAAACACACACAAAAGAGTATATCAAAAACGTGCCAAGGTTCAGGGTGAGGTGTATCTGCCTCTGGGGCCCCAGACCCGACTCCTCTCAAAGATCCAAACTCTCTTGGAGCATGCCTGCTTCACTTATGCTGAGAAGCATCTTCCACAACTACTCGATGAAAACGATTGGGACTGTCCAGAAGCCGGAGAACTCAACGTGTGGATGCATCACTTGGCGATACACGGTTTAGAGCTGCATTATTTGGCTAGAGACCGTGGCATTACAGAACGTCTTTCTAGCGTGATGCATTCAGTAAAAAATATTCGTCACGATGCTGTACACCGCAACAGAGTGGAAATTAGTCGACTGGCAATATATCTGGACCATGCTGTGGATCTTTGCATGGTTCTTGGAGACCAAGGGGACTTGAATAAACTCAAAGCAATTCGGGACGAGACAAAGGCCCAGATCGCCCCGCTTCAAGCTGCTGTACTCGAGGCCGGAAAAAACATAGCGAAGTTCTATGAGGCTCGCTAAAAAGTTATTCAATTAATGCTGAGAGAGGAAGGAAGACTTGTGGCGTTATTTGTCGGGGTTTTTTGTTGTATATTAATTGATACCCATTACAGTCACGAGGAATTGGTATTGTTTTGAAGCTAGTGTTGTTCTTAGTTTACACATAAATGGCTAGCTGATGAAAAGAATATCCTATTACGACACTAAGATCTTTACCAAAGTGCATTTACTCGCTTAGTACGTATGAAAATAAGTCTCGTGAAACTTTAGGGTAGCTGTGTTTTGTAGATTAATATGAAACCAGAGTAACAAGAGTCTTTGGCCATTGATTTGGCAACAGTCAACGCCACAAAGCTACTGCAACTGCTCAGAGTAGAAAGGTCTAGAACCAAGATACTGGGATTGAACTTGGTAACTGAACTGTTAGCATTGTCAATTAATAGTGACGTAACATGGGGACGGCTAAACCCGTCAAAACGTTGAAAGCACTCCCCTGATCTTCAACGGAACTACAACAAGGATTCGATCTCATCTCGATCTTGTTAGCGTTGACTTTTAAGAATAAAAGACGGTGGTTGGACAATTCAAGGGAAAAACCAATTCTGGAATGTCTCCCCCCGCAATGTCCGCATATGAGCGTCATTGACGTCACATTCCGGAGCTTTGTTCCAGAGCTGAGCTTCCATTGAGCTCTACTATTAGCTGCAGTCATTTTGTTTCCATCGTGATGATACGTGACCGTGCAAATACGTCATTCCTTAGGCATTTTATTAGCTAACCGCAAACATTATTTACTTTGCTCCCGAGTATTTCTTTTCCCCTCCTTATAATAATCATCTTCTCTCCTCTACTCTCCTCAACCATCTAATCTAATCCACCCTCACACAATCCGACAAAATGCTTCCTGCTCGTCCTCTCATCCGATCAAGCGTGCCTCGTGCCGCACGAGCAACTCGCGCTCCTCGTCGCCAAGTTCGCTTCCAGTCCACATCCTCCACCTCATCATCATCGAGCAGCATGCATCTCGCATCCGGTATTGCTGGTGGTTTCGTCGGCTCAGCTCTCTTCTTCGGTATCTACTCTTACACACCTGCTGGACGCGCTGTTTCAAGTGTGAACAAGGTCGCCCTCGAGGCTCAGAAGAAGTATGATGCCGCCGCCAAGAAGCTCCAAGAAAAGACACCCGATGCCGACCAGGCCGTCAACTACATCAAGGAGTACGCCTACTCATACGTCGGCTGGATTCCTGGTGGTCGGGCCTACGTTGATGCTGCTTTCCAGGACTGGGAGAAGGTCCGCGAGAACAACAAGGACGAGGCCGACAAGCTTGTCAAGGACGCCTACAAGCAATTCCAGGACTTGTCCAAGTCCGGCCTCAGCATGGAAACTGCTTCCAAAGCTTTCGATGTCATCGCTGATCTCGGAAAGAAGGTCGCTAACCTCGCCGGTGACGCCATCAGCGACATTATTGACAACCACCCTCAAGTTAAGGAGAAGCTAGGCGGCAACGTTGACCAACTGAAGGAGCTCGGCGACAAGTATGGCCCCGAGGCTAAGAAGCAGGTTGACGAGACCTGGAAGCAGGTCAAGGACATCTTTGCCGGTGGCTTCAGTGCCAGTACCATATCCAAGGCTCGCAAGCTCATTGAGGAGAAGGTCGAGGAGATCAAGAAGCTCGGTGACAAGGCCTGGAAGAAGGGTTTGGAGGAGGCCAAACCCTACCTTGACAAGAACCCCAAGGTCAAGGAGCTCATCGAGAAGAACGCCGATGCTTTGAAGCAAGGCAACGCCGCCGAGCTCTTCAAGCGCGCCAAGTCCGCTGTCGACTCTGGTGACCTAGGCGATCTGGAGAAGTACGTCAAGGACGCCACAGAGAAGGCCAAATCTAAGGGCAATGAGCTCACCGGTGGCTGGGTCGACATTGAGAAGTACATCAAGGAGATCCCCAACGGTGGAGAGGTTATGGAGAAGCTCCAGCAGCTGAGCGAGGTTGCTGACAAGCACAAGGAGGAAGGCGAGAAGCTCTTCAAGGAGACCATCGATGAGCTGCGACAGGTGTTGGAGGAGAAGTCCGAAAAGGCCCAGGAGATTGCTGGCGAGGCCAAGAAGGATGCTAAGAAGGAGGCCAAATAAAGGCACAGAATTGTACTCTAGTCTATGAATTCCCTAATGATATCCTAATACTTGATCAAAAGTTGATCAACTACAAAGACTCCACCTGGCCAGACGTGAAGAATCCAACTTAGTCGTGAACACTCCATACAATGTACTATAGACTAGCCGTATTGCGTCCTTTTGATCATCCTCATCGTAATATAAACAATCCTTCACCTTTCGCAGTCATGACCATCAAATTTGTTAGTTACCCGATTGACAACAAGAGACTCTCAAGCACAAGTGGCCAACACAATGCTTAATTCTCGAAACGCTTTTGTTCTCATCTCCAAATTCCTCTTTCTAGATAACCTACCCGCATGGACACCACCTCTACAACAATCCCTTGGCCTTCAGATCATCGTGCGCTTTCTTCTGTCGGTCCCACTGCTTCTTCAAGCCCTTGAGTTGACTCTTGGGCACATCACTTCCGTCCTTCATCTTTGTAGGCATACCCTGCTCATCCCAGGCGCTGTATCTCTCATCGCCCTTGAACATATCCTCCGGTCTGACCTTGGCCTTTTCGCGGGCTTCTTGGTCTGCCTTCTCACGTGCAAGACGAGCCTCTTCCTTCTTTCGCGCCTTCTCGGCAGCCTGAGCAACCTTTTCCTCACGAGCAGCAATCAGTTCAGCGGCTGGGATGAACTTGATCAAAGAGGCTTGGCCATCGGGTCTGTCATCAAGGTACACTCCTAGGTTGGTAAGGTCATCGTCACGAATGCGGTCGGTCAAGGCGAGGATAGCCTTCTTAGTGTCGGGAGTTTGGTTGCCAACGATGCGGCGAAGCTCATCTCGAATTTTGGACACGGCACGAAGGTAAGGCATGGCCAATTGCTCGGGGTCGCGTGAGCCGCCGGCTGCGATTGACTCGAACTCAGTTGTAGGACTTTGCTCAACCAATGAAGAGATCTCCCCACTTTCAAGAGATAAGCCAGAAACGTCCGACTTGACCTTGGTAAAAGCATCAGCGTAGGGCTGCACAGCTGTCTTAGGATCGACATTAGAAGCGATGGTTGTTGCCCAGCCGAGACCCTCATACGGGGGTGAAGCACTTGAGTCAAGACCAAAGATGCCAACAATCTTGGTGATCCATCGAGCAATCGACTCAAGAGCGGCAAGGTCGGCGTCCTTGTTGTCTCTCAAGTGAACATTGGCAGTGTTGACCAGCTTGAGGATAACAGACATGGCCTTTGGTGTGTCGAATGAGTTGGTCATGGCACCCTCGAACTCCTGCTTGGCCTGCTCCAACTCACCCAAAAGCCCCTCGCTTGCTTTGCCATTAGCACTCAGAGACAGAGATTTGACTCCGTATGTGATACCGGCCTCGGCAAGCAATGCCTTGACATTGATAAAGAAGTTCTATCCCATGTTAGTCATGGTCAAATGCAGGATGAGTCACACTTACGCTAATAGTTGACTCCCAGTTGTCAGCTTGCAATCTCATGTCGGGTGAAATTTCAACGCCATCGTTCCATCGTCCCATCAGGAAAACAATTCGCATGCCTCGCGATGAGTAAGTTGTAGCAAGCGCATCCTGGATGGTTTGGAAATTCTTGAGGGACTTGGACATCTTGGAACCAGAGATAGACAAGTGGCCCATGTGGAGGAAGTAGTTGACCCACGTGTGTTCACCCTTGCCGTGCTCACAGAAATAAGCCTCACTCTGTGCCAGCTCATTGTCATGATGAGGGAATGCAAGGTCAATACCACCGGAATGAATATCCATGTTGGGTCCCAGAACGGATCCTGCCATCACGGAGCACCTTTAAATACCAGTTAGCTTATTCCTCAACCAAGATTGGGCGATTTGAACATACTCGATATGCCATCCAGGACGGCCGTCTCCCCAAGGGCTGGGCCAGAAGGGCTCACCAGCCTTGGACTTTTTCCACAGAGCAAAGTCACCGGGGTTCTTCTTTCCACTAAGGCCCTTGGAAAGGGATCCTTCACCCTCTTCTTGAAGGGACTTGTCGTTCCTGTTGTCAGGGCGCAGTCGTGCATAAGTGTTTCCGGCCTTCTCGAAAGCAGTGATATCGAAGTACACAGATCCCTCAGCCTCATATGCAAATCCCTTATCGACGATTGTCTTGACAAAATCGGCAATCTGAGGAACGTACTCGGTGACGCGAGTGATGACATCAGGTCGGAGGACGTTCAGCGCATCCATATCGTCCATAAATAGCTTCTCCATGCTCTGAGTCAGATCTGTAAACATGGTCTGATCCCTGGTGTCGATCGTCTCTTTGTAAAGGGAATCGAGGTAGGGAAGGAGAATCTCATCGGTGCCAGGGAAGATCTCGCCCGAGGCAATGGCTTCAGCGGCGGAAGTCATGTTGCTAAGATGCATCTTGACCTTAGCCTCGTCGTCTCCAGGCTTTCCCTCGCCAGAAATGGTACCACCTGCGAGCACATGTCCGTATCCTGCTTCCCTTCGCTGGGCGTAGTTGGTCGCATCAATGTCCTCCCCGTCCTTGAGCAAAAGAGGCAGGCTGCTCTTGGCGTAAGCTCGGAAAGCAGCTAGAGCGAGGCCTCGGAGTTCGTCCTTGGAGTAGTTCTTGTTCTTCTCAAGTTCGAGCAACCGTTGTCGCCGAGCCTTGATGATGATCTGTCGAGGTTTAGACAAGTCGCATGATGCCTAGCTTGCTCTCTATCATACCTTGTCGTCAATATCGGTAATGTTCATGACAAAATTGACCTCGAAGCCAAAGTAGTGCATCAGGATACGACGAATAATGTCTGTCGAGACATAGTTGCGAGCATGACCCAAGTGACTCTTGTCGTATACAGTAGGACCGCAGGCATACCACGAGACCTTGCCCTTCTCAATAGGGACAAATGGTACCGGGGCGCCGGGCTTGAGTGAGTTATAGAGCTTTAGCGACTCCATTGTGCTCGTGTTGGAGCCGGTTAGAGACGAATACAGTCGATGGAGGGGTCGTTGTCGGGCTGAGAATAATGGAGTGGGGATTTTAGATCGAATTGGAAGACGTTGTCGCAAGAAATTCATCCAGACGCCAAAGATAAAGACGAATGGAGAAGAGTGAGAAGGTGAGAAAAAAAGAAAGAGAAGAAGGGTATCGTAAGAGGGAGGAAAGGAGGTGTATATGCAAGGCACTGTAAGGAAGGGGACCTTGGAACAAGACAAATGTCTACAAGAACGAGGCTTTGAGTCACAGTCGAGTCAAAGGGAGAGAAAGACGCCATCAATCAGTTTTCCAAGCAAGGGCCTGAGCTACAGGGAAGCTACAGGGGAGCAGTCCCAATGTCCCCGCGATAACCCTCCAATGGCCTGGTCGATAGATCCTTTTTAGCGTAGTACTGGATGCCCCTCACTAAGTTTTCAGTGGGGCAAACGCTAATCGTTCAGCCTCGCGCCGTATCTTTGGAAATATTTTCCTGCCTCGTCTAAAAATCCTATTTCTTCCAAAAACCAAACCCGATCTCAATAGACACGTCCCGACGTGCAATCGCATCAATGGCTCAACCGTCGCCTTTCCTCGAGCCAGGTTCCACCACTTCTTCTGGTGACCTGGCGATCGTTCTTCTCTCACGCGACAACCTTGAACCCGTTACCCTCGAGGAGTCGACTGGCGCAGTTGATGGCTACCTCGAAGGCGCAACCCTCAACACACGATTCGGATCTTTTCCTCACTCGACGTTACTCAATATCCCTTGGGGATCTCAAGTCCGCGCATCAAATGTTGATACTGGATCAAGAGGACGAAAGCGCCGCCGTGAAGTGACTGACGACGACACACCAACAACGACTGGCCCTGATGAAGAGGTTACTAGTGTCAAATCTAAGCCTGCGAAAAAGGCTGTCGTAGCAGCAAGTGGCTTTATTCATATTCTTCGACCGACCCCCGAACTTTGGACGAGCAGTCTCCCCCATCGAACCCAGGTTGTTTATACACCCGATTACAGCTACATCCTACAGAGGATACGAGCAATTCCCGGTACTCGCATTATCGAAGCAGGCGCCGGTAGTGGTAGTTTTACACACGCTTCTGCGCGAGCTGTATACAACGGGTACCCCAAGGATGGCAACGACCGAAAAGGAAAGGTCTTCAGTTTCGAATACCATGAGCCGCGATATCAGAAGATGCAAGAAGAGATCCACGAGCATAAACTGGACGGTGTTGTTCAGCTGTCACACCGCGATGTTTATGGAGAGGGTTTCAACGTGGACGGGAAATCTCCCCTGGCTACGGCAATCTTCCTCGATCTACCAGCGCCATGGGAAGCCCTTCACCATCTGTCCCGACAAAGACCCGAGAAGCTGAAGGACGAAGAGAACTGGGTCTCGCCCCTTGATCCTAAGAGGAGCGTTCACATCTGTACCTTCTCACCATGTATAGAGCAGGTTACCCGGACCATTGAAGAGCTCCGGCTCCTAGGCTGGACAGATATCGATATGGTCGAAATATCCGCTCGACGAATCAACACTGTCCGTGAGCGAGTGGGCGCGAATCTCCCTGCTGAAAGAGGAAACATTCAGGCACCAGCAGACGTGAAGGAAGCTATGCAAAGACTAAAGGAAATCAACCAAAAGACTAAGGAATTTCATAAGGTCGCTTTCAAGTCAACAAATACTGAAGATGACTCTTCAGCAATGGACATCGATACACCAAAGTCAAACTCATCCAAGCCCAACGGAAAGGCCACCGAAGATGATTTCAAGCCTTGGATGAACGGAAATCTCTATCACAGACCGGAGACGGATCTTAAGACCCACACGTCATACCTCACATTTGCTGTCCTGCCTAGAGAATGGACGGAGGAGGATGAAGCAGCTGCTTTCGCGAAGTGGCCATGCGGGAAAGAGGGTGGAGTGATTGGAAGCCTCAACAAGCAGGCTCGCAAACAGCAGACACGGGAGAAGCTTGAGGCAAGGAAGAGGCAGAAGCAGGAGAAAGATACCCAGAAAGAGGGACTGGCCGAAGAGACGGCCGAAGCGCAATAATAATGTGACCGGCTGATAAGCGGGTTGTAAGTTCAAACATATCAATTTCTCCAAGCCAATCTGCGCCTCGGGCGACCAATTGGATGGTTACATTCTATCCAGCCAGCATTGTGATCCCTTCTACTCCTAAGTCGTGATATCATTTCTCCCAACCACAAATCTCTGGTGCCCAAAGAGCCTCATTACTACCATCATGCTTTCGGTTTTCCATTCGTGGTTTGAAGCCGCGCCGCACGCGATAGGCAGCTGGCAAGGCGGCCTTGGCTGAGGCCATGCTCTTTTTACCAGATCAGGAACCTCGCAGCTCTAGCCAAAGTGCAGCGCTTCAATTGGCAGATGCGGTGACACCTGTCCAGCGCTTATAGCTTTCACAAATAAGCCTTTGATATTTCGACCAACTAAATGAATTATTTGCTCATGCCGTACCCAATCAGGTGTACACCAAGCTTGCCTCGACGGCCCACGGGTTCCTAGCGACACAAGAGGTCGAATTTTGTGTTTCCACTGCATGCGGTTTTCCTCTCGGTACCCAGCGACGAGAGTGAGGCTGTCGGGCAGGAAAACATGTTGGGACAGGACGATATGCGAACTTGGAGTTTACAGATCGTCGGCGACATGCTTCTGCTTGGAGGGTTATCCCTGACTTATATCTGTTGGACGCATCCAGTTGATCGCGTGCTTGATTCTGTTCAAAATTGGCAACAGACCGACAAAGTTCACATTCCGTTATCCTGAGTAACCTGCGTAACAGATGCAGCACTCAAAGACCACCATGAAACAGATTGAGCCATCATACAAAGGTTCGCGGTGGTCACAATGGTCCCTGCATAACTCAGGGCTATACTACTATCGAGCTCGATACATATCATTAGAAGACATATCATCCATACGACCTACTGGCAGGGACTGGTTTGTTCCCAATGTCCGAGGCGGATACATTCACTATGAGTCCAAGGCCGCCAATGAGGCCGCAGCCCAGAGTTATTCCAGTCAAGTCCCGGAGCTATCGACATGCTCTACCGCAACACCAACACCAACAACAAGTGACCCGCCTGCTCCTTTACCAGTCGCATCGGGTCAAACGAACGATGAGGCCGTTGCCGCTAAGCCGTTGCCGGAAGACAGCATGTTGATGAGCGGCGCTTTGCAGACAGAAGCAGTAGTGGTTATATCAAGTCCCGGTCAACTCAAGCGGACATCAACAACATCAAAAAAGCAGAAAGAGAAGAAGCACGGAAAGAAGACGGAAGTGGATAAAAGAAAGCAGGTTAGCAATAAGGCGAAGGTTAATAAATGGCTGGATGCTCTATGATGATATGGTTGGCTTACATATCAGACGACTAACGGTATCATGATTTTCATGGAGTTTAGAATAGTACTCGTATGAGTTGACGAATAACACGTAACTAAATGGAGCGAAGCTCAAGATATCTCTGGAATAGGTTGTAACGGATGCACTGTGCACCTCCAAATAAAGTCTTATTGGTCTGCCAATTTGTCTCGGGAAAGTAAATCAATAGTAGTTTTTTTATAAACTTTGAACTTAAAGTACCATTGAAGATTCTCTTATTGTATTTATGGAGCAAGAGATTGGAATAATTAGAGGTTATACTTTTAAAATATGAAGAACCGCCGCACATCAACACAGTGCTACTTTGACTCTTCAACTACCGGCCGGATCAACTCTTCTCCACCTCAACCCGCCCATTCGTTCGTCAACCACCAAAGCCTCGCCAATTTTCAGTATATACCAAGCTCCAGCTCAGCCTCGGCCTCGTACACGCGACAAATTCGATATCAACGCAGCCGCAATCATGACTTCCACAATCGGTATTCCCATCAAGCTCCTGAACGAGGCACAGGTCCGTATGCCCCTTGTTAACTGTTGTTTCATTTGTGGAGAGAGCTAACCTTAGTATGCAGGGCCACATTGTTACCCTCGAAATCACCTCTGGTCAGACCTACCGCGGCAAGCTCCTCGATGGTACGCTTCTTCTCTCCTTCCTACGCCGTCTTTTTTATAGATTGGTGTTTGTTGAAATACCTGCTAATATGGTGCAGCTGAGGACAACATGAACGTCCAACTCAAGGACATCACCGTCACCGCCCGCGACGGCCGCGTCTCCCATCTCGACCAGGTCTACATCCGCGGCTCCCACGTGCGTTTCTTCATCGTTCCCGACATGCTCCGCAACGCGCCCATGTTCCGCAGCCGCAACGTCCGTGGCCGTGGTGTCGGTCTCGCTAGAGGTCGCGCAACCGTCAGCCGAGCGCGCGCAGGCGGTCGAGGAGGACGATAAACCTAGAAAAGGGAAGAGGAGAGACGAATAATAGAGAGACAAATGCGTGTTTTGGCGTTCAGGCTTATTTGGATTTTTCATGAGCTTCAAACGAGGGGTCTATCATCTTCGTTTTTTTGGTAAAAGTGAATCATAAGGAGAGGGGGAAGTGATACATCAGGCTCAGGTGTGATACCAGTCTAGACATGGAGGACGAGATGCTGCATTGATTGTGAGGCTCGACGAGGAATGCGTCACCTCGTAGCAGAGTGTGGGTTCTTTCAGATTGACTAGATTACAAAAAAGAGGCGTATGTCTGTCACGCCTGGTATCTTGTCACCATCTATTATATCGTCTCAGGTGCTTTCACTTCATTTTTAATGTACATGTCCCCCTTTTTATTTCATTCGTCCAAGAGCTTCTTGAGCCTTGGCCACGAGTTCTCGAACCTCGTTGATCTCATCGCCCTTCGGGTCAACAACCACTCGCTCTTGTGGTTTTTCAACATTGGTAACAGTTGCAACGCTCTCTTCAACACCTCGCAAAGCTTTGCGTCCCTCTTCACGGACTTCGCCCTCCCAAAATGATCGCGCGGCATCCCATTTCTTCTGCAGACGGCTGGCACTCCATACTACTCCCAGTGCTGCGACAGCCCCGGCTTCGAAAATGGAGAAGGAAGACGCGTAGAGGAGGGCACCGAGGGAGGTGGTGAGACCTGAAGTACCAAGAGATTGCACAACAAGTCTTTGAGCTAGTGCCTGCAGCGCAGGGACAGTCTCATTTTGTAGATATCGTCGTGTGAAAGCGATGTGGCCAGGCCATTTGGGTAACGCTGGGCGAGTGTCAACTGACACGAATGGTTCCAACTCTCCCGAGCCAAGTTGCTTCAGGTCGGGGTTGACGCCACTGGACGAGTGTGGTTGGGGGTATTTCTGATCGGCCTTTGCGGCTTGAGCGATCTGTCCGGTGAGATAGACGAGTTCTCGCTCTGCTGTGGGTAGAAACCGTTGGTTCAACATCTCATTTGTGAGCATAGCAACATCATCCACTCTCAAGAACAGTTGCCACCATCCCAGCTTACGCCATCTTCTGCCTGTAAATGCCAGGTCAAGCTCTTCTTGTAGTTCCGCATGTGCTTTTTGTGACCATTCGCCTACTGCCCGGTTCACAGTAGGAGAAAAGGTAGGCTCCTGGCCAACAGGAGTCTCCTGGTAGATGTGCGTAATTTCACGACGGTTCTCAAGCTCGCATCTCGCCAATACGTTGTTTAGTAGAGAGGATATCAGTTCTCGAACCGCGGGTTTTGTGGTTTCGTCGGAAGAGCTGATGCCTGACTTGAGCCATGTTGTCAAAGCGGGGAGATTGCTTCTGAACCAGAGTCGCTCATACTCTATGGCGTTACCGGAGCTCTTGCGGAAAAGCGACACGCCCTTGTCAGCAGCAGAGACGTCAACCATCTCAAATGGTGCATCGACCTGCTTTGGGTCAACGCCTTTAAGGTCAACCACTTTTAACACAGACCCCTCCTCTTGGGCAACTGGTACTGCTGTAGCATTGACAGCTCCCCTGAAGCCATCGCCTACCACGATCGCCCGATGCACGGGAGTGGTCACTGGGGTTACTCGATCCTCGGCTGAGGGAATGCCAACCTTGGGAACGAGAACAGATTCCTCCACTTCGACAGCTCTCGCTTGCTCATCTCTGGCAAATTCAGGAAGATGGGTCTCCATTAACAGTAACTCCAGATTGAGGCTGTTCCATTCGGCGGATGAGACGTTGATTTCACTGAAAAGACTCGATTTGGTAACTGTCAAGGTACTCTGTTGCTCTTCGGTAGACCGAATTCGAACAATCAGAGGGTTCTCCGGATTGTGGTCCTTCAATTGTCGCTCCCATTCCTGCTCATCCTGCAACGGATCCGTCATTAGGATTCTCAACACATCCTTCGCCCTTTGTCCCGCATCGGAACCGGATGCCAGTCCTAAAATTGCAACCCTCACAGCTTCCTGGCCTGGTATTTGTCGCAGACCCTGAAGTGCCAATTGTAGTCTTGAAATATTTACCAGCGAAGGTGCGAGTTTTTGAATGTCGAGGAGGTGCTGTTGTAGCTCATGGCGGGCATTCGTCGAGTTCGTAGAGGTTGAAGCGAAGCGTTTTACGAGGGCATCGCGACGGGTCCGTATTCTTGGGCGGACAGATGATGTGATGGAGCAAAAAGGACATATCGAGGTACCTTGGGGCTTGGAAGGTTGCAACAAGGCGCCTAGTCTGCCTGCACGAGGCAAACGGGCTCTTGACGAAGCCATTTATTTCCCCTTGAACCAAAATGATTGGCGATGACGAGGTTCAATTCAATTCAGTCAGTGATCGCTTTTGGAGATGGAGCTCCTCAAACAGGCAAGGTGAGCTCCGTTTTCGCGGCAAAGGACCGGCAAATTACGGAAGGCAGCTCAACGTAAGTAACGGTTCGCCTTCACACCCTCTTTCTCTTGTTCCTCGACTCATTCGCTACCAACCAAACAAGCATCAGCCTTACAAGCTTGGAAAGTTGTTGTCGATCACTTGTGGTTCCCTTGAACCTTTGCTTGCCTTGGATAGGAAAAAGTGACGATGTTGCTCCAATTTTATTGAATTTTTTTTATGTTATGCCTGTCCTGTCTGTGAATGTGATAGGGAATCCTTCTGCACTGTTCGATTCATGTCATGTTTTACCTTGTATTGTCTGACACTTGTGGTTGCGCTGTAGCCGCCGCTGCTTATGCATGTAGGACTTGTTCCCGTTTATATACAACTTGTTTCCGTATTCTAAAAACTTGCTTCGTATTTCTCAAATCGAAGCAACCATCCCAAGTTATTGCCTATATTATTACACCTATTCAACATTCAGTTGGTTATACTTTGAGTTGGGCATCATCTGACTCCTCAAATACCATCTAACTAGTGCTTCACATGGTATAGTTGTCTAGACTTGCCGAACAACTCATTCATCTACTCCAATTCAATTTCAATTTCACTTTACTCCACCATGACAGCAGTTATGGAATACAATCAACCGCCGCCTGCATTTAACTCGTATGATCAGAATGGATCTCGCTTTCCAATGACGGATATCAAGGAGTCAATACAAAAGGCATTTCCAAAAACATCGGAGCTATTGAATTTGCTGGAGCAGACAAAACGTATTCGCTCCGATGTTGCCCTACAACAAAAGATCGTCTCAGACCTTGAGTCGCAGCTAGCAGACTCAAACCGGGAGCTCGACGGATTAGATCGCAGACGCCTGGCTGACCTTGAGTCGCATAAGAAATACCGCGATGGCCATGTCATGAAGTTTTTGTACAAGGCCAGCGGTAAGGAAACTTCGTTTACGGGTCAAGCTGAGAGGGAAGAACAGAATTACCACAACACGCTACAGCAGGCGCATCACGCAGCGGAGCACAACTCAAGTATCAAAGCGAAACTGGAACAGGAACTCGAGAAAAAGAGAGAGCTTGACCAGAGTATGCAGGGTTACCTCGATCTTCAGAAGCAGCTCGACGATATTTACGACGATATTTTTTCAGGCCCGACGCCTGAGTTTCCTGAAGAGGACGAAAGGGAACGACGAAGCGACGCTGCGTTATCTACTTATGTTGCTACAAAGACAGCGCTGGAACTAGACCACAAAGCAGTGGATCTTCTTGAGCAAGCGACAGCAACCATGACGGCTGGACTGCAACAGATAGACAAGGCTCTTCAATCAGGAGACATGAACCACATCCGATATTTGAATCAGGGAAGGGACCTCGTTCAGCAGAGCAAAACAGCAGTCGATCAGCTGGTGCAGCTCGGTCCGGACGTGACCGAGCTACCTCCCGAGGCTAACCCGCGCACCATGGAGGTCACATCCAATCTGGGCGAAGTCTGGGGAAAGGTTGATATCACAGGTGGTCGTCGAGAAGTAGCGCGATGCACAGCAGCTTTGAATAATTGTCTAAGTCAGGCAAAGGAGAGGAGACATCGCCTGTCCAAGGAGTTGAAGCGGAAAGAGGAAGAGATGGAGACAGCGAGGACAGAGTTGCAGAAGATTCGGAAGGGTATTTTTGAGGAAGTTGTAGGCGCTGATTTGGTCAAGAGATCGTAGGTGGTACCTAGACTAGATACAGCTCGGATCTCGGTTCATAGAGGGTCTTGAAGCCCATTATTAGACTTGCTAAGCATCTTCAAATCTTTACTGTCGTCGTTAGAAACTAAATATGATTCGTCTTTTCGGCAACGGTCGCTTAATTCTTGACATGCCAAGGAATTCTGACAGCGGTCAAAGCGCACTGGATTGTTTAGTTAGCGTCAGTTGGTGCTAGAGTAAAGACTCGAACCAAACATTCTCATGTGAAGATGCAAGCAAACAAATCACGCTCTTGATTAACAAATTGAAGTGTTCCGAATTGGGAAACCAAATCGTCATGGAAACCGTTTTTCGTTCAATCTTAAACGATTATCAAAAAGCCGTTTGGGTAGTTCGCAAAGACCCTTGAAGATTGACCCAATAGCCAGCCTATTTCATACCATTTAGCGAGTCCGAGCAAAGAATGATGATTCATGACTTTCACTAGCATCAGGGGTTTCTCCCATAGACTGAATACCTATTGAAGCTTAAACAAAAGGTAAATTGAAGTGAGTTGCGTTCCTTGCTTTAAGGGTCTTGCAAAGGATTTAAAGATCCAACCCTGCCTACCTTGCTAATGCTTGGTTGATGTTGTATTACTATACTAGACCGTTTTGTGATTATCAAGTATTAGCTTTGACTTGTCACTGTCTTCAATATGAGCAGCTCAGGAGGTATGTTTAGTATTAAATATTTTATTTTATATACACTAACAAAATCAGATCGCCCACCTATTAATGGCTACATTGACCCCAACTTCCCAAATCCCAATGGCGAGTGGGATACACCCATCATCATCTATGGCTACACGCCTGCTTTCGCCCTTGCCGTCTTCGCAGCAGCTTGGTTCGCTCTATTCATGATCATCCATCTCTTCCAGACGATTCGATTTAGAAGTTGGTACTTTATCACTTTTCCTGTTGGTCTCCTCTTCGAAATCGTTGGGTATATTGCTCGTTCGCTTTCAGCAAAGAAGGACCCATACCATCTTCTGTACTTTATCCTCAACTACTTCTTCATCGTCACGGCGCCTGTTTTCCTCGCTGCAGGCGTTTACACCATTCTCTCGGCATTGATCCCTCGTCTTGGACGTCGATACTCTCTTGCGCCGCCAAAGTTTATTCTTTGGTTCTTTATCACGTCTGATGTTATTGCTACGGTTGTTCAGGTTACAGGTGCTGCCCTCATTGGAGTGAGACAGTCGAATCGTGAAGATCCTACCGTTGCCAACAACATTCTTCTTGGAGGTCTGGCCTATCAGGTCTTCTCCATCAGTGTCTTTGTTATCCTCACAGCAACCTTTTTATTCCGTGCCCGGAGGGAGATTAGCGCTCGCGGTAAGAAACTAAGTATATTCTGCGTCGCTTTTTCAGTGGCTACCATCTTGGTTTACCTGCGAACAATCTTTCGTCTCGCAGAAACTGCCGAAGGACTTGGAGGTCATTTGTACTCAAACGAGATTTACTTTGCATGTCTTGAGTTTGCTCCTATTGCATTGGCTGTGATGCTCTTTGCTATATGGCATCCTGGTCGATGTGTAGGTAAAAAGGTGCGGGTGAAGGACTTGGAAAAGGAACAGGCTCGAGTTCAAAACTTTTAAAACAATCAAAGAATGCTACCCAAATTAAGCTAGATAAATATCTTCTATAGTTAGTAATCCAAATGTATTGATTTGGAATCTTTATCCCCAGGTTCAAGTGTCTTGTAGCCGTCAAGTTTACTGGCTGACATCTTAGAATGTACTGAAGGTTAGGCTTCAGCAGCTCCACCAAAGCGTACAGCTGTACTTCAAACCACCGCAATCCCCAAGCTCCCAGCTCAACCTCACTCATCAACAACCTCAACCGGCAAAAGAAACACGCCATGCCTCCTCTTCCGCCATCAGCAAATCCCCTCCCCCGGTTAGTCACATACTACCAAACCCATCATGACTCCTCAGGAAACCTCATCTCTCCGTTGCCCCTCATCACACAACCGGGCATAGCCATCACTCACGTCATTGTCGCCGCCATCCACATAAACGAGGATCCTGAGAAGATCACGCTGAACGATTATCACCCGTCTCATCCTATCTTCCAGACAATGTGGGCAGAGCTGCGTGTTTTGCAAGCTTCGGGCGTCAAGGTCATGGGCATGTTGGGCGGTGCTTGCCAGGGTAGTTATGCACGTCTAGATGCTGACCAGGACACGTTTGATCGGTTCTACGGTCCTGTGAGAGACATGATTCGAGAAAGGGCCCTCGATGGTTTGGATCTGGATGTTGAAGAGGAGATGTCACTGGGTGGAATCGTGCGGTTGATTGATCGTCTTCGCAACGACTTTGGTCCAGCTTTCATCATCACTCTCGCCCCGGTCGCCATGTCTCTGATCGACTTCAGAAGGAACCTCAGCGGGTTTGACTACGAGGCTCTGGAAGTTATGCGTGGTCGCGACATTGCCTGGTACAACACCCAATTCTACTGCGGCTGGGGAGACTGCAGCAACCCACTCATGTACGATCTCATGGTCCAAAAAGGCTGGCCACCAGAGAAGATCGTCATTGGACTCCTCACCAACTCAGAGAATGGACACGGTTACGTGCCGTTCAACCCTCTTAGTATAGTGCTTACCACATTACGGGGACGGTATGGAAAGTTCGGGGGTGTAATGGGATGGGAGTACTTCAACAGTTTGCCTGGAGGAAAGGAGAGGCCTTGGGAGTGGGCGAGAGAGATGACCAAGTTATTGAGGGGGCATATCCTTTCGGGGCCAACACAGGTGACACAGCTGGCCCAACAAGAGCAACCCCTCGTAGTGGAGGGTGCCGCTAAAAAGAACAAGGAGGTCGATCCAGATACCCCAGGTGGAAAAGACGTACCACTACCGAAGCAATTTGACTACTACACGGATGGCTCTGATGCATAGACGTTGTGTCTGTCAGATATCCACAAAGAGGTCTCCGAGACCTGTGATCGCGACACATATCCCCCCTCGCATCTTCAGCCCACAGATCCAAGAACTTCACATACGCTCCGCCCGAACCATGGTTCTTTACCACAATGGATAGGAATCGGTCCCAGTACATTTTTATTGGCTCAAATCCCACCAGAAACCATGGAACAAAGCCCTGCTCAGGTGGCTGTCGAATTGTATCCACAGGCGCTGTCAATGACCCGACACTCTAATAGACAAGATGGGTAGGGCTGCCGATATCACTATCATCATAGTATCATAGATATTTGAGGAGATGTCACAGGTGGCTTCACATGGCGAGGCATTCTTCTGATTTAATAACGGTTGTTCCATCATTGCGAGGGGATAACTGTGCAGGAAACTGGTCAACTAACAAATGAAATAGCTTGACTCCTCGTAGAATACAGTGAACCATTGAAATACATGTCGAGGCAAAGGCAATACCACATAAGCCACCAAAAATTACACCCCCTATGTCCACCGTGGACCACATTAGCCTTCATAATTCATGTAACGTAAAACACACCGAACGATAACACATGGATCATAGCTTCCACCCCTAAAAGCATGCCATCCAGGGGCTGCATTGGGCCTCGACGTTGTAGCTGTTATAGCGAGGGTAAGTGCCCTTCATGGCAGCTAGAATGGGGTTAAAGAATTGCTCGTTGAACCGCTTGGTATCGCAAGATGAACACGGTCCGCTCAGGAAGTTGTCATAACTCGTGTTGTAACTGAGGTAGCCAACAACATTTTGATGAGAAACATCAATGGCCTGAAGGCTGAAAGCCTCTGGCATGACAACCCAGTGATCCGAAGTAGAGTTGCGCTTTCCTGGCACAATGGGGTTCTGGTTGAAAAGGGTGCTGTTCATGCCAATGTCATGAAGGGCTTTGATCATGAGGAGAGTCAAATGAGAATCGGAATCGATCTGGATTCCTGCACAATCAATGTTGATGGTGTATCCGTCTCCTTTTACTGGCTGAGCGACGCATTTGCCGGTCTGTCGATCCCAGGAGAACTTTTCGATGAAGGCTTGCCAGGTGTTGGGCCAGTTGACGAAACGAGGACTGATGAGAGCGGACACAAATAGCTCGCCAGTGTTGGGATCTGTAGGAGGGGCTGGACCAGTACCATCAGTAGGGCTTGGTGTTGCAGGCGGTTGCGAAATGAAGGTGGTAGCAGGAGGAGCGGGTGATGTTTGCAGGGTAGAAGTAGGAGAGCTCATGTCGCTAGGACGAGGGGGAGCCTTGTCATCACGGTTGCAGACGAAAGCAGATAGACAAACAGCATCGTTGGTGACTGTCATGTTGAGAGCGGCGCTGACAGGGCGGCCACGATAGGCATAGCAGTTGAGCTCCTGGCCACCCTCTTTGGTGGTTACGGCAGATCCAGCAGGCATCCCATCAGCGACGGCAGGGTTGATGTAGGCTGTCCAAACAACACCATTGGAAAGCTTGACTGTGGTTCCTTTGGGATTCCATGGGTACTTTCCACTTGCATAGGGGACTTCGACGGACAGATCAGGGGCAGCAGGGAATGTGGAGGCATCTTCGGGCCACTTGATGTCTTTGTACCAGTTGATCTGGCGAGATGTTGACCATTTGGGATGGTCCTTGTTGTCGCCAATGCCACAATCTGCAAGGATGAGATCTTCGTCGGGGTGACGAATCTGGGCTTGGGCAGTCGCCAGAAGGGAGCCGACGGCAGCCAACTTGATACAGATCATGTTGGTAATGTAGTGAGTTCAGGTGATGTAGTGTTGGGAATGTGTGCAGGATGTGCAGTACCGTTGATGGTTCTTTGTGACAGTGGAGTGAGAGATCAGTTTGAGTTGAGGAGATGAAGTTGGTGATGAGAGGAGATAAAGAAGAAGAGAAGATGGAAACAAGAGGAGGGGAGAGAAAGGTTATGGAGGCCTCGATATTCTACATTGAGGCAGTCGAAGGTCGAGCACCTTCCCTCTGCTATCATTCTAGTCATTTCGTTGGGGTTATTGAATAATTCAACCATGTCTTAGGAAAGAGCTTGCGCGCCTCGCACCTAATGATCAACAAAGAGGGCAGGAGCGAGGTAGAGATGATACCATCAGCTACCCAAGCCGGCACACTATGTCGTCAAGCGTCTCAAATCGTGCCATCTTGAAACTGTTGAGAACCAGTTGACGTAGAAGAACTTCTTAGGGGGAAGGAGTGGTTAAAGCTCCATGATTCTTGTGTACCTTCAGTTTACCTGAGAAAACATTGACGGGTACGTTAATAGGTAGGTAAGAATTCAATTCAGTAGTATAGTAGTCTGGAACGCACCAATTCGATTTTCTTGACGGATTTGATAGTACGCTGCAGTTCAACTTCATATTTGAACTTAAGATAATGGTTTTGCGAAGAGGCCGAGGTTAAGTAGACAAACATGTTACTGAGGGCACACGTTCTTGTTTGAAGAAGCACCTCCTATCTCTCGAATATTCATGCAAATCCTTCATCTAGGAGTGTTAATATTACTCTCTAGTTTTGTTACCACTGCCGAATGATATAGCCTTATTGGGACAGAAGTGATAGTTGGCCGTGGATTACAGTGAGCCAAATAGTACGCGCAAACTCCTTGTAACGATGAGATACAACTAGGTTTGAAAGAGGCAACAAAGGTATGGAACAGCCACTCGCTGGCTTCATATATGGGATGATATTTCAGAACGTATTCAACACAGAGCATTACTGACAGTTCAAACCCGTGGAGAAGAACATGTTGAAATTACTTAAGCTGGCTACCCTGAAGCTTCAGTATGAGGAACGAAGTCTTCTCAATCTGTCAGCAGCTCCACCCAGGCGTAGCAAAACATCAACAATGATGGCTCTATTTTCACCATTCTGATACTGCACTACCATCTTCAAGTTTAATAATTCTAGCCTTAACATGCGCCGCAACCTGGTAGCCTTCAATTGGCGTCCCAGCCTCAGGGCTCGCGCTCTTCCACGTCAATTCAACTCAACGATCCGCGCCGAGTCAACCCAAGCTTCCCGTATTGACCGCATCACATCAAAGCTGCCTCGGCGTTTGCAAAAATACACTGGCGGTTTACGGAACGCGCCAGTTTCGCATATTGTCTCTTTTCTGATCCTACACGAAATCACAGCCATAGTGCCTGTTCTAGGACTATTCGGATTTTTTCATTACACGAACTACGTGCCTGTCGACTACGTGACGGGCTATTTTCACGGCCATGTGGATGACGGAGTTGCTCGATTTGAGCGGTACTTCAAACGCAAGGGTTGGTTTGGCTTTGGGCAGAACGAAGAGGGCGAGACAACATCGAGCACATCTACGACACACCCTGACTCGAAATCTGAGAAAGCAATTGAGCGCTGGCATAGTGGAGATGGACGTTACAAGGTCCTAGTGGAGGTTGCTCTAGCATATGCGATCACGAAGGCTTTACTGCCAATCCGAATTATTGGAAGCGTCTGGGCTACGCCATGGTTCGCCGGAGTGCTCATGAGAGCCAAAGGGGTATTCACGCGCAAGCCTTAGTCATTCATGGCAATGAGACCATCAAGGTTGAGAAGATTTTGTCTTGATTTTGATATACCCACAGAGATGAAGTCATCCCACTTATATGTGCTTTTCCATTCCGTCATTTAGGGTGTCATATCAATGACAGATTTAAGCCTTCTCGTAGACCCAGTTGAACTGGGCGGACTTCCAGGAGACAACCTCGCCGTCCTTGAACCAGAGAGCAATCTCCTTCTGGGCGTTCTCGACGGAGTCGGAACCGTGGCAGACGTTGCGGCCGACGTCGATGGCGTAGTCGCCACGGATGGTACCGGGAGAAGAGGCAAGGGGGTTGGTGGCACCGAGGATGGCTAGGGATATGATTAGCATTCGTCTAATCGTTGAAACAGTCAAACATACAACGGCCAGTCTTGACGGCGTCACGGCCCTCCCAGACCATGGCGCAGATGGGGCCAGAGTTCATGTACTCAATCAGACCAGCGAAGAAAGGCTTGCCAGCGAGGTCAGCGTCTGCGAGTATGTTAGAATTAATTGACATGTCAGGTAGATAGTTCTGGTGACGAACAGTGCTTCTCGAGGTGCTCCTTGCCGGGGGTGACAAGCTTGATGGCAGCAAGCTTGAAGCTATCCGAAAGTTAGTTTCTGTAGTAACGTTTGTGCAGATGCAAGTGCTTACCCTCGGTTCTCGAAACGAGAGATGATGGGGCCAACGAGTCCACGCTGTGGTAGATGAGTTAGCTCTGTTCGGATCAATCACATATCAACACCAAGGCATGTTTACCTGGACACCGTCGGGCTTGATAGCAATGAAGCTATAGCAATATCAGCACAAATTCATAATAGAGGAGCATCAACCCTGATGGGTGTATAGCTTGGTGGCGGGGTAGCTTACGTCTGCTCGGAGGAGGACATTTTGGCGATATTCTTGTCTGGTATGACTTGAGATGTAGGAACAGAGGAGGAAACAGTAGAATGACAAACGGGGACTGGAGGGGAAAGGCTTGAAGAAGGCGGTGAAAAGAGGATATAAAGGGCGAGGAGGGCGAAGAGCAGAGCAAAAAATGGCGGGGCAAGATTTTCCGCAGTCCTCCGTCTCTGTTGCTTGCTATTCTCGTTGCCGCTCACGGCGGGGTCTTTTCGCTGGCGGGGCTCTTCAGCAGCCATGATGAGCTGGCGTTGAGGGGTCTTGGTAGGTGCGAGATCTGGGGAATTCACACGGACACGTGACTGATAATTGGTCGATGTTGACACTTTGATTCAAGAAGTAGAGACAAATTAGACGGTCAATCAATATCCAAATAAAGATATAGATAGATATAAATAAACTTCAGCCAATCTCAATCAGCTTTAGTGCAAAAGGGACGATAAAAAAAATAACTTACAAAGCTCGTATGCCAACAAGACACAACAACTACAAACTTCCGATCAGCAAGTACAGTGCAATAACGTCGAAACTCAATGGGAAAGAGAGCAAGAATGAAACCTAGAAGTTAGTTCATTATCAGGTCTAGTCTTCTACTGAAGCTTGCCCCGCCATCTCGGTACCCGCTCCCCTGCGTCTCGCACTAATCCTGTTTCGGATTGAAGTTTCACTGGGGAGCCAGGGAGCTAAGGGACAGCTTGACTTCGACATCATCAAAGCTGAGGCTATCCCCAGCACAAACCACAATAACAACGCTCACTTCTGCTAGACAGAGGATTTCACGGTCGATATAGGGCAGGAGACTAAATTTGAATTCTTGCTTGATATACCCACGATATATTCGGTTGCTTTGTTTAACTTCTGATCGCGGTCTGATTCTTGACCGTCTAAACATCATGAGGTCAAATATGGCGTCGTCCTTTCGCTGGACGGCGCTGTTGCTGCTGTTTGGTGTTCTGAGCTGCCTCATACAGTCGGCTGGTAAGACTTTACAGTAAAGATTGATCAATTCCTAGCTCACAATCGCTCTAGTTGCTGTCAAAGAGAAGGACTTCAAGAAGTGCAACCAATCCGGCTTCTGTAAACGAAACCGCGCTTATGCCGACGGCGCTATTGCCCAAGGCTCTAACTGGAAGGCACCTTACGAAATTTCGGCCGATTCGACATCTTTCGAGGATGGAAAGCTGGAGGCCATGGTTGTCAAGACCATCAATGCCAACGGAGACACCGTCCGCCTCCCCCTTACAATTTCCTTCCTCAAATCTGGCGCCGCCCGAGTTACGATGGACGAGGAGAAGCGACGCAACAAGGACGTTGTACTCCGAGAAGACAGTCCAGTTCGTAAGGAACGATACAATGAGGCCGATAAGTGGGTTCTTGTTGCTGGTCTGGATCTCGACAAGGAGGCACAACTTGCACATCAAGACAAGACCCAAATCAGCATCAAGTATGGACCTGATGCCAAGCAAGAGGCTATCATCAAGTTCTCGCCTTTTGAGATCGACTTCCAACGCGATGGTAACTCGCATGTCAAGTTCAACGACCGCGGTTGGTTAAACATGGAGCATTGGCGACCCAAGATTGAGAACAAGGAGGGCGAAGAGGCCGCTGAGGATGAGAGTACATGGTGGGACGAGTCTTTTGGTGGAAACACCGATACTAAGCCTCGTGGACCTGAGAGTGTGGCCATGGACATCACTTTCCATGGATACGAGCATGTATTTGGAATTCCCGAGCACACAGGCCCCTTGTCATTGAAGCAGACTCGTGGTGGAGATGGCAACTACGCTGAGCCCTACCGCATGTATAACGCCGATGTGTTCGAATACATCCTCGACAGCCCAATGACACTCTACGGTGCTATCCCTTTCATGCAGGCTCATCGCAAGGGTTCGTCTGTTGGTGTTTTCTGGCTCAATGTTGCTGAGACTTGGGTCGATATCACCAAGGACAAGAGCAGCATGAACCCGCTGAGTCTCGGTGCTGGTGGAAAGACAAGCACTCATACCCATTGGATTTCAGAGAGTGGTCTCCTCGACGTCTTCGTACTCCTCGGTCCCACTCCCTCTGACCTCACCAAGACATACGGAGAGTTGACTGGCTACACTGCGATGCCTCAAGAGTTTGCTATCGGTTACCACCAATGCCGATGGAACTACATATCCAGTGATGATGTCAGGAACGTTGATCGCAACATGGACAAGCACAAGATTCCATACGACGTCATCTGGTTGGATCTTGAGTACACCGACGACCGAAAGTACTTTACCTGGGAACCTCACTCGTTCCCTGACCCCATTGACATGGGTGAGCATTTGGATGCCCATGGCCGTCAGCTTGTTGTCCTTCTTGACCCCCATATCAAGAAGACTGACAATTACGCTGCATCTGAGGAAATGCTTGCTCAAGACCTTGCTGTCCACAACAAGGAGGAAAAGCCGTACGAAGGATGGTGCTGGCCTGGAGCTTCTAACTGGATTGACTGCTTCAACCCCAAGGCAATTGAATGGTGGAAGACCATGCTCAAGTTCGACAAGTTCAAGGGCACCATGAGTAACACCTGGATGTGGAACGACATGAGTGAGCCTTCAGTTTTCAACGGACCCGAAGTGACCATGCCCAAAGACAACATCCACCATGGAGGATGGGAGCATCGTGATGTCCACAACCTGAACGGCCTGACCTTCCAAAACGCCACTTTCCAAGCTCTTCTTCACCGTGAGAAGGGAGAGCTTCGACGACCTTTCATCCTGACACGAGCCTTTTACGCTGGATCGCAAAAGCTTGGCGCCATGTGGACAGGAGACAACCAGGCTGACTGGGGGCATTTGGCGGCTTCTATCCCCATGACTTTGAACCAGGGAATCTCTGGTTTCCCCTTTGCCGGTGCTGATGTTGGAGGCTTCTTCGGCAACCCTGAGAAAGACCTACTTGTCCGTTGGTACCAGACCGGTGTGTGGTATCCCTTCTTCCGAGCTCATGCGCACCTCGATGCCCGACGTCGAGAGCCTTATCTCCTAGGCGAGCCTTACACTCAGATCTCGACCGCCGCTATCCGACTCCGATACACTCTCCTGCCCGCTTGGTACACTGCGTTCCACAGCGCGGCACAGGACGGAAGCCCCATTATCCGGCCCATGTTCTGGACGCACCCCACTGAAGAGGCTGGCTTTGCTGTTGAGGATCAGTTCTTCGTTGGTTCAACCGGTCTTCTGGTGAAGCCGGTCACGGAGCAGGGCAAGGAATCAGTTGACATCTGGATTCCTGATGATGAAATCTACTATGACTACTTTACCTACGATGTTCAGAAGACAAGCAAGGGCAAGCATCTTACAGTGAGCGCACCACTAGAGAAGATTCCCATCCTACTCCGAGGTGGACATATCATCCCTCGACGCGACACTCCTCGACGATCAAGTGCACTCATGCGATTCGACGACTACACACTTGTTGTCTCAGCTTCCAAGATTGGCGCCGCAGAGGGCGAGCTTTACGTTGATGACGGTGATTCGTTTGATTACGAGCAAGGTCAATACATCCATCGTAAGTTCACCCTCGGTGGTAACACATTGACTTCTCTTGATGCCGAGGGACGCGACACCAAGTCGGCCAAGGCTGGCTCATGGCTAACGGCTATGGAAAACGTCCACGTCGACAAAATCGTAATTGTCGGCGCACCCAAGACCTGGGACCAGAAGGAGGCTCAAATTGAGTCAGAGGGACGAACATGGACAGTCAAGATTCAATATCACGCCGCTCAGGGCAGTCGTGCAGCCTTTGCAATCGTGGGCCGAGTTGGAGCCAAAATCGGTGAGGACTGGAGCATTAAGCTTGCTTAATGACAGATGATCAGTTTAATTAGAGGTGGGGAGAAGCTAAGAATAGACACATTTCTGGATCGTGAATTGGTCCATGAATTAACGGTTGGCGGCAGCACCCGTGAGAAGTGTAACTTAACCGCGACTATGAAAAGGAGCTGTGAGCATCATGAAACTACAAATAAGGCAAGTATCATGTATGCCGCGTAACGGAAATATGGACACATTGGCCGAGTGGGGGGCGTAACGAGTACAAACACAGGGTGAAAATTAAGCATGATTGGATATGAGAAAGGACCTTGGAAAGTTGAGTATATCACCACGGCGGTGTCTGTGCAATTTGAGATTCCAATGGAGCCATGAATGTTTTTGACAGGTAGGGACAAATGAACCGACCTATTTACTGTCAGTAAGAAATAAATATCTACGTGCCATAGCTGAAAATTTGGTTTAAAACTATGCAGATAGACTTGGATATTTTATCTGCCCAAAGTTTATAACACGGTGAAGGCAAAACACTCCAAGCTTATTAACTGGCACATGCGCGAATCGACAAGATCTATGCAAACAAGACCTGGTACATATTATGCATGAAAGTTCTCCACCGAAGATTTGCTCGCGTCAAGATACTCGGTAAGTGAGTTGTGATATATAGAATGGAGCAATGTAACCTCCTTCGTGAAATTAAGCTTCTTGATTAGAAACCCGATACCCACCATGAACGAACATGGATGGAAAGCAATTTGTGATTTCTCAACAGAGCTGAGTTCGAGTTACCAAGACAAAGTCAACATTCTGTAAAAACAAATTACTATGGCGACTGCTTTTCTTCGCCAGTTATACCTTGTCGTTTTCTCCAAAATATGTTACCCGTAGCTTGTTCCCTGCTACACAATAGACCTCGCGAGGTGGTTTCGCCTTGGACAAGCTGGCAAGTCTCGAGGAGGTCTATATTGACGATTCTCTATCGTGTTGTTACTGTGTTGCTTTCCATCATAACCTACCTTCCCCAAAGATACCTGTCCTCAAGATTCGTGATTGCTCAAGTGGCTTCCCTTTATTTGGGTGAAATAGTAAGGATATAGGGATAGCATTAACCTTGGAGGAGCCATTATAAGGAAGACGGCCAGCCGACTTTGGACGAAAATCAGTGCAAACCAAGGGAGATCAGATGGCCTGCACATCAAAGCAGTTGATCAGCAGTATCTGTGATAAGCCAGCGGACTGACCACCTGCAAGGCATTGAACAAACAACGACACGGCCCTTTGGTAATCGTGAAGATGATGAGAAACACTCCATACATTACGCCAAGCGATTCTAAAAACCATCTGCCTTAAAGTTCAATTAAATGAATATCAGCATAAGTAGCTGCTTCCATTATTACGGAAAACTATAACACAGGAAGTAGATTTACCCTATAACATGCTGAGCAAAGTGTGTGTGTATGAACTTGAGGAACGCATAAGTGCAGAGGATATCCTGGGTCACCGTTGTTTCCGGGTGGATAGATAAGGGAAGGATAGTAACCAAGTCCATGGCCGTTAAGTTGGAGGCTCGACTGTTCTATCCTACAAGGTTAATATTTAGCACTATATCGTTTTGTTTGTTGCAATGTCGACAGGGTTAGACGCGCGAATAGAGGAGTAGCAGCAGCAAGTACTCAATTATGTCACCTACCGCCTTTTCCCTTCAAGTATTGTACTACCGTGCAAAGCGTCCTAAATTGAAACGATATCGATCCCTGGCTTAGTGTGTTAGGAGTTGGAACTCCTGGGTAAAGATAGTGCATTGCATCGAGATGGTTGAAGACTTGACTCCAGTAGCGAATTGGCTGAGAGAACCCAATAACTTTATGGTGGTCCAGACGCGAATCAGTCTCTTTATCATTTCGCAGCTTTAAATTCAGGTCTTTTAACCCCGTAGGGTAGTTATCCTGAGGTTCTAGCATCGTCCTTATCTACGTGCGGTAGGACAGGGATGGTGTCGCTGTCTTAGAAACTGCGCTGCGGGCGTTCAGACGAACTGGGGGATTGGTCTTAGCACGAAAACCCCCTGAGCTTGAGCATTGATCACTCTGGTTAACGAGTTGAGGTCTTTGCTTTCTGTACGAGGCTGTTGCTACTGTCTCTGTGTACTCTTCGCTGTGTGCGGATAATAGTGAATTCCTTGAGCTGGGCATAGGTTTCCATAATATTTCTTGGCTGTTCAGCTGAAATTCGGTAAAAACGGAGGTAGCATGATTCGTCTAAAGTCTGGGCAAAAGATTTTTAGGTGACATTTTAGGGGTCTTGGATGCAATTTTCTGTGGTTTCATGATGCGTCTGAGTGAGGCTCTTTTGTGCTGAAACCAAAGGCTTTTGTACTAACTGCTGCTAATAACTGTACGGTATGCCCGTACTGTGAGGGTGCCCCCACGCTGCAAGCCAAGAGACTACACACACAGCTGATGAAGAAAAGACGGGATAGTGCTGTCTGTGCCTGGTGAAAAAGCCATCATTTTTGGTGTGGTACAAAGGAATGCAGGGGAGCACACCCTTTCTATCGAAAAGCTTCCAATCGAAGCTCGACAAGAATTTCTCTCGACGGGAAGAGACGGATAAAAAAAAAGTATTTTTTTGCTCTTTCGCCGCCACCAAACAATAGCATCATCGGATGATCGTCGTCATGATGGTTGTCACATTTGCATGGAGAATACGAGGGCGAGATGGGCGAAGTTTGATCAAGATTCCATGATCGAATGAATGAATCTACCTACAACCTACGACAGATTGCCTCACAAAAGTGGATATGAGCATATCTCGGTCGTTTTCTTGGCCCGTGACGTCAGCGTGTTTATTCCCTGGGATCAAATGTTTTTAGCTTCCCCTGGCCTGTTGAATTCAATGCGCCTGTTTGGGGGTCAGATCAGATCAACCATTTCGTTCCCCTGCAGATGGAATGACTTGTTGTTCTTGCGGATAAACTGTGACAACGCAATCATCTACATCGGCTTGTGAAACGAAAGACCCTCCTCAACCGGGAACAAGTTTGGATTGCGATTAAGTTAAGTTGAGATCCCATCGTTTTCTTTTTTTAGGGGTGATGAGTGCTTTGGCCTTGGCTTGGGGCGTGCTCTATTAGACTAAATTAAATTCCCATCCATTCTATCGGCGGCACCCTCGGGGTTTCCCATTTGGGTGTTCCATGGTGACACCATCCATGGAACAGTATCCGTCCACTAAACGCCCTCCGGTAATACGGGGCCTTGGGGGACCTACTCATTACTCGACACTTGGCGGCCGGTCGCTAGGTCTTGACTCTGACTCCGGTGGCTCCACTTGCTAACCACACCCGAACTTGTCACTCCCAGTTAATAGCTAAACAGTGCAATTGTCTTTTCTTCTATCGCTGGTGACTTCTGTAATGAAGGTGTGGGCAGTTTTAACGTTTGATGGCAATAATAAAGAGGGAAAGAAAAGGTCTATCCATGATGGAACATAGGTCAAAGTTAACTACAAGACGACGAAGCACCACACAGCATAAAGAACAGTGGATAAGTTAATTCCGCTTCACATGGAAATGCCATTTACTATTCCATCTCTCCCTGACCTGGTTTGGCCAAGAAATCAACCAAGGCTACCTTATCTGTACTGACCCATTCTCCCTCCCTCTTGGCTGTCTCCATTGCTCCACGCCTACTGAACTGAAAGCGTTGAACCTCTGGTCGATCTCTTAAAAGCTCGACAGCATCCCCGTCACCCGCAGGGTTTCCAACAACCCCCCCCAGATTCTCTCCTACTTGATTTCGTTTTTCTTCTCTCTTTTCCTTTTTTACCTTTTGTAAAGATTTCATCTCTCCTTCTTTTGTTGCAAGCGAGAGTAAAAACAAAGGTTGGGATCAGAGTGACGACATCATATCACCTCTTCCTTTACAGGCAACCGACCCAAAAACACCAAGGAAACCAACCTTGTGTGTATCTGAACGACCACGCATCGCCTCACCAAACGAGCAACCCCATTTTATCTGCGAGATCGATGTCATCGAGGATCATCATCTGATCGATCCACTTCCTTACTATTTCTATTTCCCAATTGTCTCGTCTCTCGTTTTATCACATCACCAAACCCAGTGTGGGTATTCACCACTCGCTCTCCACCACAAGTTGAACAAAGCTTCTCTAAAATAATCTCTGCTGGACATTGCAATTCTCTCCTATCTCACTACCTTGTCTGATCTCTCGAATACAACCTCGTGTAGTGAACATCATCAACGGGGACCATCATGAGTTCAGATCCGCCCCCAAACGGCTGGGAGGAGAAGGAGTTAAAAGACTTCAATCTCAGACAACCACCTCCCTCCAGAAACCCTTCACAATTCAGCGCCCAGCAATCAGAACCAGCGCCGACGACCTCGCCCAAATCACCTGCCGACAAGAGAAACTCGGCTCCTCCAACAGCACTCGATACATTTCCTACTCTACAAGCTCCTGTCATCACCAATGACTCGAACTCAATCCGGTCTCCAATAAGCCAGCGCGCAGATGCCTGCCGACTGGACGACAATATTGAGCTATTGCGAATTGAGCGTGCTGTTTCCGCCGAGGCTCGCGATGATTCCAGTCATTTGAAACAGCGAGCTCATAACTTTGAACCTGAAGATGCCTTCAATGCGCCCATACCCTCTGAGACCATGCAAAGGGAGAAGCAGCCGGATGCCGATGCTACTTTGCTCAAATTTTGGATGTTCCTCCGAAAGTTTCCTCGATTTGTCCGATATTGCTTATACCTGGTCCCTGGAGCTGCTTTGCTTCTCATTCCTGTCTTGCTGGGTAAATTCGCTCTCAAGGATGATGGCAAGCGACGGGATGTCAATGGCGTCGACCTCATGTGGTTCGGTATCTGGCTAGAGATTGTCTGGGGAGTTCTCTGGGTTTCTCGTATGATTAGCAGTATTTTGCCGCCAACTCTCAAACTTATTGCTAAGCTATTCGGATCTACCAACGCCAACAAGTGGAAAGATATCGGATACCAGCTTGACTTGCACACGGCTGTTTTTCTCTGGTTCCTCGCCATCCTCATCTCATTTGAGCCGACCATGATGAACCACAACTTCCGAGACCAGAAGCCTCATTGGGTCAGCATTATGAACAAGGTCATCATTGCCTTATTTACATTGGCAGCTCTCAACTTTGTTGAGAAGATCCTCATTCAGTGGATTGCTTTCACTTTCCATCAGCGAACGTATGCGACTCGAATTGACAATAACAAGGCGGATGTTGGCCAACTGGTTCACCTCTACGAACATGCCAAAGCTCACAACGAAAAGACCGACTACTTCTTTCAGCGCGGCAGTGGCTCCGCTAGTGGCGCGCAGACTCCCATGCAGACACTCCAGGACAACGCTCGTCAGATCTTTGACAAAGTTGGATACGTAGCTGGCCGAGTCGGAAACGACTTGATCGGTCGTAAAATCGATAGCAACCACCCTCGCCGAGTTGTCAATGAGCTTCTCCGAACCTCCCAAACGGCACATACCCTCGCTCGGCTCATCTACCGCTGCGCTGCCAAGGAGGGCAACGACCTGGTTTACCAAGAAGATATGGAACGAATCTTTGGCAGCGAAGAGGAGGCCGAGGCTGCTTTCATGATGTTTGACAAGGATATGAATGGTGATATCTCGATTGACGAATTCGAAGCTGTGTGCAACGAAATCCATCTCGAAAAGAAGGCCATTGCTGCTTCGCTCAAGGATCTTGACTCGGTGATTAAGAAACTCGACAAGGTCTTCGTGTTCATCATCATCATCATTACCATCATTGTCTTCATCTCGATTCTTTCTGGATCGGCTGCTGCTGCTCTTGGCTCTGCGGGTACCGTTGTTCTGGGTCTGGCTTGGGTTCTCCAGGCCACAGCCCAAGAGTTTCTCCAGTCCATCATCTTCGTCTTCGTCAAGCACCCCTTTGATGTTGGTGATCGTGTAACTGTCTACGGATCTACCGGTGACAACATGATGGGTGACGATTTCTACGTGACTGAGATTTCTCTCCTCTACACCGAGTTTAAGAAGATGCAGGGTCACATCGTGCAGGCTCCCAACTCGCTCCTCAACAGCCTCTTCATTCTTAACCAACGACGATCCAATGGTCTCGCCGATGTTGTTCCTCTGGTGATGCGTTTCGGTACACCTCAGCACATGATTGATGATCTCAAGGAACGAATGACCGAGTTTTGCCTTGCCAACAAGCGTGACTATGCACCTCGTATCATTACCGAGATGGTCAAGGTCGACGACGTTCGATCGTGCTTAATGAACATGATCTTCTTCCACAAGACAAACTTCCAGAACGAACTGTTGCGTCTCAACCGTCACAACAAATTTGTGACGGAACTGATGACACAGATGGTCAATGTCGGCATCCAGTCACCATTCCGCATCGAGCCTGGTGGCAGCCGCGAGCACCCCATGTACTGGTCTGGTATGCAGCCTCCTCCATATGGCAAGGAGCCTGATCATGGGAGTGAACATGGCCGTGGCGTTGACCTTCATGACAAGCCCGTTCCCCACGATCGGCCCCTTCACTCTGAAGGCCCTCCCCTGAGCCATGTCCCCTCGAACTACAGCACCCGGCGAGGAGGAGCTGAGCGCATGCGTAACATGGACCAGAGCTTTGACTTCCAGGATGTTTTCGACAATCGACGAGATAACGTCCAAGCGCATCGTCTGGCATCAATCCGAGAAAAGGAGCGTGGAGCAAGAGCTGAAGAGGAGTCAGAGCGACGATCGTTGGCCAGCTCTTCAGGCGTTGACCGTCGCACCTCGACAGAAAGCCGACGACACGTGTTCAACCGAGTGAGGACGGGCTCTAGGAGCAGCAAAACTCCCGGCAATATTGTCTAGAAGGGCTTCTTACGATACCTACGAAAACCCAAATCTTTACTTAGCATATAGACATTCAGATTGGCACATCTGGATTGGTGTATAATTTTCATTTTGCGCATAGATTGCAGCAATCCATACAAGACGTTGGTTAAACAAATCGACTCAGCAGATAGAGAGCGAGAAAAGTTTACACAATTTTATCATTAATTTATAAAACTTGACAAGCCGTGATAGAACAAGTGTTTTTGCTTATGGTCATGATACTTAAGTCGTGGCATACATAGAATTGTCATGATGATGGCCCATCACTACCTACGGCCTGGGCGGGACGTTGCAGGGGTAATCCTGGGGTAACTGCAATGATGTAATCTTTCAAGCATGAGATCTGAATATCTTGAACTCAATCGGTTGTTCTCGTCTCGCAAGCTCTAGCAGTTGTATTAGCCGTGCAACTATGAATATCAATGCGTCTTATGTAGCTTCATTCAGATCAACATGCTACAATCCTTCCAAGAGAAGATGAGAACCCCTCAATCAAGGCTGACACCCTAGTCAAAGGGAACCAAAACCATGGTGGTAATTAGAGCTGTTAGCGTAATTAAAGGGTCCATCAAGTCCGCCCTAAAAGCTCTATGTCCAATAAATACAGAGCGATTCGATAGCTTGTCGGCTAAAGTGGAGAGACCAATGCTCAGCTCCCGCGCATCAGGATCAGGCCTTCTGTAGTTGAAACCAACTTTCAGGTTAGGCTGTAGAACAAGGGATGAGAGCTTGAGCCTGAAGTATTTATATATTGATTAGTTTCCAGTGTCTTTTTGTCATCTGCTTCTAGAACCATTCATTGTGAAATATACTGTTGCGGATCTGTTCCCGTTGCGCCTCATTTGTGCTCCCAACAGCCACCCACCATTGCCTGAGGTCATTTGTATCCAATGGTTGGTCGCTGTCTTGTTCAGCTGAACCTCGCCCTCAACCATCCCCGGACACATCGCATCTTCCAAAGCCTCACTTTTGAGGACGAGCCGAGTCGAGTTTCGCCTTAAGCAATCATGCCTATCGTCGCGGTGCAATAATACCGACCTCTCTATAAGAAAAACGACAATAGAACTAAATGTCTGGCCTTCCAGAGGGCTGGGAAGCCGACTACGATGGCCGTCGCTGGTTCTACAAGTACAAACCCACGGGACACATTCAGTACCACTTCCCCAAGGAAGGCGATGAGTTTCCGGACTTTATCGATAGTTTTTCACCCGCGCCGGATCTTGCGCCCGAAGAACGGCTCGAGTCGCAGCAACAGGTTCGGCGCCATGGGAGTACCACCGCGGCGCCAGCCAGGCTGAGCCCCAAGAAGTACGATGGAGGGTATGGTATGTCGGCTACGGCGCGACCGGTGAGTATGACCTGGGACGGAGCGCTCGAAGAGGAGAGCACGGTCTTTCAGCCAGAAAACTTCATGTACCTCGGGCCAGGGACGTATACCGATGTGAGTCCAGTAGCAGAAGAGGAAGAGGAGGCTGCGAGGAGAGTTCTTGCGGGGGGCATCGAAGGGAGAGTCGACAAGAGTCCTTCAAAGGGTGTGAGTCCGTTGAATAGCGAGAGGACAACGCCGTCTCAAAGTACTGCAAACGCAGGCCCTATCGCAGGAGAACCAGTATTGGTACCGCCTACAGTCGTCGAAGAAATTCACGAGATGCCGAGCCACGAGCCTCCGCCAGCGCCTGATCCTGTGGGCATCATTGCTGAGATGCCGACATGCGATACAGCTCAAGCACACATCGAAAAACACCCTCCACCGATCGAGATGGCAGATAATACAGTTCTGGCGCCTATAGAAACTGCAGTCCCGATAGCTGAGTTACAAGAGCGAACAAGTCCGACACAAAAAAAGAAAGATGAGCCACAACTTGCGCCTGGATCGCTAAGGAACTATAGCATACCCATGCGGCCGTTAAAGATTGATAAAAAGCCGGCTGGGGAGGCACCTTCCATGATTCAATCATACAAGCCAGAAACTCGTGTAGAGATATCACCAAATCCGGCGCCTTTGCGACGATCAACTTTTCAACCTGGCGACCCAATGGCTTATTTTAGTCCTGTTCGACCACCCGATAGAGGCCACGCTGGTACGCCCAACGTGCTTTCGCCACCTCAAGTGCCCCCTAAGCGTCCATTGGATGAACCATCTCAACATCAAATACCTTTTCAGCCAGCTTTCGATCAGTCTTCTCGGGCGAATTTACCACCAGTGGCTGCGAGCAATGCACCATATATCCCAGGGCAAGAGCCAGAGTTGTCTCACATGCCATCTGTGTTGAAGCCTGCACGTGGAAAAGGTCCTGGGCAGCCTGAGCCTGGTCCTACGAGACCATCACGGGGCCATGTTTATGTACCACCCACACAAGGAAAACATCCGCCATCTATGACTCCAGCACCTATGGCTCAACAACATCTCCTTGAGGAACCGCGAATGGGTGTCCAGAGGATCAACACCGTACCTGATTCACTGCCTTCTCAGAGGCCACAATCTGTGATGCAGAATGAGCATCAAGGACTGCCACCTAGTACAGCGAATCGGCCGCATATACCAAAACGACCTGCTAGTGTAATGCCTGACATGATGGGAACGCAAACACAGGCTCAATATCGGAGCCTGATCGAGGACGTTCCACCGAAAGGCCTGCCCCGATCTGCAACAGCAGGACCTGGAACTCAATTTCCTCCATACCCAGTCGACAATCTGCCTTATCCTGATGATCGACCAACATTTCGCAGAGAGGATCCTCCATATCCTGAAGAGCCATTCGTGCAAAAAACGTTCATACCAGATCGAGGCCCCGTTAACCCGTCGCCTCCGCCTCATAATAATCGACGGCATTCATCATGCAGCTCTGCCATTGTCTCGCCGGACTCGCGACATGGCAGCATGTCTTTTCCTACTCAAACACCTTCTCCAATGGAACACAGTCGCCGTGCATCTACGAACTCTAGTTCTATTCCCAACTACACACCTTCGCCCGTGTCAAATACGCCGCCATCTACGCAGGGCTTCTCACCAACATCTCCTCCTGCTACAGGAAATCAGTATCCTCAGGGGTCTTACTTCAACGTGCAAGATGCCGAGGGCCAGTGTTACAATGCTTCTGCCCGAGATGTGCTGCGTAGGCAGTCTCTGAGCCGTGGTGTAGACCCAAGACGCAACTCTGTTGGTACAGATCCTGTCAGTGCCCAGCGCGGATCGCCTCTGGCACAGCAGACAGTGCAAGGTTACAACGCAGCGCCGCAGGGACTACCGCATTCTCAGTCCTTACCACAGGCATCTCAGGTTAGTACTGCCCTACAGAGCCAGCGCCCCGTTGCTCCTACACCACCCCCGCAAGGCCAGCAGGCCCTTGGACGCATCGAAGAATATGAAGAAGTTCCAATCGGAACTATTAGTCGATCATCGACAGCAAGTATAACGTCCGAAACAAGGAAAGGTTCGCTTTCTTCGTCAGCACAACCGAGTCCAATGGGAAGTCGAAGAGCTAGTTGGCAAGCAGAAGGTCCGAGGAATGTCCCACCTGGTCAATTCCAAGGGCAGCAAATCCAAGCACCCCAGAGTCATATGGGACAGCCCATGCCTCAGGGTCAAGTTCCTCAAGCTGCTCCTATGCCACCACAGAATCCGAAACAACTGCAAAGGAAGCCTTCTCAGGGGAGTGCGCATCATCTTCAGGGTCAGCAGGTGCCTATGCATAATCCGAGAGTACCTCAGGGGATGCCACAGCATCAAGGTGTTGTACCACAGAGGCAGCTTGTTCAGGGACAAATGTTTCCACCACAAGCTCAGAGCAGAGCGCCTCAACCTGGACAAATAAACACTCAGGTTCAAAATGCTCCCCAGGAACCTGCACCATCTGTGTTGCCTCCCAAACCTGTACCAATGAGGCTACAAAAACGATCTACCTACGGTCCATCAAGCCCAGTAGGGCAGACGGTTCCTCAAAATCAACTTTCTCAGGGACCTTTACCTCCTAGCCTGAAAGGACAGAACCAAATGCCACAGCAAGGTCCCATCACAGGCCATATGCCTCCTGCAGGGCAGCCAACCCTTCTCCAAAAGGCTCATCCTGGCCGAGTGCAGCCTCATGTTCAAATCCCTCAAGACCAAGGAAGCTGGCAGCCCAGCCCGCATCCTGCAATGCCTCAGAATACACGACCAGTGTCTATGCAGCCTCAGTCAACACAGAGTGCTGGTTCGAAAGAAGGCAAGGAGGGGAAGAAATGGTTGAAATGGTTGAAAGGTGGTTCCAAGTCTGTTTCGCATAGCCCGACTACACCAGTCATCTCTTCGCCTATATCACCAGTTGTTGGACGCCCAGGCTGGGGCGGGGGAGAATATTCGCAGCAGGCTGTATGGCAGCCTGGGCAAGCTATCTCTACTGGACCGCAGTCAGGTCTTCAGGGAAACATGCCGCCGCCTCAGCCGGTGCAGATGCAGACCCAGATGCCCCTTCAACCTGTGCAAATGGCTCCTCAGCAGGCGCCGGTACAATCTGGACCTGTTCAAAGACAATCCCATTCTTTTCAGACGGTCCATGAGTCAGATAAAATGGGCTTTAAACCTGGTCAACCTGGTCAACCTGGTCAAATGCCTCTTCACCCTATGCAGATGGCTCCTCAAGCAGAACCCTTGCCGCCTCAAAGGAGATACTCGCCTCCCCAGCAGGTCCAGACGCCTGTTCGACAGGAACAAATAGCACCTCCTCAGAATCAAATGCCTTCCCAGCCAGGACAGCTATCCTTTCAGAAGAGACTGTCGCTTCAACAGACGCCAATGCCAGCGCATTTTAACGACATGGCTATGGCGCCTAGCCAAGGTCCGCCACCGGGCCCAGCACCAGTGCATCCTCAGCCTGAACCTCGAGCATATCCCGCAATCACACAACCTATAACAGGGCCTCCAGTGGAGAAGCCAGCAGCTTTATCAGCAAATTTCTCACGGCCTGTCCAGGAAGCGCCCGTGAGGAGCCAGCCTGATAGCGTCGCTCACCAACAAGTAGCACCGCCCCGTCAACCTTCTCCTGGTGAAGTTCGACCTTTGCAACAAGCTCCTGTGCCTCGGTCCAAAACACCTGAAACCACTCAGCCACTCCAGGCCTCTGTATCCAATTATCTCCAACCCAATTCGACTGTTAATGATAGTCTGTCGCCACATGCACCGGCAGCGAGTCCAGGCCATTCCGATAAATCCACCACTCCTTTGAGTCGCATGTCTTCTCAGAAAAGCTATTTCTCTGACGCCGGTTCGATCACAACAATCGAAGTGGCACAAGCCCAGCCACAGGCTGTGCTGAAGCCTTCTATCGTCCAAGTGAAACGAAAATCGACAGACATGTGGCGCCAATCTCAAGAGATCCAGCAACACAATGCTGCCCAGTCGAGCTCTGATGTCACTCCAAGGATCTCTGCAGAGACACCTCGTGCTGGGACGGAGCCAGCTTTGCCATCCTCAAGTCTTCAGCAACAGCAAATCGTTGCACGACCTGAGCCTGATCATGAAATGGGTATTCCCCAGTACAATAACACTACGACACCCTTGTTCTCCAATTCCAGTGCTCCAAAGACTGCTCAACTTGATACTCAGGATAAACAAAAGAACAAACCGCCAGCAGCGCCATCGAAGTCTAAACAGCCTTCGCCTACTTACACTAATAACAATATCGTCCCGATCGCACAGGACAATCGCGTTGTCGAAGTCAAAACAAACGAGGTGCAGCATGCTCCTGCCAAACCTGCTCCTGCCAAACCTGCTCCTGTGGTGGAAGACAAATGGGCGAAGAAACCGGTGGTGGATTATTCTGGTGGAGATTGGGGAGACGATGATGATTGGGACTATAATTGAATATTGTACACATGGTTTCACGTTTTTTTTTACGGCGATCATATGGCGAAGCACATTGTTTTGTGTTGAGTTTGAATGTGGAAATGGGGGTGTTAATTGGGAATATCTATCTTTGATAGAAAACTTGCTTGATGATCAAATTACCATGAGAACTCGGGCCTGCCCGTCCATTCTCTGGCACTTTCTCATGAACCGAGCTCGATCCATACCTTTCAGTGACATGTTAGTTCGCCGCCGGTCACTAATTCTGTCACAGTCGAGCAGTTTTGCTCTACGATGTCGTCAATTTGATCAGCCATCAAGAAAATATCGGCCTTGACAGAACCAAGCGCGATTTTAAACCAAAAACCATGGTCAGCACCAGCAATCCGCCCTTCATTGTCAACATCTACATGCTTTTCAAAGCACTTGATGATCTCATGTAGTTTGTCGCCTGTGAGTTTTGCATCAGCTCCAAGCTTCTGGAGCTGCTCGGATATGTCAGCGCTGGGGTTATTGCAGCGAGATTCAGCCATTCCGGTCTTGTCTTGGGAGTCAGTTTTAGTGACTCGTAGATACCTGATGATCCATTCAGCTTGTAGAGCGGCGTTTTGTGTAGGGGACATGATGTGTTGGTCGTCTGGAATGTGAGCAGGACGAGTTCTCTTGGCAGGAGGGCAATCAGTATGATCGTCAACTGAACGTTTTCGCTTACCACCGACCTGGTCAGGTTTCTGGGGTTTAGAAGTAAAGGAACCCATGATGACTGGCTAGAGTTTCTGTGAGTTGAATTTCTGTGAGTTGAATTTCTGTTTGAAGTTGTTACTTTGTTGTTGAGTGTGGTTGTTGATGAGATTGGATTGAGATATTGGGACACTTAAATAATACTAATGAATGAACAAGACTATTCATCAAATTAGCTCATGTACGGTTGAACAACAAATCCAACAATGGATGTTGTTTTACTAGGTTCAGCTTGGTGTCTTGGACAGTTATAGTCCACGTGCAAGGCAAGAATCTAGCTTCTTAGCTAACTGCTCTGTTTCTCTGTGTTGCTTATCCTAAGCCAAGTTCAAAGAACTCGTAATTTGCGTTGGTCTGTAACGTAGTTTCCAAAGGAGCATATTAGGCTGTCTGAGATACATGTAGCCTGTTTAAAAATAACAACAATGAGTCTCTTTTTATAGTTACATGACGGTCGAGTTGTCATTTCAGAAAAAAACAGAAACCCTTGGGAAGAGGAAACAGGATCTCTAATACAAACTATGATCCTTCGTAGCGGCACATGAACAGTTGTGTAATAGTCACATTGGCCAGTAGGTGGAAAGAAAACAGATTGGCTGGTTCGAATGGAATTTATCAGCGCTTGAGTCGTTGACTTACACGAAAGCAACTGAAAGTGGATGGATCATCGATCAGACTGCATGAAGGGTGATGTTGGCGTAAATCTGTGTAACTATACAGAATCAAATAAGTACAAGCTCTTCAACAATCGCATCCGGTGTGGTGTATCGGTTAGCATACCGCGTTTTCATCTTGAGAAATCCGCGGCGAGCGGGGTTCGATTCCCCGCACCGGAGATACCATTAATGAGCTTCCACAAGCTCCTACTGTTTTTCTTTTGTCCTTTTTTTATATCATGAGGAAGAAGTCAGTTGTTAGCAACTACGTATACTATGTCAGTTCACATGTCCTGCTGTTGCAACCCGAGAAGGCATGCAACCTTGTCGTTGATAATACCGATTGTTGGGATCTAATGAAAGTGACTCTCTTACGAGATAAAATAAAGATCTCTATTACCCCTTCTCTTTTGGAGTCATAGCTATCGAAGACTAATATCTAGTATCGCTACCAATAATCAGACATGCTTCTTTGTAATGATCAGGTTTAAAAACTAAAGACTACTCTGCTATTGATATTCCTAAAAAGGCAAAAGGCCTCCGGCGCAAAAGCATGGGGCAGCCCGGATTCCCGGGGTCCCCCCCACCCGTCCTTCCCAGCTTCCCTCCACCTTGTCCGAAACGTCAACACCCAACACTGAGCTTGGAGCTTAAACATCATCAATACATTTCTACATTACGCCAACGAAGCTTATAAACGTCTTACAACAATCACGGCATCTTCTCACACCATTTCTTCTTTACTCTATCATGGCGCAGTCCACCGCCCACCGCCGCCTTCTCCAAGAGTACCGCGCTCTCACCAATAATCCACCAGAGGGCATCACCGCAGGCCCCATCTCAGAAGACGATCTCCTTCACTGGGAATGCCTCATCCAAGGCCCCGAGGGTACTCCCTTTGAAGGCGGAGTCTTTCCTGCTGAGCTCAAGTTCCCCAAGGACTATCCTCTTGCCCCGCCATCTATGCGCTTCCTTGCCGATGTGTGGCACCCAAATGGTCGGTCGGCTCTACTACTCTTCTCGCGCAACGCTTACTGACTTCTTGATAGTGTACCCTAGTGGTCTGGTCTGCATCTCCATCCTGCATCCCCCCGGCGACGATCCCAACCACTACGAGCACGCTTCGGAGCGATGGTCACCTATTCAATCTGTTGAGAAGATCCTCATCTCTGTCATGAGCATGCTTGCCGAGCCCAATGACGAATCCCCCGCAAATGTCGAGGCCGCCAAAATGTGGCGAGAGCGCCGCACCGAATACGAGAATAAGGTCCGAGAGGGCGTCAGGAGAATGCTGGGTCTATAAGATGCCCGCCGTTACAGGGCAAAAGTAAACAACTCAAAGTGGCAAGGGAGTATCAGCGCACATCATTTTAGCATCGTTATGGCATAGCATGGTGTTCGGCAGCGGTATGGCCGCCTAAATAAACTGTTCATATACTCATCCCATGGAGAAACGCTTCTATCGTGAACGCTCTACAAACTCCATCTCATGCATAATCTCTCATAGCCCGTTATCCGCCTTGAACTTATCCCAGCTCTCGTTGAGAGTGCTAAACACCAGTCCCGCAATTAACCTCACCTCAGTGCTTGCGTCTTGAGGAAGCTGTCAAATATTAGCATAGATCATTACAAAATTGATATAGGGGCTTACCTTGTCAGGATGGGTCTTTGCAATCGCCTTCATGTACGAAATCTTGACCTTGTTGGCCATGACCAGCTCATGCAAGCCAACCTTCTTCCATCCACTGTTCTCCCACAACACGCTGTCAAGACTGGCGATGAGAGCACGTATATTGTCTCGCTTTCCATCGCGCCAGGCAGCTACCTTGGCATCAACCTTTTCTGAGAGAATAAACTTCTCGTCATCTTCCTTGGCCGCAGCCTGGTTTGCCTCACGAAGGCGAGTAACAGCTTCAGAGCTCTTTTGAGATGCAAGGCTAGCTGTAGCCGTAGGTCTTGGTCGAGGCTTGGCAGCTGCCGGCTTGGGTGTGGGTTTAGGCTTGGGCGCCAAAGTGTTTTGACATCGCTGTCGACCCTTGATAGCGTTCGATCCGCCAACACCGCTCTCGACACACAATTGCCAGACCGCACTGGCGTCGGCCCACTTCTCCATCTGCTCGAGAGCCTCAGCTTTCCTGCTCAACGCCTTACCATAGAGGTCTTTCAAGTCTCGGTTCTCGTCAACACCACTCTCATTCTTGACAGCCACCACTTCTCCTTGGCCATTACCAGGTCCGATAAGTTTGAGCGCCGTATCAGCATCCTCGACAGCCTGTTTTGGTTCTCCGGTCTTCAAGGCAGTCAAGGCGCGATTGCATAGAAGGAGGATGGCGAGAGGATGTGTTGGTGGAACAGCCGATAGTGAAGACGAATACGATGAGTGAGCAGATGCATAGTCACCTCGCTTAAAGTGAGCTGTGCCTTGAAGTCGGTGCTGTGTTGACGTTTGCAAGGCAACAGGGCTTATGGAGGGTATCTCTCGAGCTGGCTGTGGCGTAGGTCTTGAGGCAGGAGGTCTTGAGGCAGGAGGTGAAGGTCGCTTGGCCTGTGTCGTTGGTCGAGGGGATGGCTGGGCTGATCTTGTAGGTAGAGACTGGGTTGCTTTGAATTCTTGCGAGTTGAAGAGCAGGTCTGGCTCTGGTTCAGCTGGCTTTGGTGTCGGCACTGGTGAAGGGGCTTGTGAGGGTGTCTTGTTCCGTCTGTTGGGACTTCTATAAGTCGAGAGGCTATCATCATCTGCGGCCAGGCGATTAAGTCGAGACTTTGAATCAAAAGCCGATGTCGGAGGTGGTGCTTGTTGCTGCCATCGAGGAGCAGGGCTCGAACGGCTGCCAACAGAATGAGCAGGTGATTGCCCCCTTGATGGCTGAGGGGTCTCCCGCTGCTCGGTAGGTCGACTATTAGTGCGGCGAGGTTGAGGGCGACCACCGGCTTCAAGCATCATGGCTTCGTCTGTAGCATCTGCGCGAGCCTTTCCTTGCGACTTTGAGGATTGCTGCTGTTGCGCTTCTCGCATCCACTTAGGTTGGTTTGGATCGCCGCCTTCTTGCTGTAAATCGGCAACAGCCTGCTGCATCTTCTTCTGTCCCGTCTTCCAAAGTGAGTTGGCAGTCTTGAACAGACTGTTGCCCATAGCAGCCGCTGTCTTGGCCAGATCCTGTTCTCCAGCCGCTGGTGACCTGCTGTCACTTCTAGGGGGTCGGCTTCCTGGCCTACTAGAGCTGGCCGAAGAGGTCTTTCCTTGCGCCTGTTCCTTTGATTTCCGGTGCGCTTCATCTAAAAGCCAGTTGACTGCGGCTTGTGCGTTATAGCCATCACCGCTTTCAACCAGGGCGCGTCGGGCATCATCTGCAGAGAATCCGTAGTCCACAAGCTGGGCCACCGCTCTGTCAAAGGGATCCTTATTGACTCTGGGTTTTCGCTCAGTAAACTGCTCTCGTGCTGGCGGAGCCTCGTCGTCGGATGAGCTTGAATCTTCATCCTCGATGGGCTTTCCAGGTTCGGCGCGAGGTCGACTTGCTTCCTGCATGCGTCGCACTTCGTCAACAGGGCGGCCAAGATCGCCCAGGAAGTCGTCATCATCAGCCTGCTGAGTAGGCGCCGCAGGAGCAGCAGCGGGCTTCAACTCTTTCAGCCCGAATGGATCGTCGTCTTCGACTCTAAATCCACCTCCATTTGAGCCACCCCCACTAGTCTTCCACGCGTTCGGATCGCTCAAGTTGATCGACGGCGCAGATGGAGGAGCTGCGTTTGCTGGGGTCGATCGATGCGATTCGGGGGGTGGGTAGTGGCTCGCATTGTCAACCTTGGTGTCCTTGTTGAAGGCAGCGAAGAGGTCGTCGTCGTCGGACTTTGTTGTGTTCGATGCAGGTGGTGGTTGTAATGCAGGACTTGTCGATGCGCCTCTGCTTCCAAGCGCGTCCCAAAATTGACCACTACCAAACTGGGCCTCCTGTTGCTTCCTCCTCTCCTCCTCTTTCTGGCGTTTCTCAGCTTCGAGTTGCGCCTGTCGCTCAGCCAAAGTTAGGTTCTGCTTCGCCTTTGCCGGTCCAAAATTCATCAAATTGCTAAAACTGTCCTGTGATGGCTTCGCTGGTGCCTGTGCTGCCTTGGAAGCCAAGGAACCAGAACCCTGTGTGGACAGAGGCGTGTTGCGTCCAGAACCCAAAGGAGATGGTGTTGGTCGCATTGACGCAAAGGATGGGTTCATTACTGGCGGCTTCGGTTGGCCGCCAGTTGGCTTTGAAGACCAATCGAGGCCTGAGAGGTCGTCCATCGTGAAGAGAGCTGGTATGTTATTGTAGATAGTCAATCATAGTATGATAAGGTGAGTTGTGAGTTGTCTACTATCGCAAGTGTGA